AAATTTCAAAAATCAAAAAAAAAACAAATATCTAGTCATTATCTAGGTTGGTACTAATCAAGGCCCACGGACAATTATAAAAACTTACATGACTGCACTTGCTACACACTGTTCATTTAAATTTCGTTATTTAATGTTATTATAGCCTATAGGAACTCTATTCTATTAAGAACACGCAAATTTGAAAAGAAAAAAAAAGTTCCGCATTCACGGCCAGGTTCGCTGCCGACAGTGGGCAACATTGTTGACCATCGTAACACCACATCAACGCTCACCGTAAGCAGCGAAAGCGGAACTTTTTTTTTTTCTAAATTTAGACAATATTTATTGGAATACTAGAGTATAGGTTAAATTGTTAAGATTGCAATTATTCACCAAGACACAGCCGCTCTATAAATGTCTGCATATCTCCACACGGAACACCATCACTGCTTCCAAGTCTTGATGAACACCAATACACCGCACACTATATAATATCTTAACGATTATTTTTAATTTAATGTATTATTGACGGTCGACAAATAAAAGCTACGAACTTCGCGAGAAAAAGAAACGCTTCATAAAAAAAAAAAGTTCCTATTGTACCGCACGCGGACGCTCGAAGGACCGGTAACGACGAAGACGCGCCGCGGACCGACGGACCTTCCGGAGCTTTACACGAGTAACATCACCCATCCGATTGGTTTACGGTGTCAATATCTAACCAATGAACGCTGTTCCTGGTGACCGTTGTGCCGTGGCAGTGCATCCTTAGGCTGGAGCTGTACTTACCGTAAGTAAATAAAACGGTTTCCACTGCGTCAGCTAGGTACACCGCGAGACGCGTATCCGTCACAGTATACCTACTGGCGTAAATTAAACAGGCACGGACACAGGCGGGGTTTTGGGGCTCAATAGCGAATACGATTACCCGGGCGGTTTACGAAACGGGACGGAAAACGCCGTGTATACTCACTGAATATTACCCGGTACACACAGTATACAGTCTGTTCATAAGCACCGGTATACCGGTAGATTTGTTTAAATACTTTTATTTGGAAAGTATTTGAATAGTATTTCAAACTGTATACTAATTTTATTAAATACTTTTTTTTTTGATTCTTTAGATATTTGAACAAGTGCACTCTACCACCACCATCGCGATCTTCAAAATTGTATTTTGAAAAGTCTGTGATGTTGAAGAAGATCATATATAGTACATTCAGATTTTCTTTTAAATTATTATTCTAGAAGTTATATTGATTTAAAGACTGTAGGTGGGTACTAGGTGTGTCAGTGTAATTAATAATAATAGGTCAAATAATCAATCTTTCTTTTCTTTTTTCTACGTCTATTTTTGGCTAAATTTTTATTTGAAATCGGTTTATTTATACTCGACATCGAGTATCGATACGGTAGTTACAAGGTAATTAAACAATAGCTGTATAAACTTTGTTATGCACTTTGACATAATACGTCAATATTTTAGACAAACATAATTTTATAATACGTAAATAATACCATTATTACTACGTAATTCTAGTATACCTATACATTTTACTTAGAAAATGGTTATCATCGTTTATTATCGTCGACGACAATCAATAATGATACGAATTGATCGGCAGTTCGTACTTTGGTAGGCAATATAGTTCGTTGATTTGGCATGTAGTTAATAGGTATCTATTCCTATTTTCATTTAACCTATTTATAGATTTAGTATATTTATCGTATATGGGTATTTTAGAATACGTCACTTCAGTGGCGCCGAACCATGTTGGAAAGATGATGGGCAAGTAAAAGTTGTATGGACCACCACCCTCGTTTACGAAACAAACTCCCGTACAACATTCTTAAGTAATACTCTATACGTACCTACCGATTGATTCGATAAAAAATATGGCTCATGAATCCACCGCCCCCCTTGACTGCTGATTTTGGTGTCACTTGGTCACTTATTATTTGGATTAGATATTAAAAGTAATATTAATTAATAATTTTCATTAATCGTTTATTCAAGTCACTTGAACTATTTTTTTTTTATAGTTAGGAGATTAGATTGTTAAAAGATCCAAGTCAGTTGGGCTTGTTTTTCGTATCGTGTTCAGTGTTGTACTATTCATTGAAGTTAATGTTTGATTCTTGCAATTTTCATTACTCGTAATTCAATAAACTATTTTTTATTACTTTAATATATTATACATTTAAACCAATAATTAAATTTAAAATAAAGTTATTTATTTGTTTATTTTATCTATTAGTACTTATAAAAAATAATCCAGACACGTTTTTAACATTTTTGCTAAGTCTATTGATTTATAAAATAAATAATGGCACTCAACTAGTCAGCCGATTTAGTTAAACAAAATCATACCCAATGAAACATGTTGAAATTCATTGTACATAGGTACAATGAATTTAAAAAAAATAAACTGAACAATGTGTTTTGAAACAGACCTAATAGTTGTTATATAGGTTCTAATGGTTAGTTTTATTAATTAAATATTTAAATTAATAATACCTACAGAATGATTCGGGAATTAATTTAACTTATCTCAATATTTTGAAAGTATCTGTTTTATGGTATTTAAATTTTAAATCCACTACCATTCAATAGTATTTGAACTTATATATGTAGTAATTTATCATTTAAATTTAATATTATTTCTCTTCTCAATTTCATACAAAACATTAAAATTCCATTACATTAATGCAGGCCAATTTGCAATAATTTTCAATTTTACATTAAAAAAAACAAATATAAATATTTTATTAAATAGGTAATAACATATTTTAGGGATTTTTCATAAATTATTTTTTGTTTATATAGTAATAGGCACCAACATGTAATTGTTTTGTATGACATTTGTTTTGTTTTTATACCTATTTGTAATAGATATATAGATAGATAGATAGATTTATTTATTGTTATTTCATAATAATTACAATTTAACAAAATAATAATAATGTCCCATACATTAAAATATATTTTTCTCTATTTGTAAAGTATTATTATTTGATGAAAAGAACGCAGCATCAGTTGCTACTTTACCAAACATTTGAACAGAAAAATCTATTGCTGATATTTCTTTTTGTTACTTAATTTTAGGCCTCTTTGAAAAGTTCTAAGCAAGATTGAGGTATTGTTCCATCTTAGATGTGCACAGGAAAAGTAGACGAGATGAAATACCACGTTTGCTAATGACACAGTTTTGACAGGATAAAATATAAAAGTTAGGCTTGAGTTATTGAGAGTAGCACTTGAAGGAAATATAAGTAATACATAGTATATAGAATATGAGTTTAGATGAACTAGCTAACAACAAGTGACAATGTAATAGAAAAGGTTGTAAGTATGTAGGTATTACCTAGGATATTTATACATACAAAAGAATGATGGTGTTGATATGAATATGAAATTAAGGATTAAGTGTGGTTGGGTTAAGTAAGATAGAAGCCCTAGGTGTCTAATGTAAAAGAGAATTCCAATGAGACTTGTAAGTTCTGCAAAACTGTAGTGAGACTGACTATATGTTATAGTTTAGTGGGTAAGGAATGAATGGGAGTGATATAGAATAAGGAATATACTTACATAAGAGAACAGTTAGTACACGAAATGAGATAAAATAGACCTGATGGTTTGGACGTGTCATGAGGAAAGAATCAATAGCAATAAGAATTAAAATCAAAAGAGGAAGAAAGACCAAAAAATAGGTGGTTGGATACAATATAGAATTATATGAGAACATCCGATGCATGTGAGGTGTGAGATAAGGTCAAGTAGAAGTTTAGGACAAGGGTGGCAGATCCAAATATTGATATGAAGGCAAAGGAAAAGAAATTATTGAGAAATTATAATTTTATATTCATCAAATATATAGTTTATATTTGTTTTGCAAATCAATAAACAATTCAAAAAATAACTTTCCTTACTATAGGAATTTGGTATTTTGTATCTTTTAAATTATTAAGAGATAGCGGTTAATATAACTTTAATTTTTGCCAAAATTACTTCGGTGTTAGAAAAATGTATTATAAAAATAGTAAACATTAATCAATAAAAATCAATCTATCACCTAATATGTATTAAATAATTTGAATATATTATATTTTAATTTTAATAAAAATTAAAACAATTTATACGAACTTTTAGGAATTTTGAAACTTAATAAAAAGTAAAATTACCTAAATTTAACCATCTCAAATACATTTCTTTACTTTGCAGAACTTCGGAAACTGCCCATTTCGACATTTCTAACTGCCCATTTCAACAACATTCATCAATTTATTTGATGAATAAATAAAAATAATAATAAATTAAATACTAAGAACTTGTACAGCAAATTATGAAACAATGAATTAACAATTTGTTCATATTTTTAATGTTAAATGATATTATATAATACTATTAAATAATATCTCTAACATAGGTGATTATTGCAATTAACCAATTTTCAATATTACTCAGTCTACAATCTGTGAATTCAATCTGTAACATTCAGCAATTAAATTATGTACAATGTGAATAATGTCTATTGTTTTAAAGGACCATAATGATTTATTATTAATTTGCACACCAGCAATTCAAACATTGGCAAGATAGACTTATCGAAGATCTATTAGAAAGCAGTAAATAACAATTGTATTGCATTTGTGTGAATACAGTACAATTGTCTATGTTATTATGGGGAAAATACCTACATTAAACTTAGAGAGATATACTAAAATTGTATAGATAGAAAATTAATTAAACACTGTTACACTACCAATTGTGAAATAATAAATATTAAACATTTCTTAATTATTTTATTTTTAATAAAACACCAATATTAGTTATTTTAACTACAGTTTATAAATTGAAGATTTATATGTATTAAATCAATTGATTTATTTTGTGTATCAATAACTAAAAAAAATATATCTATTATTGTTTTCTACCATCCAAAATGGATAAGAACACCAAAAAAATAAAGAATTTATTTAAAGTATAATTAAATGATTTTATTAAAACAAAAACATTTGCACTTAATAAAATTCATCTGTTAATGAAAACAATTTTACAAATTAAAATAATTGGTAATCCAAAAATTACTAGCAAGTAAACTATTAAATATAACTATTAAAAATGTCAGAGTCAAATAGTAGTATACAAATCGCTTTAAACATAATAAGTGAAACAAAATAATAGATATAATAGACACTCACTTCAAATTCTTGTTGTTCAACATACCTAAATAAAATAAAAAAACAAAAGTACATTAAAACAGTTTTATTGAAATAAGATTATTATTAGTAAACAAAAATATAACCAAATTATTTTTCCCCTCAACTATTTATTTTTTTCTATAGATCAAAGTGTAATTAACCATAAAACATTGCGCACACATAAACTACAGCAAAAGTTACACAATTCCAAATAGAAATGGCTATAAATTAATATTACAAAAATATTTATGGAAAGAACCTACTACATGCTATACTCAAAATTAAAACACTAAACCCCAAAAATTGTCTAGAAAATGTAAACTTCTTAAAAATAAAAATAAATAATTTTAAATTGTAAGTGAATAAGAAATATATTCTTCAGAAATTTTGTTCCCATCACCAACTTTTGGGGTTTTCTGGTGGAAAACTACATTTATATATTTGGTGTATTGATGATGTCACTTTTTTCATTTTCCTTATAGTTTTTTTAATAGGGGGAAAATATTAACATTTACACGAGAGTTTTTATAATTTTTGATTTTTTTTTGTTCTGTTCTAATTTAAGTGATAATTAATCGAGTAAACTTAAAATATTTCATGAATTACTGAATTAACCAATGATTGGTGTAGTCAAATTATCAAGAGATTCTAATAATTTTTGAACACTTCACTCATACAGGCATTTGATTTTATATGAATGAAAAATGTTTTACACCAGCAAAAATGCTCATTAATTTAATATGTGGTTTATCATAAGTTGTGTTTAGTAGAATTAAAAAATATATATAGTTTAATATAGAAAAAAATTTTATAAGCATTTTAAGTTCAATTTTTTAACAAAAAATCTTAAAAAAACAAACATACTAAGCACGATAGTTTGACTACTGTTGTAATTGAGAAGTTGGCAAGGTAGGATATAGAGGAGAATTTAATGTTTATCTGTACGCAACAATTAATTTTTGCTAACGAAAAATGATTCTAAGCGGAGTTTAGTTACGCATGCTTTAAAAGGCAGTAATATTTACGATTTTAAAATAACACATTTTTTATATTATACCCTGCTTTTCCCATTTATTATGAAAACTACTGGGAAAATCAAAAAATGGCCTTTTTAAAGTACCACTTCAACCAGATTTCTTTTCAGAAAAAGTGCTATAATTGAAAATCGGAGCAAAATTGCTGATAGATAAGTTGTCCACAGAAAAAAAAATAAAGATTATGGTAAAACCAATATATTCCTCATTCCGCTCAGAATTTAAAATCACATTTCAAAATTGCATACATATATTAATTAAATTACTCTATATTAGATGATCCATTTAAGTGAGTACACTCATTATCTCGGAAAGTATTAACTTTTTTCGGAATTTGTTTTATAGAATATTTAAGAAACAAGTAGCTCTACAATTTTGTAGTTATTTTATTTTTTTATCACCTTTATTTTTTGGGGTAAAATCACTACCTACTTTTGATTTTTAAATGGCAACCTTTATTAAAAAAACCATAAATCAATAGAGTAGTATCATTTTTATGGCAGTATGGTGTTAATAATACACCACTACTTACTGTCCTTCAACCCAAACTTTAAAATGGAGAATCTGACAGGCTTGACAGAAATCAAAAATGTCAACATTAAAATTTATTTTAACTAATACTCCATCTATTTATGGCATTTATTTATATGGGCTATTTGAAAATAAGAAGTAGGTTGTGATTTTACCCCCAAAAATACGGGTGACAAAAAATAACATAAATATAAAATTATAGAGCAGCTTGTTTCTTAAATGCTCTAGGAAACACATTCTGAAAAAAGTTAATATTTTCTGAGATAATGAGTGTACTCACTTAAATACCTGGTACATCCTGGTTTTTTTAACTTTTCACCTACATCAGTGATGCACCCATAGAAAGTATATTAAGACCTATTGTTGCACTAACCTTGCATTTTTTACATAGTGTATCAGCAAGTATTTGAGAGCATGCAGATTCTGAAATGTGTCCACATTCCATTATTTTATGGATAATATGATCACATGATCCACAAATTACACGACATGGATTTTTGCAAAGATGTCTAAACAGACAATTTGGATTGGGTTTATTACATATTTTATTGCAGATAGAAGGTTCAAAGCAATTTTTCTCAATTGAATGCCCACAATTTAAATTTTCGTTTACCTATGCAAGAAATATATCAACAATTAATATATTAAATAAATTCATCAGCATAAAATAAACCTTAATCAGACACTTATTGTTCTCGACTTCACAGCATTTTCCTTGGGTTTTATGACCATATTCACAAATTTCATTTATGATCACCTCACATTTACATTTTTCGTAACACATTTTATGGCATCTATGGTTTCTTGAGCACTTTCTAAACAAAACATACAAAAAATATAATTTGTGAAATTGATCAAGTACTTAAAAGTATAAATAAATAATTAAATTTAAATCTCACTTATCACAGGCTTTTAAGCATTTGACTCCTAAATGACCACCATCATCAATATGACAACTCTTGTCACATAAATGGCCACACTGAAGTTTAGAATTACATTTTAATTTACATAAGTTTAAATTACAGAAATCCAAATGATTTGATACTTTTCCTAGAATATTGTTGTGATTTTGACACTTCAACAATAATGCTGGACCTGTTTAAATAAACACAATATTCATTAATACTTTATAGTATAATATTCTTAGTAAAATAAAATTTGATTTGATTTACCAATAGCATTTAAATATTGCAAGTATTTTTTTATTTTTTTCCACAAATTACTTTTTCTTGATAGTAAATTCAAATCACCAGTCATAAAAAATCCCAGTCTAGCTCTAGACAAGGCAACACATACCCTATTGTCTGTTTTTAAAAATCCAACACTATTGATATTGTTACTACGGACCAATGACAATAAAACAATTTCATTTTCTTCACCTTGATAACCATCCACTGAAGTAATTCTTATGTTTTCCAAATGTTCATAAATAGGTAATTTTATTAGCTATAAGACAATATTATAATATTACTAAAAATGGAAACCATACATCATTCATCATATATTTTACATCAGAAATGTATGAGACTTGAGCATTATACATTGCCATAATAGTTATATCTTCTGAATAATATCCTTGTTTTAATAGATAATCTGCCAATGCAACTAAAAATTTCGCTTCATTCTCATTCTTAAAACTTGATAATTTGTAATCCTAATAAAATAAATATAATATTAAATAAAGAGTAAAAATTTAAATTTGAAAGTATACTTTATTTTCATGGACATTGTGAGTAATGCAAAATACATCCTTGTCAACTCCTATAACATGTGGCCGATCCTCAACAGAAGGATGATTTCTTAAATGTGGATAAATTACTGGTGCTACTAAACCAGCGATTTCTGGTCGCATGCGATGTTGTTCAGCTAATGTATATGATGGAATGCCATTGTTTACCATGCGTTCAAACAAAGATATATCAAGATTATATTTTTTGCTCATCATATGATTAGCTGTTTGGGGACGCAGTTGTTTATGATCACCTAAATAATTTTAAAAACGTCAATAATACAAAAAAGCAAAGAATAGGACAAAGTACTAGAGTAATAAAATGCCTTTACCAATAAGAATAAGATGTTCACAATGTTCTGATAATGATGAAACAATATGAGGTTCTAAAACCTCTGCTGCTTCTTCAATTATAACTAATTAAAATTAAAAAATTCATTAAATTACTTAAGTGGTTTTAAATGTATTATAATTTTTGAGAAAATGTCAAAAAGTACAATAAATAATAATTCTAAAAACTCAATAAAAAAAATTTGTAAACTTACCTATTGGACATTTCAGCTTTTTCATTAGAAATCTATTTTTAGCTGCGGCAGTTGTTGTCATACCAATAACATATTTATCTTTTACCGGCTTCCAATATCTGATTGATTTAAACTTATCTGCTCTTTTTTTACAATTAAGTATAGAATCATGCAAATCTTCCAAGTTCTTATTTTCCATCATGATGAACGAATGAATCCAACTGTAATAGAGTAACCACCGGTCTCTTATTTTTAAACAATGGTGGCTTTCAACAATCAGCCGATTGTAAAACGTAACAAAAGATGATGATTTATACAGTTTTAAATGTTTTATAATATACTCCTTAACAGTCTTCATTACTTTCAATGTCAATTGTAAATGGTTCTTTTCTGAAAGATCATCATCTTCTATATTCAATTTACTTAATTGATACTGTACTTTAGTACAGTACAGTTTAATCCTTTCCAATGATATGCAATAAAATTTATTTTGAATTGGATCACTGAATATATTAGTCGACAAAACAGATAAAAGGTTATTTGTTTTTATGAAGTCTATAGGGTTTACACCTTCAACATAAGAAATATCAAATAATAACCATGAAAATAAATCATACGATTCTTGAAACCAATTATTATAACCTTCTGAAATAAGTACATCCATAAGGTTAGACAAATCAAGAATACCAAGATTACGATCAACTTCACTAATTTTAAATGCATGTATGTTTCCTTCATTCCTTAAAGCTGCTGCATCTCGCTTAGCTTTTACCAATACGTTTGCATATGAATCATTTTTTTTGTTTGGATTTATTTTTGGAATAAAATTTTCTAAAATCTCACTTTTGGTACCGCGACCAAATCTGAAGATATTTTTTGTTATTTTCCATATACCCTCAAGAAACTGATCTAAAGCATGATTTGTCATACATACAACCAGAATAGGATTTTTAAGTTTGTTTGTATAATACATATTTTCAAGGATGATTTTTATAATTTCTAATCCAATGTAAGTTTTACCAGTACCAGGTGGTCCTTGAATCATGGCAAATTCTTTTATTAAAGCCCCTTTAAATGCGTCATATTGATTGATATCCATATTTAATACTTCAGCTGAAGGCCATTGATCATGTTTAAGAATATCAAATTCAATACCATTTATCTTGTAAACAGAGTTTTCAGCCAAATACTTAGGAAAAGATATAATTTTATGGCCATACACAATATACTCCTTCATTGGAAAATTTGTTTCATTCATATCTTGAAATACTCCCATAATATATCTATAAGGTTCATAAAATACTGAAAGTTCTACTAAATCTATTTGACTCCAATTTTCAACATTTTTATAACCAACAACATCAACACCAACCCTACCTCGATTTATATTGTAGGTTTCTACAACAATTCCTAAGGTGTATGTTTCAAATCTATCCATTGATAGTAATATCAAAGCACCATTTTTGAATTTTTCACTATTTTCATAGTCAATTTTTTTAGCACGATCAGGTGAATCAAATTCAAAAACAATCACAGATGATTTTCGAATAATGCAATGAATTTTTACATTGCTATAATACCATATCTTTTTTGATTCCAATACATTAAGATTTAAAGTATTTCTATTATTATACAAATAACCGTAAACATCTCTCACAATAGACACAAAATCTTCTCGTATAAGACGGAAAAAAGTGTCAAGGTATTCTTCACAATTTTTGTATGGACAATCCACTTTATTGGCACACAATGCAGATGGTTTTGAACTATGTAAATCCTCTTCAGTCGGATATAATGGAATCATTCTATAGTTTTTAAATGTACTTACACTTAATAAAGAATTCATTGAGTGTAACAAATCATTTTTTAACCAATCATCATCACATAATTTGGTATTTTCCTTTTTCATCATTATGAACTGATAAAACCTAAATAAAACAAACTTGAATACTATTTATAATGAAATATAAGATAAGAAATACATGAACATTAGATTTAACATCTAATTGTCCAACTGATTCCATTAATAATATTAGGAATTATTTACAATACACATAATTTAGTTTTTTTCTTTTATGAACAAAACTATAAAAACATATTAGCAGTGGATGAAACACAACTGAATAATTTAATCAAATCAATACAAAGACACGTGAAAAGTGTGACATCGTCCCTAAGTAATAATGCGTCATATTATGTGATAATATTCCTTATCAAGTATAATTAGATACCAAAAAAAAATTAAATAATGTACATATTTTAAATGAGATATAAAGTAACTTGTCTTAAATTCTAAATTTTATATACTTAAATATTAATTTGATTGCTGGAAAACCTCCTTTGAATAACTCTTATTTAATAAAAGTGAAATTTTAGTTTGTAAGTATTCATATATAAATACAATATGAGCGTTCAAAATAATTTACGTACATATTTATTGGTACTATTTAATTGTTTGGATCGAAATGATAAAATTATTACTGATAAAAAGAGTGACGCACCGAGTAAATAATAAAAGACGTACTGTATTCCATCCACAAATATATACAAAAATATTTTTATATTTATCTGTGGTTCCATCTAAGAGCGCACCGGGCGGCAGACGATTATCGGTCGAAACTCGCGCATGCGTCCCCACCACAGGCAGCGCTGCCGTCGTTCGCTCCGTCCAAGGCTGACCGTCTTGTTTATACAAAGCGAACTGTATTGTCACATCAGTTTAACCGCAGTACACTATTACAGCATAATACGATTTGTAATTCAATTCCGCCGTATACAAGACGGCGGCGACAGCGGCAGCATTGCCGTGAGCGCCATCGACTGCGACCAATCATAGAGTCTCAATCGATTGGATCAATCAGGCCAATCGATTGGATCAATCAGACCAATCGATTGGTCTCAGCCAGCGGGTCCGACCATCGGTCCGCGATTCATTAGGATGCGCCAAAACGGTGTGCTATTAGATGGAATAGAATATAATTTTAGACGTGTCTATTCACGCGTAGTATAATCACAGATTACATGAAACCAGATGATGCATTTCTCGATTTACTGATAACACGAACCTATCTCAATGCAGTAGGGTCAAATTATTATTCCAAATACTTCTCATATATTTGTTGACAAGTGCAGGTATTTTAAATATTTTAAAAATACTTTTTTTTTCATATTTTATTCAAGAATACTAAATACTATTTTTCTCTTTTTCTATATTATTTACACATCAAGAAGTAGTGACTCTTTTACAAACTTTAAAAATATTTCTCTGTGTCATACTACAAAGACAAAAAATTAAGAAGAAAAAAATTAGGAATTCAAAATTAAAAAAAAATAAATTTTGGTCTGTGATAGTAGATTTATCATAATATTCTTCACAAATTCAATAGTAAAAAAATAAATAAATACATAGGATTATGGGCAATATAACAATATAACTAAGTTGCACAAAATAATAAAAACATTTCCACTTTTTAAAAATATTTATTTTAATTAAAAACTTAAAAACCTTTCTGTGTCCTTCGGTAATGTAAAGTAACTCAACACATTCAAATGTACCGAACTTTTGTTTGTACAGTATTTCACGTCACATTTTCGGTACCTATGCAATACTACTCTTAAAACTCTTCATCACTTAAATGAAAAACCACACAAAAATAGGTGCAAAAATCAATAGTGAATCAGTTTTCTGTTTGAAATAAATAAAAAGTTTCACCGACTCAGTGTACGTAAAGCACTGAACTCTATTCAGAGTAATAGAGTATACAATATCTGTATAGAGTTCAGTGACGTAGAGCAGTAAAAAAATCACAAAGGACAGGAATTCGGCACGAGTACGGCTGAACGGCGTCAAAAGTCAGTGATCCACAGTTAATTTCTCATAAACTTATTTTCCCTATTCGTGATGACACTAATTTAAAGTAGGTTTTGTTTGTTTACATTTTTGAGAATATTAAATGGATCGAATAGGGAGTGCATCATCTGATTTCATATAATCTGTGGTATAATTGAGGGGTTGAGCGCCACTGGGATAATGAATAAATATATAATTTTGTTTAAAATTAAAAATATTCTAATGCAACACTGGTGTGACAGTATATTTTTACCCCAATAAATTCCCCCCCCCCACGGTAAAAATATCATGTGATTAATTCCCCCCTCCCAAATAAATTAAAATATACCCTATATAGTATAAAATATATCCTATAGTATACGGTTAAAATGCTATTTTTACTTCCCAGACTAACATTTAATATGAGAGTCCCAGAGTCATTTAATATTGAATTTGCTGATAAAATACAAGTATTTTGGCCTCTTTACAGTAAATTGCATACAAATTATAAAATATTGATAATAAAGTCGAAATATAAAAAAAAAAAAACAATAAATTACAATTTAATGTCAATTGCATAAACAATGGTGTTTTTACTCATAACAATAATCAGTGTGTCATAAAAATATTACTATAAGCAGAGTTTATAGTAACATATTACGTACAAATTAAAATTATAAGAAACCATATTTTTATTAATATTGTTACATAATTGTTTAAAACAATTTTTTTTGATAAAACTAATTCAAATAAATAATATAGGTACTAAATTATTATTAGTACACTTATAATACTCCAGGCGTTTATTAATTAATTAATTAATTTTTTAATTAAATATATTTATTTAATAAAGTTATTTACTATAAATATAAATAATGTTTATGTATTTTTATATTATTTTTCGTAATTTTACTATAACAGAGAATATACGACCTTATCCAGAAAGTGCATGGTGGTGCCTATTCGAAATTATCAGAAGGTATACAGCGTATCCCGCTGTATACCCTCCACTACAGCATTGTTAAAAATTATTATGCATTATTATATAATATAATTATACAGCAAAATCAATATTTCACAATTTTGTGAACAGTAGACAGTGAAATAATTAATTCGAAATATTTTAAAATTCAAAACTCAAAATACTATTGTCACATTAAATTTACAATTTGAAATATATTATAGTATATAATTACCTCTTTTAATTTATCGGGGGTAGGGGTAATATAATCATATGATATTTTTACGGTGGGGGTAAATATGTTTGATGAGTAAAAATATCCCGTTACATCGGCCTATTTTTGTTTTCTTTATTTTAACACTAGATGGCAGCACTATATGTCGTCGAATACCTATTTTAAGTTTTTTGATAATGCAACTCTGTGTTGGGTAGGCTCATAAACCTTAAACTAATACACTGACCTCTCTTATAGAGTAGCTCTTATAGATAGGCTACTATTGTCATATTAAAATACTTCATGAATTCTATAAAGATCTAAAAATAATAATAATAGATTGTCACTTTTTAAAAATTGTAATATTTTTGATTGTTAATTTTATGTATTTAGTAACTTAAAATATGTGATATGGGATTTTATAAAAGAAATATTAAAAGATTAATTTTTTTTTTTTATTAGTGAATTTATAGAAAATACCACCAGAAGATTATGGTTTAAAATATATTTAAAATATTGTGATTTTATTATATTACAATAAAAATAAAAGAAAGAATTGTTGTTTATTTATTAGATAACTTTGAAATAACATCCTTTATTTTTAATAAAGGTTAAAATTGTAAAATATTATCATAAATTATAATTATTTTTATTTCAATATCTGATCTAAAAACATGTTTTATAGTTAACAATAACTATGTGTGAAGTGGCCAATCCAACACAAATTTGGAGAATTTTACATGATTTATTCCAAAATAGCTCTTAAAATTATATCTTAGATCTATCAATATTTAATAATAAAAAATAATTAAATTCATTTTTTTTTTTAATATTGATTTATTTAATCAAATTTTCAAAGAAATTAAAAAGCTGTATTATTCTCATTAATCATTTGTTGGAAATGGCCACTGTTACACTCAACCCCTCAATTTTAATACAACAATACTATTACAATGGCCAATATAATATACAGTGTCTGGTATTCTACCTAAAAGTCTGGTAAAATATATCTGTATAAATTACACACCAAATACACAGTATAAAAACAATAAAAAGTAAAATACTTAAAAATATTAAATAAATTTTAATATTACTAACATTAACCATTATATTAAAAATAAATCCTTAGCCTATAACCTTGGCCGTAGCCTAATATTATTTTATACTTAAGTTAAAAACGTCTACTAAAAATTACTCTTCAATGCTTCGAAAATCCAAAAATTTCAGTTTGGTATTAATAATAATAAAAAAAAGGGCATACTTTGCACAATGGGTGGACCACTGTTGTAGGTGAGAAGTTGGGGGGTAGAGGGGAACTTTAATGCATATCTGTATGTAACATTTATTGTTAACGAAAAATGAATTTTGGTTATACATGTTTTGAAAGACCATAATATTTAAGATTTTAAAATTATACATTTTGTATATTTTCTCACTTTTCCCATTTATTATGAAAACTCCTGGAAAATCAAAAAATGGCCTCTTTAAAGTACCACTCCAGTCAGATTTCCTTTCAGAAAAAGTGCTATAATTTAAAATCTGAGCAAAATTGGTAGTAGAAAAGTTGTTCACAGAAAATAATAATAATAAAGAAAAAATAATTATTGTAAAATCAATACATTCCGCGCTCCGCTCAGTATCTAAAATGTATAGTATAGAAATATAAATAGCATAATGGCATTGTTTAAATTATGTTAAGATTTTTTATATGAATATTATTTAACTTTGAATTTTTAAAACTGAAATAATTGAAAGTATCATTTAAAGCAAATTTAATTTTAAGATAACTTGTACAGAATTTCACATCCATGTTATAGAAAAACCAGGGCTCTTAAAACAAATCAAAAAGTCTAAAATATATAATATTTCAATGAATGAATGTTAATTTTTAAAAGATAAATTAAGTATACATTTATAGTATTATGAATACTATGAATGTCTATACTTTTTTTTTAAAATTATATGTATAATTTGTGTACATTAAATAATAATGAAATTATTTATTTTTTTTTTTTACAAAATGTCCATATTATTTTAGTTAACAGATTTTAAATACCTTATTTAACAATAATTAGAAAAGAGTCGTTGCAAATTATTTTAGTAAATGTATGTACTTGGACTTTTATGGTAACCTATACTACAAGACAATCTAAAAACATATGGTCAATTTTAGGTATTTCACATAATTTACGAATTGATATTTAAAATTTTTTTATTATTTAACAAAACAATAATAAATGCAGATAAATAGTGAAATTTTAATTTTTAACTTTATTCAGAAAATATTTTTAATGTAATAATATACCTACACATCACATGTACATATATATACATATATACATATCACGTGAGATAACTAATAAGTATTATTCTTATTATTATTATATAATATTTGTATTATTATAAAAAAGACTTATTTAAGACTGATGTAGTATTTTATGGTTTACCTAACTGAGTAATTTTTAAAAGAGAATTGAAGAAGTGGAAAATTTATGTTTTAGTACATAACGGGTAACAGTTATGTTTTTATGTAAGAATTAATTTTTAAGATTACTACATCTCCTGCCAAGAGGATCTGTTCATGCCTATAATACCAATATATGCTTACAATTTTAAATAAGTAATAATAAACTGACTATCACTATATTATGTTTATGGAATAAATGGACATAAAAAATGTTTATTTATGAACTCTTATCACAAACATCTTATAAATAATATTCCCTTATTTTCTTAAGTTAATAGAATAACAAAACAGTTGGCTAAAATCTTTCTTAACTGCCCCCTCACAAAATTAAATTTTTTTTTTAAATTAATGTGCTTTTCGATGTTTAAGATGAAGGCACAAAAATTTTTTAGAAATTAGGTATTACTGCAAGAATTACAGTGATTTGATATTGCCGATTGTATGGTAAATACTAAATAGTATAACAAAAAAATTATATGCCCAGTCTTGTATATTGAGGTTTAGTAGGTGAAATTAGTGCCCAAGTAAAGCACTAATTTCCTTACATCAATATCAGATTTGAATCCACATTGTGTAAAGAATATCACACAGCGACAGTCAATCTAGCAAGTGAAACTAGTGATTCACACCTGGCACAGTAGTTTGGTTACCAAACAACCGGCAATGTCAAATTGCTACAACTTCTAAAATGACCATTTCCAAAAAATAATTTTTGAACCATCATCCGCATTGAAAAACAAATCAATTAAAAAGTAATAATAATGTAATTTTTAAAGGTGTGTTTAAAGTAGATTTGTTCCAAACAGTTATCTATTAACAATAATTACATCTTATTATATTATGTGTTACATGAATACATAAATTATTATTTAAATTAGGTAATATAAAATTTGGACACAAATAAATTTAAAAGCACTCATTAAAATATCAGTTTTAAAATTATAATTAAAATGAATTCGATAACGTTATTGCTTACATAGTGTTAAAATAATATTACCTTAATGTTAAGTTAAAACAATATTGGTCAGCTACAAAATTTACAAAATATCAGTTTAAATATTAAGCCCAGTACCAATAATTACTGACGTAACCCATTAAACTAATCAGAGTATATTTTTCAATAATTCAATACTTAAAATCAAAATATTATAGTTCTATATAAATACAACTAATTATTAATACGCAATTCGAAAAACAAAAACTTTAAAGTAAAGAACAAATGACAATAAAAACGAACAAAATTGATTACTAAAAATGGTTATCATATGAACATAAATAATGATAGTACCTAACGGGAATTAAGATGGTAGCTACTATCTTTAATCTTGATTCGTGGTAGCTAACCTTTACATTGTATAAAAATAATATTGTAAAGCGTATTATATTTTATTTTAATTAAATACGTTATAATACATAATATATGCCTCAGCGGTTAAACATTGAAAAAAAAAAAAAACAAATAACAGTACAGTAGTTATAGATAATAATATAGATGATTATATACATTTTTTAATAATAGTATAAACATTAACAACAAAAGGAACCTCGGGAAGGCGAATTATATAGCGTATAGTCCAAAAATTATATTATAATATGGATGTGATAAATGATAATACGTTTGTGATTTAAATGGTATTTTAAAGTTTATTTCAATTTATATAAAATAAAAATGCCGAGCTGTATAATTTTTATATCAGAAAATTCACTATCTGAAGATGCTAACATTACTTTTCACAGGTATACTTTTTAAAAAACTATATTTCTGTTTTATACAAACAAATCATATTATTTTCTACTAAAAAGAAAAAGTTGTGTAAATAGTTGAAACCTGTTTTTGCTACATAATATTTTCAAACTATCTAATATTGTTAAATGAATATTGGAATTCAATTAAGTTTGGTAAAATTTGGCTCAAATTAATTCAATTAATTAATATAATCTCAGGTTTATATTATATTATTTACTACAAATCACGGGCTATTAATCAATAGTATGAAAATAATACAAATTTATTATTTAAAGCAATTATTATTATTGTTTATATATCCATGATTGTACACTGTACCTACATTTTATTTTATGCAAGTGGTTAGCCTGCGAAATATACACTAACTTCAATTACTAATGCTATAGATGAGATACGGAACGGCCTCTCTATGGGTGGGTACTGAGTCGCATAAAGATCGATCTGTAAAGGGAAGTCTTCAACTCGCCGTGTCGTTTCGTTTCGTGTGTTTTGTTCTAGACACGCTCCGGTTTGATTACAAGAAAAAATTTGTATCAGTCGTTCTACCAACAACCAACATTATCACTCACAATCACAGTTAATTTACCATTCACCAAAAATGCGCGGTAATTAGTATCGCACATTTTTCTCAAAATATAATAACATTATTATATTATATTATTTATGAATAGATATTTATTATTATTTTGCCATCAATATTTCATCGTCTCTACACTGTCTTCAGGTTTTTTACCATGCATACTATTTTCTGTCGAAAAAGGCGATGTCATTGAATTATTACCTAAACAATATCCACTTTATTAATATAGTTTATTTGTATTATACGCTTAGCTAATGATAATAATAAATACACCAAAATTATTTTAATTAATTTTAGTTACTAGTAGATTGCTATTTTTAATAGTTACGTTAAATAGTGTCTACTGGTTTTACTAGTAGATATTGATTTTAAAATCAATGGAACAACCTATATTAAAATTACTTGGTATTGTACTTACTAGTACTAGTTTGTGATTTTAATTATAAAAAAATATATTGTAAAGTGTTTAATACAACAAAATTTTTGCAGCAAGTGCATACATATTTCAAAAAAATGTAAATTTTACGATTACATAATATAAGTTATTATTTACCATTACAAAGTTAACATTGAATTTAAACTAGTATTAAAATTGAATATTAATTCACATTTAATTTTAATTTATTATTAAAATAAAAACAATAAAATGACGTTACCAGCTATTATCAGCACGTCCAAAAGTTAAGTTTATTCAATTCTGTTGTATCTGTGGTAACGTCTTAGTAGATAAAATACTATTTCATACGAAACGAAACGACACGGTGAGTTGAGGACTAACCTAACCTTACTAATAATCCTGTAACTAATCAACTAACCAAGTCTGTAACGTTTTGATGGCGTGTAAAAAATTTTGAGTTTCATAAATGATTTGTATTTTAAAGATAACCGTGGTTACCAATACATTATATTATATTTTCTTTGATTGCAATGATTACTGATCACATTATCAAGACGTGTCAGTTAATAATAATAATATATAAATATTTGAAAAAATATTCGAACTACGATTTATATTATAATATTTGTTTGGCCTTTAATGATGGCTGCAAAAAGGGTAAGGCAGAAAAACTTTACTTAACGAGAAAAAGCGACATTAATGGAATTAATAAATCCACATTAGGACATAATTGAAAATATTTGGATATTATTATTTGTTAACAGATTAACTTAATTATAAATTGCAAGTAATAATTAATTAAAACGTACACGAAGAGAGGTAGGTTAAAGGTGCAATTCCTATGCACGTGTCTGCAGACGTGCGAATTAAATTTCAGCCGCGCGGCTTGGGTACTGATTCTCTTGTGCGCGACTGACGCAGTGTCACGCCAGACCATTTGCTGCAATTTTCTATATGCAACAAGACACATTTTGCTACAGTAATTATCTTTTTCTTTTTAAAAATTTCTTTAAACAAGAAACAGAAATTAATTTTAAATCTATTTCTTTTACAAGAGTAGCTGAAGAACAAGCACTTATTAATAGAGTAGTGTTAAAAAAATTCAAAATTTGTGTTCAGCATTGAAAATGCTTGGATGTTGACTAATAAGATCTGCTAATTTTACGTTTTCTTCTGGAGAATAACACAATGTTATCAAAGTTGTATGGGTAAGATGTATACACAGCCGCGTGCGTCTGCGATTAAACACCTCTCGGAGCGGTCGCGCGTAGTAGTGTACACAGGATTTTACTTCGGTTAGGGTTTTTATTATAGATTAATCAAAGACTCATTGGGGGTTCGCCCTCCCCGCTCTATAGCTGATCTAGTAAATAACACCAATATTAAAACACAAAATAATTCTTCCAAATTCCTATTTTTATATTAATTGTCTTAACTTTTAAAATCTTATAGGTACTTAATTTGATAACTATAACATTTTTTTAGTAATAACATACTATATACTATAAATAAAATAATGAATTAACTAAACAATATTCATAAGGTTTTAAAAGCAACAATTTTATATTCATTTTAAATAAATTTAATATCATGTTTATTAAAGCCAGAGCCTGATTGTGGAATTCAACTTTAGCAATTAATTTCTTCCATTGAAAATGTATTGTTAACAAATGAGTACAAAATTCCAAACAAAAAGCAGTTTTTACAATAACAAATTAAAAAAAATGGCAAGATACATTTAAAAATAAACAACATCATAAAACCAATTCATTCCTTGCTTCACTCAGAATCTAAAATATGTATTAGATTGTAATTTGTAAGTATATATATTACATATTCTTGAGTATTAATCTATAGAACAAAATAGTAGATAGAAAGTAGGTATTATACTAACTTTAATAACTTAATCCATTTGAGCCTAAATTTTCTAATTGTAGATAACTTAAAAATTTACAACCGTTTTTTTCACTATAATATTTACAATTAAATGCTCAGCATTACATATATATTTTATTATTTACTATATTATTATATTGTTATTATCTTTTTTTTTGTGTCCAAACGGTTTTTGTCCTATAGAGTATAGACCCTATATCAATGTAGAATCCAATTCAAAATATGGGCTATTTGTCCTTGTAGAATAATACATCAAGAAAAATCTCATTTGAGATTAATTTGCGAGATATTTTTGTTCATGTGCTAATCAAAAATGCCTCCCCCCTCTCAAAAACTGAAATGATTTTATTGCGGGGAAGAGTGTGGTGGTAGTGACTATGATATTAATAGTATGGTTTGATATAAATTGTGCAGTACGAAAAAGTATATATTCCAGATACGTATTTTTTCGAAATTCGCGGAATTTTCTATTTGTGTGTTCTTTTACGTGGTTTCGTGGTTTGTATTACATTATTTTTTACTATTATTTTGAGAAGTTGAATTAGAGCGGGTTTGACTTGAATGGAAAAACTTTTTGTAGTTGTTACTATTACTAAGATTTTTCACGTAGTATCATACGATTTTTCTACAAAAGAAATTACAAAATTTACTAAAAAGTTAAATATATTCCAGTTGATTTAACTAATTTGTATTAAAAAAAAATTCACTACCATGATATTAGATAAATTGTCTTCAGTAAAACATTGACAGTTTGGGCTCAAAATATTTATGTACATAGAAAATGATCTGTCTACGTCCACTGAAGACACTGAAGTTATTGGGACGTATTCCATACGTAAATAATTATCTAAATTAAGATTACTATTTATTAAATCATCATCATCATTACCATCAAAAGAGACATTTATATAAGTAAAAAAGGCAAAAAAAGAGTTGATACTGGGGACGGGTGTGGTCACTATTGTAAGTGGGTAGTGAGGAAGGTGGGATACATAAAATTATTTAATTTATACCCTTAACCAACGGTAAACCATTGATAACGAAAAACGATTCGGAGCGAAGTTCGGTTATTCATGTTTTTAAAAGGTCGTAATATTTACGACTTTTGTCAACAATTACTTTTTTATTAGAACAATATTTATAGTAGAAAACAAAAGCTATACAAATTTAAATCAATGAAATCGCTGTGCCATAAATCGGAAAAAATCATATATTTCGTTTTTTTGATTTTTCCCAATTGGCCATGAAAAGTACTTTAGAAATCAAAAACAAATTATAATGTCAGTGTTAAAATATTATAAGCAACAAAATCGACTTCTTGTCATTTTTAGATTAGAGCAATATTTCTGGTAGAAAACATCGTGTTAACATAATATAAACAATGAAAACGGTAATGCCGAGGTGCGCCGTAAATATTTACCGTTTTACCTATACTTATCTTCTGACTTTTTCCTAATTATTTCGGAAACTCCTCAGAAAATCGAAAAATGACCTCCTCGATGCACCAATGAGAGAAAATAACCTTTTCAGAAAAGATGCTCAGTTATATATAGTTCAGAGCCAATTTTCCGGTAGAAAAGTTGTCCATAGACAAAAAAAAAAACTCACATCATAGTAAAATCATTAACCAATCTACGGTACGTTCTGAATCTAATACCTACATCCATCATTTTCGATATTAAATGAAACACATTTTTATATAAAAATTATTTTTCTATTATTATTTAAAAAAAAAAGGTTTTTGCCTTCAAATCCGAACTCTATTTATCAGTTAGTTTCATTAATATTAGTGATAGAAGTATCTTAATTATATACATCATTAATTTAATTACAAATGTATTATAATAATTGAAGTTTCACTGTTTTCGGAAGAAAAATTTAGCCCACAAAAGGGGCAGCTGCCCACCCTGCTCCCTTGTGCACATACTTATGGTACTTACGTCAACCCTATAGCCAGCCGCATAGCCAGTAAATATAGTAATCATTACATCGACACTCACATATTATTCGCTTTTAAAAAAATATTTTCGATGATTTTATCTAAATAGATACTTATGGTTGATTTTAAATCTAAAATCTTAAATGATCGTTTCTACGCTACCTGAAAAACCTGGAAAATATCAGAGAAATTTAAATTTGTCATGGAAATTCAGGGAAATAAGAAAAAATATAGTAGTAATTTATAGCAGGTATCAAATCACGATTGTACCTAAATATGTATAACCATGTAAAGTATTCTATCAAACTTTAATCATTGAAAAATTCCAATATTGAATAAGAGCTTTAATTTATAGTTTCACACTACACACAGATTCATCACAGAATCATGGTACTAATCTAAAATCATAATTTAAAGTTTTTCGATCTTAAATCGTACTTATTGCATACCTACCTATAATGTATAACTAATATGATATTGATAACTGACTACTGAGTCATCAAAAATACATTATTACTGGTATTACAATATTAATTTAAATATTTCAAACGTGCAAAAACATTTAAAAAATGATTTTTCAATAATTTAACTCGATAAATATAAAAGTCATTTCCGTATACTCGTATACCTCATTCTATTTATTGTCTTTATATATTGCAGACTTACAGTTACAGAATTGTTTACTCAAATTACAAAATAGGTAAGTAACTAGATAATATATAAAATACCTACCTACTACCTAATATCTAGGTAATGTATAAAATAAATAGATATATACTTACTTTAACTAATAGGTTTATGTATCGCCATAATGTACACCATTAATGCATTAAATCCTCGAGTCTCACTGAAAAATATTGTCATATAATAGAATACAATAAAAGATTAGATAAGGTAGACATAATCAATGGCACTTAATTTAATATCAATCATCACATTGGTTATACACGTCTAATGTTTTCTTAAGATTATTACGTCTGAATAATTTCAAATGCAAATGAATAAAGCATGAACATTGAATACTAGAGTATTATAGTCCTCATGTATAGACTTTATAATGCTTAGTTTCTCATCGTTCTTAGATTTATTGTTTTGAATGTTATTGAATCGGTGGTTTTTAAGAGAAAGTACATAACAAAATGTTTAATAAAAGGTGAGTGATGAGTAGTAAATCACAAACGGAAATAGGTATACAAATATAGTTTCTACCTTATTTAACACACTGAAATTTCTGAGTTTTTGTAATTTGTTTCCGTAGACATCATTTATTTATGTAAGCATTTAAAATTCAATCAAACGATTTAATAATAAACTTGATCTTTATTTCAACATGTTCTTAAAAATATTAACAAGAAAAAGGAAACAGCCATGTGTAGGTTAGTTATCTCATAACAAATGAGATAGTTCTCTAGACAAGCAAAGAAAAATTTAAAAATAATGATGATAAAGGGGTACCTCAGTGTCGTATATGGAGCTCAATTAAGGAATAAATGGTTTAAAAATTATTATGCACCACAAAATATCTCGGGGGGTTTCCACGTCTCAAAACAAAGCAACAGTTATCATTTTTTTTTTTTTTTATAATTTCTCCCCTGGCAATTAAAAAAAAATAGTTTATAAAATATAATTAATAATATACAAAAAAAAAAAAAATTGATAAAATAGAATAATAAAAATATTAATGTGACTCCGTTGCTTCATTAGTGTTATTTATGATTTGTATAAGTCAAAATTATATAAAATTTGATTCCAGGTGTTCCACAATAACAATAATATTATAATTAGGTTATTTTATGGGACCATCAAAAAAAAAGAAATGTGTAAATAAAAATGAAAAACTATTTAAAAATACATAAATATTTTAATTAAGTACAGCCGCAAACAAACTGATTTTACCGTTGAATAATTAACAAATCGTATCGTAGGCAGAAGCGTAGTAAGGGGTTTTGGGTGTTTAAACCCCTCATTGCTTTTTTGCAATGTTTTAACCGAATAAATAGAATAAATGCATTCATATTATTGTATACTTCGTTAATTCTACTGTAAATTGTGAAATTTGTTTTCATAATTATGAAGATTTGAGATATCTCTAATCTTCGTGGTCATACTATGAAAAAAATAACCACGGTTTAAGATACACTTAAATCGTGTTAATAACGGATAACAGGATAAAATAAATTATTATTTATCTTTATCATGAGTACGTTATCATTAGTAAATTAGATGAACAAAACATTTCTAAAACTCGTCCAGAGACCAAATAGATTATTATTATATAATATTATAATTATTAAAATCATTTATCACGATTTTTTAACAAAACGTGAATTGTGGTTTATGACTAATCTAACAAGTAACGACTGATTACAATATTAATCACGATATTTGATACATTCATGTTTTTATATTCATAAATGTAACTGTTTTTTGGGAAATAATAATACATCCTGAAGACGTATTGAATCAATTATCATTGAAACATGAAAAATTCGTTTATTGTAAATTAACAGTAAAATATTTTAAGATTTATATTGTAGTATATGTATATTAATAGATATATATGTAGATAGATATCAATTGATTAATTTTATTTTTTCTATAGACATTAACCTGGTTCTTGAATGTTTCAATAAGAGTACCTATACCTAAACATTGACCGAAATAAGGAACGATAAACCATTACCAACAAAAAACGATTTTGAGCGGAGTTCGGTTGGATAATGTTGCTTTGTCAACAATATATATGTCATATTATGGTAAAATAATTACATATGCCTTATTTATACATTTTCTTTAATATTGTACCTATTTTTCCGTTTTTCCCGTATTTTTAGTACGTCCTCAGTCAGATTTCCTTTTAGAAAAAGTGTTATTGTAAATTGGAGCAATATTTCTGGTAGAAAAGGTGTCCACAGAAAAAAAGAAAATCGTCATTATATAAACCAATACATTCCTCACTCCACACAGAATCTAAAACTATAAAAAGCTAATAATATAATTCATACTTCAACTCCCCCTCCATTTCATAATCCTGGCTATTCCACTGATCGTAGGAGTGGGAGTAGGTATACTTAAGTAAGTGCAATATTGTTGATGACCGATCAGAATTATTACATTTATCAAAATTACTTTTACAACAAGCAGCAGACTTCGCGCATATACATAGACATCATAGACATCTTTTGTATTTAGTTTAACCTATTGTATATATTACCGCTTTTTTGACTATAGTCTTAATATTTAATATGTGGCTTATAAGCCACATTTATTTTTAATTTTTATGTATTATTTACGTCTTCTAGAATTGATATGTATTTATGTATTTTGTAAAATTGTTCTATTTTATCTAATCGATTAATATATTATGGACTATAATTATGTTAGATTAAGAACTCATGGACCTTCACATGAACATGTTCATGGGACCTATTATATTTTGAAAGAATAAAAATAAATAAATAAATAAAAATGAATAAATCAAAAAAAAAAAAATTTAAAAATTAGATTTGTTTCACGTAATCTTTTATTCAAACGATTTTCGTCAAAATATGATATTAAAATTTCTTTATAAAAAAAAAATACTACATTAAACTCAACATTTTTTTTTTTTACCACAAAGTAAAACTTAATAAACTTCAAACAATTTTACCAGAGTATCTACCGAATAAAAATGAAATACGAAACCCCCAAAATTAAAATGTCTATAAATAAATCAAAAATTGATTAGATTTTTTGAAAATTTTATCACGTCTAGAAAAAGTAAATATAAGTTGTCTATTTAAATTTTTAATCCATAAAGTTGATACGAATATTTTTAACAAAAATATTAAAATTTTTATAAAAAGCTTAAAAATGCCACAAATTTTTTAAAATTTGACCATGTTTAGAAAAGGCAAGTATAAATTTCTGGTCCAAGTTTCAAGTCTTTACGAATATTATTAACTGAATTATAACAAATAACAAAATTGAAAAATAATAAAAGCATTATTTTCGTAAATTTCTTGTTTTTCTTACTTTTTCCTTTTTATTAGGAAACTGCCGGGAAAATCGAAAAATGGTAACCCTAAAGTACCACCCCAAGAATATTTTCTTTTGGAGAACGGTCTACATCGTATACAAAAAAAAAAAAAAAAACATCTTTGTAAGTCATTCTTCACTATACTCAGAATTTTAAATTAAAACCGATTGAATTGTAACGAATTGTATATTAATAATTTGTACTAACAATTTGTACAAAAAAAAAAAAAACACTTGAAACGTTTACCGCGTATTATAATCGTTTCGTACGTCCCGCAGTCCCCCAACGATAGCGGTACAGTTTGCGGGGGTAGGTACCGCGGATTTATAGGACATCGCACTGGCGCACTCGTGTTCAAAACCGGACTTGCGCCCTTCCGACCTGCCGCGGAAATAGTTTCGTTCGATATTATTATATTACACTATATAGGTATACCATATATCGGTTAGAAAGCCGGAATTGTCGTCCGTCCGTGTATCTTTTTTTTTTTTTTTTACAAATTGAAAACCGTACAAAACAACGTTATTAAATTATAACATAACATACAATATTCGATATTTTAGTCGGTTAAAATTAAATTTTATACCTCTCTCGAATATTATACGACCGTGTCGCTGTTTTACAAAATTTACTGAAAACAACACGAAATATTCGCACAGAAACGTACACCATCATATGGAATCGATTAAAGGTGAGTGATTTGTGTCGAGCAGGATTTACCGCTGCAGTAAATTTATAATATAAAAGCTTATTACACCTAATAATACATAGTATATACAGGTGATTAATTTAACCTGAAACAATCTTTATTTCGCCAAGTATTGATTTTATTCAAACACATTCGTTTTTTAAGAAACAAGCCGTTCTAAAATGTTACATTCCTAGTATTTTTTGTCATCATTATTTTTGGGGTCAAACCTACCTTTTCAATTAATTTTAAAATGCCCACCTATATTAAAAATTCCTTAAATATATGAAGTATTTATACAGGGTGATTTTTTTTATCATGAACCAGAAATTATCTCAGAGGATTTTAAGTGAATTTAAATTCTGTTTTTTCTAATCATTATGAAATTATTTAAGCTTTATTTTAAAATCATTTTTAATTTTTAACCCTACTCCATGTACCTTAAATAAGTGCATACTTTTGATGTTCAAATAGAAACTCCCTTTTAAACACAGATTTGAATAGAGAATATTTGTTTAAAAATTTTTTTATGCATAACACTAATATCAGATTTAACGTTTATGAGTTATACAAATTTAAAGTTTAGACTGGAGGAATAGGAAAGTGTAATAAATTACCTATCTATGACATTTCAAAACTCCTCCGGTCTAAACTTTAAACTATTATAACTCATAAACGGTAAATCTGATATTAGTGTAATGGATATCGAAATTTCTAGAAAAATATTTTCTATTCAAATCAGTTTTCAAAAGGGGGGGATTCTTATTGTAAAATAAAAAGTATGCAAGTATATTTCAGGTATATGGAGTAAGGGTAAAAATTGAAAATGATTTTAAAATAAAGCTTAAAAGATTTCATAATAATAATCAGAAAAAACAGAAATCAAATGATTAAAAAAAAAATCACCCTGTATACATTCAAATACATTTTTGATTTTAGTCAATTCGTTATCAAGATATTTCACTTTTAAGTTTAGATAGAGTGAGAATAGTGTTGCTTCATTTGTGTGGTGGTATGGCGTCCGACGTTTTTATAATGCTCCATTATATACTCATCCCAATTACCTAAACTTAAAAGTAAAATATCTCGTGAACTGGTCGACAGTAATAAAAAATTTCAACACCAACATTTATTTAAACTATACTACTTAAACTATTTTTTCTGTGGTATTTTTATAAACAATATTTAAGGTTTAGGTGGTGTAGTAAATTATTGCACAACTGTCTGTATATAATAAATGCTAAAATACCTATGTTGTTGTATAGGTAATTATTGTAAGTGCCTATTTAGAAATAGTTTACGTATAGATATGTATTATAGAATCTACGATACATGATACATAATAATATTGTGTATTAATATACAGGAAATGACGTAAACCATCGGTAATAACAGAAAAATACAAATGCTGCAGTTCTTATAACAGGTACACTTTGAGAGTAACAGCGACGAACACGTAAGGAAAATATAGAATGACGGCCCAGGTAGCTCTGCCCGAAAGGAGAATCGACCAACCAGTGGGAATCGATTTGGTCGTATCGTATTACACGGTAAATGATGATCATATTTCGAATAATTTAATTTTCTAGCCGTTTTTAGGCGAATAATTTTCGCGTATAAACAAATACCAAACCGAATAATTATGTGGTCCGCGAGATAAAGTAATAATTACGAGTTTATTTCGAGGCGTCTGCACGCATAAAGAAAAAAAGGGGCAACCGGGGAAACTTTAAATAAAAGCACAAATAAACATCTGTATAACATAGGTAGGTTACGTCGTTTTCTCCACCGAATATACCAATCATACCTACAAAAAAATTTATTTTTTTTTTTTATAGGTACTTATATACTATTTTCCAGAATGGATTGACACAATCAAAAATGCCTGTATAGGTTTAAAAATTACTTTCGTATGAGTACTTATTTTGTAAACCTCACAAACGTTTTTTTTCGCATCATTTTCATGCGTCATGCGGATTATATTGCAGCAGAATCACGATCACCATATTATTACCTATTATGCAATGTTAACATTTCATTAACATGTACCTAGGAATTAGGATTGCTAGTGAAACATTATCATTTATAATTATAAGTGGCGCTCCCAAGGGAATAGGGGATAGAGGGCTTTAGCTCATTGGTCATATTAAAATACAAACAATTAATGCAAATCCTATTAAGCATTGAAAACACGTATAACTAATGGAATAATAATTAGAACTATTTATCACGTGTATACGTGAAATTAAAAATTTCGTGTTATAAACCATGTAATCCGGAATGCACGAATGCGAACATGTGAAAAGATAAATACCTATACGTGAATATAAACTTTAAAATAATCAAATAAATGTATTTTAATTTTTTTTAAATATAAGTCTTACTCGATCAAAAAAATAACATCCTTTTATTGTTGTATATTATACAATTTACAATATGCACTCTTACAATTTTAAAATTAAATTTGACACCGTTCAAATCAAAAATAACCCCAATGTACCAACTAGATTTAGAATGCTACAAAAAGTTTTGTTGTAATTTTTTGATTGAAGCAAGATTTCTAGTAAAAAATTAAAATCAAAAATAATTTAACTTAATGATCACGTGAATATAAATCACGGAATTCATATATTTTTTTAACTCACGTGAGTATGATCACGGAATTCACGTGAATATGCAACATAAATATCCGTGTACCCGTGACACGGATTCATGTGTGCAATGAAACACGTATTTGCACGACTATTATATTACTCTACTAAATAAAAATAATAAATTGTACCTTGCTACTACACAATAATTATTTATTCAGAAAAATAATTTCAAGAAATTGGTTTTATATAATAGATGTAGACTGTAAATATATTTTGCTTGTATTATTATATACAATTTTAATTTAATATGTTTAGCCATTTAGCCGTAATATTGTAAATATTAAGATAAACAATCTACAATGATCGAATCATAATTCAAAATTTAATTTTTTACCTAGCTTTATATTTCCATGTATTATAATATTTTATTATTAAAAAATGATAATTCTTATTATAGCAAATAAGGTAGGTAAACATTTTTCACAGAGAAGGGTAAGAGGTTTAAACCCCATGAAGTTAGAAAAATGCGTTGAATACTAGTATACTATTGTTCAAAATGTTTAACATTTAAGATTCTGATTGCAACGAAGAAGCTTATGGTTTTACAATGATGTTTATTTTTATTTTAACTGTAAACAACTTTTCTACCAAAAATATTACTCTGATTTATAAGTGTAGCACTTTTTCTAAAAAGAAATCTGGCTGGGAAGTTAATTTTTTGATTTTCCCAAGCAAATGTGAAAAACCGGAAAAAAACATTATACAACAAATATTTTTTAAGAAAATATATAATGCTTAGTTAATTATTTTACCATAATATGACATTATATATCGTTGACAAAGCATCACTATCAACTTAACTCCGCTCAGAATCGTTTTTTCGTTATCAATGGTTTATCGTTGCTTACAGTTATACATTAAATTCACTTCTATATCCTACCTCCTCAACTTCTAACCTTTAACAGTAGCTACACTCACGTGCGAAGTATATCCATCTTTTTCATGGGTGTCCGCAGAATTTTTTCCAGGGAGAGGGCAAAAATAATTTAAAAAATAAATGACGATTTTGTTTTATAAAATAAATTCTTAACTTTAATACATCATAATTACTGCAGATATTTTTACTTAAATTGATTATTTTCCGTTAAATACAAATACGTGAACATTTTCTATCAAATTGTGTTAGTGTTTTTTCAATTAATTGGTCCTTCTCTAAATTTACTTGTTCGCAATGAACACTTAACATGCATAGCCCACTTAGTCTATGTTCACTCATCGTTGATCGAAGCCATGTTTTAATGCGCCTTAAAGTACTAAAAGAACGTTCTGTTGTACAACTTGTAGCTGCGAGGAACATAAATATTTCCAAAACAGTTGTTATACTCGGGAAAAATGTACAGTTACTTTGGCGGATTTCAGTGTTTGTCTAAAAATCGAATTCCTGCTGATAAATTGTTTTATTCCAGAAATATCTTCAGTTTTATCAGCAATTACAAAAAAAGTATTTGCAGTGTTAGCTAAATTAACTATTTCATTTATAATTACTTTTCCACATATAACTATGATATTATTTTTAATATAAGATGATGTATATTTGGCATTACTCTAATGGCACATTCTTATTTCCCTTGTAGTTTTTTTAATAACATAGAAAAAACGAAAAAGTTTACGGAAATAATGGTTTTATTATTTTTTGTTTTCACTTGAAAATAGGAGCAAGGCTTTTAGAAGAAAAGTTGTAAACAAACAGAAAAAAAATATATAATTAAGCACCCACAGTAAAAACAATAGAATACATGATCTGCAGAAGCTAAAAAAAACGTATGGTATTAGGCCCACAACGAAACATTGGGCCACTCGATTTTTAAATCCCCATGGGCCGCCACAGATTTCAGTTCAGGATTGTAACTCTATTGTAACATTTGGAGACAATCTTCTTCAGCTCCGTCACCTTTATTCACAGGTCACAATAGTGGAGTTCTTAAGTTTTTACTTTCTATCACATTTCCCAAATAAATTGATCACCTCATCTATTCAGCATGCCCGTACATCACTATAAGCAAAGCTAGTGTAATCATAAGGCACTATAAGAAATTACCTAGAGCTCAGAATTGTTCAGACCCCAAATATTTTTTTAGTCTACCATCACAATCAAAACATCAATATTTTTTTTACAAATTATAATAAGACTATTTACCTTAAATTAACTAGAAACGTCTTATTAAATAACTAAATGTTGCACTTACAAATATTTTAATATAATTCGAAAAAAAAAAAACGTTTTATCTACTTTTCATATGAATTATATTGCATCATGTTAAAAATATAATAATAATGGAGGTAGGAACTCCATGATAAATTAACTTACTGGGGTGCCTATAAAATCATTGCTTTTAGACACATTTTTCCATTATTTGGATAATTACTTAGAACTACGGTAATAAATAGGAAATTAGATGAAAGATAGATAAATAATAATGTCTTATTACCTAATATAGAAACCATCATAACTAATATACATAATATAAGCTTATAATATCGCTAATAACTTCACAAATATTATTTTCATACCTGATAATAATACATGTATGTAACCTGCAGATTAAATTTGAATAATTAACATTTAACTTTTATATTATAGGTTATGACTGTTGCGCTAGTCAGTGGATTTGGCCTTCTGGGTTTTCTAGCTTATTGGATTAGAAAAGCTTGTTCGTAAGTACCAAAACATAATATAGGTAATACAATTTATTAATATACATAGAACTTGTACATCTTTTTTTCTTTTTTTTATAAAAATACCTTTAAATATTATACAATTTTGAACCTAACCAATAATATTTTTGAGTTAAATAATTGCAATAAGAATAAGGTATTTAATATTATACTATATTGAGTCAATTAATAAACAATATTAAATACATAAAAATAAATATAAATATTAAACAAAACTTTGGTAGGTCAACATTTTAGGTGTGTCATAAGTACAAGTCTGTGAGTAGTGTCGTGCCTAGCAAAATCCACACCCGGTGACAGAAAAATTTACCGACAAGCAAAAAAATATTTAATTAAAAAACTTTAAACATTATCATAGGCGTTCCTGTAGTCACAGTGCCCGGTGCGTGAGCACTTTTCGTACTCCCATAGGCATAACTCTGCTAGCAGGATATGATTATTAATTAGGGAACTAATTAGGTCCCGGATTAGTATGCAAGTTTATTGTATTTAATAAGTATTACTAATATTATTTCTATCACATTTTTATGCTCAAATTTCACGTTTTCATAGAAAATACCGGGTTTTAAATACCCCTTTTAATGAATACTGTAAAATAATAGAACTCTATAGAAATATGCAATTTATATGTATTTGTATTCCAGTATACAAAAACGCGAAAAAAATTATTACCTTTAGAATCTATACATTACAAAACGTCGACATTTTTAATCAAAATTATTTTAGATAAATTGTAGTAGAATATGCATTTGCATAAAAATTCGGTTAATAACTTTTTGAGCTTTACTACCACAAAAACATATTATGTTTTCCGAGGAAAGGAACGAAACGCGCATATACCTATACGAATATGTAGTATTTGTACCCTTATTAATTTTAATTTATAATAACCTAATAAAATAAAAAAAAAAAAACACATTCGTGAGCAAAAGCTCCCTAACTAGAACCGATTTTTCCTCAATTATTTTGTTTTAAAGAAATATTCTTTGTAAAACAATAAATAACTAAATACTATAATAATACAATAGATACTTTCAATAGAATACCATACTACAATAATAATTATATTGTACTAGGTACTTTCAAAAAAAATTTGAGCATAAAAACGGTAGAGTAGGAGGTTAAAAGGTAATATTTCAACATGCACATCTTTGACAGTTGTTGGCATTAACAAGTAACGTCACGCAAAACAAATTTCGCCTAACCTTGTTGGGGAGTCTCTAAGGTTTGCTCTTTACCTCTTACGGGAACTTTCACGTGGATGTGAAACATAGAACTAATTGTGGTTGGATAAAGTGCAGAATATGTGACAAGAGAATTCCAATGAGACTTGATTTTAAGCTCTACATAAGTGTAATGAGACTGACTATGTTGTATGGATTGGATTGGAATGTTGGGTGTTGGGTATATTTGCATTTTGTCTGTTTAAAAGTCTGACTGAGCTATAATAAAGTGCACGTATAGTTCATTATCGGCTTATAAGCGCAACACGCACTCACATATAATATAAACATGAAATGTACAAAAACAATTCGATATTTATTTGCCCAAGTATCTAATTTTAATTTAACTTGCTCTATTTTTTTTTTTTTTTTGAAATTAATTAGTAAACAAATAAAACAATTAGAGAAAAAAAAAAAAAGAATATTTATTTCAAGCATGATAAAAAGGTTCTTAGTACCTATTATATTTGTGTGATATTTTAAATTTAAAAAAAATATTATTGTCGTTGGCATTGATGTATTTCAACACTTTTAAAACAAAATAAACATTTTTTTAAACGATTTTATTAAAAATATTTAGTCATTTTATGTATTTTTTCCGAGATTTTTAGGTCATCAAGTTCCGGGCTCTAGTCACAACATAACCCATGTCTCATCATTACTTTCGAATCTTTGAAAAATAAATTTTAAGCATTTGATATTCTGCTTAGCAAATACTACATTTTTCCGTATCAATAATAAACACCAAAATTAAATAACGCCTAATTTATGCAGTACTCGTATCGTTTTTGACACGAGTGCGGCGCATGAATATAATAATTTATGACCGAATGCATGGTGTATGCATATTAACTTTTCGCCCACCCTACTGTCGTATGGCAACATTATAATAATATAATACAATTTAGTCCTCGGCACCTACACGGGAGCGTTTATATGTGTGGTCCAAAGTCACGGGTAGCGTTCGCCGCACGTGAAACTCGGAACGCACGCGATATTGTTATTATTCGGCGGGCTCCATTGTCCGTATATAGCGCAGATAATGACCGCGGTTAATTCCCACAATACACATTCGTTTATCGCGTAGTCCGTATTAAAATACGAAATAATATTGTCGTTGTCGATAATATATATCATGATTATAATATACGACGCATAAAAACCGTACACGCCTTCGCGCAATTATTATTAGGCGCCTACCTGCCTACCGGCGCGGGCAGTGCGTTACGCATAATGTCGTGGTTGGCGAACAGCAGCTATACGCGTACGATTTTATCCGTTTTGCCCAGTTCGCCGTTGCGTACGGACCACGACAGTAGTAATAATAATAACGCCACGCCGTCCACGGACACGGAGCCCAGACGACCGGTGCACATAGTCAACGGCAGAGTCGCGCCGAGAAGACCGGACCACAGCGCCAGGCCGAGGGCCGTATGTCCATTTAGATTTCGGTTCGCGTGGTGGTCTAGGCCCGACCAGCCGAGGCTGTTCGCACAGCTGTGCGATAACTGTAGATCGAATTTGGGAACTAAGTTAGAGAACTTTACTCACTGGCCCCGTGGGAAAACTCGCCTACCCCCGAAATTACCTATTTTACGAAATAAAACAATGTTATTTTTATTTCTCGTTTTCCGTATAGAAATGGCAGTCGATATCAGTACACAGCGTTGGAGCCGGATTCTATGGGACAAGAACGCATGGAACTGGAACGTAAAGCTCGACAACATGCTCAAAACGCGTGCAAGCATTACTTGAGGTTCTGTCCACGATACGCACTGTTACAACATCTCAACGACATTGGGTCACGGTAAGACAATATCACTAACACAATGCTTGTGTATTATTATTATTATTAGTATTTAAAAGTGTACCCAACTAAAATATTGAATGCTATTGGGTTTAGAGTGGACAAACATTGGTTCGTAGTACGCGATGGATCTGTCAAAACAGAACGTCTATTAACACTTGTACCTAAAAATCCTAAAAGTGTTCTCGAGTGTACACCAGATACCAGACGCACTATATTGGATCTCTTTTTAACATTACAACACCCATATATATACCCTGTATTGGACGTTGAATTTGTAGAAGGTGCAACTGATCCAGAAACAACATTTATTACATTAGTGTTACCTTTTAATAGTAAAGGAAGTCTTAAAGATCTAATCTATAAGGTATTATTAAACTGTTACAATTATTATGAATACAAATTATAATTAAATTATATTTATATTATTTTTAGAGTTGTTGGCATGATGATTGGAGTGATAAATATGGACAACGCAGTGAAGGTTTACCGTTGTCACAAATTCAAAGACTTGGTCGACAGATCCTAGAAGCACTTTTATTTCTCAAAGAAAAACAATTTCCACATGATTGTAATTTACATTCAGGCAATGTAATACTTCAGAATGGAGTAGCCAGGTATTTAAATATAAGTATTATATTATAATAATAATTACGAAGTTTGATAAAATTATAATCAAGTAAAATTAAAATAAAGTAAAATTGAAACATGTATTATAAAGAATCACAGGCTTGGAAAATTCCTTACTTGGCTTTACATCAAGAATTCAACCTATTGTTATGAGTGGTGATTTTGAACTAGATGATTTCTCGGCAATCGATGTTGTTTGTTTTGGTATATATTTTTCTTTTGTTGAAGTTTGATTAAAAATCTGAAACAAAATTACATTTTTTTTTAGGCCATGTTCTATTTGAAATGGCAGCTGGATATGAATTGCTTACTCCAGAACCTAGTGAAATTAATTTACAAGATATTGCTCATTATCCTCAAGTAAATAAATTCAATTTATTGTTGTTTTTATTTATTATTGTGTTTAGTGAAAGCTAAATAAAGTCATTAAAATTGTATAAATATTTAGAACCTTCTTGCAATGTCCCATAAAGTATTTTGTTAGTGTTTACAGTCTGTTAACTAACAGAATTTGTTCAGTTTATACAGACAGGACATTTTAAGAACAGCCCAAAGAATTGTATTAAATTTCTGTAATTTTAAATATTATTAACATTGTTTGTTATTTAACAGGTTGTTGAAATAATGGACTTTGTATTTAAAAACCCTAGTGGTCGAGTGCCTACAATTGAACAGTTAGTAATGGCTGAATTTTTCAGAAATATTGATCTCAGAGAAATGCGTGCAACATCTTGGCCTGTAAGTTTATATATTTTTTTCTCTTTTATACAATTGGTATAAAATATTTAAATAGAAATATAGTTCTAAAAAATTCTATGCTAATACATTTGTGTATAATAGCTATTACAGGCTAAAATGACAGCTTCTTCATCACAACTGCTGGAAACTGTGAGAAACAGAAATTGTAGCAAGAGTATCTCGTAAATATTTGTCTTCCCTATTCTGAAATAAAATGCATCTATTTTCATGGTTATTAATAAAGACTTAAAATGTATTACACCTTATAGGACTCCAGACAACCATGATGTAACAGAAATAAATACCAAGGAAACTTTACAAATCAGAAAACTATCAATGTAAATTATATTATTAAAAAATTAAGCATAATAAGAATTCAATAGTTAAAAAATAATAAGACATTTGTCATAATTTTAAATTGATTAACAATTTAAATACTTCATAATTACATAATACTAATTTTTTTTTTTAATTTTTATCCAACTTTTAAAGGTTAAATCAAATTTTAATATGAATATTATAGCTTAACACTTATCTTATATAATATAAATTTAAATTTACAGGAGAAGTAAAAGTTGTGACGATGAAAAATATTCTCACGCAACAGAAAGAAAATCAAATTTTGTGGGCGACAAAGAATCTATGGTATTAAACAAATTAACATTTAATTTTCTTCTTACAGTTCATTACTAACATACTAACATATTTGTTTTAGGAACACCGCGGTTTATCATTGTACCATCGCCAACAGTCACTAGACTTCCAGTTTTTGGGTTAATGATAATCTTTTAGTTTGTTTAGTATTTCTAAACTGACACTTTTATTATAATATTTCAAGCAATATATATGTGCTATTTTAAAACAAAATTGGGCAATAATTTTATGTAATGCTTACCAATCATCATCAGAATCAAATTCAGCTTGTGGATCCTTAGACCAAGATCCATCAGAATTTTTTATCCAGCCAATTCTGTAAATTTAAATTTAAATAATAGTAAACAAAAACAATGTCAATATATGTATAATTTTTTTTTAATTAATGTTAACTATAAAAAAAAAATTGTCAGAAATATATAAATAAAATATTTTTTTTTTTTTTATACTAACTCCATAACTTTATTCTTGGAAGAAGATTGTTCGATAACTGAGACATCTTGATACGTTAATGGATCCAATGTAGACACAGATTGTTGATAAGAATGTTTTTTAGTACGATTTATAACGCTTTGTAGAGAAGGTTTTTTTTTAATTGATGCAACATAACGTGACACAATAGTAGATTCTTTACACTCTTCAGTATCTTATATGATAAAATACAATAAATTGAAATATTATGCACTTAAATTTTCTCTTAGATAGGAAATCTAATTATATATTACCATTATCAGTAATTTCTAACTTTTTTTTACGTTCAGTGGATCTAAATTTTGTTTTCTGATCACCAAATGATTGAATATATTCTCTATGTTGTTTTTTAATCTTCATTATCTCCAATTCTTCTTTTCTTTCCAAATATTTACTAAGTTCTAATAAACAAAAATATTTTAAAAAATTAATTTTATATGCATTTATGAAATTATTTTTCATTTTAGTATAAATATTTTAGCAACTAGAATTTATAGCATTACAAAACCTTAATAATGTATTTTAAATTCTAAAATAGCCTAAATAACTTAATTGTTGACACATTCTAGAAACTCGCTATTAAAAGTTATGTAGCGAATATCACTGTAATTATCTTTATCTCATCAAATCATGACAAATTTAATGTTATACTTACTCACTCTAAATAGTGTTTTTTTTTCAAAATGCTAAGTTAAAACATAATTTAATCCTGTATTTAAAATTTGTTCAACTCAGTAATACTATTTAAATCTTTTTTAATTCATTAGTAATTTCAGATAACTTTTTGTAGATCATACAAAATGAGTAAAACACAAAAAAAAAAATTAAAAATGTCATTATTTTATCAACAAAAATCTTCATCGGTAAAATTAATTTGGAATAATGGCTTTTGATTGTAATAATTAGTTACATTTCACAATAACAAGCTATCTTTTTTCAGAGGAAATCATTATTTTGAATAGTTCAAACAATATCAATTTGGTGAAATTTACATACTACTATCTCTGAGGAGAGAGAGAGAAATAAATGAGCTGATATGTGCTTTGAGCTTATGAGCTTTCTCTGTACAATTTCTGATTTATAATCTCCATAAAATTTAATGAATAAATAAAAAAACTTTAAATATACCATTTAAGTGTTTTTTTCCTTTTCTGTGTATTGAAAGTACATTAATGGTGTCAAAAATTGGTCTTTGAATACAAATCATACAGGTTAACTTTCCGTTAGACAATAATCTAGCTTCTCCTTCTGGTATTTGAATGCCAAGTAATTCTCTGATCCTCTGTGACTACAACAAGTATAAAAACACATAACAATAATTAGTTATAGACTTATACTATTAATAGGATATTGTACATGTGTTGTCTTTGTTTTATAAACACATAGGGTAATATTTAGCAAGAAAAACTGTTCAGTTAGTTTTGATGTTAGAGTGAATGATCAATCACCAAACTTACAAATAAGAACATTAACTATGCAATTACGCCAGCTTTTTTCTATACTTTAATATTTAATCAATAAATGGGTACCAATGTTTTATCGTAATTTTAAAATGTCTATCCTTATTGTGTAATTGTAAAGTAGACATCACATGCAGGTCATTATGCGGTAAACATTTCATAATTATTAAAATATTGGCTACCTCAAGACTCTTGAGTAAATCACTGCCTGATCCATCAGATACATGTTTAAATGTCATAATAATTAGTCTTAGTTTAATTTGCTTCTTATACTATTGTGTCAAATAAGACAACTACAATAAAGTTCCTAAAAAAATAAACAATTAATTAGCAATTATTTTGTACAAAATAAAAGATTTAAAAAACATACGGTGTGAAAAAATAGTATTTTTATTTTTGGATACAATGTTGATAATACTTTGAAATTCTTGAAGTTTTTCTTCTAAATTGAATGCAGTCTATAAAGTTGTTATGTTATTAAATTATACTTTTTTTGGTAGGACTTATGATTAGGCTTAGGGATACCTGAGTGCCAGAATCTCAATTTGACACCCTTAAGTTCAATCAAACAGAAAGCGGACTACCTACAATGACAAGTTCAACAAGGAAATTCCGCTTCCTATTTGATAGAATCTTTAGAGTTTTGCTGTATTATATTAGTTAATTATTTTTTTGTTAGGAATAAGACTTTTTTACAGAAATTAAATTATTTACTTTATCAAAACTATCATCATCTGTGTTTTCAATAGCACTTAAATTACTACGTATATTTTGTACATCGTCTAATATATTTTTTATGCTTAGGTCAACATTTTCTTCATAATAGATTACATCTATCTAAAAATACAAATAATGATTATACATGTAAAATTAATAATATTTCCAATAATAATAATATTAATAATTCCAATTTGAACAATTAGGTATCTATGTACTTATATTAATAATTTACTTGATTTTTAAAATTTAAATCTGCCAAATTAATAGTTATCTGTTTTAGCTTGCGTGACACTTTACGACAATGTCTTAATGATGAAATCAAGTTTTCTTCAAACTGTTCAGCTAAGCAAATTATATTTAAAAATAATGAAAAATTACATATAAATTAAAACGTATGTCAATATAAATTTACATTTCAAAATATTTTCCTTAATTATAATCTGTAGTTACTATAGATGTGAATTACCTATGAATTTTTAATCTAGGATAACATGTCAAAATATCATAAAACATTTCATAAGGTTCATTTTTTGTAATTTTGTATACTTTTAAATAGAAGCAATTAATGGTCAGGTTCTTGATTTTATAACTATTTTTTAGGAACATGCAAAACTTTTAGGTTTGTTAAAACAAAAAAAGGCTTACTCAGTTAGAATGTCTAGGGCAGTGGTTCTTAACCTGTGGATCTAAAGGTTTAGTTTGGGATTAACCGAAATTATTAATAATTAGTTGCGATTTGAAAAAAGGTTTAAAACTATAGGTCAGAAATGAAATATCTAGTGTTGTAGTTCTTTAATTAAGTCATTTAAAGAATTCTGTACCAAATAGTTAATCGAAATGGGTGTTTAGATTTAGCCTAAGTTCAATTGGTTCAAATACAAACAATTAAACTGATACCTAGACACCAAGTAATCTACTAATTTCTATCTATCATTACTGGTTATATTATTATACATAGACATTATAATGTACTCACTATTTTCAGCCATAAGTAAATTCGTATTAATTATTAAAATTAGAAATATTTAACTGTTACAAACTAAACTGTTATATTAGGTAAATTATTGACAATATTTCCTACTACACCAGTGAATTTCAAAAGTTCTCTACAGTTAAAAAATACACGACAGGCCAAGATTATCCACATCAAATTAAAACTCACAATTCATAAAGCGAAAAAGTAAAATCACAATAATTTAAACAGACACTAAGACGAGACAAACTATAGCCTATAAGACTTATTAAAAAAAACATTAGACGAAACAACACACAACATGTACGTCTTATAACGATAAGTAACGTCTTTTTTTATTTATCGAATACACAATAAAACAAGCGATAATACTAAAACAAGGATAATAAAAACGGTTTAAACCAAAGATAATATAAATCTGTTAACTTATATCACGTTATACTAAATATAGATAACATTTTATCTAATGAGCAAAGAATGTATCGGTTTTACTGATATTTATTTTTCTTATAATTCTATTAGAAATCTTGTTCAGATACATATGCACAGCACCATTTCTGAAAATATATGTTGTCTGGATGATACTTGTGCGAGGTCACTTTTTGATTTTCCAAGCGGTTTTCATATCTGGGAAAAACCAGGATAAAACGTAATAATAACGGGAAATTCATGAAAATAATGCTTTAATTATTTTTCAATTTTGCTATTTTTTGTAATTTAGTTAAAAATATTGATAAGACTTAAAATTTGAAACGAAAATTTATATTTTTCTAGACATAAAATTTTCGGAAAATTTAACCCGTTTTTAGACTATAGGCATTTTTATTTTGCTAGTTTTATACAGAATTTTTATTCGTTAGGTACAATGTGGTAAAATTATTAGACAATAGAAATGCTTCAAAATTAAATAGGAGGTTCATTAAGAGTCTTACTTTGTAGTCAGGAAAAAAAATTGAGTTTAATATAGTATTTTTTTTTTGGTAAGGGAATTTTAACATTTAATTTTGACAATAGTTTGAGTAAAAGATTATGTGAAACAAATCTTTTAATATTTTGTTGTGGACATATGTATATTGCTGATTAAGAACGATGGTGAAATCAAAATTAAGCGGACTAAGTTTCGAAATTATAGTTTTTTGAAGTTCTAATATTTTGGGGATATTATGTGTTATGTTAAATAAGTCTATATTGTCCTTAAAGCACATTTGTCGTGATCTAATGATTTTTTATGCCTATAATTATCCGAGGTACCGAATTGAAACCGGTGTGTCAGAAAAATTGTTTGAAGTTTTTTTTTTCCTTTTTATCTAAACAAATAAAAAACAAATGCGTTTGGATTTGCCTAAGCCATCACTCCCTCAGACTATTTTAATCACAAAATACCCCTCGATTTATTGTGCAAACTTTACCAGAAATCTTTCCCAAATATATCAAGTGTAGATTATTTTCTTATAGGAAATTGTATCTCCATGGTAATTTAGAGATTTCACTTTTTGATTTTTCAAATGGTTTTCATAATATCTGGGAAAACCGGGAAAAAGTTGGGTAAAACAAAAAATGTACGAAATGTAGGTATTAGTAAAAAAATATTATGGCCTTTTTTTCTGTGTACAACTTTTCTACCAGTAATTTCACTCAGATTTAAAATTATAGCATTTTTTCTAAAAGGAAACCAGACTGGGAAGGTACTTTAGGGAGGTCATTTTTCAATTTTTCTTAGTTTTCCCAGCAAATATGAAAAACTGAGAAACACATGGGAAAATCAGTACAATATTAAACAAATATTATTAAAGAAAATATATAATGCCTATTTAATTATTTTACCATAATATGACATATATATTGTTGACAAAACATTGCTTTCAACTGAACTGTGCTTAGAATTGGTTTTTTGTTAGCAATGGTTTATCGTTGCTTAAAGATATATATTAAATTACCTATAACCGTGGCTGCACCCGTCTCCATTATCCTAGGATGGCTTTTTTTTTATTTTAATTTTCAAGTGAGATATAATTGTGTGAAATATCACAATTGAAAAATGCTTATAAATCACATAAAAATTAAAATGACCAGTTAATGTAGATAATGTTATTATTTTTAAGTTTGATAGTAAGTCAATTCACTCTAAAATCAAAACTGATAGAACAGCGTTGTCCCTGCTGAATAAAAGTTTGCTGTTGTATAATTGAGACAGCATATGCGGGTACAACATCATTTTATCTGAATTTTATTATAATAAAAAAAAAAATTTTAAATAATGTTTCATTATTTTAATATTTTTTTCGGTCATGCTCAATTATTAATGAAACTACATGGAAAATCAAAAAACAACCAATTCTATCATGCAACAAAAATGTGTCATTTTTTTGATTGGAGCAAGATTTCTTTAAAAAACAAACGATACAATGAAATTGTACCACAATGCACTGTAAATAATTTAATTATTCCTATAACTTAGTTTCGGATTTTCTCAAGTTGTATGATAAATCAAAATATGAAATCTCAAATAACTAGTGCACTAACTAGATCCAAAATTCTAAAAAAAAACAAAAGGTTTCATGTTATGTTATATTTGATTGAAGCAAGATTATAGTGAAGCCAATAAATCCTTCTTTATGCTTAGAATCAAAAATTATGTTTTCTTTTTAATTTTTGGAATAGAATAAATTGAATATTTTAACAAATATAAAAGACAAAATTAGTATATAGTAAAATAAATGTTTAATAAATTAATGTTTATATTAAAATAAAACTATGCAATAGTACTCAATAATACAAGTTTGCATGGAAAAAATAAGAATACATTTAGAATTTATCTTAATTAATTAATTAACAAAAAAAAATACTGATTACAAATAATATGATAAGTGTAAATAAATAAGTTCTGTTCTTTGTCAGATTGTGATTCTTTAAAAAAAACATCAAGCAAATAGCACAATTTAATGACAAGCTTTACTATATAATAATAAATTATAAAAAAATTTAACAAACTTGCTAATTCATTAGAATCGATGATTGTCATTGGTTAATATTTTAATGTATCAAGTTACAGTTAAACAAATTATTGTGAAAATTTCCAAGTTGTGGAAAGATTCAAGATGATGTTGACTTTTGTGGTGTATTATCATACGCTTTGCGTAATCTACGTCTGAATTCAGATGGAAATTTTTCATAGCATTTCTTGCAAGCTGGTTTTAAGTCACATTCATAGAACTTTGTCTTTTGTGTCATTTTCTGATCGCAAAATGAACATGCAAAATGATGTACACACCATGCTTTGTTTAAAGCAGTAAATACTGAAAAATAAAATTTATTTTAATTAAAAAAAAAAAGTAAGATTTATATCAATTTTTTCATACCATCTCCAGCAATCACTTGATTACATACAAAGCATAAGTTACCAAATAACTGATGATAGTGAGTCTCACAATAAGCTAAACCTTTTCTTTCATAATGTCTATGGCCCAAAAATGGTTTTTCACACTTTGCACAGACAAAATGTTCTACATGCCAATGTTTTCCAAGTGCAGTTACTACACGTTCTTCAATTGGACGGCGACATGCTCCACAAATTGGAATACCCATTTTATCATGGCATCGTAAACAATACAATTCATTCTAAAAATAACATCAAAACTTATAAATTAGGAAATGGATTATGAAGAGTGTGATTACATTTCCAGATCACACAATATTTTGCTGAATTATAATTCAGTTTTTGAGTGAAGATAAAGTGTGCTGAATTAACACTTTAGAATAAAATTAAATATGTTAATCCTTTCAGTGCGCATAATTTATTCAATAAAAATTACTTTTTTATATTCAATTCAAATAGTCATATTATTTTCAACTCAAAAATTATGAGGCACAACCATCTTAAGTTGATTCAAAAATATGATTTTTTATTGATTTGATACAATTTACATTTTTGTGTATGTGTTATAAAATTATTATCTTTACAAACAATTTTTCCTCTACCAAAGAATAGTCAAATTTCTTTACTTATATTTTAAAGATTTTCAAAATTATATTTTTTAACAAACGTTAGATGGTTACTGATTAAAAAAAAAACTGAATTAACTCAGAAATGTGTATTACAATAATCCATATCACCTCTTGAAAAAATAATTAAAATCCCTAAAGTCATACAACCAAAATATTTAGTGATATCTAGAAATGTAATTACACTGTACATTATATTTATTTGTTTTAACCCAAAATGTACACTTTTTTACACATTACACTATCGTGTCGATTTAACACCTATCCATGTGATGTTATTCTTTATCAAGTGTATATTAAAAAAAAAAAAGTTATTGTATGGTCTTTGCAAACTAATTATTGAAAACTTAATATATTTCTTAAGATTGTAAACAATATTAAATACTTAAAAATATTTAACTATTTTAAAAGAGTAGATTATCAATGAAAAATTGTAATCGAGTTTGTTATTAAAAACTTTATTAGCAGTTTTTAATTTTAATACAATATTTATCCAATTTTATTTTAAAAACAATCATTTTTTAAGTTTTTTAAAATATTTATATTAAAAATTGAATGAGTATTGACAAACATATGGTACATATTTTATGTTAGTGTCAAAAATGTTCATGTAACATTTGCTGATCTTGATTTCTAATGAATATATCAAAAATGTGTTCACATAAAACAAACTAAAAGACCCTAAAGATCAGCTTTAGAAATAAAATATATATATAACTCTACATATGAAGACAACCTTATCAGTATTTTTTAAATATTAGGTTAAAAAATTTATTTGATTTTTGCATTTTATCTTTAAAACCAATTTTTTAAGACCTTATTGTTTGTTTTACAAGAAAATTTTTCTTATACTGGCTGTCAGAAAAACCAACAAACAAAACTATGATGACCTTTTAAGGTGCAATGGTAAAACTGGAAATGGGCCAAAGTACTAGATTATATTAACTATTGGATTTTTAAGACCACGTTTCTATTATTTAAGTACATGTTTATTTGGACAACCTTTATGATTACATTCCCTATATTTAGTTGATATCATTGAGTTTACCATTTCATTAGCTGTATAACCGGATCTATGTTTAAGTTCACGAGCATCCGAATTCAATTCAACTCCACAAGAAGTGCAATTAAAATGGTACCCATGATAAACTTCGCCTCTAAACCGTAATGGTTTATCATCAATAACACCACTAAATTAAACAAAGTGATTGTATTTATTAATAAATGTAACTTTTTTAAAAAAGCACTTTTTCATATCAACATACTGGCACTTGAAACATATATGTTTGCCTGACAAAACTGCTTTATCTGCTGCATTGCATTCATGGCATAGAGCTCTATTTCGATTACGGACAAACCCACAGTCCGCTAATTGCTTATTGCACACTGCACAGCAAAAACAAGCAGGATGCCATGAGGCAGACATTGCCTTAATAACACGTCCAATAACAAATTCACCGCATTTACCACAGCACGGTGCAAATAATACTTGAAAATCATGTTCGCAGTATTTACGACCTTCAAATTCATAAAATACACCATCGGGGAATGGTCGAAAGCATTGGGAACATCTATATGGTAAATAAACATGTTAAATGGTAGCAATAGTTTTTTTTTTAAATTAATTTTAGAACATTAAAAATTACTTACACAAAACATTGAGGATGCCATAGCTCACCCTGAGAGTTGACGATTTTATCGTGCGGATCGAAGCCATCCCTACAACGGGAGCACGACATGTTGGTGAACGACATTGTAACACTACTCTCAGACTACCTGAAACAACAAACTGTGTGCACAAGTTCTGTTCACTTACCCAGGCATTGGAATTATTCGTCAATAAAAGTTACTAGTAACCTATAAAAAAATAAGAACTGAATGAAATAAACGGAAATCACTGACAGCAATTCGCCAACGTATAGGCCAGATGGGTGTGTAAACAGCGTTGGCTGTATGTTTTTTTTTCCTATACTCACATCTGTAGGCGTTTCATGTACTCCCACACACTGAAATTAGAATGCTTTAGAAACGACAGATGCCGTGGGCCAGCTAGAAACTATTACAAAGTTTCATACTACTACACTAGAAATCTACGATACACAAAATTACCAAATCACCAACACGGCTGCACAGTACATTACTATTTATGGATAACAAGTCAAGGTCGTCAGGGCAGTAAACTCTGGTATATTATTATTCATAAGTTGGCGCTTCTGTATCTCATGCCTTCCGCCACTCCATATTTAATTGTCATTATCAATATATTTGATAATTTTTGAATTTTTTTATATAGTTTGATAATCAGTATTCGGTAACAACTAACAAATAACAAAAACGGTTCACTAATCACAAATGTGACTTCAATTGAAAATATTTTATTTTTATTATTTTTAAGTTATCCGTATACTATTGTATTATTTCATTATTGTGAATGATATTGTTTTTTGTTTTTGACACTTAAATCACCATTCGGATTTAAGTTATAAGGTATCTACTATCGTCAACAATTATTCTGAAAATCAACAATGGAACCGATGACACTAGGATCACCGTCACACGACAGTCCACAAAAACCAACTTATCTTCCCGGTTTCTTGATGGGTGAACGGGCACAATCTCCAAACAATAATGCTTCTATCAGTTCAATGTCTCCTCTACGAACTAATCGTAGCCAAACCGCAGATGTGCATACAACATTCTTAATGCGTAATTTTCACCACGAGCTAAGTGATAAACCGTATGTATAATATAAATGTTAAAAATAAAACACTCAACATTACTTTAATTATTTTCAGATCATCTACCCCTATATTAAATAGAGCCAATGATGAACCAATGAAAGCACCAACTATTGATTTATTTGACATGCTTAACACAACTGATTATCGAGAAGAACAGTACATAAATACACATTATATTTACTAAATTGTTTTATTTTTTTATATATATTTTATCAGTTATTATTTTATAATTCAGGTATAACAATAAAGAGAACAAACAATTCTATTCTGATAAAAATGATCTATTTGAATCACCTAAAACTATTTCAAGAAATTGGATTACAGTTTTTGGCTTTTCAATCTCAAATAAAGACGAAATATTATCAAAATTTATACATATGGTATCTTGTTGCGATGTAAGACAAGCTGGTCCGAATTGGGCACATATATGTTTTAGTGATTCTACTGATTATCATCGGGCTCTTTTATTCAATGGTCATGTAACTAATAACGGAGCTATGATTGGAGTTATTCCTTGCAATGATAAGGTAATTTTCAATGTGATAATGATAATGGTTAGAAGTATTGGCAAATAAAATATTTTTAAATTAGTCCATTTTAACTGAAAAAACTGAGTCTTCCAATTCTGGTCCGGGTCCAAGAGCTGAACTTTTATCAAAATCTATACGGTCACCAATTCTCGGTCAACAGTACTCTAGTCCAAATGATACAATTTCAAAAAAAAATACTATAAGACCAATGGCTATGAAACCTATACCTATTCAAGGAAAAGATGTATGTTATTTTATTGTTTTATTAACTAACACTATTAGGTTATTAATACAATTTAAATTTGTTTTATTTAGAATTCGCCATCTGCGTCAACTTCAAATGGTATTGTTACAAAAACCTTAGAGTATTTATTTGGATGGTAGGTAAGAAAATTGTACAACTAAGTGTTTTAGTAAAAAAAAAAAATTTTTTATTTTTAAAAATTAGTAAATAAAACTTATATTGGTGTTCTTGCATCAATACTAAGGCAAGTCTTTTTGTTATATTGTAATACATATCCAATCTTTTGATGAATATTTCCTCATTAAGAAATTCATCATGATCATGAAATATGATTTTGTGTAATTCATAGGTGAAAATCCCGAATTGATTGTGTCCACTTTAATTGAAAAATAAAATCAACAGTTCATATTAGTAAAACTTTTAAATATTTTGATTTTTTCTACTTCTTATCAATTTCTGTTTTGAACGCTACCCACTAAGAATTACTATTGCCTATTTTAGTTGGTTTAACACAAATTGGATTTTCCTTAAGTCATGGCCCCTATCAATCCAGTCTGATAATGGTGTACTGCATATAGTGACACATCAAAAATAGAACACATGTAATTTTATGGTGATGGACCCATCAATACAATGTGTCACACAAATTAGTCTTAGGAGTTTTTTTTCAACGCCTCATACTCAGTGAAATAATAATTATTTAATAATCTTTATATTATCACATTACCTATATTAATTGTATTGGTATATAGCATAATTAATATTTTAAAATCATATGTAATGTAAAAATAAAATAAGTATTTAAAAATTTATATTTTTATAGATTATATTAGGTTATATAATAATATACCTAGGTATATTGTTAAATAAATATTAATGTCTGAGAGCATAATAAAAGATTCTTGATCACAAGAAATAATAGGATATCAATCCTATTATATAGTCTTTAAATTTGTCAGAATACACTGCAAGTTCTCTTGCGACCAAAAGTGTATCAAGTATATTGGCATTATTTTTTACAAATAGGTAAACCCAATATTTTCATTTTATTGGAGATTCTGAGCGTAGCAAGGGAGCTATTGGTTTTACTAAGATGTTTATTTCTTTTTTTTTTTCTAGTCTGTAGACACATTTTTTCCTAGTAAACTTGCTCCAATTTTTACGTGTATCAACTTTTCTGAAAGCTCAAGTTATCTAGATGGTACTTAGAGATGTCATTTTTTAATTTTCTATGCCTTTTTTTAAATTAAAGCGCTTAAGTGGGAAAAAACTTACAATTTTTGAAAAATCACAAGATATCTTTTTTGTTGCATTTTTCATTTACTTTCTTACAGTATCATCGCAAAAACTTTTGAGTTTTTAAGGACTTTTAATTTTTGTGAATTTTTTTCATTGTTATTCGGTTATAAATACACTTGAAACTTGATAATAATACTTATATTAAACTTACCTAGACGTGGTAAAATTTCCAAAATCATCTGACGACTTTTTTATTTTAATAAGCATTTTGAATTTAAATGGAAATTGCAAAAAAAAAATTATGGTACTTCAAATTATGTATTACCTAAGTGCGCTCGGAATCATCTTTCATCGAGCAATGGTTTATCTTTGCTTACAGATATAAATGAAATAACCTGATGTGTCCTACCTTCCTAACTTCTCACCTACAACAGTAGCCACTCCCATCCCCATTATCAGCTCATCATGTTGTTTCCTAATAAGAACATTAGCATAGCTTCAGAACTTGACATAATAATTTAAATATTATATTATAATAAATACTTACTATATTACAAATATTATTTTGTTGTATGAAATAATAATGCAATATCCTAATAATTAATAATGCATGCACACTGCACTACATTAGTGTGCTTTTTGTCAAAATTGTGATGTCGTTTTTTTTTTTTACATTCACACCGCCTTACATTGATGGGCACCAAACCTAAACCTTATATTAAAAATGCCAAGGTGATAAACATACAAATATAATATATAGTAAACTTTGTTTGAATAATTAGATAGGATAATCCAGTTCAATTAAGGTCAATACAAAATATTTAATTTATGATATCTAGAGCTAACAAACAGGTCTTAGGTGCAGAAACCACTGTGTAAAATAGGAATGACACGCTTATATGTTTAATCAATGGGTATAGATTGGTTGGTAGTAATGCTGTACATTATTATTAGCTTTACTTATAGTTATTTATCAATGGTTTTATATTTTCTAGTTTTATAAATAAAGATATGTAAATCTGCTCTTGGTACTAATGGTTTGTAAAAATAAACTATCTTTATTCTATTTATGTAAAACAATATTTACAATGAATACAGATTAAATAAAGTATTGTACTTAGAAATAGGTACCAAATTATTATCTAATATTGTTACCAAAAAGCAATAAAATGGTGACCTATATAGACTATAACATTTAATCTATATTAATTTGAATATCATGAAATATAATAGCTAAGAACAATTAAAATAGAATATGAAAATACCCTATACTCATTTAACTTTAATTGTATCTTAAATAATACACAAATATACAAGTCGTATAATTACTCATTTGAAACATATGTAACCGGCCCAAAGTAGGAATAGAACTTGGAGGAAAAATGTTTGAAATAAAACAAACTCCAACTTGAGTTTATAAGTAATTAATATTTTTCACACAAAAAAACTACAAGTCCAATTAATAAATTTACAAAAATAATACAAGTCCAAATAATTCAATTCACAAACATCGAAAAATATTCTAAGTCCAATTTAGTTTCACACACAAAAATAGTTTGTAAAACAGAGTAACGTAAAGTTGCTCGCATTTGATTGTGATGGAATTGTCTGATTAGATGATGTTTTGGGCAGTGTTATATATGTTCCGAGGGACCTCCGCATTCATAGTGTGGCTATCTACATTATTTCATTTATTGTACATTTTTAATATGGCATCGCTAATGTTTTATGTTATGCACAATTTATATTTGCAAAACGGTATATTTTATTATTGCTTTGGTTTGCCCTTATTTGGTGCTGGTTGAAAGGTTAATAAGTTTCTTAGCCCTGGCTTTGAATTGTGTTCCCTTATGGAATGGTCTCCCTTTTTCGAATAATTCGTTGAGCGCGCAATTTAACCCGGAATTTACTATGGATTCATGCACTTATACTTAGAGTAGTGTGTGGACACAAAACACATAGCATAATGTATGTCTTATAAATGCAGTATTAATTATAGTTATCCAAAATTTGCGTAGGTATTATGTAGCTTCTTTCTTACATTAGTCTATAACTTTTAAATTACATAATTTAATTAGTAGGATCCTAATAAAAATGCAAGTTATAAAATCAATGAAAATATGTAACTAAATTCATTTTATTTGATAAACATTAATATTAATAACTGTATATTGATTATATTGACTAATTATTATTTATGTAGAAATATCATATTTGTGCAAGTCCTTTAATTATATTATAGTATATGTCTAAACCTTTAATAAATGTCTTCTCGTTAATGAATTCATTATGATCATGTGCTAAAGTTATTGTATTGTTCATGGGTGAAAATCCTAATGCTGGTATGCCCTCCTATAATTTAAAATCAAAATTTTAATATTTTTAATGTTTTTAGGTGATTGAATTATTATTAAAGTATATATAAATATATTACATTTCTAATAAATCTGGCATCTGTTCCTCCTGTAGCTACACAGGTATTTAATTTCATATTCCTAAAACAATAATCAATCTTAATTAAACTTAATAAATTTTTTAAATGTTATAATTTAAACTTACATTTTATCACATTCTGTTTTAAACGCAACCCACCAAGGATTACTATTGTCTACTTTGGTTGGTTTAACACAAATTGGATTTTCTTTAAATTGTACAGTAACCCCTGGACCAGCATTATCACACCATTCCAATACAGTTCTCTCTATTTGTTTTATATCTACATTTATTGCTAATCGAATATCAAAACCAACTGATAATTCATTTGGAACAACATTTATCTGACATCCTCCTTTAATCTTTGTTAAGTTAACAGTTGTCACATCTCCAGGTCCTAGGTTACTATTTCTCAATCTATTTTTTTCAACTTCTCTCCAGTTCATAAATTTATTGATAATGTATTGTATTTTTTCTCCAGCAGTATTTTCATGTAATAATGAACCATGTCCAGTAGGGCCAACGCAAGTAATAACCAAATCTAAAAATTAAAAAGTCAGAAAAAATATATTGTTTTGTGCATTGTTCCAAGTTTCTCATATAGGAAACTGTCATAAGTAGACCGCTGTTGTAGATGGGAAGGTTGTATACAAAGTCTCCCATTGTGTTTTCCTGATGCTAGAATTAAATATTAACTATGATATGTTAATAATCAATTTATTTTGTTCCTATGTATCCTGATTGAGGACTGAAGCTGCTCCAGCTGAACACCCAGAAGAACTGTGGCTAAAAGTTGTCTGTCCTGTAGGGGAGCAAATTTTTTTCAAAGGGGCACCACTAAAGCCTGGAGAGGAGCTCCTAGATAGATGCTGAGTGTAGCAAATTATTTAATAAAATATAATATCAAATAAAACTAGAAAATTTCAAATTAAATATCTAAAAATTTAAAAAAAAAAAAACAGTGTTGAAATTTTTATTAAATTTTGAAAGGGCTAATATAAGTAGGTATTTTACCTACCCCTGCATATATATATCCTCCATATATCATTGTAATAAAGCTAAGTTTTAAAACTGTATTATGTTTGATATAAAGTAACACAGATTACAAATAATATGAATGTAATAATAAATTAATACTTAAAATAAAAATCAAAATCAAGAATATACGAATAAGTGCATTTTAATGCAAAAACCCTTAAACGTGCAATTTTGTGCAAAATAAAATTTTGTTTAAATTAATCTATTTCACTTGATTCAGATTAATAAAATTTTTCTATAGATTTTGAAATACCTATTAAAAACTACAATTGCACCAGAATTCGGTGGTAACTATCCCATATGCTTTTGTTAGGGCTTCATCAGTATGTAAAAATCTTCATTTTTATTAACATATTCCATTAATATTTAATTTTCAGTTTGTTTTATACAAATGGTTTAAAAATTATTTATTTTATAATTTTGGTCATATGAAATGAAAAATGATTTATCTGACCTTGTGGGAAAATGTAATATCTAACCACGAATAATTTATAATAAAAACAAAGGTTGTACCTATAAAGTGTTTTTTCAATGAGAAAACTCTTGGGAAAATTAAAAAATTAACTTCTCTAAAGTTCCTCCCTAATGAAATTTTGTTTTAGAAACATTACTATCATTAAAAGTTGGAGCAAAATTTCTGGTAGAAAAATTTCCCACAGAAAAAAAAATGTTTATTATATTTAGTAAATTTTCCTGGTTTTTTACATTTGATGAGAAAAATCAAAAACTGACCTCCCTAAAGTACAATTCCCTTTCAGAAAAAGTGCTACACGTAGAAATCTAAGTAAGTTTTCTGGTAGTGGAAAAGTTGCACATAGATTAAAAGAAAAAAATTAAAAAACATTGTAAAACTATTATCTTCTTCGTTCCACTCAGAATCTAAAAAAGAAGAACAAAAAATAGAAAATAATTTGTTGGTTGATAGTGAACTCACCCCACACAGTTCTTTCACAGTAAAATACATTAAAAACTTCATTTGGAGTTGCTTTTCCTTCATCCAAAGCAAAACCAACATTCAACGCAGAGAATTCTGAAGTTTTAACAAATTTAGCCATACCAAATTGACTTCCAATTTCTTCATCTAATTTTTCAACATCAATATTGGATTATTATTTTTTAGTAAACTTCTTTATTTATATTTACCTGGTGTAAAACATATATGGATAGTTCTATTAAATTTTAATTGCTCAGTAATATATTTTCTGATTGTTTCCAAATATTGAATACCAACACATTTCATATCTTGTGCTCCTCTAGCAAATATATTTCCGTTTTCATCTTTGTATGCAGAAAATGGATTATATGTCCAACATTCCTATGAGATTTAATTCACCTTAAAATTATAATTATTAACTTAAAAACCATTAATAGATTTTACTAACAGGATATACTGGAACTACATCCATATGAGATGTGAGCAATAAAGATGGCAATTCTGGTTGTTGTCCTACCCATGTAATAATAACAATTGGTTTTTCTGGTGTTATATAATAAATGTTTAATGGAAGTCCTAATCTTTGACTTTGCTCTTCAAGAAACCGTATACACTCACCTATTCATGTATATAATAATGTTAGGTATTTATAATTTAATATTAATTATTATAGGATACCCAACAAAAATTGTAATATCTCCGAAGATAATAAAGATAATCAAATACTGTTTACTCACAGAAATAAGGACTGCATTTATATTCTAATTAAAATTGTTATGCTTTGATAAAAAAATTAAAAACTATTTTATTATTTTTGAAAAATTTAAATACAACCATTTCATAAAGTTTATTTTTCTGAAAATTTTGATGTTTAGATGATCAGAAAAATGTACATATAATTATGCAGCAGGCTATAATCACATTCTCTAATTAATTATTATTTTAATAATTAATTGGCTGTACCTTCTTTTCTCTGAATTTTAAAAGAATAAACTCTATTAAATGACCCTCTTTAATTTTTTCAATAAGTTATTATTTTTATTTTTACCAAAACATAAAAAATTAATTGCAATATAAATATTTGTAGTCCTTATCTTGGTGAGTAATTAAAAAACCAGAATTTAATTATCTTTTATTATATCCGGATATACTACAATGAGTATATCTTTGTGGAACACCCTGTACATCTAATTGTAAAATCACTTAAAGAGGGAAAATATATACATATGGCTTGGATGTTTATTTATTCAAAATACCTTAAATTGTATTTATGTATCAAAAAATAACTAAATATCTACGTAAAGTATGCTTTAAAAATCGTAGAATATGCAATATCTTAATTGTTTTTATTATTTTCTATTTTATTTGATACAGTTATATAAATTATATTATATTATAGTAAGTAAAATTTAAAAAATATTTTAATGATATAAATTAAAGTCCATAGGCCTGTACAATTAAATTTGTATTGTCTGATAATAGAAAAACGAGAACACAGAAAGTGAAATCCAAAAATGGAATACTTAAGAATGGGAAATATATTGAAATTAGTTCAAATTAATGTCTAGAGCTCGGATGTTTATAACTGCATATTTTTCTAGTGAATCAGAATTATACCCGAATATGATATAAATTTGATTCATAAAGTGTGATTTCAAATATGCAAACATATTTTGCATATATTTGCATATTTGACATTTTATAGCATATAAATGTATTTATTAATTATTTATAAATTTAGTAGCATATTTTAAACAATTATAAATATAATATTAAACATTTGTACAGTAACTATTAACCAAACAAAGTATTTACTCTAGGTAACTAATATTTAAACCTTTTGTATTTTGATAATTTATATTTTGAATTAAAATTAACCCAATTTTTTGTAAAACTTTGTAATTTTTTTAAAAATTTAATATTAACACCTTTTTTACATATATTTGATAAAATTTAAGGCGTATAATTGCATATTTTAAAGAAATGTTGGTCATTAACATCAGAGCTTTATTAATGTCTAATCACTACTAATCATATTGAAATTTAAATCAACTTTTATCATTTAAATCTACCTATAAAATATCTCAAATTCCTGAGTTTGAGTTTAGTTGATCCAGAGAGCATTACTAAAAATATGAAAAGTAACAAAAAACAGTTTTTGGGGAAAATTAGACACTAAGGTCACTCACAAAACAAACGTCATACATCTTAAACAATCGCAAAAAATATATCGGTAGTTATCAGTGATATGAACTTCATAATATGATAATTAATATATATACCTATCCCTATGGTATTCATATATAAATCTAAAATACAAACTATAATTGACATTAGGTTGAACTGATGGAATCCGCAGATATTTTCTAAAGATTGTCACAGATTCATGTTCAAGTGTTCTGGTTGAAGACATTTTTAAATCTTAACTTTTCACAAATTGTTTTACTAAATATTTTTTTAAAACCTTACTGTAAATTTAAAAATTATTCTGTTTATGTTTATTGGCATTCATTAAGTGTACTTATCAATTAAATTATGATCCCTACTTATGGTAGATAGTGCGTTTCATTATATACTATTTTTATATATATATAGTTTAATCTGTTTAAATATATTTGTTTGTTTAGATTAACTATGGTTTTTTAACTGTAATACTTCTATTGAATAATTACATTTATATAATCACACATAATAAAATTGGTCATATAATAACATATTTACATTACGATTGTTAGAGTGTAACAAATGGTTTGATAAGATAGTACCTATAATAGGTACCTAGCATTATTTTTTTTTTTTTAGTCCACACCCGGAGATTTGCTACTTTATATTAAAACGATTTAAGAGTTTATCTTAAATAGTTATATTTTAAGTATATTTATCATTCCCGTGAGCTTTTAATAGTAATAAAATATAAGTATTATTAAATGGAATGATTCAAAATTATCGATTTAATATAATATACCATGTGTACAATTAACGGCAAAATATTGAACCGCCTAATTTTTATTCCTTAGAAAATGATCTAATAGGTATTACCTAATCAAGTTTTTGCTGTTCAATATTTTGCCGAAATTATTTTTTCAATACTTTATCGTTCAAATGTTTGCCATTTATAGATTTCGTCGGTTTTTTCGATTCAAGATTTTGATATAGTCCCCCAGAAGTCCCAAAGGGACTGAGCATCGACGTTAAAAAGAATTGATTATTGTTGTTAAATATGACACAGATAATAAACAAAATTGAAATAGAGAACCGACATACAAAACAAGTCAAATAATTCTACTTTCGGGTAGGTTAATTACAAATAACAACAAAAGTTTCAAAAACGTAAAGATAATAATATCTTTTGCTAAACCAGTTTTCAAAGAAAAAAAAATGGAACTATGGAGCATACTTATTTGATTGTCAAAGTAAAAAACAAATGTATATACTTCGCACGACGGATGGGCCACTACTAACGTAGAAGTAGGTAACTTTAGGCAAAAATGTCGTTTTTGTTTCGAGTTGTTAGTACAACTGTAGTAAACACTTTATAATAACGTTTTACAAGAATTTACATATTTTTTTCTTATTTAACAACAATTGACACGAATAACGTCGAAAACTTTAAGGTAAGTTTAATTTTTAAGTACATGAAAAAATCACAAATTATCTTTCTGTTTTAAATATTTATTTACTCATATAAGTTATAATTTGACAAAAACATGTTTTTCTTTTCTGTAGTATGAAACAGTATACGAAAAATCATAATCGCATTAAATGCACTTGAGTTATAAACGATTTTATGATTTGGGTGCATCTTGGGGCACTCAACCAACCTTATGATTCTATACTGTCATTTTATACTTATTTTGTATATTAGTAATACAATATTGGAAACATGATTTTTAATTCAAAATAACGCTTTTTTAATATCCTATCTACCTAATAGTTCTATATTATAAATTTTAATAAAATATATTTTTAAAGATTGAATTTTTATTTTTATCTGTGCTTACATTATTAAGACACATAAACGGTTTTGATGACTTTTTCCTACCTATGTTAAATGTCGTGAGGAACATATTTTTTCCATTTGTTTTGTCTTAAGTTAACTACAAAAGATACAAAATGAGTTTTTTGGCAAAATTAAATAGCTGCCCCAAGATTCATCCTTTCAATCCTTTGGAGCAACTAAAAAATAATAATATAAAATCAGGAATTTAGTATAAAAGTATATATTAAAGCGAAGAGCAAGAGAAAACTTGATATAAATATTGTCTCCATACAATGCTTATTTACTGAGATATATATCAAAGTTCAAAACTGCACCAAGTTACCAACTTTTACGGTATAGGTGAAAAGTTGGGAAGAGAGAGGAGAAATGTAATGTTAATCTGTATCTAAAGATTAATCATTGCCAACGAAAAATGATTCTGAACATTTATATGTTTTGATAGACCGTAATATTTACGATTTGAAAATAATACATTTAGTAAGTTTTTCCCATTTATTATGAAAAACTCCTGGGAAAATCATAATCCGCTGAACATTATGCTATGTATTTTAATTATTCCATGTATTTTTGCATTTATTCTAAGTCCGAGAAACATTTCATGTGTAGTATAATCTAGATACATGACATTTGTGGTACGCTAGACGATGGAAATGTGTTTTCTACATTTACTATTTAGCTGTACTGTTTTACATTAATTGCTCATGTTTATTCTTTTGTATTTGTTTATTTCATAGACATATACAATTATTCTTTATGTCTATAATTTATTTATTTTGTTCCAATAATAATACCTACTAGATAACACTAAATTTATTTTTATTATTGTTGTTCTTCACGTATAATTTTAATAAATTTAACATAAAGTTACTTAACTAATCACTCATATTGAATATATTTTTATTATTTATATATTATTTTATTAATTATATTTTTATTGATAAAATAATTATTATTATTATATTTTAAAAATCACGTGATAGAATTTTCTGCGTTTTAATATAATTTAATGTTCCTTGACTTTCAATCAGTTGTGGAATTAGGTGTTTCATCTGATTAGTGATTGATAATCAAGGTTATTAAGGAACACACACATATTACTACTAAAGTACTGAATTAATATAGGTTCTCTTTTCTTACATGTACATTTGTTTGGTTTGATTATATTTATAAAATTAAATCATACTTAATTTAAAATATATATTAGTATAAACTTAACAAATCAAATCAATTGTATATTTTATAATATAATTATTTAATTAGTTACAAAAAAAAGATTAAATTGTATCAAATTAAACAGATGCAAGGCTCTTGATAATATTATAATAAATATCTATGCCATCAAGGAATGTTTTCTCGTTTAAAAACTCATTATGATCATGCAAAAGAATAGGTGTATTATTTATTGGTGAAAAGCCCAAAGCTGGAATACCAATCTACAATTAAAAAAAAAATATTATTATCTATAATTAAGATAATTAATTATATATAAATATGCTATTTCTTAGTATCATAGCCAGGCATAGTTTGATACTAACTAGTAATTATTCATTATTATTAATAAGTACCAAAAAAAAATAAAATATAATCTAGGCAATAAATGATACAAGAATATACTGTATAAATACCTGTCTGATATATCTACTATCCGTTGCACCAGGAAATATATACTTATTTATTTTCAATTTCCTAAAACAAAAATATTAAACAAATTAGTTAATAGGATCCTAAACAGCAATTATTTTTTGTTGGCATATTAAAGATGATTTCTCTTAAAACTATAATATTAGTGCATAATATGATAAAAGAGACAGTTAATATTCTTTATAATTCAATATAAATTGTTTTTCGGATATAAATCATGGTTTAATATTATCTTCTAAGGTAAAAGAACAAGCTATTATAATTATATCATATACTTACATTTTATCACATTCTTCTTTAAATGTAATCCACCAAGGGTTTTCTTCATTGATTTTGGTAGGTTCAATAAATGCCATTTTTTCTTTAAATTCAAAAGTTACTCCTTCACCAGCTTCCTCACACCATTTTTTTATAAGCTTCTCAATTGCTTCTGTATTTAATTCGATACTCAATCGTATGTCAAAACTAACTGATAATTCAGGTGGCACTACATTTATTTGGCATCCTCCGTTTAACATTGTCAAGTTTATAGATGTAACATCACCTATTTTTAAATTAGAATTTTTCAACCTAAATTTTTCACCTTCCCTCCAATTCATAAACTTATTAATGATGTATTGCAATTTTTCTCCAGCTGTACTTTCATGTAATAATGATCCATGTCCAGGTGAACCAGTACATTTGACTACAAGATCTATTAATAACAGTAATAGAAATATAATAACTACAAATAAGAATATTTTAATAATTTATGACTAACGCCAAAGTGTCCGTTCTCCATAATAGAGACTGAAACTGTCATCAGCACTAGCCAATCCTTCATCTAATGCAAAACCGACATTTAATGCCGCAAATTCAGGTGAATTAACAAATATCTTCATTCCTAAATCTCCACCAGTTTCTTCATCTTAAATAAATATAAAATTAAAACATGATTTTTATTATAAATAAAAATACAAACCTGGAACAAATGATATATGTATTGTCCGATCAAAAACTAGTTTATTTTTTAAATATCTCCGTATAGTTTCTAAATATTGAATTCCAACACATTTCATGTCTTGTGCACCTCTGGCATAAATGTTGCCTTTTTCATCTTTATGAGCAGAAAATGGATCAAAAGTCCAATATTCCTAAAATGTAAAAACATAATAATATATTAAAAGAACATTGACTACAGTAAGATATTATGTATGGAGTAAATATAAAAATATCTTGAACATGAAACTTTTTTCAATAGATTTTAATTTTTTTTTAAATTTAAATTAAACTTATAAAACATGAAAAACCACAATGAAAATGTGTTATTATTATTATATCAATTAATTTGTGAATAATATGATTTATTGTTACTTTTAATATTTTAAACAAATAATGACCTGCTTTTCATTTTCTCATAATGAAAATAAACAAAACATGCTTTCAATTTTATTATCTATAAGCTTTTATAATAATCATAATATATTTACTGGATAAATTGGGACTACATCCATATGAGAATTAAGAAGTATAGAAGTCAGTTCTGGTTTCTGTCCAACCCATGTAATAACTACTATTGGTTTTCCAGGAGCCATATAATAAATATTAGATGGAAGATTTAAACTTTGTGCTTGGCGCAAAAGGAATTCAACACATTTACCTAAAGAAAATATAATTCGTTGTTTATATTAAGAACTCAATAATTTTTAAGAGTGTAATTTTACATACTATAGTCAACATCAGGATGAACAGTAGGTATACGCAAATACTCTCGGAAATTAGTAACAGCTTCTGGTTCACAATCTTTATTTAAAGACATTTTACTCCGTTTAATTTTTAGAGGTTCAGCCTAAATTATAAATTAAATGAAATAACAAGCTATAATAAAATTATATATCACAAATTAGATGTTAAATAACCTTAGCTCATTTATTTATTGTAATAGAGCTAATTTTTTTAATCAAAAACCATTTTTACAAGTAAAATTCTATAACTCCAAGTAATTTAATATTTAATAATTATAACTAAATTTATATCAATAGAATAGTATTAACACACCTTTATCTGCTAACATTTTATTTGTTAAATTCACTGTCAAAAAATATTTATAACAATTACAAATATGTTAAAATGTCATCTATAGATAGTACATTTTTTAATGTTTGCGTGTGCAAACTTTGTTGATATTTAAAAATAGTGTGCCTTGTATTTTATGCATTACTTAATATTTTAGGCTTATGGCCCAAATTGTTAACTCTATTGGTGAGCTTATGTGCAGTAGGTACTATTTAGTTTTTTAAAAATAACAACCATTGATTTTTTGACCTAATAAGAATGTGTACATTTTTTAAACATTTTTTCGTGAGATACATTATAATGATTAAATTTAGTATATACCTAACTACAACTTGACATGAATTTAAAGAAATTATAGTTATACAAATATAAAATTAAAGGTAGATGGGTAATGTTTTGTTGTATGTTAAATCAGAAGTTCTCAAACTTCTTTATTGTGTGCCACTTATATGTATTATGGATCTATTACAAATCAATGCTTATTAGTAAAAATTAAACTTGTCAAAATGTTAACTTGTTTATTTCGAAATTATAAACGTATAAGACAGTAAAATACTGTAATATAATTATTTATTAAATATTTTTAATTTTTAAACAACATTTGCTCAAAGCAGAAAATTGTATTAGATCCATTAAAAACATTTGAAGAATTAATTAATAATTAATTTTCTATACTACTAACAGGCGGCATTCTGCGTACTACCATGTTACGTACCACATACCACAGTTTGAGCACCGCTATACTAAATTATAATATATTTTTCAATAAAACTAATTGAACCTTGTATAAATTATATTTTAGTTGGGCATTATTTAAGATACATCTTAAATAGTGGTTTCAATATAAGTAAGTACCTTCTTTTTTTTTTAATTATTGGAACACAAATTTTATATTTACAATCTGTATTTACACATTATACAATAAATTGGATGAGGTTTAAATAGCTGGAAGGGAAAGTCGCCCATTAACGACATCCCATAGAAAGAGGTCGCTACACCAGTTATTTTTAAGGCACATGGGTGGGTTACTTGGAGTTGAATCCCTTAACCTACAATTTAAATTCAAAATATCTAGTTAAAAATAATATATGGGTATAGCCTTTTAGATAATATAATGGGAACAAACTTAATATTAATGTCAAAAATATTTAAAATTATTATTTGTATTATATAACACACATAATATTATTATATTAATTTAATACATTTTTTTGTTATGGTTAAATAAAAAAAAAAATGAATTTAGGCATACAAAAGTATTCTCACCATGATATTATAATTTTAGATGTGTTTTATATTAATATATTATTAATAATTAATATTATAATCAATTATTGATCAATTGAGTTTCATAACCCAGTGTTTGGTTTCCCTGTATAACAAATCCAAACCACAAGGAAAATATTAATTAAACTTAATAGTTATTATTAATAGTATCATAAAAATGAAAAAATAACATATTAAACCTAATAAAGATGTTAATCTTTAAATCTTAACACAAATTTGAAACATAATTGAGTATTTAATTCATATTATTAATTTTAACTTAATACTACTCATATAACATACCTAATATTAACATAAACATATTGATATATAAATATATAACTAACATTAACATATTGGGTTAAATTTTTCTTAACATTGTATATTATGCAAATTATACTAAAAATGTCAATATAATTGTATTAACAACTTACCTAAACACCAGTAAAATAAAATGATAATATAATATTACACCAATAACAACCTCTTGTTAATTTTATCATATCACCAATAACACAAAATAGAAGAATTAATTAATGCCCACTTTAAACTTGTTGATGACGTTGTTACAAGTACTCTACAGAATAATCCATACTGATAATATTATATAACAACTAACAATCAATAAAAATTAATTCACATTTTATCTTTCTTCGTAGAACAGGATTACACACACCAAAATTCAGTGGGTATTCTATCGCAATCACAGTTATTATATTTTATTGATTACTATTTTCAATTTTGAGAAATTACTTATTAGTTTTAACAAGAATGCTGTTAAATCTGTAATCACTATTCTCTGTTATATGAATTCGTAGTACTTGTCTTATCATTATTTTTCACCAACGTACTACTTTCGACATTTTTATTCGAATCAAATATTGAATGACAAACCAATTTATTATTATTATATTTTATATTATAAATTCTCTTTCCGGATAGATACGGACTACTGATATTAAACGGCGTCTTAGCAAGTCACAGACTACGTGTCGGCTCTCTTTTACTCGCCAATGCCTCGAACTTTAAGAGTTAAAAATAGTAATTATATGTTCACTGCCGCGTTGAGTGAGGGCACAATCATTAATATTATTACACATATATAGGTACTAATCTAAAATAGGTATCCATCATGACTGTACGAGATGAAAATGGATCTTTAAATAGATGACCCATTTGTTTTCTTGTTATCAAAGGACCTATATAGTTAGATACAAAAATAGTTTTGCATTTTTATTTTTAACCAATATCATGAATAGAAGGTTCACTTACAATTAGTTACAAACGATTTTATTTACCCATACACAGGGCAAGACCTAAAATACATCAGATTTCAGGAGACACACTTTCAATTGATAGAGTTACTAGATTTCCATAGCCAAAAAAAAACCTGTTCGAGGGCGTAGATCTTTATACACACCTTACCTTACACATTTATATAATTTATAATAGATGTGTAGGTACTAAAAATTGCCACCAAAAATTAAATATAAGTAAGTAAAAGGTAAAACAGTTTTACTATACCTATAAAACAATTTAAAATGAATATGTACCATCAATTGGTTATTAGAATGATGAGTTCATAATTTGATTGTTATTATTTTCAATGTTATGTCTACTTACAAATTACAATTAAAACTCATATACACAATATTAAATTTGGTAAGTACACACATATTTTGTAATTCAGGGGACACACTTCGTGTCAGCTGGGAATACGTCAATTCGAGTTATAAAGGCTACAATATAAAATAAAATAATAAAATAATTTATCTATAATAAATTATAGTAACACCAATAGGCATTAGGCAATAAAATAGTACCTATAGCCCGTTTCTAAATAAAATAATATACTGACATCCCATTCTCCTGCAAAGCAGTAATAAGTCAACATCTAATGTCATACCAACTACCCGGAGATGCGCGCTGTCGAACGGAAACCAGTTAGGTAAACCTACCAGCCGGTATATTATCCTAATATATTTTGGAACGGTCTACAGATACCTAATATGGGCATACTCCTTTTCTGCCAAAAACGATTATGGTACGACCTTTTTTCATTTAATTTTTAATCCAGCTGATGAGTGAGAAAGTCGTTTTTTTATTTTATCTGAAGTTTAATTAACAATTAAGAAAACTGTAGAAAGAATGGAAAAATACGTAGAAAGAATGGGAAAATGTACGTAAATAAGTTTCATTTATTTAAAAATATTCATTAAATATTCATAGACTTTAAATGTTGACAGAAAACTTATAGGTATTTTTTTAGTAGTAAAATGTTCAAAATATTTGAGCCATTTTTGAGGTATTTATAGACATTTAAATTTTGTAATTTTTTTACGTAATTTTTTATCCAGTAGGTTCTCTGTAGATAAAATTATTAGACTAATTAGAAATGCTTGGAAATTCGACATGAGTTTCATTATAGGTCGAATTTAGTGGAGAAAAAATTTTAGTTTAATGTAGTATTTTCTTTTTTCTAAGATTTAAAATCATATTTTGACGAAAATCACAAATATTACGACCTTTCAAAACATGTATAATCGAACTTTGCTCCGAATCGTTTTTCGTTAGCAATTGTTTATTGTTGTTTACAGATATAAATTAAATAACTTTATGAATTCCGTTTTTCCAAATACCCATGTGTGGCCACACCCATCACCAGTATCAGCTCTCTTTTATTATTGCTGCTTTGACAGTGGCGATCCAGAGAGGCACGTCCCTAAGGAAGGGGTGGTAGGAAGGATGCCTCCCCAAGAGCCACGTGATATTTTTTTTTTTTGCTATAGGTACAAAATAACCATAATTTTTAAGTAATAATAAGTACAAATTCAACTAGTTCCAAATGCCATAAAGATAATTCGGGATCTTGGAAATACTTTGATTAAAAAAAGAACGAAACACTTCTCATTTAAAAATTTAAATAAATATTCTCTTAAGAGTGAGATATAATTATGGAAAACTAAGAGGGAAAAATCAATTTGCAAAAATATAATAAAATAATATTAAATTGGAAATGATTAATTTAATTTAAATTTTAGATCCTGACTGTAGCGAAGAATGTACGTTATTGGATTTACAATAATGTTTTTCTTCTTTTCTTTTTTTTATACTGTGACAAAAATTTCTACCAGGAATCTTGCTTCAATATGTAAGTTCACTTACATATAAATACTGTGCGTGTCTCTGTAACACCTTTTTTGAAAGAAAATATTATCATATTGACTAGATGGTACTTTATGAAGGTCATTTTTTGATTTTCCAAGCAGTTTTCATAATATTAGAAAAACCCTGGATAAAACGTAAGAAAAATGTACGTAAATAATGCTTTTATTATTTTCAATTTAGTTTTTTGTTGTAATTCATTTAAAAATATTCGTAGAGACTTGAAATTACGACAGAGAACTTATATTTGCCTTTTTTTGACATGATAAATAATTTGAACAATTTATAGACATTTTAATTTTGCAAGTTTTGTAGGTGTGTAATTTTTATTCGGTAAATATTCTGTGGATAAAATTGTTAGACCAAACAAAAATGCTTGAAAATTTAACATGAGGTTTATTAAAAGTTGTACTTTGTGGCAAAAAAAATGTTGAGCAGAAATTAAATTACTGGCTTAACACTTAAATATTATCAAAATTAATATATTAATGAAAAAAACATTGTTGATCAAAACTCTGCTTAAAATAAAAGTATTTTAATAAAAGTATAAAGTTAGATGACTGGGACATCTAACTTTTATTAATTATTATTATTTTTGTTATTCATATAATCATTATTTTAATTATTATTTATTTAATGTGAAAAAAATTAATTTAACTTTTAAATTGTACTGTTTTACTGCATTTGTACAATAATCTGTAGTCTTCTAAGTTAATATAAGGTGAATGAAATCAAAAATAAAGATTTTAAGTTTTTGTTGACCAAAGCGGTGGTATTCAAGAGTACATTCAAGGTTGTATACATAGTTATTAATTATCGCTTTAAAATAAATAAATAATGTTAATTATTCAATACATATTGAGTAGATAAATTTAATAACAGAGCTTTTTTATCCTAACGCTATGACTTTTTTTTGTCAATTCAGTGTATTACATAACGTACGAGAGAATAGCAATGGTCCGTAGATACCTTTATTTTCAGCATTTTATTGAAATATTAAGGGTATAGGTACTGTTAAATAGTTTATAAAAAAAATATATTACATTTTTTTTTATTATTATTGGTTTTTCATATCACTTACTGCTAAAATTTATTTTTGTAACTCAACAATTCGTAATTTTCTTACAAATTACAAATTGTCTTTTTTAAATTTTGAAAGTTTTACTTTAATAATTTATATTTTATTAGTACACAATTGATATCTATTTTTCTACAAGCAGCAGTTAAAAATTATATAAAAAAAATAAAAGTATAAAATATCCAATGTTAGGCGCAAGATATTATAATAGGTGTACTCTCAAACAAATGTATGAGATATAAATATTGATGTACTTATTTTATTCAGTTGCTAAAGCCTTAATTATATTGTAGTAAATATCAATTCCATTCAAAAATGTTTTTTCGTTTAAATATTCATCGTGATCGTGTAAAAGTATTTTTGTGTATGTCATTGGTGAAAATCCAAGTGCAGGGATACCAATCTGAAAACGAATTTGACCATTATCAATATTTTGGAATCATCATAGTAATTTTTTTCATAATAATTGTATTTAGATATCAGTACTTAGTAAAGGTAATAAACATTTAACATTAAAACATTCAACATTTTCTAGAATAACAAGCATCAAGTATAAGGATTAGATCAATAATGTGGAGATGGTTAACAGATTAAAGTCTATCGAAAGTGTATAAGCTTTTAATTTAAAATAAATAATAAATGTGAACACAAATTTTATAGTGTTCTATAATTAACCATTTGAAGCTAAAATTTCATTGAAAGAAAATAAATTTATTAGAACTTGGTAATTATTATTGGGTATAATTACTTGTCTTATATATCTGCTATCACCAGCTGCAGGACAAATGGATGGTTTCAGTTTTAAACCCCTGAAAAATAAAAAGATATCTATTGTTAATTATTATACATAGGTACATTTTATGTCACAACATTATGGACTCAGTTTATGGTTTAACTTGTGAGATTTGTATGTTGAACAAATATTACTTATTGTTGAATTAAATTAAATTAAAATTATCACTCAATTATAAAAAAAAAAAAAATGATTGTAGTAACTATTGTACTATTAAAAAATGAATTTTTAATTTAAAATATATATGATATTTACCTATTAATAAATGTATTAGTTTGATTTAAAGTTGAATATGGTGAATTTGAAATATTGGTGGGACATAATATGTACCTATATGTGCTAGTAATGATTTTAAATATTATTATTTGAATTATATTATACATATTTTTAATCAATGTTACTAGGTGCTTTATAAATAAATTTGACAGAATTATTAATAAATTATCATTAGGTATTCAACTTTATAAAGTTACTGTCAAAATACAATATTGCATAATTTGGTCTTAAGGAAAAATAACTTATGTATCTACATTTTTTTTAATTCTTTTTATAATTTTTCCTACTTTTTTGTAATTTTAAAATTTATTTGTGAAATTAACTAAATTGCCTTTGGACTTAAGATATTATATATTCACTTACATTTTGTTACATTCATTTTTAAACTTTAACCACCAAGGATTTGAATCATCTAATTTAGTAGGTGTAGTTTGTTCATTTCTCTTGCAAATCTCTAGCCATACACCATCACCAGATTCTTGACACCACCCTGTTATGGTATTTAATATATTACGGTAATCAACATCTGTAGCCATTCGAACATCAAAACCAGCTGACAATTCTGGTGGTACTACATTAAGCTGGCTTCCACCATTCAACATTGTCATGTTCACAGATGTAACTTGTCCAATGTCCATTCCTTGGGATAGTTTCATCTTTTCTGATGTTCGCCAATCTAATATTTTATTTACTACAAACATTAATTTCTCAGCAGCAGTATTATAGTGAAGTAATGAGCCATGTCCAGGAGTACCCGAGCTTCGAATATAAAATTCTGTTACACATTTATTCAAAAAAGCGTGTTAAAATTTAGAGGTATAGATATATTTATGTATATTAGGATTAAAGGTACTAATGGAAAATTGAAAAAGAGGTGTTTAGATAGTGACGTAACTAGATAAAAATCGAAGAGGGTTTCACAATAAATGGGGAAAAACGAGAAAATGTACAAAACATATTATTTTCAAATCGTAAATATTATGGCCTTTTAAAAAATGTACAACCATAGCTTTGCTTAGAATTATTTTTTCATTGGCAATAAATAAACTGATACGTAAGTACAGATATAGGAGTTATGAGACATATGAGTTCATTAATAAAAAGGTGCTTTAAGTAGTTTAAATATGCAAGTAGTATCAATATTAATCACACATATTTTATAATTGCAGGTGAATATATTACATTCTTTCTTAATTTAAGAAGATTCAAAGATTTGTACTGTTGGATTATCTGGTTGGGGGAATAAATGGTATCTTTGCCACACTACACAATTTCAAAGGAAGTGAGTGTTCCTTGTCCCCCCAATTACGCCACTATAATTGGATGCGATTGAGAATGATATGAGAATAGCTGGTGTATGTGAGATGGGAGATCAAGTGGAACTTTAAGTGGAAGTTTAGAACAAGAATCTCCGACCCTAATTAGTTAGCTTGAGATGAAGATAAAGAAGAAGAAGAATTAAATACATAGATATAGTAAGTATACTGACGCAAAATTGTTCTTTCGCCATAATACAAAGGAATAACATCATTTATACTGGCTAAGCCTTCATCTAGAGTAAATCCAACATTCAATGAACGGAATGCATTTGTTTTAACAAAATGAGCCATGCCTAAAATACCTCCAATTTCTTCATCTAAAATGTGATAAAATATTATAATAATAATATATTTAGGCAGTGGTTTTTTAAACTTGGTTATCCAATTTTTTTTTATCAAATTACGCATAATTTATATTATATTCAAATTCTGATTTTGGTAATTTTTAAATATAATTGAAAACAAGGCTTCAAACCATTTATAACCGGTTTAAATTACGAATTAATGATAATAATAATTTTTATAATATACTAGTTACTCGTTTCCAATATGAAAAATGATTATGGTACACTGGTATTCTACTAAAAAATTAAAATGCCACGGCCACAAATATAGATTACAGATAATAAATTATATATATATCGTTGGCCGGGGAATTGTCTCCTTTAATGCAGCTGATATTAATTTCGCATGATATTGCGAATAATTATGAATTATGATACTGTCAGTTGTCACGGAAATTTTTTTAACATTTTACTTTTGTGATTAGACAGTCGATTGTTGTCGTCGGTGCTATTATCAAATATTTGTTAAACATTTTTCCTTCACCTCGGTTATTTCTCTTTTCTTTTACTTTGTAGTTTTTTACCTCAATAGTAATTGGTACTATTAGTTGTTAGGTACAGTTATTTCGTTATTAGTATTATTTAGTATTTCATATTAATTTAAAATGTTTAAATTAGGTAATTGTCGTCAATTGTGTTAACTCTGATTATTTTTGTCTTGTTATTAGTTTTAAGTGGATTCAGAATGGAGCGAAGAAGCTTATTTTATACAAAGATGTTCATTTTTTTTTTCTATGGACAATATTTCTATCAGTGATTTTGCTCCGATTTTTAAGTGTAGCATCTTTTCTGAAAGGAAATCTGACAGGGAAAGTACTTTTAGAATGTCATTTTTTGATATTCTCAGGCGTTTTCTCAGGAAATGTGTAAAAACGGGGAACTCGGTAAACAATTAAACAAATATTATTAAAAAAAATATATAATGCCGATTTAATTATTTTACCATAGTATGACATATATATTGTTGACAAAGCATTACTATCGACTGAACTCCCCTCAGAATCGTATTTTCGTTAGCCTTGGTTTATCATTGCTTACAAGTATTCATTAAATTACCTATAATAGTAGTTGCACATTATTCTATTGTTTCATTATTCTAGGATAGCTGTTTTATTTTTTTATTTTTATAGTAGTAGATAAATTATATACTCCATTTAGTATTTACATAGTTACATGTTATAATATTATACAGTGTTGTTTTAAAAAAAACAATTTCAAAATTAACCAATTTTATTAATTTGAAAACCAGCTTTATCTTTAGAATAACCATAAAATGTACGATCAATATTAACCAATTCTTTAAACCGAAAAAAAATAGAAGAGTCATACAATTTAAGGAGTACCTTGTTGGCAATACAAACTTTAATTTTTAAATTAGAATCTGCATAGTTCAACGCAAATTATGAATTGGATAACTCTTCTGAAAATGACAACGTATTGTAACTGAAATTTGAATGAACAGTTTTTGAGTTGTACTTTAAATACTAAGATAATAGTCTACTATAAATACATTTAAAATACTTACGACTGTGTAAATTTAGTAATTTTAATTAGGTTTCTACTATGTTACATAACATATTTTCTTATAGGTATGTACCTAGATTCTACTAATAGTAAAAATACTCACTCAATTGAACAATATTACAAAATGATCTATTAATTTTAACAAACTCTTAGAGGTTAACAATGTGTTTAAAATATACTACCTATCAATTATTATCCTTAATATTTAAAATAAAATAAAAAAAATATGTGTGTTCTCGTTTAAAAATCAAAGTTGGTATCACCAAAGTACCTATACTCTTTAAATGTGAAATTTATAATTATTCAAAAATATTGTCTTTAACTACACTTAAAAATCCAAAAATCAGAATCTAAATATGTACGCATAATTAAACTGTAAAATAAAGTGAGCATGCCTAAAAACTCACATTTTTATCAATTTTGAACAATGTAAGAAAGATTTGCAATGAAGAAGTTTTTATTTAATTTTTAATAAAAGTTATGTTTAAATTTATTTAGAACTAAAACTTTGTAGATAGATATGTACCTACAATTTATACTTATGTAGTATTTACGTATCATTTAAATAATTATACAGAAATATAAGTCCATTAATGGTATAATATCTAGGTTAGGTAGGTATTATTTTTTAATTTTTAAAACTATATACAATAAATATACCAGGCATGAATGATACATGTATAGTTCTATCGAAAGTTAATTTCTCATTAACATATCTTCGTATCGCTTCTAAATATTGTATACCGACACTTTTCATATCTTGAGTTCCTCTAGCATATATATTTCCTTTTTCATCTTTGTAAGCCAAAAATGGATCATACGTCCATTTTTCCTATAGGTAAATAATTATTACATATTATTGATAAAATAAATATTTATAGAGATCTAAACGTAAATACCTACTGGATAAACTGGTACAACATCCATATGAGAGGTAAGCAAAAGAGATTCTAATTGAGGTTTTTGTCCTTGAAATGTAATTATTACAACAGGTTTTTTTGGTGCCATATAGTGGACTGATGATGGTAAGCCCATACTTTTAGCTTGCAATTGTAAAAATTCTACACATTTACCTAACATTAAAAACAAACTACAAAAACAGTATTTTTTTTTTTTAAATGTCATTGATATTTCCAATTTTAAAAAAAGGTTACCGAAATAACAGAAAATCAACATTGTTGAACACTGAATTTAAGGTATTATTATTAATCATACTCAAAAGATTGCTAATATATACAGATGAGATTATAAACAACTACCAAATCGGATTCAGGATAAATAAATCAACTACTGATCACATATTTGTCATAAGACTGCAAATTATGGAAAAAAAATACGAATTCGCGAAACCTACGTGTGATATTTGTAGATTTCAAACAAGCCTACAACAGCATAAACAGAAAATTCTATGGAAAATTCTTAAATATTGTGTATACCAACTAAACTAATCAACATGGTACAATTGTGTAACACGAAGACTAGCAGCCGAGTCGAGGTGAACAGAGAGATATCATCTTCATTTATAATTAATAGTGGATTGAAACAAGGGGATATGATGTCACCAGTGCTTTTCAATATAGCACTGGAAAGTGTAATAAGGAAAATATCACAAACTGAAACATTAAACCTTGACGAAGGAAATGTCTTACCAGCATATTGGTCATGAAAGGGTATTCAGAATATTGTTGAAGATCTGATAAAGATAGGAGGTATTGGGTTAAAAATCAATAGTGGAAAAACTGAATACATGATGGTAAAACGAGGAGGAGGTGATTGTACTAATCTCTACGTGAAAAATAACATCTTTGAACAAGTTAAAGAGTTCAAGTACCTAGATAGCCAAATCAACATGCATGGAGAGATCAATATCAGATTAGGTGCTGTTAACCGATGCCATTATGCACTGAATCCCTCTTTAAATCCAAAATGTTGTCAAGCGAACCAAAAGAAGATGCATAATTTATATCCGTCCTGTATTGACATATGCGTGTGCCACATGGGCAACGACGAGAGGTGATGACAAATTCCGTTTTGGTGAGAGAAAAGTTCTAAGATAAATTTACGGATCCGTAAACAAAACTGAATAAAAATAGAAAATAAGAACTAACGCCAAACTATACCAGCGATTAACAAGTACTAATGACAAATACTACGCATCGTATAAACCAGACATTACAAAAGAGAATTAGTGATGCAATTCATCAGAGGCAGAAGGATAGAATGGGAAGGCCGATAGAAAAAGGTATAAAAAAAACATTGACATATATAATGAGAGCACCAATACCAAGAGAAAGACCGCGGAAAAGATGGAAGGATAATGTCAAGAAATTCAGTTTAGGATATCTTGGCGTGGCCATGTTGTTGTAAACCATTTTGGTGAAAGCTATTTTAGCATGAGACAGGTTTAGCGTAAAGCAGTTTTGACATATATTTAATATACAGCATATAGCAAAATATTGTAATATTAAATATAAAATGGATACCTATAACTTCGGATTTATCGGTACGATTGCAGACAATTTAATATAATTTGTCGATGAAATTGGGGATACATTCGGGCTATCCCCAAATAATCAGTAGTTATAAAGATAATGTGGGCATTTATTAAAAACTTAAGAAAGGTTCAGTCAGGAAGTAATACATTTTATCAACAAATAGAAGCTGGAAATAGTTCTCCAAAAAATTTAAAAAAATTGGTTAATGTTGACAAAATAATTTTCAAAATTGTAAAGGATTACAACAACCACAATATAATTAGATTTTAAGGGACATAGTTTAAAATATAAGTTATTGCTAAATTTTTTTTTATTTATATTAATTATACTTTTTATTTTTAAAATGATTAAAAATTAAAATAATTGTAACCTAATTAATTTTGAGCCATTTTTGAGACATTTAGCTCATAAAGCCTAAAATAAAAATTTGTACTTAGAAAATAATTTTGTGAAGAATAATTATTGGACCTATGTTTTTTATTACAATACTCAGAGTTGAGTCTAATTATTTCATGTACCTACATCCTCTACGTTCTCCTCTCAATGTATACATTGAACACAGTATAGAGAAAATAACAAATGAAGAAGTACTAAATAAAATACCAAAAAGAAAAACACTATGGAAAAGCTGTTTAAGAAGATGGACACATAATCAAATATAGAAGCTTGCTGAAATTAATTATAGAACTGTTCAATGGAAAAATTACATAAAAAGACCTAAGATAAGAATATATGAATCAAATTATGAAAGATTAAAGATACAATTTTAGCTTACAATTGAAGAGAAAAGTAGATGGTAATACCTAATGGAGGAAAGTTGCAAAACAGAAATAAAAATATACCTACCTATCTAATTCAAACAAATTAGACCAACCCCTGCATCTGTAAAAGTGTTTAATTTGTCATTAAAACCAACATTTTCCTATTGTTATAATGACTAAAAATTTTAAATTTGTGAGATATTAAAATATTAACAGGACATTTAGCCATTTAGGTATGCACGAAATTTAATTGAAAAACTAAACATAAAAATGAAAATACGCAGATAAGTAGGTACTTACTATAATCAACATTAGGATGGACAGTGGGTATTTGTAAGTATTTTCTAAAATTGGTAACCGCTTTATTCTCTTCATTTGCTGAACACATTTTTTTAAGTTAAAATAATTATTAAAAAAATAAATCACATGTATTTAAGTTCCGAGTTGTAAAATTTCAAATAATTACTTTATAATTTTAAATACAAGTAAGTATTCATAGGTACTTTTATATTTTATTATCTGTCTCTATGTAATGGTTTTTTATAATCAACTAAATTATATTACCATTTTAATTATAATATTTACTAAATTCGTTTTTATCTATTTCGTTATTTACATTAACAAGATAAACCCAATTATGGCAATAACTATAACTTGTTAAACAAAAGATTATCGTAGGTCATTAGAATACATTACATAATATTATAGATGCACAATATATAATTACTAATATTTATGAATAAGCTATACCAGATTATCCATTAAAGTGGGTACACCAGGCGCGTCCTTGATAGGGGGTAGGGGAAATGGCCCCCATATGCCGTGTGATGTTCTTTTTTGCTAAACAAAATAACCATAATTCTTAAGTATAAATAAGTACAAATGTTACTGGTTCTAAATGACATAAAGATGATTCCGGATCTTGGAAATACTTTGATTAAAATAAAAATGAAACACATCTTATTAATAAATTTCAATAAATATTCTCTCAAAGGTGAAATAGAACTAAGGAAAACTAAGTAGTAACAATCAATTTTCAAAGATATACTAAAATAATATATTTTTAGAATCAAAATTGGAAATGATAAATTTAATTTAAATTTTAGATTCTGAGTATACATATCGGAATTGCAATTGATTTTTTATTTTTATATTGTGCCAAAAATGTCTACTAGGAATCATGCTTCAATATGTAAGTGTAGCATTTTTTTTGAAAGAAATATTGTCATATTGACTAGATGATACTTTAGGAAGATCATTTTTTGATTTTCTAAGCAGTTTTCATAATATCATGAAAACCCAGGATAAAACGATATAATTAACGAAAAAAATCCTTTATTATTTCAATTTTGTTTTTTTTTTTTTTTTTAGTTCAGTTAAAAATATTCGTAAGGCTTGAAATTTCGACAGAAAACTCATATTTGTCTTTTCTTGACGCGGTAAAAATGTTGAGCAATTTATAGACATTTTAATTTTGCGAGTTTTGTACGTAACTTTGTGGATAAAATTGTTAGACTAAACAGAAATGGTTGAGAATTTAACACGAGGTTCATTAAAAGTCGTACTTTATGGCAAAAAAAATTTTGAACAGAGGCTAACTAGTTTATCACTTTTAAAAATTCAAAGAAAAAAAACCATTAATATAGAAAATATTGTTGATCAAATCACTTGCAAAATGCAACTTAAAATAAAAGTATTGTGGACTTGATCATTAACGTTTAACTAATTATTATTATTATTTTTGTTATTCATATTATCATTATTTAAATTATTATTTATTTAATGTGAAAAAAAAATTAACTTTTAAATTGTACAGTTCATCATAGGCTATAGCTGACATAAAGACCTATAGACATACAACACTACAAATTAGATATTATTTGATATTTCATAAAAGGCGCCAAATGTGATTTGAATTTATTACACATGCGTAGTTTTCAATCTCTTTGGTTATCCATTTAATTTATTTTTCCATGTAATTTTTTCTGTGATTTTACTTTTCGATTCCGAAAATATCCCTTTCAGAGGGAAAAATCTTACTCATTTCATGACGCCAAAAATTTCTCGTCTGCCGGTCAAACAATATACATTGAAAATCGTGTTTGATGATCTGGTAAAATCTAGTATATTATAATTTACTCGCTTTAGTGCGCCGAAAAACATATTGGCGGCAGTGGCCTAAGTACTAACACTTGAACATTATACACACACACACACACATACGTCCATTTACGCTACTTAATACTTACACACCAAAAACCCAAATACACACGAATATACGATAATCATAAAATAAACGATGTCGGTGGCGCGCCGTGCGCAGTGATCCTTGACAAGACGGGACGGCCGGTGGTGGTGGAGGCGGGTTGCCCTATTCCTAATCTTGTTATTGATCGTTTATTGTTGCGCGTTTGTTGTGGCCACCACCGCTCCTAGCAACGAAAGAGAAGCCGTAGTCATAGTCACCATGAACGCCTTATTTCGTCAACAATTGAGGTATTAAAATAAAAAATATATAGGTACCTAATAGTTGGTTAGTTCGTTGTATAATAAATAACGGTAATAATAAACAAAAACGAAGCGTCGATGACTGTAATCGAATTTCATTTTTGTTTAAACAATATAATATAATAATATAAACCAATAGGCAGTAACCATAATGTCTATGTGCGTACGTGTGCGTATGCGTGTTTATATTCACAGGCATACATTGCTGTTCCATTCCGAACAAGAATTATGAAACACTTCTACAAGTCGTCGAGCAATTGAATAGTAAGTGTTATAATACATTTGTAATGAACGTACTAGATTATGATGTGTGTGCGTTTTCCATGGACGGTAAATATGTGGCAGCTGCTGTTTCTAATCGTTTTATCATCAAAAAGAGCTCGTTCGCCGGAATATATATTACAGCATTGGCCGATCATGCTGTTAATTATTTACAGTGGAATAGTACGTCTGATTTTATACTGTGTGGTCAATTCGGGAAAAGTGTATTGCAAGTGTATGATTTATGCTCTAAAACTTGGACAAGCTCATTTAAATGTGGCTACTTTAAATTTATCGCTGTTGAATGGATAGGCCGTATGAAAATTTTGTTGACACTCGAGTTCCATATGGCTTTAGCTATATTTGATATATTAAAAAATTCAATTGTGTATGTTGAAGTTCCAAAGCCCATTTGGCCTTGTGTAGTATTTGATAATGATGGTATACATATGTTTGTAGTTTCCAAGATTAATGGTTATGAAAAAATATTAAAGATGCATTCACATAATGTAGATAGGATAATTTATGTTCAAGATATTATAGGATCATGTAATGGATTACATAAATCTCCAGATAATCAGTATCTCTGTGTTTTTAATGAAAAAAAATTGGCAGTTCTCAATTTTCTTTCTGGCAATGTTATTGGATTAATTGAATTTAGTATATTACTTAACACAGTAACTTGGGCACCTAATGGTGAATATTTAGCATTAGGCTGTTATTTGGGTAATATATTTATTTTAGAATCTTCTAACGAGTTTAATGTACTGCATAAATTATGTCATTCAAGAAAAGAAAATTATGATTTTTTCATAGAATCCGATAGAGTATTAATTAAAACAAAACCTTCAACCAATTTTATCAACAATATTCCTAAAAAAATTGCTTCTATAGCATGGAGTTTTGATTGTACTTATTTAAGTACATTCGAAATAAATTCAGCATATCTTTTTATTTGGAAAAAATATAAATTGATATGTGTAGTAGAATTCTCTAAAGAAATAAAAGAAATGCAATGGTGTCAATCAAAAAATAAACTTTCCGTAGTTTATGATACGGATTTAATATTTTTTTGGACTGAAAAACAAATTCCTAAATTGCAGACATCGCCAAAACTCACTGATGGAACATGTTTGTTAGTCTCTAGTATATCATGGTCTTTTAATAATAAAGATATGATCTTAAGTGATGGAAAAAAATGTTTATTATTTACTACTTAATATAGGTAAAATAATGTATTAATTTGTGTATATAATATATATTAAGTATATACATTATACATCAATCATAAATTGCTTTGTTTTTAATATATAATTGGTACTTACAGTTTTGTTAACAATGTTTTTAAACTTTTTTTTTTATATTTAAATTGCTTAAAATTTTAATAGAATTTTAGAATTTGTATTTTGTTTTCTTTATATTGCATATTATACAATTATTTTGTTTACTATGCTGTATAAAATAAATTTGTATTTATATTATCTACCTATATTTTTAATAGAAAAAATTTAATTTACAATTTTGAACTAATTTTAATATTTAAGGATGCATTTGTAATATAATATAAATGATTACATTTTATGTTTTGGTGTGTATTTTTTATATTCTTAACACTTGTGTCCATAAATGTTTAAAACCAAAAATATTTTTGGTATCTAACCTAACATAACTAAACATAATATGCGATAATCATAAAATAATTTACTTTGTTTTTATAATGTGACCTATTTTTACTACAATATCTTTGTAAACATTTCAGTTTACAAAGTCATCAATTGGTTAACCAAACATTTACTTTTATGATGAAACTCAATGACTATATAAATATTTTAATATAATGAATAAATTATTGCTAAAGTAATTTTAATAAGTCAGAGTAATACATTTTATTATTTATTTTTTTTTTCGTTTTGTTATTAAGTATTAGTTGATTATAAAATATGGTTTAATAAATAAAATTAAATTCTATTGTATACCCTAATAAGAATCTTGCATAGTGTTGCCCATAACAACAAAATTAATATAAATAATAATAACTGTGTTTCGTTACTATGGAAACATTTTCTTTGTATAATAAAATGTATAATTCTTTTTTTACCTGGTTTATTTATATGTATTCAAAATTTAATCTGATTGCAAAGTGTTATCAGACCCACTATTATACTTAAAATATATCATAATATTTGATTTTCAAACTTTCCTGAATTTTTATATATTTTTTTTTAACTGATTTTTTTGGAAATCTGAAAGAAATACACTAGTTTCAAAAACACATAAAAATATGATTTAGAAATTCTATAATATAAATACCTTAATATATTATATTTATTAACTTACATGTTTCTTTTATTATTTTGTTTATTGTTTTTAATGGTGAATTAAAACACAGTATAGATTTACAATCATTATTAAAATTCTAAGATAACTTTTGGGTTTAGATAATTCAATGGCGACTTCTGTACGGAGTGGAATCAAATTGGAAGGGTCTACAGGTACCGGTTCCCAAATTAGTACTATAACTGTGGTAACTGCTGGTGGAGTTGGTCAAACGCTCGTTGTACAACCAGTACAACAGGCTTCTGTTGTGCGTACATCAATAGACCAGGTATTAAATGTTTAAAGATAAAACAAAAATAATTATATATTTAAACCTATTTACTTTCAGAATGTAAATAGTAATAGACAACTGGAAAATGCCATATTATGTGGTACTAGTCCAGTACATGATGATGGATCTGATAAATCATTAGATGACGATGAACATAACATAGATCATAAAGATCGTAGTGCTTCTACTGTTACTGTCGATAATAGTCATTATATTGTGGCAGCATCGGGTGAGTTAATCAATTACTTTATCTTGTTATAGAATTAAAATTGTATTTATTTATGAAAAATGAAGGATTTTTAATTATAAATTTTAAAAGATCAAAATAATATATTTAAGGATGGGTCTTTGTCAGTTTTTATCAGTTCCAATATGATGATTCTCGTAAAGAATTTAAAGATATATTTTACTATACAAAATGTAGTTTAAGTATATTTTAACTTTTTTAGTTAATTAGTAGAGAATTATTTGACCCATCCCTACATTCTTAATTATTTAGTTAACTTGTATTTTTATTTTTTAATAATAGTCCTCTATTTTTCATCAAAATTGCATATTATCATATAACAGTTTAAAAAAATTACACGCTTACAATTAAGAAGGGACTCAAGGACGATCTTATACTTCTCTTACACCAGTACCAACATTGGGTAAGACTTGTAATGAAATATTTATTTTATTTTTCATTTCAAATTCTTTATTGTATGTTTTCTTTGTTCCTTTTTAGTATTTTACATTACCTTCTTAGATCATGTATAACTATTTATTATTTATTTTGCTTAAAAGACTTTTCCACTTATGCAGAGTTTTTACCAAAAATAAATTGTAATCATATTATACATCATATGCAAGCAGAGCCCTATCATAGCGTTGCCGGTGGCAACAAAATTAGTATAAACAATAGATATTTTTTCCCCTTATAACAAAAGAAAACCAGAAATCAATAAAAATAAATAAATTTGGTTTTAACTGTAGCAACCTATAACTAAGTATAAACATTTGAATAAATAATTTAAGTAAAATAACTATCCCAATTACAACTATTATAACTATTACACTTTTACATTTTTTGTAACTACTGTAAACAAAAATCAATTTCAAATTTTAAAAATACATATAGAGCACCCATAGAGAAATATTAAAAATTTTAAATAACATTTTTTTTAGTAATTTTAGAATATTCCTTGTACTTTTCTTAATAACTGAGGAACATTAGGAATTAATTTTGGAAAAACAGGAATATTTACACAACAATCATTTATTATTTTCAATTTGGTTTTTTTTATTATCCAGTTAAAAATAATTGAAGGATCCTAAAATGTTAACAAAAAAAAATAATGTAAGCCCTTTTTAGATGTGTTTTTCAAAGACATTCTGTGATATTTGAGCCATTTATAGCAGTTGTTGAGTTTTTAGTTTTTATTTGGTGTTTTATGTTAAATAAGTTGTTTTGGTCATGCAAAAATGATCAAACTCAATTAATTATAAGTTGTACCTGGTAGTTAAATAAAAAAATTGAGTTGTAGTGGAGTAGTTTTTTATAATTCTTCTTAGGTCAAATTTTGACATAAATAGTACAAATTGTGGCTTTAAAATATTCTTTTTTTATTGTTTATAAGTTTAGTCGAATTTTGCTTAGATTGTTTGATTAGCAATTACTAGACGTAATTATAAATTAAATTACCTTATATATCCTACAGTTTATTTTTTAATTATGTTTACTACACTACTTTTTGTAGTAAGTTACGTCTGTAAAGTCAGTTTATAGCTCCTTCATTTATTTTTTTATATTTTTTTTTTTTTTTAATCTACTTTGATTTCTTATATGTTTAAAATATATTATGTATCATTGGTATTAATTTAAAATTTGTTTATATAACTTAAATAATTTGATGTATATTATTTAGTTCCTGAAACAGAAGCTGTTGGTTCTGATGATGTTGGCCATTCTACATATGTACAGTATGTTGAAGGAACTGGTGAACACTCAATTTTTACAAATGGACAAATGTAATGTATTTTTCAAAACAAAAAAAAAAACTAAAATTGTATACATTTTTTATTTTCAGGGCCTACCCAGTTTATACTGTGGGGGAGAGTGGAACAATGTATCAAACTGGTCAAACTCATTATTATACTCCAAGCACAAATTCTTATTCTCAAGTAAATATTGACTATTTATACTAATATTTATGTGTATAATTACTAGTGATGTTACAAATCATTAATTTTAAGGTTGAACTGATTCTTTTTTTAAACTATTAAATTATTACCAAAAAAAAATATTCAAATATGATGAAATAAAATAAATTAAAATATGAAAATCAAAAGATTAAAATTCTTGAATATGTTATGTTAGCTACAATATGTACAGAGGTACAACAGTTTTATATTTGTCGTGGCATAGTTTTTTGATAGCAAAAAAAATGTCATCCAAATTTTACTGAAAAAAATAACGTTTAGTACAAATTAATAATAAACTAATATGAAATCTATTGAATTTGTTTATTACAAGAGATAGAGATAGGATGTAGATGACCTAAAAAGAAAAAAATAATTAAACAATTTTGAATTGTATAAACCTCCTCTTGTTAAATTTCTAGCATTTCTGTTAGGTCAAAGAATTTTATCCACTGAGTAACCTACTAAATAAAAATAACATAAAAACACTTAAAATTAAAATATTTATAAGTAGCTCAAATATTTTGAAAATTTGATTACATCTAAAAAAGCATTTTTGTAAATTTTCCCGTCCTTTGTATGTTTTTTCGGTTTTGCTTAGTATTAAAAAAACTATACAAACAATTAAAAAACACTTCTCTAATGCACCAACAAGATAAAATTTCTTTTTCAAAAATGTGTTACATTCTGTACATTAGAGTAAGATTTCTTTTTGAAAAATTATTCACAGATACTAAAAAAAATACATCATAGAAAAACCAATATATTCGAATATAAAACTTATTATATATATATAAAAAATATTTATATTGTGAATCTATGAAGCATGAAACAAATTTTTAGCTTAGGATAAAAGAAGGAAAAAAATGCAAAAGTTATCAATATCATATTTCTATTTAGTTATATTTCAATGAAATGGGGTGAATTTTTAAACCTAATCTCAGGTTTAGTTCAAAGTTCAAACAATTTGTAATATCACTAATAATTTTCAGTTTTGATATACAGATGGTCTATAAATCCTAATCAAAATTCTTCATTGAATTCTTGTATCGTTATTTATTATAATTTATTACAGTTTATACAATTATTCAATTCAAATTATTATATTATAACAATAATGTAAATAAGATATTTTTCAATTGATACTTGTAACTTATAACCTTACTTTTTCTATTAAAAATCTTAATGTTGTTTGTAAGTATATTCAGGATATTTTATGGATTATTCTGTATATTTAATTGAATTGTACAATTATAATAATTACATAATGACAAATAAAATGCGATCAAAATGTTAAAGGTTACAAATACCTTAGGCCAACCAACATGTCAGGCACAAATTATTGGTAATGGAACCTATATCATACAACAGAATGTTGACAATGATCATATTATTACCACCACTCAAAGGGACAGCCCGAATTCCGCTATATCTTCGGTATTAAAATTTAATAAAAATATGCTTCAATCAATGCGTGTTATGTGTTTAAAATACTGCCTGTGATTTTATAATTTTTTGCAAAAATGTTTTTTAATTGACATGTAGTATAATCTTTATTTAAATTTTTTTTTTTTTTTAAGGATGTGTCTTATCTTACAGTCAATGCCACTGATTCTGGAACAGCGAATTCTAATATCGATCAACTAAATGGTGTTGATTCAGATGGAGGAATGCAAAGTTCTGGTCTAATACACGCCAATAGAATTTCTCCAGCCACTGTAAGTAAATTGAAAAAATTTGTTGCAATGAGCCATTCTGAAAAATGTTTTAATAGGTCAATTGGCTGATGGAAAATTATGAAATGGCTGAAGGTGTATCATTACCACGATCAACATTATATAACCATTATTTAACACACTGTTCAGAAACTAAAATTGACCCTGTAAATGCAGCATCATTTGGTAAACTCATTCGGTCTGTATTCATGGGATTACGTACACGACGTTTAGGAACCCGGTATTGTACTTTGGCATAACATTACAGATAATTATAAAAAAATGATTTTATTCACAATTTGTTTTGTGTTTAGAGGAAATTCTAAATATCATTATTATGGTATACGAGTTAAAGCTAGTTCATTGTTGAATGACTTTTCTAATGAGGAGAGCTTACCAGGTCGAACAAATCAAAGTAGTAGTTCAAAGAAAATTAAATTCATTAAAACCGAAGAGCGTAACTGCAATCAATATACCACAAACAGTTCAGACTCTGCTAATTGTTCTCAAAATAGTATTCCATCTTCTCCACAAACCCAAAACCAAGAATATTTAGGTGATGGTGCTAATGCTGTACCAGAATTTCCCGATATTATTTTAGATGAAATTCAATTGGATGACAATTGTACTTTAGAAGATGTAGATACATTTAAAAATTTATATCGTGAACATTATGAAGTAATTGATTTTAATTTATCATTTATCGTTTTATTTATTTATTTATTTTTTTGTTTTGTTTCTATAGGCATTTTTAGGTGCCATTTTAAACTTGGAATTTGGCACTGTTGAGTCTCTGTGGCGTGAATTTTGGCGTAGTCAAGATAATAATAATGATGAATGTGAAGAGGAGAAGTACTTATCTAAAGAAAAGTTATATTCCTTATCAAAGTGTAAAACGTTGCAACTATTTGTAAAAACAGTTGATTTTCTATTTTATCAAAATTTAGTGAAAGTTTTGATTCCAGACGTTCTTCGACCTGTTCCTGGTATGTGCATTTTATCTTTTAGTGTTAGTGAGATATATTTAATATTACTATTACACAAAATACTACGTACAGGAACATTAACTCAAGCCATTAGAAATTTTTCTAAAGGATTGGAGTCTTGGCTTACTTCTGCAATGCAAGGATGTCCAGAAGAAATGATCTCAATAAAAGTTAGTATTATTGTATTTCATTATTACTTGAGTTTTAACTATTAATTAAAAAATAATTTTAGGTGACTGCTGTCAGTGCATTTGCACAAACATTACGTAGGTATACTTCACTTAATCATCTTGCCCAAGCTGCAAGAGCCGTGCTTCAAAATTATACTCAAATAAATCAAATGCTTGCCGATTTGAACCGTGTGGACTTCCGTAATGTACAAGAACAGGTATGATAAAAAAATAATAATTATTCCTAAAATATAAAACTATTAACTTGGTTAATCAAAAGGCTTCATGGGTTTGTCAATGTGATTCAACATTGGTTCAACAATTGGAAGCAGATTTTAAACATACATTGCAACAACAAAACTCTTTAGAAGAATGGGCAATATGGTTGAAAAGTGTTGTTGATAATTGTTTAAAACAATATCGTGGTACACCTAATTTCACCAAAGAAGCTAGACAGTTTTTACTAAAATGGTCATTTTATAGGTATGTTTTAAAAAAAAACAAAATATTAATCATAAATTCTAACTTCTATTATTTATGATAGTTCAATGGTAATACGTGATCTAACCTTACGCTCAGCTGCTAGTTTTGGTTCATTTCACTTAATACGACTACTGTATGATGAATACATGTTTTATTTAATAGAACATGAAGTAGCTTCAGTCACAGGTGAAACACAGATTGCAGTAATGAGTTCACAAGATAGCGTGAGTATATTTAAATGATTATGTTTTATTATTAATGTTTATTGTTTAGATTTAATTAATATTAAATTCTCACTTTTTATTACCCTGATTATGATTTAGTGTACATATTACATTATGAGTGTAGTGAGAAATGTATTAGTTTTAATGTGTACTTTTTTTCTGTCTGTACAACTTTACAATCTTGATTAAACAAAAATTATTAAAAATTATTATGAGGTTGATTGTAAATTAAGTGGTAGCTCAATGGAGTAGGTATTCTTATACACATTTTTATGTTTAAATTCTAATGAAAGTCTTATGACTTAAAAATACATTTAAGAAAACAAATTTTGCTGATGCAAATGATTAATGATTCTGTACAGATATAAATAAAATAATTTTATCTTTTTTACCTTTCCAACTTTCCACCTTCAACAAATTATTTACTCATTAGCAATATCAACTTTTTTTTTTTTCTTATAATTTATATTGTATGTATTAACAATAAAACAAATTTTGAAATAAGAATTAATTCAACAAAACTATTGAAATATAGTATTGCAATGTACAATTATTTGGTTATGTCTCTCTTAGTAATTATTAGATTATAAGTAGGCAAAATTAATATTACCTGTTAATAATATTATATAAGTTTTTAGAGTAATCAAAGTAAAATACCTACGTTTATTAACAGAAACATCATAAATTGTGAATGACATTGTATTGGATAATATGGATTATGATGACTGTATTTTGATGGATTATTGTACATACGAGAAAAAATAATACTCTATTAGAATAATTTATATTATCCAATACATTCATAACTAATGAGTGGTGGTGTACATCAGTAATTTGAACTGGTAAGCGTCAAAAAAAAAACTTAAAATACTGTTATAATTTACATGTCTATGTACAACGTTATCTTAATGTATTTCTTAAAGCTCAAAACAGTTTCCAACTATTGTTTTAACTTGTGGTCACTTTGCCTTACCACACCCAGTCATGTTTACTATAATGATGCAGACCTGGTTATCAAAATTCTGAACGCTTTTGTCAATATTTTGTATACTTATATAATAAATTTAATATCTTAAATTTTTTTTAAATTATTAATATAATGCAGTATATATATCCAAAATAAAAAAAACCTATATTAAAAATATGACATATTGCTTATTGACATAAATGAAATTTATTTTATTATTTTTTGAGCATGCAGCACTCACTTGACCTAACTGCATACCGCTGCTTATGATGTTTCTATAATAGCCAGGAGGTCTTTACTAATCAAAATTGTATATTATTATTATTATTTACAATTTTCTTATAAACAGCTATAATTATAATTAATTGTATAATTGTAAAAATTTGATTTTGTTTTAGAAAACTACTTTACCTACAGTTCTGATAGACTTTGAGCCAACTGAATACACTACTACTTGCAATGGAAAACGCATGAAAATTAATTAGTCGCCTAGCCAGATTATAGATTTAACTTTGGGCACCTTATAATCACAAAAAAAAAAAATGTTATTGTTTATTTAATATTTTTGTTTTCTTTTTTTTTTTGTTATTTTGCGCACTGCAATTTTTTTTAAATATTTTATTTGTGCCTACACTTTGTAGATGATATTTTTATTTATTTATTTCCAAAGACTTAATATTATCTACATTCATTTTTATATGACATTTTGTGCAATTATTTGTTTTTTTTTTTTTCAATTATTGATTGTGTACATTGTAAACTGTTTGGACAACAAACATATTACTGTATTTTTTTTTTGAGGCCTATAACAGCATATTTGTGATGAAAATTGTTTTTTTTTTTTTTTATCTATATACTTAAATATTATATTATATTCTGTCATATGGTTAACTGTGTTTTTGGTATTATACAAATTTTCAATAAAAAAAAAAAAAAAAAAAAAAAAAAAAAAAAAACACACTTAAAAAAAAACAAATTTTATTATGAACAAAATAACAAATAATATATTTTTAGCAATTGTAACTATTCTATTTGTCCCATTATTTTTAAATCATCAGCTTTGACAAATTCGCATCCAGTACTTTGAACCAAATCAATTAATTCAACACCCTCAGCAATCTCAATTAAAGTCAATCCATTCTCAGGATCTACATCAAATACGCACTAAGAAAAAAACAACATAATTCATTAATTCATCATTTAAAGATTATGATTTTTAACAAATAATAATTACTTTTTCGGTGATGATTCTGTCAACACATCGTCTACCTGTTAATGGAAGGGTACAACTGGAAATAATTTTTGGTGATCCATCTTTGGTTGTATGTTCCATGGCTACTATAACTTTGGTATGTGGAGCAGATACAAGATCCATTGCTCCACCCATTCCTTTTACTAATTTTCCCTAATTGAATAGAACATCAAATTATTTAAAATATAAAAACTATATTCAAAACTTACTGGTATCATCCAATTAGCCAAATCTCCGTACTGTGATACTTCCATTGCACCTAATACGGTTAAATCCAAATGGCCTCTAAATAACAGTATATAAAATATATTTTAAAGCATAATATAGGTATTAACGATATTGTAGCATATTATTACCCTCTTATCATTGCAAAACTTTCTTCACTACCAAAAAAACTACTACCAGGAATGACAGTTACTGTTTCTTTGCCTGCGTTTATTAAATCTGGATCAATACATATTTTTGTATGTGGATGAGGACCAAGCCCAAGAATTCCATTTTCACTCTGTAATATTACCTGAACACCCTCAGGAATATAATTACTAGCTAACATTGGCATGCCTATGCCCAAATTAACTTAAGAATATTTGTTAAGGATATTAATTAAAATAAATAATGTTACTATTTAGTATAGTATAAATTTAATTATTAAAGGTAAGCTGTATAAATGTCGGAATAATTTTAGTTTAGCAAATTAAAGATATATTTATTTTATATGTATGAGAATATTAAACACATTTGTTTAGTTTCTCCAATAAAAAATATTAGTTTTGAAAATTTAAAAATTGTTTATTCTGTAATCCACACTTATAAATGCTTAGAATTAAATATTTTCAAATGAGTGGTATTTAATGATTAATCTATTAAAATATCTTTTAAAATCTTTAAAAATTTGTCCATATATATTTGAAAAAAGCTTAATAGACTGGTTTGGCATAGTGAAGATTAGATTTACAATTTAGATAATATTCCTCCAATATTGATATATAAGATCTAGGTTTAGATTAAATAAGCAGTTATCCTATATCTGAAGCAACACTTCGGTGGTGAGTGAAGCCAGTAGGTGTAAAAAAACAACTACCACATCTGTACTCTAGTAATATTGTTTGTTTCATGGTTTACATTACCTATTATAGCAAATAATGAATCCACTGGAAAATTACAGTCAAAAATTATTTAATTAAAACTACTAATTTTAAAATATTTAAAACACATTTTGGATCGATTCCAAATATTCTATTTTTTAAAGGTTTTTAATATATAGAAATTTTAAAAGTAAGCATAATAGATAAGTTTATACTTTATCAATGATTAAGTATTAAAAGCAATATCTTTTGGAAAAAAATTATTTTGAAAATATGTAATTCTAAAGCATACTTATATATATAAAATATACATGTTGCAGACAAACCAAATTTTTCCAATTTTTTTTCTTAACTTAAGTTATTTAGGTTTTTATTTTAGATTCTTATTGTACATATGAACATGTTACGAAAAAAATTTAGAATTGTTCTGAAAATTGTATTAAATTAATTTGTTGTCAGTAACATAATATACAATAATACTACAAATATATCTATGTGTTCTTAAATTCATCAGTGGAACTAGCATTGTTTCTATTCAATCAGAAATTTATGTTGACTACCATTCACTGTGTTAAAAAGATCCCTCGAATGGTGTGATAGATTTTCAATCATTTTTACATAATATTTGTGGAAATCCTATCAGGTATCATACACACATACAAAATTATGTTCCTTTATTATTTAACACTACAAAACAAAAGTAACATACAGTATGGATATTTAAAAGGATACCATACATGCCGTTTTTAAATTCCAGAGCCACACGTTTAATAATTGTTTCTCTTAATTGAGCAGCTGAAGAGCAAGCTAACATGGAAACTGATTGATCTGACTTTTTGGACAAAACTGTTTTCTAAATTTTTAAACTGTATAACTATTAAATATTTTTTATTAATTTCTAATTAATATTTTACCTCAATTTTTTTAACATAATCCTTGCCTAGTACAATTCTATTTACATATATTCCAGGAACATGCACTTGATCTGGGTCAATTGAACCAGTATCAACTATTTCTTCAACTTCTACAATTGTTGTTTTTGCAGCTGCACACATGACAGCATTAAAATTTCGAGCTGATTTACTATTAATATGTAAAATTTTATTAATAGTTACAATAAATTGACTATCAAATATATTACTTGAACACAAGATTTCCTTCATGATCAGCTTTTTGTGCTTTAATAATAGCATAATCTGCGGTAATTGCCTTTTCTAAAACATAAGTCTGACCATCAAAAATTTGGGTTTCTCGTGTATCACTGGTAATTTCCACTAGATCTGGTTGACTTTTGTTAGTTTCTTTGTTCTCAATTTCCTCATCTAAATCTTTATGTAATGCATACTTCAGTGGGATACCACCCTCTTCTACAAGTGTACCAACAGCGGTTGGAGTATAAAATGCAGGTATACCTGCACCTCCAGCTCGTATCCGTTCAGCTAATGTTCCCTAAAAATAAAATTATACATAATATACAATCAAAAAATTATTTTTTTAATCTACAAACTTGAGGGGTAAGTTCTACAGTAAGCTCTCCATTTAGATATTGTTGCTCGAATTCAGAATTTTCTCCAACATATGAAGCAATGACTTTAGATATCTTTTTTTGTTTCAATAGTTTTCCCAAACCAAAATTATCTACACCAGCATTATTACTAATCACTGTCAAATCTTTAATGTCTTCTCGTTCTACTAAACCATCAATCAGTTTTTCTGGGATACCACAAAGACCAAAACCTAAATATAAACCAAAGTAAAATTTAATTGCATATATATAAATAATAGTATACAGTAGGTCCCAGAGTATAACACATTATGTGATAAGGAATTACAATCAGCACCGAAATTCTTTTCTATCAAATACTAATTGATTTCACGTCTAATTTCTAGAAATTAAAATGGCTATAGTTAAGAAACTATTAATCGGATAATATGAATATATGATATATTCAAATTTTAAGAATATAATTTTTTACATAATGGCTAATGGCTAAGTGAATAAATAAAGTTTTTTTTTTTTTGTGTTTAGGGAATGAAAATAAAAATTTAATTTTCTCAAATTGATGCTCCTTTAAAGGCAAACCGATTGAAAAAAAAAAAATTGATATTAACAGCGCTAGAACACTATGTGACCCATTGTATTAATATAATTATTTTAAATGGCAACTAAATATAATATTCTATTATGTGCTTACTTTACTAATCGTCTATTGTTATATGCTTTATTTACTTTATTCTATAGTTATTATTTTATGTTTACTTTTCTACCTATCTTGCTTTTTTTATTGTTAAATAATTTTTTTTTTTATGTGATTCCCATTGTAAAAGCTGTTTGGCGTCAACTTTTAAAAATAAATAAATAAATAAATAATTATAGATTTGTACACACTGCTTGATATTAAATTTTTAAACTACTTTAGCTTTTTATTTGGGTTTTCAAAAATGTTAGATCATAAAATTGGAAAACACAAAAAAAGTATAATTCAAAGTTTCTTTTGTACCCAATGATCTAAATATAAAATGATATATTTATATTGCCCTAAAACATTTAAACTGATAAAATATCATTGTACAACTTGGTTCTAGTCAATATTATACAAAAATAAATAGCAAACAAATAATAACAATAATGAAATAAAAAAAATGTAATATCTATTTGATAGAATAATTGCATTATAAAAAGTGGCAGTTTTTAATTTTAAGAATACAACTAGTTTAGAAATTCATATTATGTATTTAGTAATTTATTTAACTCACCGCCAAATAGAATGGTATTTCCTGGTTGGATATCCTCTAAAGCATGACTAACTGATGTATACACTTTTTGTTTATGCAAAGTAACATTGCAACTAAAATTTGAAACCTGAAACAATATATCTGTTTTAGTACTGGAATCATTAATAGTTAAATAGTTAAATTTCACTTGAAACAATGACAATATTTTTGCAGTTTATTTTAAATAATTATAATTTGTATTATTGTCAAATTTGACTGTAAAAAGATATGTTTTCCCTGATAATTTTAGACACTTTTACCGGATTCTGAACCAAATAAATTCAAACTCTGGAATCAGTTTTTTTTTTGCTTATTGAAAATGTTGGTTAATCTTAGATATTAATTTCACCATGTTGTTGAAGGAAAAGCATGTTTTTTAGCGTTTTACATTCAGAAGTAATGGATAAAATATTTTGATGCAAGTTTCAAATATTGACCTTTCGGTGATGCCAACTCTCAACCCCCTCTTCAATCATTTGTATATTCATTTTTCGTATTTTCACTAGACATTCTAGGTTTTAAACACCCTTACAGATCCTTTAAGTAAGTAACTTGATTAAAATGTGTATATACAGAGTTGTTGTTAAGGATTAAATTGATAGTACACAAGTAATAGGGAATAAGTCAAAAATCACTAGTATTTCTTTTTACAGGTGTACTGTCCAAATATTGCAATACAAAGTCTGGGAGAAAATTTGATTCTAGTGTCAAAGATTTGCTGCTAATTTTTTTTATAATACAATAAAATAAATTATTTTTAATTTAAATTTCAATAAATTAAAAAACATGGTTGAAAGAATAAAATACTCGAAAAAACTACAAGTTCTTATCACTCTGTAAATTTGTAATAGTGAATGTAACAATATATAATTTATAATAATCATTAAAAAAATTATAGACCTGCCTAGTTAATAAACATATGTAATAAATGATAAATGCATAGATGTATTCTATAGGATACAACAGTAGCTTTCAGGACATAGGTAGCTATATCTATGGTTGGCCTTATATTATATAAATTATCTATACCAACTAATCAATCAGTTTACCCCGTTTGATAGAGGCAAGAGTAAACTTATGAATAACGCTTTATCGGGTAAAAGGGGTAAGATGAAATACAGTAATTACAGTATAAGACTTGATGGTCTGTTAAACGAATTTGGGTTTAACGAAAAAAATTAGTAATGATACAATTTTATTAAAAAAAATATAATTTAAGTGAAAAATGTAAACATTTTCAAAAAAGTCCATTCATGTTCCCGATTAGGGATTTCAAATCTAACAACTCTATGCCCAAAGGCCAGATTGTTAACATAGGTAGGCCCCTATCTATTATAGTGCCTAAACAAAAAGTTTGATTAAGTACTGAAATTAACAATTAAATTTATCTTACTTGAAGCACGACGACAATGTTCTTTGTAATTGGTTTGAAGCGGTGAATTTTATTACATAAAGAATACATTTTTAATTTCAAACTAAAACATTAAAAAATAATTTGCCTTATATACTAATAGTTAAACGTAATCTCGGTTTAAATTATTACCTATAAAAAAACTATGAACTCTAGTTTTTTATCGTTGTTATCAACTATCGATAACATTCGATCGGCTGAATCGATAACATTATTGATGTTTAACATTGGCCGTGCGGCATGTTTTATTAATCACGATTCACGGTATATCTTAAATTTTGTTATTAATCAACTCATTCCATAAAGATATATTAGTCAGTTATCCAATAGCAGATAAACATGGACATGCACTAATGATAATTAAATTATGATAATTACTAATTTAGAGAGAATTTAAATATTCAAACATTTTAAATTTAGTATAAATATTAAATATTATATACATAATATATGACATTACCATTTACCATGATATAATGGACCTAGGACCTACTATATCAGATTATTTTAATATTCTAGATTTTTGAAAATACATTTAGATTTCTTTTATCTCAGTTATCAATGTGATGATAAGCTAATTTTAAAGCGCCCTAATCAAAGTAAAGAGATCCGCAGTGTAAGTACTGACGAATGACCGTAATTTCACATATTAAATGTTAAATCATAACAACAAATATCTAGTTGGCTATATAAATTATTTAATTATTGAAAAATAATATTATTAAATTAGTATTTATTCGCAATTCAATTTTTTAGGTGCCATAAAAAATGACCACCTTACATAAGGTTAATACTGACGACAAAATTAATGATGAAGAAATAAATTGCTTAAAGGAAGAGATTGCTCTATTAAAAAATGAATTAAATAAAAAAATCGGATTGCTGAAAATTAAACAGGTAATATAAATTTGTAATCGTACACTATTCAAAATAAAATAAATATTAATTAAATTCATTATTGTTTGAATTCATGTTAAATAGTAATATTGTTCAATATCAGAATTAATATTGTTTACATATTTTAGAAGAAATGCTTAACCAATCTTGATGTTAGCCGTTACAGCAGACAAATTATTTTACCAGAAATTGGGATTGAAGGTAATTATAAAAACTTTCAAATTTATTTGATTTTTAAATTAATGACTATTATTTTTAGGACAAAGAAAATTAAAAACTGCAAGTGTACTGATAATTGGTGTTGGTGGCCTAGGTTGTCCATCATCAATGTATTTAGTAAGCGCTGGAGTAGGTACTATTGGGCTAGTTGACTATGATGAAGTGGAATTAAATAATTTGCATAGACAACTATTACATGCACAACATAATGTTGGTATGCGAAAAGTTGAATCTGGAAAATTGTCATTAAATCGGTTTGTATGTTTTATGTTTCTTAAATTTGTTTCATAGTTTATGTTAATAAAAACTTATATCCAATAGTTTGTTGTCATTCAGTGAGACATGAGGCTTATTCGTTTAGAATGATAATGTTAGGAACAAATTGCACTTAAAGTCATCAAAATGAACTCTTAAATAGCTCATTTACCAATATTTAATAAATATACTACTGCATTTGTGCACTATGAAACAAAAATTATTAGCCATAAGAATTATACTAAAATATATTTATTACACATTTTATATAAATATATTTGTATTATTTATTAGTGAATAATAACTTTTCAGTATTAATGAGGATGTTAACATTGTTGTCCATGATGTTCAGTTGGATGGCCATAATTCATTGGACATTTTCAAACAGTATGATGTTATTATAGATGCTAGTGATAACTTAGTAACTCGGTATATAATAAATGACACTTGTGTAAAAGCTGGCAAGCCTTTAGTCTCGGGTTCAGCAATACACTGTGATGGACAGTTAACTGTATACAATTATAAAGGCTCAGTTTGTTTTAGATGTTTACATCCAAAACCACAATCTCCTGAAACTGTTGGAAATTGTGCTTCTGCGGGTGTTTTAGGACCAGGTAATATTGTGCGTTCGTCTATATAATATGAATATAATCCTTATGCCAATACACAATTATTTTACAGTTCCAGGAGTGATCGGTGTACTCCAAGCTATGGAAACTATTAAAATTATTATTGGTCATCCAAATGTATTATATAATAGCCTATTATTATATGATGGTGGAGATTGTGACTTTAAAAAAATTAAATTAATAAATGTTAAACGAAATGGATGCATATGCACAAAAAATCCTGAGGATATAACAATTACCATGGACTATGAAGAATTTTGTGGATCAAAAGCAAATGATAAAGTAAATTTAGTTAATTTAATATTTATAACATAATAATTAATATTAATTATTATTTAAATTTTTATTAGTTTAAAACACTGTGTTTGTTAAATGAAAATGAACGTTTAACAGTATTAGATTTAAAAAAATTGGTATCTGAAAAACAATCATTTTTGATAATAGATGTACGTAACAAAATAGAATATGACATGTGCCATTTACCACATACTATAAATATCCAACTGAATGACTTGAAAAATGAAGAAACTCTTACTAAGTTAATTGAAAAAATTAATTCGTTTACTAATACAAAACCAAATTGTAAGTGTAATTACTCAAATAAGCTATGAATTATTTAATCAAATTGTTATATAATTAAAAAAAAAATAATAATCAATCAGTTTTAAAATCTTATATAAACATTTTTTTTTTTTTTGCAGTAGTTACCATTTGTCGTCGTGGTAATGATTCTCAAAGAGCTGTGAATGAATTAAAAAAACATTCTCAGATAACAAATAAAGTCAATTGGATAAAAGATGTCATTGGTGGTCTTCATGATTGGAGTATGAAAATAGACAAAGACTTTCCAATTTATTAAAATAAAATTATTTATGGATATTTAATATTATTTCTATGTAATTGTATGAATAAGCGATTATATATATTTTAATGGCTGTAGATTTTTTTATACATATTTTACACTGAATGATTATTTTTGGTTTTCTTGCAAATAGTGATCATGCGATTGTGATCTTAATCTTTCTGCAGCTTGTTCAGCAGTTAAATCTCTTTGACATTGAGCTAATAATTCAAATCTAAATAAGAACACTATTATTAATTGTACAATTTATTTTAATTTGCATTGTAATAATAAGTATAATTTACCCAGATATAAATTTTTTTACAGTTGCTGAACGTAATAAAGGTGGTAAATAAATTCCATGAAATACCCAGTGGTCATTATTTTCATATAATGGCCCAGTAGGTGCACCTAAGTATTGACAATGTAGTATGTGTTATTATTTATAATTTATGTAATTTTAATTTTGTTCAAGATAAAATATTTACCATGCCAACCCATAGAATATGGAAATGATGTTTTGAACATATTATCATATTTTGTTGTCAATATTTTCATAATTGATGCTAAAGTAATTTGTTCATCATCTGTAATTTCATTTATTCTTTTAATATGTCTCTTAGGCAACACCATTGTTTCATATGGCCATAAAGCCCAAAATGGTACCAAAACAACCCAGTTTTGATTTTCAATCACAATTCTAACCTATGAAAAATACAAATTTTAAATATCCAAAAATATAAATCATTAATATCATATATATTGATACATATACCTAGTCTTGACATAAATTCTGTCAGTACCGTGTAGTTAAGAGACATTTTAATTTCTAAAAGTAACAACACTATGTGTATGATAATAAGTGTCACGTGCATGGCCCGATCACAGCAATTGCTGTAGTACCTGTAGTAACAATGCAGTGGAACATTACCACACGCACAATACCTTAATTGGTTTGTTTAAATCGGGCAAACCGTATCACAAATTTTCGCTCTTTTGCGACAACTTAAAATAAGTGAACGATTTGTGTATTGTACCATTGAACATTACTGGTGATGTTGATCATGTTAGAAGTGGTCGTTCCCGTTCTGCTCATACGAAAAAGGCAATTGAAGCCATTCGTTCGAGAATTAATCGAAATCCTTTACAGAAACCGAAAATCATCACACGAGTTTCTCGATTTCTCGCATAGTTCGAGATGATTAAGATATGCGTGCATATAAGCGATGTATAAGCCATTTGTTGACGGACCGATTAAAGAGAATAAGACAAAAGACCAAAAAAGCTCCTACGCTCGTACAGTCAAAAAAAATTTAAACAAATTTTATTCATAGATGAAAAAATATACAATAAGCAGAATGATAGAGTATACGCAAGATCATCATTAGAGACCAGAGAAAAAGTTTTACGCGTTCAATGAAGCCACCATCCTGCTCAAGTTATGGTTTGTTGGGGTGTTACGCAAATTCAATTATCCGAGAAAGGGGTTAAAACTGGGGCTCGTGTTTATCAGAATAGCGTTTTAAAGCCTTTAGTGAAGCCTCATAGTGGTTTATTGTTTGAAGGAATTGATTGTGTTTTCCATCAGGATTCGACGTCTGGTTATAAGGCAAAACCAAAAGTGTTCCTAATAAACGGCTTCTACTACATTACTAAAAATCTTTTGTAAATATAGCATATAGCATACATATATATTGCTGCAAAATCTATTGTGTGTGGTGAATACAAGATCCACAGATGTCTTAATATCTTTTTAAAAATACAGTCTAAATTCTTTTGTTTTTTCATGTTATGTGATTCAATATTTATGTTAATACCATTTTATCAATAAATATTCAAAATAGAGAAAAATGTATATTATGAAAGTTTTTTTAATTTAAAAACATATCATTAAATCAAAATTTATTTAATATTTTTAGAAATTGTATTTTGACCACACAACAATAAATAGCTAATGCTTTCACTCATCACACAATATGTCACTGCTTCCATGAACTAGTTATAGTTGTATTTTATTAAATTTAGATCGCTTTTAACTGTAGTTTTAAAAAATGAATGCTATTCAATCACTAAAACTTATAACAAAAATATCTTCACATAAATGTTCGTAAAAAAAAGTATAGGTTCCGATTTGAATTTTAAAAATTGATTCTAAAAACCTTCCTTAAAATACTGTAAAAAAAATGTATAATTCATTTTACATATTTATGAATCAAAAAAACTTCATAATATAAATTTGGAATCACTCTGTATATACAGAGTGTAACAGGATTATTTAGTATTTAATATTTACCACTTGAAATAATGTGTTCTATTCAATATTTTTAATATATTTTTTTTTGTAATTAGTATAACTTGGAGCTATAATTAAAATATTATTATGGTTTTTTTTTAGGTGGGGTACTTTAAATTAAACAATTTTAATTTTAAAGTCCTCCCCCAACATAAAAAAAACAATAATATTTTAAAAATAGCTTAGTTACCTATACTTATTACCAAAAAAAAAATATTGAATAGAACATTATTTTAAGTGGTAAATATTCTTGTGTGAACCATGAACCAGCAATTATCGAAAGAAATTTTAAGTGAATTTGATTTCTATTTTTTCTAATCATTATGGAATCATTTAAGCTTCATTTTAAAAACATTTTTAATTTTACACCCCTACTCCATATACCTAAAATGAGTCCATTTTCAAATAGGAACACCCCTCCCTCTTGAACCCGAATCTAAATGCTTATAGATAATATATATTATATCTAATATATGCGGAATAATTTTTTTATTGTTAAACATTCATTATTTCCTAAGTATAAACTTTTTTCAAAAAAAAATAAAATATGTTTTGATTATTTAAGAAACAAGCTGATCTAAAATATTACATCACCATTATTTTTTATCATCCTTATTTTTGAGAAAGAAATGAGAGTAACTATCAATTGTTTAGTTTAAATTAATTTTAGTATTCAAATTTAAATTTTTGATTTCCGTCAATCCATTCATGAGATATTCCCCTTTTAAGTTTGGATAGGGTAAGTAACAGAATATCATTTGTGTGGCGACACAATCCTTGTCATATGCCCTGACTTATAACTGATTATATATTATAATAGAATAACCACAGTAGGTAATATTCACATTTGCAAAAACTTCAAAAAATTTTAGAAAATAAAGTATAATACTTTAACAGAAGTTTCAACCACCAAAAATTTTCTAAAAATCTGTTTTACAAAATGAATACTATGAATTTTAAAAAAAATTATAGTAAAATTAAAAATTTTTTATTTAGTCCCCCTCCCCTAAAAAAAAAAAAAAAAAAATGTTTTTATATAAACTGTAGCAAGCACAGAGGCATACTAATTACTAAAAAATATATATATATATCACAAAAATATTGAATAGAATAAAAGTGGCAGATCATTGTGGGACACCCTGTATATAATAGATATTTGTAAGGCAAGAGGATCAACACTTAATTTTTGTATAGGCTCTATTAGAACATAAATATAATAATGGTTCGCTTACTTTGGCTTTTAATTCACGTTCAACATAATCCATTAACATTGGTCTTCCATATTTTTCTAGGTATTCTCTTTGATTAATATTTTTGATATAAGGTTCATTGGGTAAAAATGAACAGGCCCATATTTGACAATGAGGATGATGATTAGAACAACCCATAATAGTACCTTTATTTTCAAATATTTGCACCCAAGTGTATGTCTTTCCTAGTTCTTCAAATTGTTTAATCCAACTAGGATAATCAAATTTTAAATACAAATATAAAATAATTTTACTAAAATTGTACCTTGTAATCACAGTAACTATTTCATCAATAGTCATTAGAGCAATAGTAACATTGGACTTTGGATGAAAACACATAACACGGCATGTGCCTCGAACACCTTCGATACGAAAAAGAGGATCATCACTCTGAGGCGGGATTGGAGTATCTTCTAACATAGCCGGAAAATCATTTGTAAATACATATGTGGACTTGTATACTGGAGTCAACTTAAAACAATTTGTGTTTAATTCAATTACACATAGTATACATATAGCATATTATTACTTACTATGCCATTACTTCTGACTACTCCGGGACAAAGAGGGTTAGTGGGATCAAATTCTGGTCCCATATCACTATACACAGATTCTGATTGCCCATCCCATGGTCTCTTTATTCGATGTGGAGATACTAAAATCCAATCGCCTTTTAAAGGATTATACCTCTTATGAGGATGTTCTAAATTTAAAAATAAAATAAGTATAGCATAAATTAGAAAATCAATGTTCATTATGATACTAACAAAATATTAAAAAACTTTAAAACTAGGTATCTAGTTTATAGATATCTAATTGACTTTATACTTTATGATATAATTTGTACATTTTGGTATTTTAATAGGTCTATCTAGTTTAAATATATCAATCATGAAAAAAAATATTTAACCAAATTGAATGCTATAGTTTATATGGATTTTGAAGTAATTATAGGTAATTTAATATTTTATTATTGCAATTATATTATTTTTATAATTTCTTATAATATATTTATTGTATACGTTGATATTGTAAGTAGAAAAAAATAGATTACACAATTTGAGCTTTTTACAAAGCTTTGTATATTTTAAGGTAGGTAACTTTATTATGACGTACATGTACATAATATTATAATTATAACGAAGTTAGCTTCAGATAACTTTATACTTCTAATACTGACAGAGAATGTAATAAACTATATAACAAATCTTAAAATAATATTATAATTTTAGTTTTCATAAAATAGATTAAAAGATTAACCATAGTTAGGCATAAATATAATAACACCATACTACAAAAAAAATGTATAATATTTACCTTAACAGTGTAATAACTTAATAATTCTACTTAGAAACAGTCAATTAAAATGTAATACAATTAATTGTAAGTAGGAAAATAAATATATTATTATCATTAAGTTATATTTTGACCATATATAAATGCAAAGTTAGTTAAATAGAAATGAGAATTACATTTTATATTTTAAATATTTATAGATTTTTATCACAATGTAATATGTAATAATGCAAATAAAAGGTTAACAAATATTTCCATTTATTTTAAAAAATATACTATATAATAAATAATTAATAACTTACAAGTAATCTCACTTATACTTTCTAATTGTAATTAGGACAATTTTTTCAAAAAAATGTACTTAAACTTTTAATAACAGTTAAAATAAGAGACAAATTTACTTCAACTGAAATAATAGTTTCATTGCAGTCACATAGAATAATATATTAGAAATCCAAGTACATGTTTCAATAAATAATTTTATTATTGTACCTCCTCAAGTACTAAGGTATACAGAACTAATTACAACATAATAAAGATTAAGCTATGAATTGACACCAACTGAACTATTTTTTTTAATATTATTTAAATATGAAATCAGATAATTACCAGATGAATTGAATTCCATGATAAATCTTCAATTTAGTTTTTATTAGAATTGTAAAATAAAAAATGGAATACAATTTTTTTATGAAGTATTGTATGTGTTTTAGATGATTGAAGTATAATCTAAGATTATAAATTTATTAGTTTATGGTTTTTACTACTATAAAAGATAAGAAATAATGATATCTAATTATCAATGTTTAAACAATAGACGGTATGCTGCTAATGATAAACACTTAACGCTGTTATACTATTAATGATTAACTCATAAATGTGAAAATTAGAAGAAAATAATTTAATAAAAATATTGTGTAAATAAGAAATTCAAAATCCGTTAGACATTATTTTCTCCAATATTGAGCAAATTTATGTAATTGTTCAACAAGTACTGCCATCACAGCTGTTACAGACATATCCAATAGATTTTGAAAATAATGAACAGCTTCTTCGTCACCCAAATCTAATCGAAACTTATCTTGAACTTTATTTACAGTTTTATCTGGTTCTAATGCAATATCTGGAACACTTGCATCTACCATCAATGAAAAAAGATTTAAAATAAGATTGGCATGTCGTCTTAAATGCAAAAAAGCAGTATAACATAATTTTTTAAATTCATGATAATGTTCACTGTTGACACCGCCCATTGCTTCAACCATTTCTTTACTTAATTTCATAGGCGGAGGTAATGGTTTAGGATCCCTACCCAATATGTATCCAAAATCAATATGAAATAATTTGCCTGTAGAAGTCAATAACAAATTATCAAAATGACGATCACCTACTCCTAATAAATATGTAATCACACAATAACCTGCACAACTTTTTATGTAGTTCTCCATAATATCAGGAGCTATTCCAAATGGTGCATTTTCATTTGAATAGTTTTTACGAAAATAATTTTGTATTGAACCTTCGGTTGCTAATATTTCAGCTACAGGCAGTGAGTTTACAAATTGCACAAATCCGTGCCGTGTGCTTGTTGCCAATACTCGATATGGTGTAAGTTTTAAATCTAAGTTTTCACTTCTTAAAAGTTTATCCATAAGTATGATGATTTGTAAGATGAGTTGATCTTGTCGTAAATCATCACCATGTTTAAATATGGCCACATATTCTTTGTTATCTTGTGCCATAAATGTGAGTCTTGAAGGCATAAGAGCAGACTTGAAAAGAACAGCTTTCTCAGGAATTATACCAGTTATATGTATACTAGGGTCAAGTGGTAAAGGAAGAGGGTCAAAAGACATAAAACTAAATTTTGTATCAGTTTCTGCTAATAATGATTGCAGTTTATCAATTTTTTTTTTCCGATTACCACTCTCTCTAGCAACAGTTTTGATAATTCTAACCAAACGATCAATAAAATTTTGTTGACGAGTCAACATAGCATGGATTCGTTGACATTCAGCACTACCATTATATAATGTCATAAGAAAAGTTTTCATCACGCTTAGATACATATTGCGGACTCGTAAATCTTGTTTAATATTTGATTCTTGATCCTCACATTCAATCATCAAATACCAATAAAAATAATTGGCTAAACTAAAGTTTTTACTCGCTCTGTGAATTAAAAACCGTGCCAGATCCATATCTTCTGGTTTGCACATTTCAAAATGATTTATAGTACAAGGAATATTGCTGTCACAACTATCTTTTAAACTTAATCCAGACACAGACTCTGTTAAGCTATCAGTTACTGGATATTTATCTTCCATAAGCTTCAAACTGTTAGTAATGTGTTCAAAGTTTTCATACTTAAGTGCCTGAACCAACTGTAATAAATATAAAAGTAAATCTTCATCAGTAGCTTGTTGTAATCGTTCTACAGCATACTTTCGTACTGATGAATGTTTGAATGCTGGACTTAATAGGCGCAGTGAATCATCTACATCCATTGGAGCCCATTGATACATCATATCTAATGACTGCTTAGCCTCTCCTTGTAATTTCCAATTGACACATTCTAAAAACTTTGTTAGGGCTTTTTTCTGATTACACAAATAAAATCGGTATTTCCATATAAGATCTTGTTCTTCAGTAGTCAGTATTTTTGTAGGCGGATATCCAACAATTGTATTTAACATATCTCTAATTGTTGCAGTAGGTTTTGCGTCTTTATCAGATATTCCACTCCTTAAACTTCTTGCCAGCTTATGATGTTTACTTTCAACTAAATTTTCTTGCATTACTTCGGCGTCTGGTACAGTGACTATATCTGGGTCAACTCTAAATGGATATATATCATCACCATCTTGTTCATAATGTACAACACTATAGACAATATTGTTTATTATAACTTCAGGAAATTCTATCATTAAATAAGGATAATTAGATGTTTTTTTTTCTTTTTCATTGATAAGTTCAATTTCTCTGAAAGTCAATCGATCCAACCAGTCAACTTCAGGCATATTGCCATTTCTATGCTGTTTAGCTAATTTAGCTAAAGACTGCATACGATTAGAGTCTGATAAACATTTTCCTGGCGTAGAAGATATATTACCATCAGCCTCTCTATCGGGCCATACTCTAAGATCAATCATACCTTGTCGAAATACGCCTCGTTTCCCGAATAGTGAAATAGATGTGCCACCAATTGCAGTCATAGTAATTGGTCCAGCACAATCATAAACTGTCAGTGTTAATAAAGCATTTCGTGGTAAATCGCTAAATTGAATTGGCAACACAACCCATTCGTTCCAGCTCCAACGGTTGGTAAAATGTTTGTAAGAAGTTGAAACTGGTAAACTTAAGGGTTTGCCATCACTATATACTTGGCAGTATATTACAAGGTCAGAAATAGGCTTTTGATATAAACCAGAAAATTTTTTCATAGGATCATTCAATATTTTTTCATAATCAATTTTGTGTTTGATGCCTTCGAGAGTACCAATTTTTATCTGAATATTTGTCTCCAATGAACAACTGTACACGTAATTAAAAGAGCTGCTCAGATTGCTAGTCATCTTTTATGATTTGTTCTTAAAAAATAAAACTCAATTCGTAATGAATATTTTATTATATAAACTTACATTATTTTGAAATCTTATTAATGTAACAACAAAAGAAAATCGTTGAAACTGTGTAATAATTGAAAATTAACTAAATTCTTCAGAAACGTTTAACTGTAATACATGTTGACACTATTATTAATTATAATAAAAAATACATACATATATATACTACGTTTGTTATACATGGCAGAATTGATATTAAATTGGTCAACACAAAATTATATGAAACAAAATAAAAAAAAAAACAAAAAATAAAATAAAATATGCACTATGAACTAAGATTATCTTAGTTTATGATATGCAAGGCTTATATATTATAATAGATTATAATCTATACATCTTGCATGATAAGCACCAATCATAAAGATAAAGAATAATCTATAGTACCATTGCACCAATGTAAATAAAGAAATTCCATAAAAAACTCAGCTGGCAGCATAGATAATAAAGTCATTATTATTTATGGCTGGCAGTAATTTTTATCACCGGTTTTTCTGTTTACAATCTGGCTGTTATCAATACTTTAGTGATAAAGTTACATAACATGTATAATATATATACATAAATGTATACATATTTTATATATTGTAATATTTACTTTATAAGTGAATTTAAAGGTAAATATTTATTTTTAAGCTAAAATGAAAAAAAAATGAATATTTTTAAAGTGAATTACAACAAAAAATAAATCTGAAAATAATTCAACCTTTATTTCTATAAACGGAATAAACTTTCTTGTTCTTTTTACCGGTTTTGCTCAATTATCAAGAAAACAATAGAAAATCAAAAAATGACTTTTACCAACCAATAAAATCCAAATGTAACAAACAATTTTCTTGTAGGTTTTTGATTGAATTTTTCTGTTAGAAAACATAAATTTTGCACCCCGTAAAAATTTTTATATTTTCCACAAAAAAAAAAAAAAATGATAGAACCACTCTACTAAGAAGAAGAATTGATTCTGCAAAAATAGAATAGACAATGATTGTAGCAAAAATGAAAATGTGTAAGTGGATTATTGGAGTTTTGAGAGAATTTAGGAAAGGGATAAGTTCATAAGAGGTAACCAAGAGGTGGATTCAATAGTATACAAAATGAAAGAAAATAGACTTAAGTAGTTTAGGCATGTAATGGGGAAAGAGGAATTTGAAGCAGGAAAATTTGTTATGAAAATAATCACTGAAGAGTAATATTAAAAAAGAAATGGTTACATGTGATTGAGAATGATTTAATAGCCAATGTATGCGAGGTCGGAGATTGTGTCAAGTGGAAGATTAGAAAGTGATCAATCCGAAATAGTTAGGATAAAGGCCAAGGAAAAAAAAAAGATGTTATAGAAAATAATATATCCTTAAAGATATATTACAAATTCTATTTTAACTATTATTAAAAAATAAAATTTATTTTACTTTTATTTAAAACAAACTGACTAGAGGTTGAATATACAATGAAATAGGTTATATTAAAAAATGTTTTTAATTAAATTACCAAAACATTTTTTTAAATTTTTATAATGCTTTTCCCTATGACTTCGTTTTCATCCCTATTTTTATCACAATTAAATGTTGGTATTCATTACATAAAAATAAAATATTGTAAATAATAGTATTAGTAATAATAACAATAGTATTTATTATTGAGTTCTTTCCAACCTGTGTCATCTAAGTTATCATCCATGTAACCTATAAATCAACAAAAAATATTCAATTTTTGTTCCCATACTAATAACTAAGTGTTAATTATCCTATAATAGAGGAATTTTCAAATATCTTCTCTTAGTGGATGCTAATGGTATAAAAGATACTCGCCGTGAAAATTTCAATATTTCTAACCCCTGCAGTTTAAGCTGTGTTAAATCTCTGTCAGGACAGATTAAGTACAAAAAAGTAATTTATATTGCATATGCGCAGTTTGATATTCATATTGGGTTGAAATTTGTCTAAAAATGTGTATTCTGGTGCTCCCAATCATTCTACGAAAATTCCATTTCAATACTAGATCATCCAGTCGAAATATTTAGTGGTACCTCTTAGCATGAATATTAAACAATGTATATACTATTCTATACAAAATAAATGTTTACTGTTCATTTTAAAAATAAATATCAAGTATATGAAATAATTAATTATTAACTATAAATACATTTTATTTTTATTTATTGTATAAATATACATTTTATTTACAAATAATTTGATAACATTTTTTTTTCTATACGTATTAGAATTAAACAATATTGTTTATTCAAAACAATATGTGTAAAAAAACATAATAAGCCACACTTTTATAAATTTAAAACTCTTATTTCTATATCATTTTTTACATAATAACATGGAAATTTATGTAATTCATTAACAATAAAAATGGAGCTAGCTCACTAACAAGTTTAATTTTGACTCGACCTATTGATGGACAGCTAGAGTATTTATGCATATATAATTCATTCACATGGCAATGGTTGCTAAAAGCACAGTAATGTCATCAGGTTTTCCACCTATAACAAAATAAACATATAATAATAATAGTATAACTCATTTTTATGGAATTTTAATAAAGAATTAAAAATTGTTGTTCAATCTTAAATACTCTTAAATTCAAAAGAAACAAATTATACATTATATACATACCAACTGTATTAATGCCATTGGCTTGAGCAGCACGTGCAAATGGTGATAAGAAAGATCGATCAAACGCTAATATCCTAGCCATCCACGCAATTGTGTTAGCAGCACATTGTAGTTTTGTAGGATCACGGACACCCTCAATTTGACTCAATTCTTTTACCAACAGGTAGTCAGGAACATTATCAAAAACTCCGTCAGTGGCCAAGAGTATGACATCTCCATTTTCAACTGCAAAATCTGATGTATCAGCTGATTCTGGACTATCACTAAGTACTTGCCCACTGTGGGTCGGGGGCGGTACAGATAATTGATAAGGGGTATTAAAATAGTGTTGTTGTTCTTCAGAACGATGTACCACATGTCCTCCACGTACAACCATAAATCCACTATCACCAATATTGGCTGTATATATACTGGAGGTTTCTTTATTTAGCACCACTACACAAGCTGTACTACTTCCTAAAAAATAATTTAAAAATATTATTGTTTATTAAAAATTAATTTTTAAGAACGAGTTTGTCCATAAAATTAAGGAAAATAGAATAAACTTAAATTAGTTTTTTTTTTTTATTTACAGACTAGTTATTTATATTATATTCCTTTCTAAAATTGTAAATTTTCATAAGGGTCTTAAGCACTGTGTAACACATATAGGTAGAAACGCCGCGTTTTTTTAGAGTTATCGAAATAGCCAGAAATAGATGAGCGGACCAGTACAGCGTTTTGATCATCAAAACTTGAATTTACCAAAATTTGTATTAAAAAACATTTATTTAAATAAACTGCAACACACAATGGATTTTAAACAAGTGATTTTTTTATAAATCATCAATTATTTTAACACTATTGTCAATATAATAAACACATGGACACAACTGTACTACCTATTATTTTTTTATTTATTCAAAATTAACACTTTTTAATTAATTATTATTATTACAATACTCTATTGCGAATAAAAACAGACCAGGCAGTGGGCAAAAACATTATTTTTATAATAAACAAAACGTAATCTATTTTGAAGCAGGAAAAAATAACACATGTTTTGATAAAATCTTGTAATGTTATTTTCAAGGTCAGAGACATAGTAATTTCAGCGTAAGTCAATTAACATTTTTTTGGGAGATATATTATTATAGTCTCCTGAACATTTCATTTTTTTGAGAAACAAAGTATATAGATATTTTTTTTTATTTTTAAAAGTATTTAAAACTTCGAATATTAACATATTATACATTTTTATTGGTTGAAATTATAGGATATTTACATTTTTGTTTTATCATTAAAAATGTTAAACTAATTTTTGAGCCTATGACACAAGTCTACTTTCAATTTTTTTTTTTTACTTTATAGTTTATGTACATAGACAATATTAAACAATTATTTTGATGAATGTCATTACTTCATTAGTAACTACTTATATACAAAGTTCTAATTTTGTATATATTGTATTTTTCTAGTTTATTCATTTATATCAGGGGTGGCGAACAGGTCAATTGCAACTCCCTATAATAATAATAATAATAATAATTTGGAATCAAATATATTAAAATACATGTTGTGTATAACTGTGAAATTAAACATTATTATTACTTATTAATATTCTAAATAAAAGAAGTATAATACATGTGTATAAAATATATACATATATATATTTTTTTTGATTGAACCTAGGAAAACACAGAAGTCGATCACAATTGTATTAAAGTTGGCCACCCCTTATCTATACCAATAATGAAAATATACTAGCTAACTAGTAGTCTTTGCAAGACAGTTTTGCTAGCGCACAATATTGTGAAAAAAATAATAATAATAAAAACGTCTTTCTACATTTCTACCCCAACAATGTTAATGGTTCTTTCCAAGGGACTTTTAAAGAAGTACTTTCTTACCTGTTTCAATCAAATTAACTAATAATAATTTTATTTCAGCCATATTGTCAAGGTATTACCGTGACAAAAAAAAAATTGATTTCATAAAATCAAACAAATTAAAAACCCTATGTGAGTCACCTTTTAGTTACTATATGCAAATTTAAAGGTAAATTCAACAAAATTATGCATAATTAAGTAATAATAAAATTTATGATCAATATAATATAGGTAGTTGAATTCTAGATATATAATAATTTTGAATGCTTTGTGTTTAAAAATCAAAGATAGTAAGTATATTTATAATATTTTAGTGATACACAATAATTCTATGATTTTTTCATAAACCAGAATAATTATCAACTATACACAATTGATAGAATTCAAATATGTTTTTAAAATTATACCAAAATGTAATTTATATTGCACTTATGTTAAATAAAAAATTTAGAAACCTAATTATTAGTATTTAAATTTCTGTTAGAGAAGGATAGGTTTCGTTGATATTTTTCATAAATCATACACAGGTAAAGTTTGTATTGATATTTAATAGATATTAATATGCATTGATACAATTTAAAACGATTCAAAATTGACTTACCTAAAATAGGTTGTTTATTTTCAAGCAATTCATAATAACTTTGAGCTAATAATTTGCTTGGTTCATTGGGTTTTATTTTGCCCAAAGATACAAGTCTTTCACATGTTGTCATGAGAAAACTTGAAAATTCACCTGGATCAATTCCATAATGACGCCAACCTCCAACACCATCTGCAACTCCTTTTTATTTATAATTAATATGAGGAGATTTATCTATATTAATGATACTCTTGTAATGCTTATTACATTATTGTTTTATAAATTACCTATAAACAGAATAAAAAAGTACCTACCTAATACATCAGTTGCCTTTCCCTTAGCAGAAAACCAAGCATCATCTCCAAATTTGCCTTTAATTGGGGTATGTTTGCGAGACGATTCTTTAGGAAAACCACAAACAGCATATAGGAATGAAGGCTCGCGTTTCTTATTTACGTGTTCGTTATTTGAAGGTGATAAATTTGTAAAGCCATTCCAAAGAGCACGAGAGATCAGTCTACCAGTAGTAACTATTTGCTGCATAGTTTTTTCAAACTAAAATTCCCATTGTGGTAATCGATTTCAAAACATAAATACAATTATGGTACATAACTTTAAACACAATTTAAGTGGTATGTGAAATTTTGTATTTATTTATTTAAAATTGGTATTTAAAATTATTTATTAAACATTTTAAAATTTATAAAAAAAAAAACTTTGACACAGCCTAAATAGCTGTTATTGAGAAATGTCTTAAGTTGAGATGCGATTGCAATTTGCGAACATACAATTAATTTTTCTGTTATCAATATTTTCACTATTATCATCTATAATAAAATCACTACATTTTTTTTTAAATGTCTACACTGATTTTATGTTAATATATAACAGTTTCACCACCATAGATATTAAATATATGGATGCGGCTTTCCTATAATTTTCTATTTAGTTTCAACTTGAAAACTGAATGTTACATTTGATATCTCTCTGTGTCACAATTTAAGATAATATTAAATACACCAATATTGCTTGACCGAATACCGTGTGCGTTTTTATAACTGAACTTCTCCAACTGTATTCTCGGCCAACCTTGTCTAAAACTTCCACTTGATCTAATCTACCACCCAATACGATCTCCGATCTATGGACAACACGATTAAAGATATCTTTAACCGTGATCGACAATCGACTCAATATTATATGACCCCTAACAACAAATATGCCAAATTTTTTATTGTTTTTTTTTACAATTTCTCAATCTCTAATAGTCCAGAGAAACTTAAGTAGTAGGTAACTTAAAATAATACATATTTTGTGGTAATTGGAAAATTTTAGAAATAAATTTAGAAGGAAAAGAAATTATAAATAAAATAATAATAGCTGTTAAACACTTTATAATTCGGATTTGTATCCTTTATAATCTGGATTAATGACATAATCCGTATTGAAAGTAACAGTCCGAATTGAATAAATGTAACATTTGTTTCAATTCGGATTTTGATCGATCCGGAATATTGATGTTCAGCACTAATTATAGATTAAGAAACATTCTAACATTCTTAACATGTCTATAGCGGCTCAACACTAAATTTAAAACCAAGGTTTATTAAAATACATCTAATTTAAAACATTTAAAACTATTAATATTGATTAAGTATACAGCTGTATAGGTACTTAACTTAGTTCCAAACTAGGAAATACGTTAAATGACAAAATTGATCTATATAAATATCACTCTGTCTAATATCTTATGATTTAGAACTAGGACGAGTAAACGATCGTGGTGCGCTCTATTTGTGGAAATACGAAATTAATAAACAAATAATAACAAATCTTTTATCATGAATCATGAGTTCGTAAAATCATAGTTCATAAACATTAACCATGCCCGACTTCTCACATAATAATAATATAATATTATTAAAGGATTTATGTTTATTGTAACATCATGGAATAAATATTAATCAATTTATTAATCAATAGTTTACTGGTAATAGGACAATATGATTATGATGTTATCATGACTTATAAATCATAATTTGTTCTGAAAATTGAAATCTCTTGTAATGTATAGAAAAATCGTTTAAAAAAAAAAAATTATTTTTTATGATTTTGTGGTATATTGTAAAATTGTTTACAGCATTAGTGATAACATAATTTTTATTTTACTTTGTAAGTATAAGTTTTCCGTTGTTGCTTGCTTTAAAAACTGCATTTTATGTTTTTATAAGTATTTTAATTATGTTTTATGTTTGTTATTATTTCCATTATATAAATAATTGAACAAATACCTTTTGTATTACATTTTTATTTTAGATTTGGAAACCTTAAATTATACAATGAATGAAATTAATGAAGATATCGAACGAGTAATTGATTTACTTAATGTATTAAAAACGAGATATTTTTTTCTGCGTACTCAATATGATATTGGTAAAGTATTAATAATTATCTTAGAGCAATTATATGGACATTTTTTTGTTGGTTCACTATTGTTGGTGTTCAGTATTCAGTTAAAATTTAAACTAATCAAACACTATTAGTATATATAGTGTAACCAACACTATTATGCATTGTACCTATTAAAATGTATTTTTAAAAAAGTAATATTTTTGTTAGGTAGTAGGTAGTTAACCTATAAATTTTTGATAATCATTGTTGATTGAAAAAAAATTAATATATTATTAAATGCCAGTAAATATCTAAAAAATAACCAGAATATTTAACAATTTTTACTTTTTATAAAAGATAATTAAATAAGTATTCTGAACAAATTTTAAGTCTCCACAATGTTTCTAGAAATCAAATTACAACTGGTTTATTTATAACAGTACCAACACTGTTGTGTTTTTTTTTTTTGTTTCAGCAGATTTCCGCATTAATGGGGCCCATTTAAGAAGGTTTTATTGTATTTGTATTTTAATTATGTTTAATATTATTTATGACAATATTTTACTATTTCTTTTATGACAGTAATTTCAATCAATATTTATATATGTTTCAGAACTTAATTCTAATTTGATGAATATCCATCCAGATTATCAAGGTACATCTAATGTAAAAAATCTCCAGTCTTTCATCATGATAGAACTTTATCTATTGGAATATGCTTGTACTTATGGTATATTTTCATTGAATCTGTATGCAACTCGCCTAAAATCTAATTTTTTTGAGAATGATAAAGACCATCATTTTTTAGAGTAATACAATCTATGTTATAATTTTGTATTATAATTATTTATTTTGTTATTATTTGTTTTTATAGAATTCTTAAAAAGGAAGTTCAAAGTTTACTTGAGACTAACAATGAAATTAAAAATCTTTCTGTGGATTCTTATCACAGTTTTCATTCTTACATAAATTCATATATGGTATATGCTAATGTTTTAAATGATATTAATATATCAGAGACAATTGAAATGAATGAAACACAAACAAAGAAGTAAGTGTGATCAATTAAAAGTTGAAGTACATTACAAATATATTACTTGTTTAATAGATTACTAGAAATTAATTTTTTTTAAAATTTGAATCAAATGTGTGTACAATTTTAAATGTCTAAAATTAACATAAAAACCAATTTGAAATATTATTGTTAAAACTATATTCATTAATTATATACAACAAATATAAAACAACTCCCATAGGCAGCAGAGTTCTATTTTTTTTTTTTCATTTTCAAAGTTTTTACAAATTATTTAAATAGTTATGGTTTTTTCAAAGTTTTTTTCATTTTAATTTTGTTTATATTCGTATTTACTGTGTAAACGTGCAATTTGATCATAAAAAAGGTAGAGGAGGGTTATATAAATTGAAACCTCCAAAAGAAACATCCTTGACACTATGCATCTATAAACTGGCATTATCCTTGCTTCACTTAAGTGGTCTATAGAAGTTTCAAAAAACAAAAGTGGTTGGTGAGGGGCTTATAAGATGAAACTTCAAAAAGACAAATACTTGATGCTTACACAATATGTAATTAAAATTGTATTTCCTTTGCTTCATTTGAAGGGTTTGTAAAAGTTTATAAAACCAAACAACACCATTCTCATGCAAAAATATGATAAAATTTTATCACTTCAATTCACCATTTAAACAACTCTAATTCCCGAGTTTGAGCTCTCATTTGGTCTAGAGGGATCCTCTAAAAGTGTCAAAAAGTAATGGAAAAAATACATATATTAGGGTGACGTTATATTTTATTAATTTTAGATTCAGAGCTATCAAGGAATGTATTGGTTTTACAATGATTTCTAAAATTTTGTACTTTTTTTTGCTATCTGTGTACCACTTTTCTAACATAAATCTTGCTCTGATTTTCAAGTGTAGTGCCTTTTCTGAAAGGAAATTTTATCTGTGTTGTACTACCAGATCATGTTTTGATTTTACAAGTGGTTTTCATAATAATTGAGAAAAACTAGAAAATTTAAAGTCATGTTTAAAAGAAACTTCTTACCAAAATGTTTTTCAATAGCAGTGGTATATTGTTGTATACAGATATAAATTAAATTCCCCTCTATATAGGGTTGCCATAATTTAATAAAGCAAATCTGAGACTAGAAAAAATAGTAAATAAAATTAAACTAAAAATATGATTATTAGGTATCTATAAATTTATATGTATTAAAAAAAGAACACAAGTAATAACTAGTTTGGATTTTGGACATTATACATATCCGGTATTCTTTAAAAATCTTATCGTTATCTCTCAATTACAGTTATTATTTGAAGAAAATGTCGAAATTAAATAATATACATTTTTTTTCAAAACCAGGACATATTGACGTACTGACATTTTATTTTCGGGACATCAGTACAATAAGTCAAAAACCGGTGACAGTCCCAGTTTTCCAGGACGTATGGCAATCATACTTCTATATCTTACCTTCTCAACTTCTCATCTGCAAGTTACAACAGTGGCCCACCTGTCGGGCGAAATATGTCAGTCTTTTTAAATTCTGGGTGGATTGAAGAACCTTATGGTTTTACAAAGATTGTTATTATTATTTTTTTTGTTCTGTAGACTACTTTTCTACCAGACAACTTGCTTTGATTTTTACATGTAGCACCTTTTCTGAAAAGAAATCGGTATGGGGAGGTATAAGAGAGGCAATTTTATGATTTCTCAAGAGTTTTCTTATCAAATGTGAAAAACTGAAGAAGAAAAAAAAAAGGAAAAATAAACGAAATATATTAGTAAAATAAATTTTCTTGTGGACAACTTTTCTACAAGCAATTTTGCTCCAATTTATAATTTTAACAATGTTTCTAAAAGTACTAAAATTTAACTGGGAGGTACTTTTAAGAGGTAGTTTTTCGATTTTCTTATTTTTCTCAACAAATATGATAAACTGAAAAAAAAACATGGAAAAATTGTTACATTAAAAAAATATTATAGATAATATATAATGCCTATTTAATTAATTTACCATAATATGGCATATACAATGTTGACAAAGTGTCACTACCAACTGAACTCCACTCAGAATCATTTTTGTAAGCAATGATTAATTGTTGTTAATAGATATATGCTAAATTACCTATAACAGTGGCTGCACCCGTCCTTATTATCCTAGGACATCTCTTTTTTTTCTTTTTTTGCTCTAAGTTTTAGATCATTAAAATGATTTTTGGATAAAAAATTTATCAACAAATAGCTGGTTTTTTTAAAAAATTTTACTGTCTAAATACTAAAAATAATTAGAACAAAAAAAAAAATAGGTACACTGGATATTTTTGCTTACAAAATTAGATTACTGATTTCTGAAATAGGTACTATTTTTTAATACTTGAATACATGAGGATTTTTTGTATAGTTTTGTCTCGGAGCAATAATATTTTTTACTTTTTCTTCAAGTGCATTTTCTACCCTCTGATATAGGAATTAAATTTGATGCAATAATATTTTTTGTGTGGTAAATTCTATTCATTTTTATATCAGGATATTTAAATGTAGCTCACCCAATTTAAATTGATAATTTTGATAATAATAATGTATAGTATATTTTTTTAAATTTTATTATATAAATGAGTACATTTTTATATTATCTAAATATTATTAAAAATATTTTACTATAATTTCTTGAATGTACTCTACATAAGTATTAGCTTATGCTTTTCTTGTACTTAAATTAATTTTTGGGATACCCAAGAGCATAAAAATCCTTTTTCCAGAAACCAGATTGACAAGTCTACTAATTGTTGTTGTACCAGTTATAAATGGCATCAAACAATTTTTTTTATTTTGTATGTTATTTGCAATCATTGCGAGTAGTAATAACCTTCTCCATAAAGTTGAGGTTTACCAAGTAATATCTTTATTTTTTTTTTCGTCATCAGAACTCAGTGTTTCAGATAAAAAACTAATGATGTATGTTGCTTTTATTTTACTTATTTTTATGCGACCCAATGCCAAGCAAATATCTGTAGGTACCTATTTATAATTAATGTTATTTAATTTTAAATTTCTCTAATAGTTCATATGATGCGTAGCAATCATTTAATCGCCTAACTGTATTCACTCAGAGTCTGAAATAGTATCATATATTTTTGGACTGTATATTGTTTTCTATTTTTAATTTTATTTTTACAAATGCAAATTAAAAATTAATATAATATATTATTATTTAATATATTATACTAAAATGAAATAAAAATAATATTTCTTATTTTATTATGGTTAATTATTTTGACTGTATAAAATACTTATAAAACAACTATTTTTGATAAATTTGATGATAGTAACTTTCAGAAATCACTTTGAAGGAAACATATATGACTGGTACTATTTTAAAGTTTCATTATTTTAAATAGCACTTCTTTAGCAATTAAACAATATAATTTATTGTATTTTAATTATTTTATATCCTTTTAGATTTCGAGTAAGATGTGTTTGAGTTATTTAAAATGATCAGATGGTACATTTTTCGAAATTTCCAATGTTTATTTTCAAAAAACTACTCACACATTGGTCATAGTATGAATTACGCCAGTCTTTTTATAATTATTCTCAGATAAATTAGATGATATCAGTAATAATAGTATTTAACACTTTTCCATGAAAGTGATATCTTCCATTATATTTTCTGGTCCAAGTAGCGTTGCTACAAACCTTTTTGTTTGATGTTTTACTAAATGATTAACCTTGACAGGAACATCCTGATATAATTGGCTGTTGTCATAAATCAAATAATACATGAAGTTAGGATTTAAATTCACAATTACTTAAAACACCTTTTCGAGTTTCATAAATACAAACTCTTGTAAAGGATAGATATTATAAACATAAAACATCAGAATTTTTAAAAAATAATTTATTTTCATAGGAAAAGAGACAAACTGATGAAGAAAATGTCAAATATCAATATGATGGCAAACTTTATTACATTCTTAGTAACTGACAAATTTACAGACTTTAGAACAGAAGATGGACGAGCTACATTAAATATAGCCATAAAGTATAGAACTCCGAGAACTATAAAATATTACACAGATAAGCAAAATAGTAAAAAATAATTTTTGGATAATATATAATTTTTTTTTTAAATTTTGTGTTTTTTGTGTGTTTAAATACATTTTAATTAAGTTGAACCTTATCATTTTTATTATTCTAATAACATAATAATAAGTTACTAATAACAATTTTTATAACAATAAAATATGTACCTACTTTATATTATATTTTGTATATTGAATTTGTAAAAATATACTTGTATAATTATTTATAAATTAAGACAATTATGATTACTCAGAAATTAAAATCTTGTGTAAACTAAAATATTTTGACTACATGTTTCAGAATTTGTTAAAATAATTACATAATATAGTGGATAAATGTATAATATAATCTTGGATTAAACCATTTCTTAAGTTAATATGATCTATTGATCTCTGAAAAAAACCTAACAGTGATATCTATGGGATTACATACATTGAGGCCAAGTTTGCCTCTGCTTTAGTCTATACCTTCACTTTACTTCTACTTTCAAAGCAACAGCTGTTTTATTATTTTTATTAATACTTTGCCAGTTAATGAATAATGCATACATTTTATGCAATTCCATAAAAGAGACTGCTACAATGTAGCAAATATCGCTAAGTACTTTTCAGTGCTATAGTAAAAGGTATACACTGTTTAACTTATAATCATTTTAAATCAACACCATATATTTTTTAGATAAGGTCATTTACTCTGTTATAGTGAAATCACAAAAATGTAAAATTATTTATTATTATAAGTTTTGGTTGGTTACAACTTATAAAAAGAAGACTAACAATGAAATAAATTGTATGTAATACATAATATGCAACTATATACCTTACTCATAGTATAACCTCTGTATTTTTTTTACGACTACAGAACTGGTACTGTATCCTTTTTTAATTTTTCCATGTTTAGGTTATTGTTAGGATATTATTCCTTTTTGTTGAATTTAACTTAAATATGGGCTTTGTCAGGGTAGGTTGACCAAGACAACCTTGGTGGCAATCAATGAATTGATAAAATTAGTTCTTTTTATCAAAGAATTGAGTTCTGAAGAAATTTAAACATTATTTCAGAAACTAAAATGTAATTTGAACATAAAACGTTTTAATAATTTTTTTTTTTTAAAATTGATGGATGAATATGTCACTTCAGGCAATTAGAACTACCCTACCAAAAGTAATACTAATTTTTTAAAACTATAATATTCAGATTTTTCACTTAAATTATATAATAACACCTATGTGCCGAATTTCACATTCTACCTACATGGAGAATGCCTTATAATTTTAATAAGTGAATGAGTCATTAACAAAAATGCAAATTTAAAATTTTTCTACTTTTGAAATTGCTTAATATTATGCCTTAATTTTTTTTACAATTTTCGAAGCTTCTTGTTCTTAATCCCTGTTTCAAATTTTCTTAAGCCCGTTTCAAGTGGAAACAAAAACCTGGTGAATTAGTTCATAAGGTTTGTATAAAGATACACTGAAATATTTCCTGGAACTTGGCCAGGCACAATTTCATAAGCTTAGATTTATGAGATGACCGTTGATCATATAAGTAGGTAGTCAAAATGGGTTAAAATTTAAATTAAATTAAATCAATATGGATAAAATACATTCACAGATTTTCTTTACATTACTTTATTTTTCATTACTAGTATCTATAACTAGTTTTTGTCACCAGCACTATACACCTCCATAACATCCAGTATTTAACTATTTCTTTTGATTTTAGAATTATGTATTTCACTTTTTTAGATTTATAGGATAAGTAGTAAGGAATGTATTTGGTTTTACAATTTTTTTATTCTTTTTTACACATATAAATTGTATACAAAATTTGTTTGAATTTTATGGGCTTTAATAAATTTGGACAAAAAGCTTATATTTTTTAAAATCTATTTATAGACATATAAATTTTGAGTTCAATATGTAATTTTTATTTGACAGGTGATAAAATTGTTGGACTAAACAGAAATGATTGAAATTTAATAAGGGATTCATTAAATCATTTTAAAAAAAAAATGAGCTTGGTGTAGTATGTTTTTTTTTATAAAGGAATTTTAATATCAAATATTGACGAAAATCATCAAGAAAAAATTATGTGGAACAAATCTAATTTTTCAATATTTTTCGTTTTGAATATAAGTATATTGCCGATTTAGTTAAGATGGTGAAATCAGAATTGAGTGGATTGACTTAGTTTCGAACTAAGACTTACTTACGTACTTTAGTTTATAGCTTTTTGAAGTTCCGAAATTATAATCATATTAAATCATTTCTATCATAGTCTAGTGGTAGTATTCATTTGTTGTTATCCCAGAGATCAAAAATTCAAACCGAAGTTCTGAAAAAAATGTTTTGCATTTTTTTTCCCAGTTACCTAAACAGAGAAAAAAAATGCATCTTGGGTGCACTTAGAGACCCCAGCCATCGCTCCTTCGAACTAATATAATTGAAAAATACCAAACTTGTTGTGCCAACTTTTTTACCAAAAATGTTGCATTGATGTAACAAGTGTAGCATTTTTCTAAAAGGAAATCCAACTGAAGTGGTATTTTAAGGTCATTTTTTTGATTTTCCCAATAAATGGAAAAAAAATACAATACTGATGAAATATTATTAAAAAAAATATTTAATTTATATGCTATTACTTTACCTTAATCTGACATGTATTGTTGACAAACACTATTAACCGAACTCTGCTCAGAATATTTTTTCGTTAGCAATGGTTAATCTTTACATACAAATATACATTAAATTCTCTTCTATATCCTACCTTCCCAACTTCTCATCTATAATAGTGATTCATTCATTGTGTGAAGTATGTCAGTCTCTTTTTTTGAATAGATTTTAAAATAAACATTTCATTTATTTAATAAAACACATTACTTAAATTTATATTACTTCAACATTAAACTGATTACACTACACATTTTTTTTGTCCAAATATTTATTTTTTATTGCAAAATTGTATATTATGATTAACAAAATAATTTTAAAAAATTATTCAGTATTTGCATGAATAAGTTTAAATTAAAATATTTATTTAATTATAATATATTATTTTATTGTTATAATAGGTGTTTTAATGAATGTAATAGAAACTGACAAAATGACAAACAAAAGATACAATTTAATGTTAGATAGACCACAACCATATACAATATAGTATACAAGTTGTGTATACTATACCATGTTTATATTTTATGTAATAATTACATATATCATATACATACACATTTATCAATTTTGAAAATTTAACATCTGAAAAATATAATACCTTATATGGCACTTTTTGAGAAATTGTTTTATATTAAATTATTATATAATTGATTCTAGTTTAACAAAATAGAAATGTATACTTATACAAATACATAGGTAAGCATTTTTTTTTTAAAAATATTTTTATTTGCTCAGTAACAAAACGAAACTATTAATATTTATGAAAATAATCAAATATTTAACAAAAACGTATTTTAATTTTTTTCAATACAATACCATATTAACAGAGTTGGGCAGTATGTCAATAGGTAAAATATTAAGGTTAAAATATTAATATTGTAATTAAGTGTTAATAATATACCATTTTGTTTTCCAATTCGCAGTTAACATAATGGTTGGTTCAATATAATCAATTGGAAAATACAACGCTTATTCATAGGAATTTATAATTTTACATTTTTATAATTATTTTATTGTTTCAGATAATTAGAATATAATATAACATATTAATATTATGGTCCCTATGGTAAGGAACAGATAATACATATTTTTTTTTGTTGATGTCCAAAAACCAAGTAGTGAATAGCGTATTCCATAGTTTTTTTTAATCATAAATTATAACATTATGATATAAGGATAAACATAATATTATAAAATGTATAGTAATTAGATACAAATTATTAAATATATATGCATATTGCATAAGTACAGACTAAATTGTATATATTATTCATATAGCATATTGTATAATATTAAAGTAAACATGGCTAGAGAAGTATTATGACCATGAATAATGATTTTCTTTAAAACAAAAAAAATGTCTACTGATTAAGGTATACTATCTATGCTTAATAAACTAAAAAAAAAAAATAATAATATACAAAATATTTTACAAAATTATGAAAAAGTTTTCAAATGCTTTTTCTTGGCATTTTGCCCAACTCTGCAATACTGATTTTTTTTATGGAAGATTTCCATAAAATATTAATGCACATATGTCTTATAACTTTTTACACATTTACAATGTATTAATAAACCTTATCTAAATAATAATTCTAAAACAACTATGTACAAACATACATTTTAGTACACTTTTTTGTCACCGAGCAAAACGTGTGATCATTTTCGGTTTATGAAATGTTTATTGATAAAAAAAATATACGGTTATATGGTCCAAATTTCAGTCTTCAATATATAAATTTATTTAGGGCAAAACATTCTAGATATCACAGTATTCAAAAATAATAATAATGTAAAACCCTAACACAATACAAGTCTTTGTTGATATTTTATTACTGTGCATTTAACTTGACGAATAAGCTTCCAAAATGTATCAAATTATTTCTAACATAGCAAGTTTAAATTTTAATACTTGCAAGTTGTAACGCAAGAAAAGTCAGCATTAGTACACCAAATAAATATACATACATTTTTTTCCTTTGTGTAAAATTAACAAATCAATTGATTTGGTCATGAAAAATCAAATATTTATGGTTCAACTAATATATATAAAATTTAAATTTAATAAAAATAGTTTATCTAGTTATATAATCCTCATAATCTAAAGTGATTTTTTCATCACAGTAATAAAATATTTAACGGTTTAAATAATTAAAAGTTAGATCTAGAAATTAATTGCTTCACTTTGCTTAACAAGATCCATCATCACACACAAAATAATTTTGTGAAGCCTCATTCAATTTTTAAATTCTTAAATAAGGAAATTCGGAATATTACTTTATAAATTATATATCAATTTTTTTTAAAAACTACTGTTCAAAAATATCTTTGAGAGCAAAATATAGACAAAATATATATACCTATAACTTTTAGTTCATTTGGTCAGAATTTTTAATTGATAAATATATTGTCAATAAATAACTAACATAATTGATGATCATAGAATATAAGTTATTAGAACATTTTTCTAAATATAAGATTTTATACTATGAATAAAACCTAAATGATTGTTAACGTATTACTTTTAAGAGTCATTAAACAGTCAAATGTATAATATAAAAAATTCTTCACAATTTATATGAAATTATAGATTGTTTCATTTTTACTAAAAAATATTAAAACTTGCTACGTTATATACATAGGTATTAATTTTAATATTGGATCAAAAGTTACCTTTAATAGGTATATTCACAGTATAATATTATGTATTTAAAAAATATTAATTTATTACTCAAATATAATCTCACCAATTGTACAGCGTATATTATTGGTAAACATACCCGTATATTTAATTTAATTTAAGAATATAATAAATATGACTATCAAGTAACCCATAGGAAACCAATTAGTCATCTATATATAGCTGCAATACTTTTTGAAGTCAAAGCTCACCCAAAATAAGAAAACAAGCACTGGTGTGATGAATAATTTTGATCTTTAGTATTAAACTTTAATATAAACAAAAAAATAAAATTAAATAAATATTCCTGGCTAAGCTTCAATGCAGTCAATATCTTTAAGGCAATTAAATAGATCTTAAATTTTAGTACCTAATCCCAAAAAAACAATCATTAAAAGATATCATTAGGCTCGTATTAAATTTTGAGAGCCGGTAACCAATATAGTCAATAAAAAAATTATAAATGCACTGACTATTTAACATTGAGCGAACCATTGTGATTGATCACTGATTTTTCTATTTCTTTTGTGCTATGGAACTAATTTGGGTTTTATAAAAATTATCGTTTAGAATAATTATACATTGTATTTTAAAAGAAATAGAAAAAAAAAAATTATAATTGGTTGCTCATAGGCAAGAAGAATCTGGTGTTGCAGTTCTAATCAACACAGGATTGTGTTTATCATAATCATGCACCAGAGCTTTAATATGAGACAATTTGTTATGGAGGTAGTCAAATCGTATCTTAGCTGCTTGATATTTATCATCGTGTTTTCTTTCAGAATATTCTTGTAATATTTGTTTTTCTAAAATCTACAAATATTAAAGTTATTAATTAAATCATCAATCATAAATTAAAAGTAAATAATTATTGTACCTTGTAATCATTTGAGCCTTTAGGATGAACAAACATACGTTCCTTTAGTTTGGCAAATCTATCCCGAACAGGATGCAAAATATCAGCCAGATGTTTATATTCTTTATGACATTTGATGAATTCTGATTTATATTGCTTCTTTTGCTCCTTGTTTGTTATTTGTACAAAATCTCTGAAAAATATAATTTAAATTTAAAGCTCTGGACTATTAATATTATATTTTAAGTAATATAATATACTTACTGAATATATTTTGGTATTGGATTAGCATGAGAAGGTGATCGTATGGTCGACTGAGTACTAGAAACAATTGGAGGAGGACTATTTGAAGATAATTGTTGCTCGGGTGAAGGTCGTTTGAAATGAGAAACACGCATTCTTTTAGTCTGGAAACCATCTGCACCATTGTAATAACCTGGTCTTTTATTACCATGTACATTGTCAGGAGGACTACTGGGAACAGTACTACTTGGTGATTGCTCACTACTACCAGAACTTCCAGTATCACTCATTCCAGGAGGTGTTAAATTTTGAGGCTTTCGTCTAAATTTCAAAATATGTAGTTTAATATAAAAGTAAAATTTGTATACAAAAATTAGTTAAATGCCTGTCTGATTGGTTTATTGGACTAAATTGACAAAATTGAAATATTCATTAGTTCATTCAAAAATCATAATATTCAATTAGACAATTGAACTAATTGTTTAAACAAGGTGATCAGAGAGCATATAGTGATTTGCATTGTACATTAACTTAATATTTGAATTTCTGATCCTTCTGAATATATTATTATAGTTTTGAACCTTAATTGTTTATACATACTAAATTATTTGTTTTATTTACCGTTTTAAAAACATGTGGTCCTGACTGCTATAAAATGGCCAGTCTTCTTGTACATCGTTCCAAATATGCCGTAATAGATGATATGCATTATCTTTTACTTGAGCTACTTGACTAAGAATTGACATTATTTGTGTTCTATCTTTATCTTTTAAACCATCTGAAAAGTACAATTTTTTTTAAACGTTAAATTAATTTTAAACAACATACAAGTAATCTTTACCAACCTCTATTTAATATACTAATTAATTCCGGTTTCTTGTATGATTTTAATGCTAAAAGATGAATAATTCTATCACGTAATGGTTTTTTGCTAATATCTGATGCATGATTGGCAGGTGATGGGATGTGCGGGGGTATTGGTTTGGAAATTATAGGTTTTGGAACGTTATTTGTAGTATTAACATTATTATAAGTATTATTATTATGACGGCTAGCTCTAATTTGAGCAGGGTTCTTTCGTATCTTGCGACCAAGAGCTGATTTACTGTCTAGTTCAATTTCCCGGGTACTGTAAACAAAAAATGATTGTTATCAATTTCATATTATCATAAATCAATTCATTAAAATGTTAACACATTATATTACAATGTTCAAGAATTCTATGCTTTAATTTAATATAAATTAAGAAGTAACTAACAGACAGAATACATGCACTTATAGTTTGTTTATTGTGCACAACTTTGCTCAATTAGACAAAGAATTATTTTAAATTAAAATGACATCATATATAATGTACATATAATTATAAAGAAAAGGAATATTTCATCTTTATTCATTTTTTGTGGCTATTAATTTATTATAATAATATAATTTTAATTTCAAGGGTTTAATTTTAATGAACATGTTTAGTAAAAGGCTACAAAAAAAAAACTATATTTCCAAATTAAACTAATTTCAGTAGTAAATCCTATAGTTAAAATAGTTTTTATTGGTAATTGAAATATTACAAGGTAACTATAATTATAATATTTTTGATAAATATAAGAAAATATAAAATTGAATTTATTTTAACATATTTTTAACTGATAACAACTTTTACCATGATTTCTTATGTAATTCTTCAACAGCAACCATCCTATGTCTAGTAGCTTCATATACATCATCATTTGCAAGTACTCGCATTCGTCTATTTAATTTACCGACATATTCTAATGATCTGTAATGACACAAATAAATATTATATTATATTTATATTTAATTATTATATCACTGCTTATAAGAAAGTATTTAATATAAAATTATTGACATTAATTACTTACCTAGAAGTATTTTGGCGAATACATTCAAAACTACTTCGTGGACCAGTAACATCTATTGAGTTAGATAAACTGAAGTCAAACGTATAATTTTTTGATATGCTCGGGACGCATAATTGCTGTAATAACAAAAATAAAAATATAAAAAACAAATAACATTGGTATTTTTATACAAATTCAATACTTACACCTTCATTGCCCTTAAATTGTATTCTAGGCTTGGGAAGGTTTTCTGAGTTACCCTAAAAATAAATTATACATATATTATATTCAATAAAAATTAATCAATCTGCTTTCATATACCTAAAATATTAATTTAATTATTTTCGAACTATCAACTAGATATATAGTCAATACATATATTTCAATTGTTTTCTGTTTTGTATACATATTATACATAATTATTATTATTAAATGTGTAGGTCATTTATTATGGGGACAGTATACGGATATTTTCTTTTTGTTTAAAACAAACGCAGCTTAGCAATTTAGATAAATTTTCCGGCAATCAATTCAATTGATGTAAATAAGAATTCTAATTTCAGCATGATGTATACAAGAGATTGGGCCAGGGCATTTTTTTGAACATAATTCCTTAGTATTTTCAAAAAATTTTATTTTGAAGATTTTAAAACTATTAAAATACATATATATAAAAATAAATGCTAAAATTAAATTTAAAAGTGGTCTAACATATCTCATGTACTCTTTACATTGAATTCAAATATGTTTTCAGAATTATCATGGCTCAACAATATCAATCTGATTGATTTTGTAAAAATTTAACTTAATTACTATGCTGTGTATGAGTTAGATAAGAAAAGAAAATATTGGTACCTAATCTTCTTAATAAAGAATATATAATAGAGTTGAATACATACAGTAGAATTACAATATGGAGAGGAATTTTTTAATTATATTATGTAAGAATCTAAAAATTGTTTTATTGTTAAAACAATTAATAAATATTAAACTTAATTCTAAATAAAATAAAAATAATAACAAAAGTAGCTTTTTATATGGAGTTATTAATTGTGCATATAAGGATAAACATATCTTTTCTGCACCAGTCTAAACTTGAAATTATAAATTATCTGTATTTAATTCAAATATACCTATATAAGAAACTTAAAAGAAAAAATTAAAGAACTATCCAACTCTATCTAATAACTATACCAACTCTCGGTAACAGTATAATTAAAATATATATATAACATTTTAATGGTTATTTAAGTCAATATATTCTCATTAGGTATTCTTTATATTTTTGTATAAAATGTAAAGAAAAATCTATATTCCCTTCCTCAGATAATAAATAAATAAATATATCTCCTAATTATATTATTGTATACCAACACCCTCGTAAATATAATATGTACTAAGGATATAAAAAGTATATATATATATATATATATACATGCTATATATATATATATACACACACATTTATATCATACAATTATTTTAATACATACAATGAAATCAACATAATACTTAGTATGTTTAACATAAAAACCAATTTTATCTTATTTATCATTTAAACAAATAATAATAAAAAAAAATCAAATTATTTTTCAATTTATCTATGAATTTTAATATTAGATACCTATATTATAAAAATAAATAACATATTTCAATCGAGAATTCCTAAGAATAATTATATTTTTTTTTATTATTAAAATTTGCAAAAAGTCTTGTGTTAAAAACACGAATTATGAACATGTTACCTTATTTAAAATATTGTGTAGATGACGCGCAAAACTATAATTATATTTTTGTTTATTTATAACATAACTAAGGAATGTTTAGTATTATTTTCTCGAGTGTCCGCAGTGTATATGTTTAGCTAAGCTATAATCTGAATACATAGGTATTACCTATAATTAATACCTTTTTGAAGTGTATTAACAATAATTATTTTTATGAAACATTTATTTTATATAGTTACTTGGTTAACCTAACTTTATGTACCTAAATGCACAGCTTCTTCAAATACTCATAATAGATGTATTTAAATATGCAAGAAAAATGTTAAGTGAATACAATAATTTTTTAATGTTTGACATGTTAATAAGAATGGATGTCAAATTATTATTGGTAGGTCATTCTCAGGCTTCACACAGGTAGTTCTGTGAGAGCTGGCCTATTGACGTGTATGACCCAAATACCAAACTCTTAGTCTGTAACAGCAGCAATAGAAGTATATATATATATATTATTGTTATAAAAAAAAAAATAATATGACAGCAAGTGGTAGCGGGGAAACTTTCACTTTTTGTCATACAATTGGTCCTGACCTTGTCCTCAACATCAACAAATATTTAAGCCTTGTATTAGTTGTATTTATTTGAATTATGCTATTAAAGTAACCATTATTATTTGAATAATCACATTGTGTAGGTAAAGATAATACAACAATAATGATAATATTAACTATAATAAAGTTGCTACTTATCAAATTTTAACAAATTATCGAATTAGTATCCAGGAAAACAAAAAGTCCATGAAAGAATGTAAAAATTACAAATTAAATTCAATAATAAATTAATAAAACTGCCATGTTATAAAATATGTACTATTGTACAGAAATAGTATTAAGTTATATTTCTGGTGACTATGAATAATATCAAACTTAATAAGAAAAAGATCTCATTACAAGAAGAAATTATGTAAAATATATTTGAACATAATAATAATATAAGAGTAGAGTAATAATACCTTTTCATTTGTTGCGTATTACTTATATTTCAGGTGAAAAAGCAGGTGAAAGTACGAGTGTTAAAGACGAAAGGATAATAATTATGTTACATACAATGCGGCTTTATAGCCAGTTAAAACCAGTTTTAGTTAAACCATTGCTTTATGAATAACATAAAATGAGTTCTTATTATATTAGCCCAGATAATATTATATTTTAGGGCATATTAAAATTGTGATTTGTTTATTTTTAATTCAAGAAGCATGTTTTAATAGAGAAGAACTCATGTACAATACTAAGAAAATACCACAAATTAATCTATATAACAAGAATTTAATACTAACAAAAACGCAACATACTGTCTAGGGCCTAAACTATAGGGATAATGATAAATTGAAACATAAAATTATTCAAATACCTATATTGTAAATGATTCAATAGGTGAATAGTCTATAATATAAGGATCTGTCAAATATATTTGATAATCATTAAATCACATACTCCTATATATTTATTGAAGAATTTACGTTATATTATAACAATTTAAGTACCATTGTACACGGATAAAAATTATTGTTTTGTCTTTTGTTCTAGTTTGACGGGATGATATCAGCCAATTAAGTAATACAACTTTTGAAAATGTAAAAATGTTGTTATTGTAACTTCTGTAATTTGTGATGTTTCAGATATTCCAACAAAACTAAGTACCTAGATAGTTTTAAATTTTTTTTTTATTACAAATATAAAAAAGTAAAAAATTATATTTAAAAATAGTTTACGTATGCAATTGGCAATCATACATATTATTTATTTCTATCTCAAAATGAATATAATTCATACAATTATTTAAATTTAAATGTATTGTTTTTTTAATATGATTATATATTTATTTTTATAAAATAATATTTTATTAGTTTTATTTAATTTTAATTTCATAGATGTATGCTATATTTTACCCAAACAAAATGAATAAATTAGTTGTTTATACTTTGACCTTCATTTTAATTTTGTCAATATTGTCGATAAGAGCCAGCTGACATTGTACGGAAAAAACAAGTACAATCATAATTTACCAATGTCACTGAGTTCTCTGTGTACTTAACCATTCTTCAAAGAGTTATCTGTACTAATATCTATCAGATCGATAGACAACAATCAACTATAATACTTCAAATAAAAAATATAATAATAATAATCATTAGAAATCATTATTTTAATGTTAACAATATTATATAGGTAAATACTAGTAAATTAGTATATTTTATAGTATTATTAACCTAAGACAGTATACAGTTTTTGTGTATGAAAAGAGGGGTGCTTTATTCCTTATATCCTTAATTTTCATAACTAAATATAATAACAATGAGTTATTTTAATTTTTTGAAATATGTCAATAATTAGAGGTACCACCAGTACCAACCATCGTTACAATCCATGGCCATAGACAATAAAATTGATGTATTCCGAGGCATTATAAATAGGTACTTACATAGAGATTTAAATAAATAAAAATAACACTTAGGTAATCTATTCAAATATATGTATTTTTATAATATACTCATTTTTTTTTTTTAAATTAGCAGTTTAAAATACAGTACTGTAAACAATATATAAATATAAAATAATAACCAGAGAAAAAAATATCATTTAACTCTATTGTAAATTCTATGATTTTATTTTGATTAAGTTGCCATTAAAAATAGTTAAATATTAATATTGAATAGTTATGTAATTAATAATTAATTATTAGTAAATTATTTTATTTAATTATAATAAAATGATAATTAATAGTAATATAAACAAGTAAAAAGTAATCAATGTCGATATTATAAACTGGTATTTCCATTGATTCATTTTGATTTTTTTTTTAAATTTTTCTAATAGATATTCGATTTGCTTAACTTTTTAACTTAGTATCCCCTAACATTTTTTTTTTCAACATACTCAAAACATTTATCAAAAAATAGATTTTTACTATGTAAAATGAGCTTTTAATAACCATCCTAAACAAAAACGTTATATATATATAGATGAAAATACATTTTTGATTAATATATAACACAAATAATGATTTGTGGCGTCTACAATCTGTTGATTGTGGTTTTAATTATCAATATGTGATATGTGTAAAATATATTTGTAACCAATAAATTAAAATACAATTGTAATAATATAAACTATAAATTTATTTATAATACAAAAATTTGGATAAATACTTCAGAATTTTTATTCCATTGCACATATATGGTTGACATATGAAAATCCATATCATACTTTAATAAGTAAAATGTACAAGGTTTTATTAATTTAAGAAGACACAAAATATTGCTTTTTATGAAACTATTTCTACAATTTAAAAAAAAAAAAAAAACATTTTATAGTGATTTAAGGTGTTATTGCTTATAAGGGCAGAATATTAGATTTCCAAAAATTTACTTAATTGGGAAAAGTATACTACAATATTTTCTTTTTTTGCTAACACATATGCTGAATGAGAATTCAGACCAATTTTCTTTCAATTAATGTAGTGATACAATAAGAATTCTGAAAATAGATTTGAATATAGCATGAAATGGACATGAGAGAGGCCAGGCTACTTTTTTGAATTTTATTACATAAAGTAAGAATTCACCTATAATGATCTTTAAGGGATCTAAAAATACAGATTTTTATATCCAGATTACAAAAAAAACTAAATTTTTGAAAAATTAATTTATCAAACAAATGTTTTTTATTAAGCATAAATAATTCAATAGTAGTATTAATTATATAAAAATTATAACATAATGCATTTTACACTTATGTAATATTTAATATTTTTTTTTAGATTCTGAGTGAAGTCTTTTTTCCTTATGGTTTTACATAGATGTTTTTTTTATAATCATTTTTTTTTTACCTGTGCGCAACTTTTCTACCTAAAGACTTGCTCGAATTTTCACGTTTAACACTTTTTCTAAAAGGAAATCGACGTGGGGAGGTTTTCGATTTTCTTAGGAGTTTTCCCATCAACTTTGAAAAACCAAAAAAAAAACAGGAAAATATAAGAAATGTAGGTATTAGTTAAAATATATTACAGCATTCCTTTTTTCTTTGTACAGCTATTTTACCAGCAATTTTACTCAAACTTTTAATAATAGCAATGTTTCTAAAAGGAAATTTCACTAGCGAGGTACTTTAGAGAGGTCATTTTTTGATTTTACCAAGAGTTTTCCCAGCAAATGTGAAAAACCAGGTTAAAACATGGGAAAACCTGAAAAAAGTTGGAAAATTGGAAATATCTGTACAAAATTAAATATATATTATTAAAGAAAATATATAAAGCCTGTTTAGTTATTTTACTATAAAATGACATACATATTGTTGATAAAGCATCACTATCAACCGAACTATGCTCAGAATCGTTTTTCATAAGTAATGGTTTATTGTTGATTACAGATATACATTAAATTATCTATAATAGTGGCTGCATCCACCCATTACCATTATCCTAGGATGTCTTTTTTTTAAATAATCTGTTTTAGATACTTTATTGAAAATTGGAAAAATGTCGTTGTTTACCAAAACAAAATAACGCACCTAATCAATGGTACCCCATAAAACATGGCAACCTATACTATATATACGACATATTATCTGTTACAAATAAAATAGATTATGGATTGTTGCAAAACCTGATGAAAGAAGCAAATTTGCTGTTTATAAATACATAATATGTATATACAATGTTATTATAGGTGAATCTAAAAACCAATTTTCATATCAAAATAACATCATTATATATCCAGCTTATTGCTGTAACCAAAATTGTTATAAATTACCAAATTTAACGCAAATTAGACATAAAACCAACCATATACATTGGTATAAAGGAATCATTTATTCCAGGATATCTTTACATATGATATCCTAATCAGCAGTTTTAACTGTAGTATCAAATATTTTAAAATTTATATAACTTTATAAAAAAAAAACTCAAATTGAACTGAAAAAAGTGACCTGTTTCATTTAATACGCGCTAAATTTTTCAGAACACTACATCAATCCATTACATTATAACAACCTATAAAAATTATTGGACTGAATAAAAAAAACGTCTAAATTGTTTTATGGTGTATGTATTTGACAAAGAACAAAAATGTTAGAAATCAAATTGGTAAGTCCAATATAATACGTATTGGTTTCATTTACTTTCTATGAATATGAGAAAAACATTTATGGCAAGTTGATAAATAAATACTATTTTAAAAGTAAAGTTATGTTCATAAGTTAATCTAATGTTGTATTCAAGTTTTAGTTATACAATTAAAATATATAACTTAAAATATTGTGCACTATAAACATACATCTTATTTTTATGATTATTTCTTTAATTTTGAATAAATAATTTGATAATAAATCAAATCAAATTAGATTAAAACATGGACCACCAATTTATAATAGGTACTTATTTTGAACAAGATTACAATTACATAATTGAAGATACCTATTAATAGGTAAATAATCCTCAATGGATATGAGAAGGACTGAAAAAAGCAAAAATAGCTTAACACAGTTTTACTTAAAATTATAACATGGAAACCTTTGCATTGACAATTTACAGACAAAACAAACAAATTTTAATTTAAAAGTTGTTAGCCATGAGTCATGATTGATTTGTCTGAAGTGTCTTCATTTCTCATTATTATGAATTCAGTTAGACAAATTGGTATTTAAAGATTTAAAATTAGTACTTTACAATTTGTTTCAAGTCACTTTTAACCAAATAAACCTCTGACACTATTACTCATTTAGTGTGGGTGGCCTAATCTTTTGAAATACAACTTGGTGTAATACAATGTACAGGTACACTTATTGTTGGACCAGTAAATACTACACACAATTGAGTTAAATAATTATTTTACATATTTTTTTTTTTATTCATAATTATTTTATAAGTAAATACTTACTTAATATACGAATATACTTATTGTTTTAAATAACATATTATCTAATAATTAAAAAAAGTGAAAATAAAATGTAAGTACCTAATATTAATATTAGTTATAAGAGAAAATTATTAAATGATTTGAAATAAAATTCAAAACTATGAGTATTATCCATATAGTATAGATTCATTTATCACTGATTTCAACAAAAAGCCATCATTTAAAAAATTATATCAAACAATTAATATAATACCTACTAACACTTTTTAATTATTAATTTACATTTATAATTAATGATAATAAGAAAAGTTTAATTAGAGATGTAAATACTTGGTAGGTAACCCTTAGGTCAAATTAAAAAGACAATATGAATTATATAACCAACCCTAAATATTTATCTGAATATGAATAATTTGTCATAAAAAAAAAAATCATAAATATGTTAATAATTATGTACAGTGGTCAGTGAGAAACATTTAATACAAGTAAAACACTATTTGTACTAATAATATTACATTACAGAATGTACTTAGTGCAATACTAATGTTTTTAACAAAATAACAGCTTACAGTTAAGGTTAGTAGCGTAAATATTGAAGTTCAAGGATAATTAAGCCCCTTCCATAAATTTAAAATACTATTCATTGTAAATACTAGGTAGGTTAACCTATATTAAAAACTTACAGTTAAAATAAGTACTTATAGTTATGTTTTGATCAAAATGTAACTTGAAGACCCTTAAATATAAATTTTTTATTACTTAGGTACCTATATTTATTCTATAAACAAAACTAACTTAGCTTCAAAAATTAAAAATAATAGGTACATTGTTTGTAGCACTTTATTCAGAAAAATATACCACTATTAAAAATTGTAGGTATCTACTTATATTTAAATTTAAATATTAATAAATAAATGTTTTATTTTTTTAAATACTATAACTTTTTAAGGAATTATTTAACCTTGTGTAAATAATATATAAATAACTTTTCTTTATATAACAAATAATTTAAATAATCAAAAACAGATATACTTTGTACAATAGATGAGACACTTTTGTAGGTGAGAAGTTGGGAAGGTAGAGGACAAATTAAATTATACTTGTAAGCAACAATTAATTATTGCTAACGAAAAACGATTCTTAGTGGAATTTAGTTATATATGTTTTGAAAGGCTGTAATATTTACAATTTGAAAATAATACACCTTGTTAATTTTCCCATTTATTATAAAAACTTCAAGGAAAATCAAATCACCCCAATCCAATTTCCTTTCAAAAAATGTGCTACATTTTAAAATCACAGCCAAATTTCTGATAGAAAAGTTGTTAAGATAAAAAAAAATATTAACATAGTAAAACCAATACATTCCTCCTCAAGGTATATAACTAAGAGAAAGAGGCTTTCATGACTATAGATTTCATTACTTCACATACTCATTTTTATTTTTTATTGACATTACTATATTATATATTTATATATTATACTCATTGTTATCTAATTTGTATAGAGTACAAATTATTTATTGATATGTACTTATAAATTATGTTTTGGGTACCTACAAAAATTTAACAAAATATCTAATCTTTAACTAAAATAAATTTTGAAAAAATTAAAATATTTAAGTATATACTTAGTAAAGAACATAATCATTATTGATTTATAATTTCATGATTTTTAGATTTTTTTTTGGTATCTATCAAAAAATAAATTGGATTAAATAGAAAACAAATTATAATGCATCTTATTATATACTGATATCATTAGATCTACTGACTACTATAGAGCAAATAAACTGATCAGAATTTATATTTATATAAATTATAATATGTATATATATATTTATATTTTTAATTTTTTTTTTCTAAAATATAAGTGATTTAAAAATAATATTAGATTTAAATATTATCTTAAAAATTAAAAAATTAAATAAATAATTTATTATGACTGGTTTCGTTTAAAGACATCATCAGAAACATAGCTTTAACTATAGTAACATGCAACAGCATATGCTGTCTTCAAAATTATCAAATTTCATATAGCACTGGAGAAATGTCAAGAAAATTTAAAAAAAAATTGTATGGGTGATAAATAAACTATGAAGTAAAATGATCAAACATTTTTTGGTGAAGGTTATTTTATATAGATATTTATTCTGCTTTTATGGATAAATTCTAGTCACGCACTTATGCTTATAATCAGAAAATAATATAAATGAGTGACTGGGACGCCTCAATTTTTATTTAATAATAATTGTATAAATCACAGGAACTTAATGGTATTTTTTTAAATTTTTTTTAAAGAATATTTAACATTAAATAGATATTGGCTGTAATTGACTAGAATAAAAACAAATATTTCATAATTTCATAAAATTTGTGTTACCTATGCTATATAAAAAATATACCGAAAAAAATACAAAATAAATTATGTATAGGTATTAGATAAAGTAAAAATTGTACTAAATGTTATGATATATAATCAATGGATCCTAGTAAAAAATTGCATAAGTAAGTAAACAAAATAATTTTGAGAAAATGTTAAAATATATACCTATAAAACAGTTGCTTTAATTTTAATTTTAATTTATGTATTTATTTAATATTATTTTCCAATTAATAGTAAATTTAAATAAAAAAGTCAATTTTACTTATGTTTGAATAATTAGACAAAACTAAAGGGAATAAAATATAAAATGAATACTTCAAACAGATATGAGTAGATATAGGTAATCAAATTTTAAGTCAGAATAACTTGTGCTATAAAATTAGCTTTTTTGATATCTATTATATGTACCTGATCTATGGAAATGGATTTGATGTGATAAATGAGAAAAAAGTACTTGTGTTCAAATAATAACCTAGATTGTACTTATTTAGTCAATACCTAATTACTACCTAGATACTCTGTGAGATACTTAACTAAATTTATATTTAAAAGTACTATTTTTATAGATTATTATATAAACTCATAATTATGAAATAAAATTAATATTTTTAAGTAGGTAGATGTAGGTAAGTATTTAATAAATAAACCTGATTATGTAAATAAATAATAATTTTAATTTATAAATATAAACTCAATTCGAATTCCTGAAATAATTGTTAACAGATTTGGACATTAAGATATCACTAAGTAGACAGTTAAAAAAACCAGCTGTTTGAAACACTAAAACATGTTTTTTCAGTATCGACAGTACCTAAATAGGTATGTAAATGTATTATGAATATAATCCTTTGAATAGGTAATTAGATATTATAGAACTTAACATTTTCTAGTAATACCATAAAAAAAAAAATGTGTAAGGTATATTTTAAAAATAGATTAGTCTCACAGTTCAAGTTGGAGCATTGGTTTAATTTCAGTGTTAAAATTCTTAATTTCTGATTTAGAGGTTCTAATAATTAATAATACCTGAGAATCAACACTGATTTGTATAAAAGCCTATAAATGAAATTTAAAAAAGGTTTGGATTGAGGACGTGGCCAAAGAAAAACGATTGTGGGCTACTCGAAGAAGAGAAATCATGAAAGCAACAGACGATTGTGAAAGCCTCGAAAAAGTGTACATTCGTAAAGGCTGACTAGCTTACCTGTTGACAGCATCTCAAGTAATCCTCGACAGCCTTCAGACAGGAATCAGTTAGCTTAACGAAGAACAGCGTTTTGTTTTTGCTCGTCCTTTGCTTGGGCATAAGGCCATTGTTCTGGTTTGACGATAAACTATATTGCACCCCAGCAGTCAGAGCAGCCATCGTGGCAATTTGTCGTTGCAACTGTTTAAGAGTTTGATGTCGTTTTTTATTGTTGGAAAAAAAAATTTTATTGTATACGAATCATAATTGTAATAGGTAGCGACGGTCGCGGACATATACGCATAGGAAAAAGATTACGAGACTGCTATTTCATTAGATGCTAATGGTGCAAGATAGCAGGTGTACACGGGACTGCTGTGCTGATACGCACACCTGGCCTCCCGCAATACTGACGTCACAGACGTATGCGTTCTCAAACGACCGCGATTGCGCTCGAAATGCCGTGCAACAGCTATTAGCATCACTTCTACTACTGTCCACTACTACTACTATTACTATTACTTCTACCTTCTACTACTACCACTGTTTGCCCCTTCGTCTAAGGCAAGTTTTAATTAGTTAGTTAACCTTAATTATTATTAACTATTTATAAATATCTGATTACCAGTAGGTATTTATGTTTACCAGACACTTAATTAATTATTGTCAAATATCTATATTAATTATAATAAAGTTTTTGGTTATGTAATAACTTCGACAAATCATATGACTCATCATAATAAGAAAAATGCGCGCGCCAAAAAAATACCCTTCAATTATAGTGTCATTTAAGGCACCCATTTGTTTGTATTACCGAGGCTCTCCTCGGGAGGGGGTAAACGACCGAAATAAATAAAGGACTGTCTGCAAAGTTTTCTTTTTGAAGACAATAATATTATAGGTACTATTGATTTATTTAATAATCTTATTAATATTTTCAAAATGTTACCCTTTTATTCCATAAAAAATAACACAAGTAGAAGAACTTATATCGATGATACAGATATTATTTGTCAAACAAAGTTAGCAAACATAACTAAAATATAAAGGGTGCTAGCGCTCCCAAAATCAATATGAGAGCCATAACATTTTTGGGCTATTTGCATCATTGTAAATAGCAAAATATATTTTAAAAACTTAGACTCGAAAATATGAGAATAATTTTCTAAAAAACTTGATACGTGCATAAGTAATAATATCGAATTTACCGTTTATAAATTACGATCTATATTATATAAAAACAACTTTACAAGTTATAACAGTTCAACATTTCAACCAAAGGAGAGTAATAAATTAAATTAAATCCATATTCAAATAACCCACTCCCTGTTCCCCTGAATGGCCTGAACATTAGCTTAAATTTTAAACTGTTATAAACTTAACCAAATTTAAATTTAAAATTAAGTATATATATATATATAGCTACAAGTACTTGACTTATAACTTATAAACGATATATTAGCTGTAGTACCATCTACAGTAGTACCTACTTACCTATATATTTTTAAAGAAGTTACCTATCTCTTTTCTAAATTTAAAAAACGTGAGTTTCAAATATTTCAATCTTTAGAGTCGTGGTTTGAAATAGGCATTCATAAAATTTAAAAAATATTGTAAATAAGATCATCAAAAAAACCAAAATAAAATAGGTATATACAAAATCCTTGAGTACCTACCCACCTATATTTATAATCGCTTGATTGTGATAAAATAATCATTCTGTACAATTATATAGGTATATTATACGTAAGCATATCGGCACAGATTAATATGCAAACAGCAGTCTGCTATGATTCCATCCTCCCCTTCTACGATTCAACGCTATTATATTAAAACGTTTTTTATTCCCCCTTCTTCTAGAAACCACTACTGCGCATGCTACGTCAACTACACTCTATAGTGATTGTTATTTAGGCAATTTAGTCAAGGAGTCCGTAAATCGTTTGAAATTGTGATCTTGATAAAATTTAACAGATGTAATTCTGCAGTATACTAAACACAGACCAATCGTTCTGTAGATATTCTGAAATTACCTATATGAGACGCGTGTTTTCCTCAAAAAAAATACCACAATCTCTCGTCTCCCACCTGGTTTCGATAAAATATTTGTATGTTCACGTCTATCAATTCGATATCTTATTATATTTATTTATTTTTTATGCACGTATAAATACAATACGTAGTTGTATTATATGCATATTGCATATTATTATTATTAGGTACATAATATGTAAACATTCGCTTTCCCTAAAACAGTTAATGTATTTTTCCATCGCAGACCTCTCTCCGTTTATAATAAAAAAATTAAATATTATCTTGTGTTTATATTTTAACCAAAAAATAACTTCCTCGTAAATACCTACCAAAAAGGTGTATATTAGTAAGTGGTATATAAAGTGTAAATTGATCTGGGAGAAAAGAACCGGCCTGCGGTATAAATTATAAACTTTATAATAAATCTAAAAATAATACAAAATAAAAATAAATGCTGATACTAATGACGAGTGCAGCCACTGTAATATTTACGATGTTCGTCAAAATTTGATATTAAAATTCTTAAAAAAAAAAAATTACTATAAACTTAAATTCAATTTTAGATTCTGAGTGGAGCGAAGAAGCTATTATTATGATTTTACAAAGATGTTTATTTTTTTTCCTGTGGACAACTTTTTTACCAGAGAACGTGCTCTGATTTTTATGTGTAGCACCTTTTCTGAAAGGAAATCGGTGTGGGGAGGTATAAGGGAGGCAATTTTATGATTTCTCAGGAGTTTTCTCATCAAATGCGAAAAACCAAGAACGTATAGGAATAAACGTAAGAAAAACGGGGAAATTGGTATATTAAATAAATATTAGAGAAAAAAAAATTATATGCCTATTTAATTGTTTTACCATAATATGACATATACCTATATTGTTGACAAAGCATTACAATCAACTACCACTCAGAATCATTTTTTCGTTAGCAATGGTTTATCGTTGCTTACATGTATACATTAAATTACCTATAACAGTGACTGTACCTGTCCCCATTATCCTAGACCGTCTTTTTAATTTTGTTATATTATACCTACTGCATTTTTAACCTAACCTAACCCTACCTGTATTATTTGTATTGTTTGGTTTTGTTTCCGTAATTCCGCGCCTGGTACATCCTGTTCAAAATTAAAATATATATAGATATTAGATACTAAATAAGTACCCAAGTATATAACTATTATTACCTACATAGATCTACGCTTAAATAATGGCCGTGGCCCGTGGATATGTACAGAGTGATCACCATAACGTAAGACACTCATTATCTCGGAAAGTATTAACATTTTTCGGAATTTGTTTTTAGAACATATTTTAAGAAATAAGTAGCTCTAAAATATTATATTGATATTTTATTTGTCATTCTTATTTTAGAGAGTGAATCCATCACACTCTACTTTTGATTTTCAAATGGCTATTTATATTAAAAATTCCATAAATAGATGGAATATTCTGGTTTAAATCAATTTTGGTGTTGACATTTTAAATTTCCGTCAACTCATTAACAAGATATACAATTTTTAATTTTCGGAGTTTATTTAACCACTTTTAGGTGCGTATACCCATACATTTATTTTCCAATATACCACTGGTTAAAACTAATGTTCACACCACTATGAAACAGGAACATTTGGGTAATTTAATACTTTCATAAATTGAACAAACCATAGAAAAACATATTAACATCGATGAAGTATAATTGAAAAATTTTAAAAAAATGGTTCCACATAAGCATTATCTAGTTTTATAGAAATTTGATAATTTTTTTGTTCTATTCTTTTGATTTATATAATATTAAAATTTGTATTATGTTGTTTGAATTTTAGTAATATTTAAATTTAAATGATTATTAAAGATAGAACTGGTTGTTATATTTGTTATAAAAATAAAATAGTATGTAAGAGATTTATTGAATCAAAGAAGTTTGACATTCGATAATTGAATTTAAGGTATAGGTACTTGATCAGATTTATACATATATTATAATAACTTCTAAGAAAATATTACTTTAATTTTTAAATAAAAAGTTATATAAATTAAAAATATACAAAAATTAAAATATATAAATTAGTTAGGTAAAAAAAAAGAAATAAAAGAAATGAATATTAATCAATGAATTTTCCACCCCCCTCCTCTCCATCATTTAATAACATGTCTGAATTGATCATTGACCAGAAAAAGTGGCACAGTCTAATGAAAATGTTTAGTTGTACCTATAATCAGTTATATGTTACTCATGGTACACATTTAGCCGTTGGTGATGTACTTTACAGTACGAAAAACAATCAAAATAAATCAACTTCGAATGGTCCAGCAATTTATAATTCAGATTATGACAATGGAGATTGGGGAATTTTTCACTGTTATGTAATATTTATCAATTTTAAATGCGTCTATTTGAAGATAAGATAAATTGATCTGAGACAAATAGTAGATAGTTTTCAAAATAAACTAAAGTTCTTTGCACACAATTTAAAATTAAATAACGTAAATCACTTTCCAGTTTTTGCAAAAAAAAAAGAACACTGTTTGATAGAATCTTCCTATTGTAACAAATAAGGTGGATCTGAATAAATTGAACTCTTAAAGTTATTAGAAGATGAAGATCTTAAACAGTTTAAAAACAATTTCCCACTATAATAGAACTTTGGAAGCATGTTTTTATTTTAAGATACCCAAATATTAAAAACTGTGCAGTAAAACCAATATCTATTTTCGGAACGACTTCATATAGGTATGTGTGAATCGCTTTATTCAACAATAAAAAGAATAAAGTTAAAATATTTTTCAAATTTAATTAATTATCTCAGAGAATTGCTCAGAACTGCTCTTACCTCAATGTAACCAAATATAAGATTAAAGTTTAAATTGTATTCATTATTTATTACTGTTTTTTTTATAAATGCATACAAAAGAAGATCTTCACACAATAGGTGGGCCACTGTTTTAGGTAAGAGGTTGGGAAGCTAGGATATAGAGGGGAATTTAATTTATATCTATACACAACAATTAATCATTGTTAACGAAAAACTGAGCGGAGTTCGGTTTTACGTTTTAAAAGGCCATAATACTCGTATTTACGATTTTCATCAAAATTTGATATTAAAATTCTTATAAAAAAATAAATACTACATTAAACTTAACTTTTTCTGGTTGGTCACTAAGTATAACTTATAATAAACTTCCTGTTAAATTGACAAGCATTTCTGTTTAATCTAACAATTTTATCCACAGAATATCTACTAAATAAATATTACGTAAAAATCTCGTAAAATTAAAATCTCTATAAATAGCTCAAAAATGGGTCAAATATTTTGAAAATTTAAAACACATATAAAAAACTATAAAAAGCAATTATAGGTTTTTTGTCCAAATTTTAAGTCTCTACAAAATTTTAAACTGAATTACAATAAAAGCATTATTTTAGTACATTTTCCCCAATTATTATGAAAATTGCTAGGAAATCATAAAATAACCTCCCTAAAGTACCAACTAGATTAAATTCACTTTCGGATAAGGTGCTACACTTTATACATCATATTAAGATATCTGGTAGAATTTTTGTACAAAGTATAAAAAAAAAAAAAAAAATAAACATCATTTTTCAAACCAATACATTCCTTGATCTGCTTAGAATTTAAAAAAGAGCTGATACTAGAAATGGGTACAGCCACTGCTGTAGGTGGTAATTTGGGAATGTAGGATATATTTATTTAATTTATACCTATACGCAAAGGTAAATTATTGCTAATGAAAAATGATTAGGAGTGAAGACATAAGACATTCGGTAAGACATATTTTGAAATGTCATAATTTTTAAGGTTTTTGTCGTAATTTGATCTTAAAATACTTCTGAAAAAAAAGACCTAATTAATTAAACTCAAATCTGTTTTTCATACCACTAATTACAACTCAAAATGTACTCTGTGATACATTTTCAAGCATTTCTCTTAATAGACTACATTTATAACCAAATAAAAATAATTATACATAGCCTAAAAATAGCTTGAATATTTTGAATATTTTATCATGTTTACAAAAGACCAATATAAGTATTTTGTGAAAACAACTGGTCTCTAAAATAATTTTTAATCAAATATCAAAAAACCCAAATGCTATATTTCCTAAATTTTTTTGTAATTATTAGTCAAACTACATGGAAAATCAAACAATGACTTTCTTACTCACAAACTAGACAAAATTTGGTTTCAGGAAAATTGTTGTCCTTGAAATTAAGCTAAAGATTTCTGGCAGAAACATATAATCGTAAACATTTTAAATAACGAATCAATTTCAACTATGATACAATTTCTAAATTAAAAATGTTTAGGTATGTTATCTTCATGAAAATGTATGTCATTTACCTGTTATGTGTAAATATTTAAACTTTAATTATTTTAATCTTTACCCTTTGCAACAATAAAATAAACTTATTCATAACAAAAAAACAAATTCGAAAATAATAAAAATAATGTAAACTTTTCTCTATTTACTATTTTTTTTTCTATTATTTATTATGAAAACTGGTTGGGAAATCAAAACATTACTTCTTACTAATCAACAATTAACTAGATCTGAAATGCAACAAAAAAATTATTTTGTCAGCTTTTGATTGATGTAAAATTTCTGGTAGAATAATTGTTTACAGACAAAAAAAACAACAACACATACATTATAGTAAAACCAATAGATATAATTTATATTTATAAATAGTTTTGGTAAGATATATTATATTAAATTCTTTAAAAAAAAAAAAAAAATAGTTTATTTTATAATGTGACCTTTTAACATCTTATGTTTTATTAGTGTCAAGTATATCATAATATTTATAAAATCACAAATAATAACTATAATAAAATATTTATTTCTATTGATCAATAATATCTTTGTATCATATTGTGTTCAATGAAATATAAATAATGAGTATATTTCAATTCAAACACCCATACTTTTTATTTATTTTAAGTATTAAGTACAATTACTGAATTTTTATTCAAAATTGCAATCATAACAACTTAGTAGAACTATGTAGCTGGTAAAGGCTACTATACTCTAGGAAACTAAAGCTTAATTTAAATATGAACTTCCATATAGCAAAACTATAATGCTAGTAAAATTGGTATATATTTATATTATATAATTTAGGTAAAATAAAACATTTATTTATAATAATTCAAATTAGGCTGTACACATAATTTACTATTTTAAAATTGACAAGTCTTTATTTTAAATTGCACTCAATTTATACTGAATATGGCTCATAATTATCAATCTAATTGTATTTTAAACTTTTTAACTAGTTTGTACACAAATAGGTCTGTATGTTGAACATTTACACTTAAATAAATACTTAATATATTATTAAATTTAAAATGTATAACAAAAGTAAATAGAAAATAAATTAATTTGATAACTACTTCATAAAGATATTTCTTAAATCTTTAGAAGTCGTATAAAACATTTAAATATTAACAATGAATAAATAACTAAAAGTATTTCAATAATTAATCACCTTCAATTTGATTAGCTAGGCTGTAATATCCGCTTTCTAATATATTATTTGTAGCCCGAAATCTTCCTTTACAAAATATAAGTAATAAGAATATATTAATGATTAATAAAATTAAAGATAACATATGCCATGTTTTATCATCAAGTAAAATTTTGACATTCTTTGAATAACAATAGGTTTGGCCCATGGATTGTGTCAAATCTGCATCATTCCAACAAGAGGTGCATTGATAATCATTAGGTCCATAACATTGAAAACATGTATAATGACAATCATTGCAAATACCATCTTGTACCTCGTAAGTTCTAACCGGACATTTAGCAGTACATTCTCCATTATACATATTATATCCATATGAACATTCTGTAAATAAATTAAAATATTAGTTTTTTTTTGTTATGTAAATACTGTTCATTTTTTAATGAAGCTCTGATTATGATTAGCTTAATTTTTTGAGTGCAAATTAGAAGCAAAGCTGTGTGGAACACTCACCGCAAGCGCCTGATTGATGTTAGAATAATACAGCCCATTTCATTCCAATATGCTTAGTTCATTATTGTATTAATTACAAATTAGTATGTTGCATTTTAGATGCCGAGAGAAATGATTGAAATTCGATATTATAATACTCAATATAAATATTTCACTATTTCATTGTAAAATACTTAAAGGTTAAATATTTAAAAAAAAAAAAATAATAATAATATAATAAAATATATTTATGTATAAGTATATACATTATTTTACTCAGATATAAAATAATCATTTTTTAATTGAGTAATGTATATTTTTAAAACATTTAAATGTTCTGAAGTTTTACAAAAATGATTCTAAATCATTCCATATGATTTAAAATGTATCATTTAGTGTTTCACAACTTTTTTTTTTCTACACCCCTCTTGTAGATTTTTAAAACTCTTATGCCTCCCCCTAATAATTAAAAATATGATATAAATTGTTTTTAATTTTAGATTTGACAAATTTACGCATTTTATATTTTATTCTTATAATTTCATCATTACTAAATTACCCCTCCCCGCGTAGTACCTAAATTCCTTTTTAGGGAGGAATCTCTCTCCTCGTTGGGAAACACTTGTAAAACTCCAAAGTATCCAAAAAAGTATTTACAATTTTAATCAAATACATTAAAATCTACTATTAAAAATAAAAACAACAATTAATTCTATTAAATCTATATTAATAATAAATTACTATATATATTTTTAGTTTCAAATGAGGTGATTTATGATAAATAGTAAAATATTATTAATAATTATTTCATTATTTTTTAGATAATATTGAAATAATTAGTTTAAATAAATATAGTGTATATTTTTACATGTTTAATATGTTCATAATTTTTATTAATATCGCAAAATTATAAACAATAAAATACATAATTTCATTGTTTCTTTCTAACTAGTTTTAATCTAAATTGGTCAATATAAATTTGAGTTTTAATAATACAAATATTAAAATATTTTGCAAGGTAGACAATTTTAATTGGTAATAGAGATACATCTAAAACTAAAAATTATTTAACTTAACACAAATTTCCGTTACCCAACCACAGAAATGTAGAATAATAAAAGACTGAATTGTAAGTAATTTATTAAATTTTAAAAACAGTCAATGGTTAAGTTTCTGTGGCTAAAATAAATAAAACAATTTTTAATGTATCATATTATATTGATAAAATAAATAATTAAAAATATTTATTATTTAATAAGACAAAATAAAACTATAAAATCCATACATACTTTTTTCAGTAAAATGGGCATTTAATTGTTTGGTCTCTTTTATATGTATGTACATATTAATATTTTATTTAATCACAGTAGAAAGAAAGCTAATGTATACACAAAATATAAACCATAGTACCTTTATTGATTTGTATAATTAGATTTTTATTGGAAATTTGGAAAATACAACATAAATTAAAATACTAAATTATTTCTTAAAAAAAAACAAAACAAAACAAAATATTATTACACTAATTTTATTTACAACATAAAAACATTATTGAGCGTACATACTTTGGTATTGGTATACAATATATGAATATAAAAAAATAAAATAAAGAAGATGGGTAAGACAGAGAAAGAGAAATACAAAGAGAGAGAGAGAGAGAGAATTGAATATATACATATTTTTCTAAAAATTAATATTTAGTAATACTGATCTGGCTATATTTAACCTATTTATAATTAAAATAAATCACAATTTACATCAACCTAAAAACGTACTTATTACAATTAGCAAATCACTTATTAATGTACCAATACCAACTACTATTAATTATAAGTTTATAATATAACCAATGTAGAACAGTTTGATAAAATATAGCAATTTTAAAAACTACAATATAGGAAGATTATTAATAATACAAATTATATTTGAACATTAATTTTTTTATAACTACTAAATTATGAGTATAAATAAGAAAAATTGTTATTATAATCTATAGGACTAATGTTGAGCATTTATAATTAACTGGTAGAACAGACTTCAGAAAATGCAAAATAATACTCAACCATAATGTAAAATTAATAAATACTATAATAAAGTGAGCATAATGTATAAATATTAATATCAAATCACAATTACAAGTTCTCCAGAGCCTTAGGCTAATTTATAAACTGAACTAAACACTATATATTTAGTTGTGTTACACGAGTATTTAGATAACAGATTAAATATATATAATAATATGTATGTGCAATTGCTTGCCCAGGAATTTCTGATAGGAAAGGATATATTAAATAATGGTTCATGAATAAACTGTAGAATATTCTACTGTTATACCAAACCCAACAATGAAAATTTAAAAACCAGATAAAACAAATAAAATAACTTGTATTCAGTAAAACAAGATTTTTTCTTTGTAACTTGGTTGAAGTATAAAATGTCAAGATAAAATTATTAAATATATATTAATAGTTATTGTATTTTTAAGTCAATGGGGGGATTAATTCTTATGAACACGTCACTGTGTGTGTGAAATAAGTTATAAATATAGTTTAAGGTTTTTTATTTTAAAATTTAAACAGTAAATAAAAACTATGTTAATATACTACTAATAAAATAGTATTGAAAATATAATTTGAATTAAATATTATACAATTATTCCTCTAAACTTTTTTAGTGACAGTAAACAAATGTTTTTTATTATTTATCAAATCCAAATTAAAAAAATTGCATATAATTATTTTATAATTAATTAACATTTATTATATGTACTGATTATCAAAATATTCAAGAATATTTACATTTCATGAATCTTTTACAGAAAGTATAATTATAGTTTTAAACTTATAAGATATTCAAACATTAATATACTGATTCTTAAATGGATTTCTGAACTTTAAACTCTAGTATTTGTTTTTCTTAAATTTATGTAAACAAAACAATTGCCTCAGTTTTTACAAATGAATATTGCGTGTTATAAAAATGTAATTTTGTTTTACAATATAAACATAGATAAGATAAATCTATAGTAATAAAAGAAAAAATTTTTTGTTTCATCTACAACCAAATCTATGACACAGAGATCTAAGTTTACATACATATGCAAATAAATGGTTTCATATATACTACAAAGTTGGATTTACAAAAATTTCCCCTCTAAAGAGTGGTTGACAAAGGGTACGTGGTATTTTTAGACCATGGCAAAATATGCTATTTTTCTAGAATTTTGTATGGTGTTAAAACTAGGCATGATGTGTTCATACTTAAAGTTATTAACATTATTGAAATTTAAAAGTAAAGTGCAATGATTATTGTATATATACTACAATGAGGTAAAATTGTATTATTTTGTAAAGTCAATAGTGGCTAATATTATAAAGTAGACAAAGTGGGACTACAATGTATCAGTAGCTGATCAGAATAATTGAAAAACTTATTTGAATCACTTATTATTAATGCAAGAGATTTGAAGTCTCCGAATAAAACTATTTTATATATTTAGTTAATGAGTACTAAAAATTATTATTATTAAATTCTATTATAATTAAAGTATACCTTTCACCGGTTGTACAAATTAATGAATATAATTATTTTCAAAAGCGCTAATGCAATTATTGCTATTATAAAAAACAGTGTTAGTATAGATTAGTATTAAATTTAATAGGGAAAACAATTAACTTTCTGTAAAGGCATCATGTAGAAACAAACAATTTGGCAGTATATACTTTTTAATCTATTAATTTATAATTTTTTTTATTATTAAAATGATATAAAAATCATAGTTTTAATAAAATTAATATAAATATTTTACACTAAAACAAAATGTTTGTTCAACAAAAAAAATTTTGTACACCCTATGTAATAAACCTCAATCAACTATCTTAACCTCCAACATATTAGATAGGTTATCATTATGTTACACATTTGTTATATTGACCAAAGTATATGAATCAAACTATCAAAAAAAAGTTACTTTATGTGTATAAAATTGAAGGTTTCATTATTGTATTTTGTTTAGAATACTATTGCCAATGCAGTGTAGCATAATTTAATGTTATAATGATTTATTTGTCACTGATAAGTTTTTAATTACTCGTTATTACCAAAGGCTTTTGTCATAATATAATATTGCAATAATATTATAAATAAGGGATGTAACTAGACCAAATTTTTAAAAGGGGGAAGGGGAGGTGAAATAAAATATTTATTATTTTGACTTTAATTGGTAAATAATGAAAAATAAAAACAAAAAAATGCATTAAATATTAACTAATTTTAACACTTAATTTTTTTTTAATAAAATAATAAAGTAAAAACAAAATTATTAAAATGGCTAATATTTGTAAATAAATATATAAATAAAAAATAAATTAACCAATGAATACGTCTATTGGAGTATTATGATAATTGTGTTATTATATACTATAATGATCTTTATTTTTTAATTGCATATATTTTATTTAAAACAATTTTATTTTACCTACCATTTTTCCTAGATAACAATATTTGTGTGTATTATATACTTATTATATCAATTTCATATACTAATTACCTACAAATTATAGTTAAAATGTATAATACTTGTTTAAGTATTTTATAAATTGATAAATTGACACTTTAAATCACTTTTCCACTAATACAGTTCATTACCACAGTTCATAATGATCAAATTAACAAACGCAATCCACAAAATAATACAAATATTTAAATGAAAGTCTTAATATTTTAAATGTTAAGGCCCATAGATATTTTATGTACAATAAACTTAAATTAATTAGTTTTTTTTTAATTAAAATGACTAACATATTAAAAAATGCACATAATTTTAAATATATATCTGTATATTGTAATATAACATTTGTTTAAATATATATTATGTGCAATGATTAATATAATAATAGACGTACATTTTAATACACAATAGTAATAAAGAATAAAATAATATGTTATTAAATTGAGTTAAATTATCTACTTTAATAAATAAACCTATAAATAATTGTCAATTACTAATAAATATCTTTAATTAAAATAGTTTAAACTGTGATTGAGGATATATTCAGGTAAATATTTTAGTTATCGGGTAAAAACAAAACAACTTGAATTATTATAAAACCAAAATACAAAAAAAATGAAAGGGAAGGTATAAAATAATTTAATTAAATATCTATGAACCTTAACAATATTTAAGATCGGAAGGAATTTGTATGGCACATTTATGGGAAGACTCAATACTTTTAATTTAATTTATATTTACCCTGTTAAAAACTGCCAGGGATTATTATTGCACTTAATATTAATAACAAACCTAAACATTTAGTAGTAGACACACGACATTCTCCAGATTTGAAATTCAAGTTTGATGATATTTCTGAGGTGTCATTTTTTTTTAAATGTATTATTGTAGGAAGTGGATTTGATTGATCTGGAGGTAATACTGCTGTTCCATAAAAAACCATTTCCCAATTAGACACAGTTGCTAAAATCAAAAATGTACATAAAAACGTATAAATATAACTATTAAATTTTAACTAAATAGTATTTAAATATGAATTGTAAAATATTGCAACTATTATTTTCTAAAACTATTGAAGTATAAATAATAATTTGAAAACACACTTAGTAAAAACTACCTAGAGAAATTATTATATAGAGATGTGGTCAAATAAATAGGTGATTCAACAAAATATAGAGTACTTTCAAAATTATAATTTTTTTTTTCTACTAAAACAAATTAAGAAAATAATTTACATTATAGCTAAGAACTCACGTTAAAACGAGGGATACAACATTTAAATTATTTTAATTAATCTAACTGTATTATTATAAGTGATGTGTAGCGAATAAATTTATTTATTCCATCTACTTCATTAATCCAAAAATATTTAAAAACTATATTAATAATAATGTTATATATAATTTAGAATATTAATAGACAAAATATCATATTAAAACCAAAATAATAATTAAAAATATTTACAAAAAAAAAAAAACATACAAAGTGAGGAATGTATTGGTTTTACAATGATATTTATTTTTTTTCCTGTGAACAACTTTTTTACTAGAAATTATGCTCAGATTTTCAAGTGTAGCACTTTTTCTAAAAGGAAATTTGACTGACTAGATTGGTACTTTAAAGAGGTTTCTTTTACTTCATCAATTTTCATAATAAATGGGGAAAAACCAGATAATTGTATGAATTGTATCATTTTCAATGATATAATGAATGAATTTTTTTAATAACTTTTATCAGCAACTTTTGTTCAGATTTTCAAGTTTAGCACCTTTTCTAAAATTAAATTTGATAGGGGGATGGTACTTTATGAGAGTTATATTTTAATTTTCTCAGGGGTTTTCATAATAAATGGGAAAATGTATGAAATGTATTATTTTCAAATCGCAAATATTATGAGTTTTTAAAACATGTAAAACCAAACTACGCTAAGAATCGTTTTTCATTAACAATGATTCATTTTTGCATATAGATAAACATTAAATACCCACCTTAGCATTTTTCCCTAGCATTTTCTCACCCACAACAGTGGCCCACCCATTGTGTGAAGTATGTCCATTAGTTTTTAATAATAATTCTTTTAAGATTGTGGGCTTTCAATAAAACAGAACTATGTTAAATATGTGTTTTAAAAAGTAGATTAAAGATACAAGAGTTAATAAATTATTCCTAAAAATAGTGTTATTTTGTAATATAAATTTAAAACATTTTAAATATTTATGGTTAAGTTGCCAACAAACACGTGTATATGATATAGTATAAAAGGTATTATAAACATAAATTATTAATTTTTACTGTGTATATGACTTATGTCTATAAATATATATATATATATGCAATTCTTATTTCATAAATCTTCTTTCACAATGTATAACTAGTATCAAATTGTAATTATTAATTGATTACATATTGTGTTATGTGACAAACAATAATATTATGCAGCTCATGAACCATTTGATTTTTTACTTATCTAAAATAATAGATCTAGACCTCTTTCTAGCAGCTATTGTTCATTAAAATATTGAATACTCAAATTATTAACTAAGTTAAATTGAAAATAATCATGTATAACTTCTACAATAACAGTTATAAATATACTAGGAAATATCTTCTGTGCACTGTCAAAAGGAGGTAAGCCAAATTATAATCTTTTGATATAATTTGATTCATATCCGTTAATAAATGATTTAAGTATTATTTTTGGCTATATATTATGTTATGTTAAACTAATTTTGGTTAGTATAAAAATTTAATCAATCCTCGATACATAATACTTTGGATATGAAAGAATTAAGGAATTAATTCACAATTAAAATGGTTTAAGTCGTATTTTAGATTTAGAACTAGTAACATAACAACCCATTAAGTAAGTTACTGAAATCAAATTAAAAATGTGCTTAACAGTTATTTTATTGAAATTATGCCATTGTATTTCAATATATGAAAAAAAAAAAAGGTTAAAAGCTCTTAAGCCCTTATTAGTCTACAATTAATTTCTAAATAACCCATAAATCATACTGAATAGCTTGATTTTTTGATTTAACCTCTGTTGCCCGTGCATTGAAATATATTATTTAACTTCAGAAATAATGTGCAATCAATTTAAAAAAAAAAGTGAAAACTAAAATATCTACAAAATAATATAAAATAAATATACTAAAACGCATACAACACAACAAATCAACTATTGGAAATATTATATGATTAAATAACTATTATCCTATGATGTGCTAAAATATAATAGTGTTTATTTTACTAAAACAAGCAAAATAATAAATTGTACCAATTTTCTTAAAATATTATTATAGCATGACATGCAAACAAAATGGTGATTTCCATGCAGACACTCTTGCCTGTAGTTGTAGGTGATACATTTCTTTCAGGTGACAAATTTTTTTTGGCTGGTCTACCTTCCACCCTTTGTAGACTGTAGAGCCTATGACTGCTGGGATATGTTTGGATATTGTCAGTTAGGGTAGGAGATAACAATTTAGATGAATTTTTAATTGGAAATAGAACAAAATGGACATTTGGTTTGAAACTGGAAACATTTTGTTTTATAAAGGTACTAACTGGAGTAGTAAATTGTTTTTGTAATTTAAATTTTTTTGAATGTTTTCTTGTACTTTTAGAATTTTTTCTAGGATTAGGTTTAGGTGGTTGTTCCACAGGATAGATAGGAGGAGATATTGTTCTTGGGGCATATTTAGTACCGTACAATATCAAACACCACTCGTGTAAAGATGATCGACCTAAAGCACATTAATTTGTTAGTAGTAATTAAATTGTTAATCAATTATAGAACTTGGACAGATGTATATAAATACATTTTGAAGCCATATGTACATAATAAAATTAATGTATTATTATTCTGTGACCCTTATTCTACACACATTTATAAATAATGAATAGTATTAGATATCTTACTGTATAATAAAACTACCAATTAAAAAATATAAATAATTTTGATATTTTACCTAATAGTTTTCCTTCATTGTGAATAGTCAACTGCCATATACCAAATGGACGTTCACCCCACATGTGCACAGTCATAAATGGCCACACACGAAATCCAGCATGAGAATTGTCATGAGTTCTTGGAGCAAGAAGTGTTGATTTTGTACCACTCGGAGAAGTTAAATCAATTTTAATATCACCACGTCGACTAGCTAATAATGATATTTTGGCTTGAACATGTTCTAAGAAATTTACATTGTTGCAATCTTTCACTAAGAGTTGTATTGTAACTGAACTACGTGCAGGCACTGGTCTATAATAAAATAAATTTATTAAAAATATTGTACAATTTACAATGAAAACAAAGTTAACAAATTAATTATATCATACTTTTCAAATACTTGAGCTGTAACATTGCAGATATGTTGGATTGGAACAGTTTTCCATCTACGAGCTAATCTAACCATGGCAGTAGCATCCATTAACCCATAACCAAAAGAATGACTTACTAAAAAAATAAAATAAAAATAATATAATTTAAAACATAAATGTTTTTTTTCCGTTAGCATATTACATTAGTATATTTAAAAAAAAAAAAAAAAAAATCTATTTAAGATAGATAACTACTATGATATAGATTGAACAATTTTAAATATCAGATATGAGTCTTAACTAAACCCTTCATTAATAAAAAAATAATGGAATATAAAATCAAAATTTGAATACAATCATTTTTAAAACATTAAAAACAATTAAATATAGGAGAGCATAATGAAATGCAAGAGCATACATTAAAGAGGGGAGTGTTACTGCAAGAGTAAAATTTAATAATTATGTGTATTTATATATAGATCATTATATTAAATTTATGTTGTTAAAAAAATGTCAAAAACTAACATGACTTAAAACATTTGATTATTTTTTTTTAACTTGATATTAAATCAAGCCAAGAGTTACACAAATGTATGGCATATTCAATGGTATCAATATTTCTTCTATAAGATTACATAAATCACTGACGGAGACTAAAATGTATGCCCCCGATTTTTAAATTTCACCAAATGATTTAATAAGTTTTTTTTTTAAAATCAAAAAATGCTTTTTACTAGTTTTCTATTCTTCAAATAATTATTTTGTTGATTTTGCTCCAAGTCCCAAACTCTGCTTATGGATTATGTAACAAATATTCAAATAAATAAAACAGTAGGAGGTCAGCATTATCTGGGAAGCAAAATCTGGAATAAAAATAAAAACTAGAACATCAAAATTTGGAATTTTATTTTTTTCACACAATATTCTTGAATTCCTTTTATTTTTATATGATACAAATAACCGTTCTAAATTGTACAGTTCTGGTTTTTTTTTTTATTACAATTTTTGCCTTCATATAAAGTTTCATTCCAATTAATGCTATGAATTCAAACAGTGACTTGCCCAAAATTAAAAATTATTTGATTTTATTTTTTTATAATTATTTCAAATAGATATTATACTTTTTTTAAATTTGTTAGTTCAAGGTACATAAATTTGTCAATTGTTACTAATAATAATTACTATATTTATACTAAAAGTAAACACCTTTTCGTCCAACACCATTAATAATCCAATCAGAAGCTAATAAATGAGTTGGCCTTGCTGTTAAAACTACAATGTGTTGCATATCTCTCCAAGTTAGTTTATTATTAGCTTCCAAAGTTAAAGCTACTATTCCAGCGGCTAGTGGTGCAGATGCAGATGTACCAGTGTGATTACTAGTACATTCATGGTGAAGATCTGTTGTAATAATCTATTAGTATAATAAAATGTTATTACTTATTAGTTATAACATACGTAAACAAATTTGAAATATTATTGAATTATTTTATTACCTGACTTTCGTAATTACTTCCACTACTATATGTTGTTGCTAAAGTTGAACTACAAGCTTCTGAATACCATGGAACATGACCATTTTGTGTTGCACTACTAATACTTAATGTCCAAATGGCATTTGTATATCCGTCACAGTTACAATTATCATGTTCACGACCACCATTACCAGATGCCCAGATAAATATTGATCCCTTGCCTCCACGTCCTTTTGATATACCTTCAATAAAAGCTCGAGTAGCTAATTCACCAGGACCGTCTACAGTTTTTCCATCATCATCTGGACCCCACGATGCACTGTATACATGAATATGTTGAGGATTCAAACTTAAAGACCGAGCTTCAACTGCATCAGTGACATCCCCATCTAACATTCGAACACCACCTATACTTGCTCCAAATGCAACACCAACTGAACACAGCGAATTATTGGCAGTTGCTGCCACTTCTCCTGCACATCTGGTACCATGTCGATTTGTGTCCATTTGATCATATCTAGGCATTGGGTCATCATCTCTATTGTTCATATCATAACTAGCTGAAGGATCCTATTAAATATAAGTTTTTTATACTGACTTTGAGGTTCTGTATAGGTTTCATATTAACAATACCAGAATAAAACTCACTAAAGTAACTTGCAATTTTATTTATTCTTAACTTACATAATTTTGTATTAAGTCCGGATGATCTTTTTCTAAGCCATCATCTAATATTGTAACAACAGATCCTTTTCCTGAAATTCCTTCTTCCCAAGCCCCTTGAACATTCATATCCATACCTCGACCACGGTTCTAAATAATATTTAATAGGTAAAAGTTAGAATGTTTATTTATTTATGCTAAATATAAATAAATAATTTCTAACTAATAATGTAAATAGAAAAGATAATACAGAATTATTTCAAAATGTATAATAAAAAGGTAAAATAGAAGATACTGCTGACAAGTGTGTTACTGTTGGAGGTAGGTAGCTTGAAAGGTAGGATAGATACAATTATTTTATTTATATCTATACACAATGATAAATTATTGTTGATGAAATACGATTATGAGCAAATTTCGGTTACACATGTTTTGAAATACTGTCATTTTTATGAATTTTGTTAAAAAAAAAAAAAAACCTATTAATTTTTTTTTTTAAGTTTCTCAAGTTCAAATTTTGACAAAAATTGTAAAAGTAAAGACATTTCAAAATATGTATAACACCAATTTTGATACGTTAGGTATCATTCATCTAGGTACATTATGCTCAACTTTTTTTTCCATCAAAAAATGCTAAATTTTCAAATATTTTAGCTTGATCAAATAGTTTTATCCACAGACAAATCAAAGTAAAATTAAAATGTACGAAAATATTAAATGCCTATAAAATACTCAAAAGTTGCAAGATTGTTGTGGAAAATTTTACATCTAAAAAATGTTTTAGATTATTATTAATTTAAATATTTTATAGTTATTCCAGATCTCTATCATTATTTTTAACCTAATTACAACCAAAAATAAAATCTATAATAATAAAATTATTGCCATAAACTTCTCAATTATTCTGAATTATTAAGAATAACGACTTGGAAAATCAAAAAATGAACTACCTAATACCTAGCACCAAAACTAGATAAAAAAATCCCTTGTTGTTGTTAGTTGGAGCAAGATTACTGGTAGAAAAGTATTTTTAAGTATTTTTTATTTTAATACATATAAATAAATAAAAAAGATACATAGTAAATCAATTAATTCTTTGTTTACCTCAGAATCTAAAAATTACAAATTTGATTGGTTCCTTTTTAGAAAATACTAAACAATGTCATTATAAAAATTATACTCTAAATAAAATTTAAAAATTTAAAGTTATATATTATTTCTTTAGGATATATATAGATGTAATATTTAAAAAATATACAACCGACCATAGTCGATATCATAATATATGCCAGACTATGGTCAGTAAGATAAGGAACACCCAACCAGAAAATAAGACTGACATACTATTTGCAAGATGGATGGGCCACTGTTATAGATGAGAAGTTGGGAAGGATGTAGAGGAGAATTTAATGTTTTTATGTATGCAATGATTAATTATTGCTAATGAAAAACTATTTTCACCAGAGTCCGGATATATATGTTTTAAAAGGCCTATAGATGGTCGATCCAACGATTTTATCCACAGAGTACCTATTGAATAAATATTACATATAGAACTAGCGAAATTATAACATCTATAACAAGCTTAAATGTTTTCAAAATTATACTAAAATATATAACACATAATAGTATAATAAATGGTATTTATATATAAGTACTTAGTTTTGTTAATTAATTGTTAAAATTAAATTGAAAATATAAATTAAAAACTCGAATGATTCAATTTATAACTGAATAAAAGTGAAATAAAATGAATAGTTATTATTATATAATCATACATTTATTAGGATGAACAATTATTTTTCTATCTTTATATTTTAATTGTACAGGTATAATAATTTTTTTGGTTGGTGAGCAGCGATTTTAAATGTATGTAATTTTATTATTTTACAGTTTAAATTATCGCTGAATAAAAAATTAGTATGAAGGTAATCATCAGAATGTAATAAGAAACAAATAAGGTACTATAGTTTTAAGGAGAAAATTGACAATGTTATTTGCCGAGAAACAAAAATTTACAAAAAAAATGATAAATCATCAACCTGGCTAATAAGTTTGTCATTGATATTATATTATATTATATTAGTCTTATATTATATAAATACATACACCTAAATATGCTACTCGCAAAGTGGACAATTTTTTTCATTTGATGGTATTGTTACACCTGTATAAATGAAATATAAAAATACACAGGTGTGTACCTTAATACACTCGTTTTTTAAAAAAAAAAAAATATAATATTAACCTTAATATTTATTATTACGTTTTGAACTATCATATAATATGATTTTTCAGTATTTATTGAACAGTTTAATAAAAAGAAATATAATACAAAATTACAAACTACTAACCAAGTACCACATTTTCGGCCATTTTGGATCGTTGAATCCACCTTTAATTGCAAATCTTTTTGAGCTTTTACTGTCTCTAACATAAGTTAAATAGTCTCTTTTTGATCGACTTAATATTTTTTGTTGCTTTGCCCATTTGACCTAAAATGTAATAAGTTAATTAGTATTTTATTTTATTTAATATGGTACATCATATGGCAAATTTTTTTTACTACATATTTAAAAAAAGCAATTTATTTATTACATAACAGCTGAGCTATTAGTTTAACAAAATAAACTAATTAAATACAAACTGAAAGAATTTATAAAGTGTTATTATTACTAAGTATTATATTTATAATTAATTGTATTAAAAATTGTTGTAAATACTAACATTTTGTTCGGATATTAACTTTTCATGATGTTCAAAACCTGGGTTAACTGATCGCTTCGATACATGTTTGTGTTCTAGATGATAGTAGTCTGGAAAAATCTAAAATAATTTATGGTTTGATAAACAAATATTAATTTAAATTTAAAAAAAAGAGCTGATACTGGAGACGGCCAATGTTTTCGGTGGGTAGAGGGGAAGATGGATTACATAGTTATTTAATTTATACCTGTAACCAATGATAAACCATTTATAACAAAAGACAATATGGAGCGAAATTCGGTTCTACATGTTTTAAAAGGCAGTAATATTTACAGTTTCCATCAAAATTTAATTTTAATACATATAAAAAAAAAAAAATACATTTTTCTTTTTATTATTAGATTTTCAAACTAAATTTATTTATTTTTTTTACAACTAAGTATGACTTATAATGAACCACCTATGATGTTTATGTATCCATATATTTTTCCACTATTTCTTCCAAACCAAAAAATATTAATTAATACTGATTTCACCAAAAACTACTTTATGTCATTACACACTGAATAAAATAAATACCAAAAATCAATTTTAATATGCAAACTATTGAAATAACATTAAAATTAGGTTTTATGTGGTTTATTAACATTAACATAAAAAAAGTAAGTATGATAGGTGAATTTTGATTTCACCACAATGTTAAGCATATAATTACTGCCATTTCTAAAAAAAATTCTAAAAATATAAATTTTTGATTTTAAACATAAAAACACAATTTTTAGAAAAATTGATCATTTTGAAGTTTTTTGACCATAACTTCCAAATAATGCTTAAGCAACTTTTTTTAAAGTAACATCAAATTAAGAATACAAAAATACATATTTTAGAAATAAAATTTTCAAAAAAATTGCTTGTGAGCTAATTGCATTCATTCAACGATTGACATCAATAATTTAAGGTAGGTTGGTAGATAATTAGTCATTTAGTAATTAAAAATGTATGAATAATTATTAATTAAATAGTTTTTGATCACAATAAATTATGAATGTGAGTAATAAAACTACATTCAATATATTATAAACATAATGTGAAGATATTTATGTTGAAATAGTTAAAACTTGGTTATGCAAGTTAAATTGAATTTGATCCATCCACTTAAAACTGAATGTGCTACTACTAAAATCTATCCACTATAGTAATTTGGGTATCATAATGAAGTTTTATTCAATATTAAAATAAAAACACAGTATAAAATAAAATAAATTAGGAAAATACCTCGCCAAGCAGTACAAATCCATGTTTTTCCGTTATACTTTTTGCTTTCTCGAAGCCACCTTCGATGTGAGCTGCCCACTGGGAAGAATAATCTTGAGCCGAAATCCATTGCAATGTAATCCATAGGAGAAATGATACCGTGCAGGCAGCCATGACGCTCGCCTAACACCGGCCAACTTTGGCTAGACTCAGTTCTCAACATTAGTCACATGACAGGCAAAATAGTTACTGTTAATTATTGTTCTCATATTGATCGTTATTTTGGATACAATGCTCTAGTTAATGTAAACAAATTATTATTAAATTCCAGAGTAATATAACACTTGTTAAGAATTAAATATAATTTGAATTTACAAGTGAATAATTATTGATAGATCAACAAACATAAAAATCTACAATTATGGTATTAAATAATAAATATAATTAAAATTAAAGAACAAAAATAAATATCTTATAGGTAGAATACCTATGTATATTCAATGTATTATATAGTTACTTACAGCTTCGTTATTATATAATTTTGGACGCTAGACCAAATGACACGGGCATAATGAAATATTAATATTACTAATCAAGTGCATATTAACGTTCTGAGTCGATGGATACCTAATTTACCAATATTTCATTGTTAAAACGGTAAACTCAGGCTTCGGAATTTGGACCTGCTATTGATGACTACTGTCTACTACTACTACTACTTGTTCACGACCCCAAAATGCTATCAGGCTACTGATATGTACAACGTACATATATGCGTAACACGAAAATAACAAATGATAAGCGCCGATAAGCTACTGTTGTAGTTTTAACTTTTAAAGCGGATGAGTATACACCGAGGTCTATTGAATGTATGTTAGTGTGTTATTATTTTTATACTTGGTACGGAGTTTATAGGACATTATTTATAAAAAAAATAGTCTTAACTAATGGCTGATTATAATGAATTGATTACAAAAGATATTTTCTGAATTTCTCGACTGTCATGAAGATAAGTATTTCCAGTGGCGTATAATTTAGCCAAGCCTCCATTCGACTCGCACACGTCACCACTCACTATTAAACTGTTCATAATAATTATTGTAAACTGTGATTTGTGGTTAATTTTTAACTATTGCAATAATAATTAAATGTTACTTAACCATCAATTATTTTTTATTATATTATTGTACTACCATTAAAATATAATTATTCAATTTAGATTATTATAATAAAAATTCACCCTTTGTTTCTGTATATAGTTCATAACCATTATCTATGGATTCACTAGATATTCTTTTAATTTTTCAGCCAAGTGTAAATCGTTAAATCTAATGAATTATAATTATCCACCACATTTATTTTTATATAGATAGCTATGATAATTAATAGGTACCTACCGATAAGTTTCAGAAGTAAAAATAAATTTTGATTAAAAACATGTTCAAATAATACGATGTAGTAGGTACCTAACCTATTAACATGCTCTAATTTGGAGAAGACTCATTTACTAATCCGGATTTTACTGACCAGATTAAACAGCCCCGATCCGGGCTCCTCGATTTTCGACCGGGAAGAAATTTGGAACAATCATCGATAGTCGACCTTATACCATTACTCTCTCTTTAGGGGCGCGAAAACTATAAAAATATCAATTAATTTCCCCGAACCGAGTATCTCGTTCTCTAACCGAGCCGAAATCTTGAATAATCATCCACAGATACGTGGTTGACCTTATATCCAAAAATCAGCTTTTCAATACCATGTGAGGCCTATGCGTTTACAATTTATAATAAAGTAATAAGTAATATATTAATGATAATACAATTAACATCTGATAAAACACATAAAATATAGGTAACAATATTTTTTATTTTAATAAACTTAAAAAAAGTATTCAAATGTATTTTGACACACACGAATTACATTATTTTATAATATTTAGATGAAAAAAAAAAACTGTTTCTACGACTGATTGTTATAGTTTTTTATTAATACTATAACCAGGGCTCGGATTTTATAGCATTTGCTAATAAATTATTATAGGATACAGATAAAAATAGCAAAGTAAGCTTTACATATTTTGTTTTATGTGCCAGCAGTGGTGGCGGGAGTGTTTATTATTGAAGCAGCTACTTAATTAATTAATTAATTAATGTACACCGAAATAGGTGGGTGAAGGGGATTAATTCATCATATTATATTACTATCGTTATCATTTAATGTTATGGATTATATCGTAATACTGTAGGTACCTACTTATGGTCTAAATTCTAAAGCTGTTTACACACGAAGCGGTTTGAACGGGCAAGGTCGCCGTTTTTATACGCAGCGGATAACCGTCTACAATTAAACATGGGTTATTCAAATGACATATTTTATAATCGCCGCGAACATTCGTTCAAAATTAAACAGCTATATTAGTTAACGTATTCACACGAAAATAATCGCCCGGATGCGAGTCGCGAACAAACGCCAGAAATCGCTCCCATTTAATTTTAGGCAAACGTTCGCCGCGGTCGGCTAATATCAAACGCATTGTTTTGACTTTATACACACGGCTCAATAACCGACGCGTATGTTTGTCACGATCATTCAAGCATCGATCACCACCTACTGTAATGTTATCGGTTGATTAATATTGATGATATTGTATTATTTTAGTATAGTTTTAATAATATTTTAACTTGAAAAAATAAAATAGTGAGTTTTCAAAACTTACGCCAAGTGTAAAGAATTACACTAACGCGTAAAGAATTACACTAACACTATCAATAGTGTTCAATGTTATCATTAAAAAAAATAAAATAAAATATTATGACCCAATTGATCAAATAATATTAAATTTATAAAAGTATGTACAGAATGATTACGAACGAACACTTCACACAACCACGATGACTGCAAGATTAAATGCAAAATAAAAGATCAATTTTGGTGGAAAATAATGTTCGCAGGTTATTTATATCGAGCGATTAATCGTCTAGTGTGAAACCGAAATGGAATTAGCGATTGAAAACCGCAGCGATTTTAAATCGCGTTCGCCGCGTGAACATTCGCTTTGTGTGAAACAGTCTTAAGAACAGTAATTTTACGTGCATCTTTCGTATTACGCGACAACGCATATCCGCGGATGAGTCTATTATTAGGGTATATAATTAATTTGAAACAATCAATGGTATTGGAAAACTGATTTTTGGACATGTCGACTACTCGACTATATGTGTCTATGGATGATTATTGAAAATTTCAGCTCGGTGGTCGAAGAACGAGGGGCCGAGGGTCGGGAAAATGAATCGATATTTTTATAGTTTTTCGGTCCTTGAAAAGAGAGTAATGGTGTTGGAAACCTGATTTTTGGATATAAGGTCGACCATTGTACCTATGAATGATTGTTCCAAATTTTAACTCGGTCGGAGAACGAAGTGCCCTGTTCGGGGCAGTTTAGTCTGATCAATAAATAAGTACGTTCCCTCTAATTTTACCAATGTGGCAAAAAATAATTTTTTATTTAAAAAAAAAAAAAAAGAGTTCCTTTAATCTGATATAAAATAATAATCTGGATCTAACTGCAACAGACAAAAGAAATTTGATTAGGTAGGTAAATAAAAATAAACGTTGAATTAATATTTTATTTACAGACATAAAAACATACTATCAAATTGTATATTGTACAATATTAGATATTATAATTGTTATGATCGACGTGTATCAATCATTAGTCATTAATTATTATAATATATTATAATCTTCTACTAGAAACAATGAAATAACATTTTAGTATAAGTGCTTTATAATCTTTTTCATTGTAAATTATTACCTTTCGCAAAAATACATGAGACCTAGTTTAAATTAAGTACCTAAGTAGTTTATACCTAATAAACTACATAACTGTGGTTTCCAAAAAATGTAAGTATTGTCCAATTATTGTGCATTTTCAATAGCACACGTTAAATTTTTCCCATCAGCCTGTTCAATTTGTATTATTATTATACTTCTTTTATTTTATTTTAAAGTGAAAAATAATAAGGAACATGCAATTATATTCATAATAATAATTAACATATTCAATTAAATGACACAAATAGAAGTAGCCAGGAAATTATATCACTGCAGTAACGCCCATGAAGGCATGGAATTAATGTTTTATATTTTAACGTCAACATAGATAACATTATTTTTAAATTTAATTATTGTTTTCATAATATTATTTAAACTGTTATTTGTCATTTAATTGTACAGATTGTAAACATTTAGGTACCTACTTAAGGTATTATAATTATTTATCTAAAATACCTACATACATTTAAACAATATAATATGCATACTTAGTTAACTGTCTTGTCTCCCAAAAATAATGTCTCATTGCAAAAAAAAACTAATGAATACTTCAGATCTACGTCTTTCTAATCACCATAATCCCTTATCTCTCATTCCCTTTGACCTTAGTAGAAGTATACATCAGTAGTAATTGGTAAATAGAGTCAAAATTTATTATCTGACAGAACTTGCACAGTCGCGCTGAATTCTATTAATAATAATAAACGGCTTAACAATCATTTATTTTATTTTTTCATTTTAAAATCATTTCAAGATTGTAAAACCAGCAGAATATAATAAATAAAACAAATATTTAGTTTAAAATATTAATCATTTTATGGACTTGGAATTACGATGTCTGTATATTAATTAAAATAATAGGTACCTACATATTTCTTGATCAAATTTTTTTGTTGTATTATTATTCAAAACAATAAGCAATACTACAAAATTCGTAAGTATAGTATTAAAACTTAAACAAAAAAATGAACATAATAATGAGAACTTTATGAAAAAATCAATAGTAAGAAGCTTTAAGTAAAGCCTTTATATAACCTTTATTATCGTAGAATGTGAATTATTTATGATAAATTCTTAATTTTGATTGTCGATGAAATTTTTTTCAGGCAGGTATTAATTAATAGAGTTTGGAAACCATAGTAAGTAGTTAAAATAGTTGAAAATAAATATGATTATAATGGTGTTGTCGAAAACTTTAGATTTATTGTGCTAAGTAAGCTAGAAATTTAAACAACAAAAAACATACCTAATATCATTTGTTATTATTTGTGTGGTATAACAGATACCTACTCCAAGGACGTTATATTCGCATCTACTATTTCAGTCCAACTACCGGCGTAACATGCAAAAACAATGCTTATGAAGAATAAGTCAAATTAACTTAATTTTGATTTTAGAGCAAAAGTACATATTATAAAATGTATAGAGAACATTATTTTGTAGGGAATTTCATAAATGTATTGTGAACTATGAACTATTAAAAAAGTTATAGTTAATCAAAAAAACAAAAAAAAAAGTTTCTGTACATATTATATCGAACTGTATATTTTATAGGTACATACATTTTTTAATTAGCATAGAAATTATTTATATGAACATTAGAAATCGATATTGACATTTGACATAAACAGGAATATAATGGTTTTATAATGATGTTTATTTTAAATTCCGAGTATAAAGAGGGATCTAATGGTTTTACTACGATGCGTGTTTTTGTATTATTATTTTATTTTTGTGTTTGTGAACAATTTTTCTACTAGAAATCTTGCCCCGATATACAGAGTGAAATCCTTTTCCTGAATGGTAATTTTGTCTAGTTAGAGTATTAAAGACGTAAATTTATTATTTTATTAGGAGTTTTCAAAATAATTGAGAAAAACCCGAACGAAAATGTTAGGTAAAACGTCAAATAACAGCACACCACGGCATTACCTATTTCATTATTTTAAATTTATATACATAATATTTTCTAGTAGAGTTATTATTGTTCCAATAGAAAAATAACAAGAGATCGATTTTGATCTATTTAACATATAGCTATAATCAAAGATTTTTTTGATATCTAAAGTATTTTTCATAATAATTTTAAAAAATCAAAAAGCCAAAAACCACGATTTTTTCAAATTACTGCTCAACAATTTCATTATTTAAAAATTGTACTCTTTATGTTTTCTATCGTAAATATTGCTTCAATAGAAAAACGACAAGACATCTTTTTTGTTGAATTCTTAATTTTGTTGTGTAGTTAGAAAGTCATTTTTTTATTTTTAATAATTGAGCAATACTGAAAAAAAAGTAGAAATAATTTGACAATTTACGAAAATAATGAAACATTTGAGCCATTTTTGAGCTATTTGTAAACATTATAATTTTTTCGCGTAATTTTTATTCGGTAGCCGATAGGGTGTACACTTTTGATAAATTTGTCAGACCAAGCAGAAATGCTCGGCTACTATAACCAAAAATATTTTTATAATAACAATATATACGTATAGCTTGTATAGCTTGAGTAAAATACAGTAAATTAGCTGTAGGTAGCCGCTGTTGTAGTTTTAGAAATTGATTAGATACTATTGGTTATTTATTGTAAAACTATTAAACTATTAATTAAATATTTATTGGTATAGGTAGTTAAATAGTTATATGTTCTTACTAATGCAATCACACAGTAAACCAGTGCCGGATTAACCTATAAGTAAACCAAGCACTACTTAAGCCCCTCGAAAAAATATAAGTATAATAATAACTAATAAGTATAATAAATAGTTGCTAAAAATTTAAATTATTTGGTCGATTCGGCCGGAAAAAACAAATAATTTGTTTTCATCTGGCATTGGCCGTATACAACAGAATTTATCGGATAAAATGTGACCAGAACAATTTAATTTCATACTTTTATCTTTAGATAGACAAGTGAACAGTTGCAACGATGCCAGTGACTAATTTTATAATAAATATACATATATTTTAGGATATACCTATTATTTAAAAATGTATTTGACACGATTGTCTTAAATATTATTTATATTTGTAAAAATTTTTTTTTTTATTTGTAGTTTGGAAACACGGTTGAGAATAGGACAGGTGTATACCTTTTTTTTTACTCTTTATGGCCAATTAGACCCGTCTGCATTATTTGCTTAAGACCCGTGAAGCATTTAATTCGGCACTGAGTACACACTACGGCAGTCTAGGAATAGACTATATAGTTCGTGTTATTTTTAATATTATGTCTACTGCTCCTTATATTAATTGTAAAATAAACAATTTTTTATGCTAAACTAGGTACCAATGCTATATCCACATCTTAATTTAGGTGTGGCAACTGCCATATCTAATATGTAGGTTCGGTGCCACTGATAAATATATTTGTTTATTTGTTGCGACATATTGGCAACTGTTGGAACTATGGCATTTGGAACAACAAATAATATTTTTTTGTTTACATTTGCATTTATATTGTCACTATATACCATAAAAAAGATATTTCTGTACAAAGACCAATTTATAAATGAGGGGAGCGAGAATTGTAATATTATTATTAGTCGTAGAGCATTGCAATAGGTATTATTAACATAAATAATTAATATATTTTTTTATATTTTGGACAACTATTGATAATTTAATGTGTCAAATAAATTTTTAGAATATTAGAATACATTTCTTAAAATCAATATTATAATTATTAGGTAGGTATTGTATTAATTGTATTATTATTTAAACTTATTTATTCATATTTAACTTGGTAGGTACCTATATTAGAAAAGTAATCTTTATTTTACTATTATTCACATAATATAATATTAGAAAAAATATGATACCTTCCTATAACAAATTACATGGACTACTAAACATAAATTACAGACTATACCCACTTTATATAATACAAGCCCAGAAATGGACTCTGGGATCAGGGCTCCCCCAGACATATTATTTCTACAATTTGTATAATTCTATAGATCCTGATATTACTATATTTCATTCATAGATATGTATAATATTAATATATAGTATACGTGTCTGTGGACTGTGATCATAGAAAATGACTGTAATTCCAATATTGTAGTTCTTCAAAAATCAAAAATTATTGTTATGTCTATTAGATTATAAAGTTTTTAATTTTCCTCTTAAATATAAATTTATAAGTAGTGTTATTAAAAAGCAAAATTTGGAATTGTCTGTTAAAAGTTGAAACTGTTTTCCCGACACTTTAAGAGTTTGACAGTTCATTATCAAAAAACTATGTTAAACTTTTCACTGTACCTTTTTTTTAGTTTAATTTACAGTTACGAATTAATAACCTTTCAAAATCAAATTATATAAAACTTAAAATATTATTGTTGTGTTAGCTACGTTGTTAGAAAATGGTCATAATCACTGTCAATAGAAAATTATGAGGAAACTTTGAAAAATTGATTGTACTACAAAAAATACTGTTATGAATACTTGTCCATCATAATTTATTTGTATTACTGTATGTCCTCAAAAGTTATTGTAAATGTTAATAATCAGTATCAAGTAGTCTGAATCAATAATCATACATATTAATTATACTTTTATTTTTTTTATTTTTAATCGCCTAACCAGAGGGGGTACTAACGTAGTCATTACTTCCCCTCTGGTGGCATCATTTATTAATAATAAACCACACATAATTTACAATATTTGCAATAGTAAAATATTCACAATCTAATAATTCAACAATAATAATAGTTCTTAAATTAAAATATTCCGTTAAATACCACTCCGTCTTCACAGGCTGTCAAGGACCGCCACCCTCGTGTACTTGTTCCTGTTTTCCACAACCTGTCCGCTTCTCAGGCCGCTGCCTTTGCTTACTGGTTACTGTCCAGCGCCCTCATCCGGGCCCACCACGTGATGGTAACATGCTGGTCATGTCACCATCACCATCCCTCCTCTTGACCTAATGAACCTAACCTAACCTCCGACAACTTCTTCTGAGAAGCAGCGTTTGTAGGTGTTACCGTCCACATTTTTCGCCCGCCTTGCGTTCACTTTATTTATAACTGGGCTGCTAGATCTTGGAACGGGTCCCTTTCTTTAGTCCTTTCAACCTCCTCTCTGGTGGCCATGATTTTTTCCACCAGCCCATTTATCCTCCTCCAGTTCTTCTTGTTGCTCAACATCATCGCCACTGTGTTTTCGACTGTCAGGGTCGCACCCAGATACACGTTGGCCTCGCACCTAGCGGCATGCCAAGCGTCGCATTCGTACACTGCGTGCTCTGCAGTGTCTGGAGTAGTGCCGCATATCTGGCATTCGCCAGTACTCTTTCTTTTCCACTTGTACAGATATCCGTCAAAAGACCCATGACCCGTCAAGACTTGGCACAGTCGGTGGCCGACGTCATCGTGTTTCCTGCTGATCCATGCTTCCACATTCGGGATTAGCCTGTGCGTCCATCTTCTTTTGACATCCGCGCTCCAACTCCACTGCCAGTTTCCTACCAGATTCCTTCTCGCTTCCTCTCTATCGAGTCCACCATATATCTCGACCCTCTCATTGGCCTTCAACCTAATAGGCGGCATGCCCGCAACCACGGCTACTGCGGCGTACGAAACGCTTTTATACGCACATACCTTGTGTTTGGCTATGCGCCTGTGCACCGAATCGAGTTTCATCCATCCGGACTGCGCAATACCTGACTCCCAGCACGGGGATCCGTAGAGGAGTGAGGCATGGCGACATTGGCCAGCAGCTGTCTTTTGCTCTCCCTGGTTCCCCCTAGGTTTGGCAATATGTGTCCTAGTTGTCTGATAATAGTCGACATTTTGTTATGAGTTGCCATCGCGTGTTCAATGAAATTCATCTTCTGATCCAAAATTACCCCCAGGTATTTAACAATCCTCCCAGACTCGATGACTGTTTCGCCGCATTTGACACTCATGGAGTTACGGGATCATCTGTCAGTAAACACAATGGCTTCTGTCTTTTACTTTGTCAGCGTCAGCCCGTTCTCGCTCATCCATTTTCCCACTACCATGTAAGCGCTCTCCAATAGACTAGGTAGCGAACTGTTATGCTCCGCCGTCGCGATGACCGCTACGTCATTGGCAAAGGCCAGTATCTCGACGTTCTCCGGGAGCCTCTGTCTTAGCAATCCGTCATATAGCACGTTCCACAAACACGGGCCAAGCACCGACCCCTGCGGAACACTACGTTCTACTGTAAAGTCCTCTTCGCTTCCCCTTATATCAAACTTTACACGCCTGCAGGATAGATAGCTAGCTACTATATCCACTAGGTACTGCGGCATGTTAAAGTCCACCAGTGCATCTAGTATGCACCCACATGGTACCGAGTTGAAGGCGTTCTGCTCATATAGCGCCAGCATGCCTACCAAGTGACCCCTAGCGTTGAGGTCCCTTACCTTAGCCTGCAACCTCCTGATTGCGTTTGTAGTTGATCTTTTTTTCCTAAAGCCATACTGTGCGTCATCCAGTTTGTCACCCAAATGCTCGTTAAGCCTACGCACTATAATTTTCTCGAACGACTTGTCCGTCGTGTCGAGTAGACACAGGGGCCTGTATGAAGAAGACATTTCCGGCAAAACCCCAGCTTTGGAAGTAGTTCGGGAAAGAGCGCCTCATCGAGGTATACGTTGAGCAGATTGACCACCCTGATAGGCATAGCCCTCACCACTGCCTTCAGTATTTCATTATGTATACCGTCGGTGCCCGGGGATTTGCTGCTTGGTAGCTGTCCTGCCTCGTTCAGTAATTTCATGACGCTTATCCTTGGGAACCCTTGGCTATTATTGTCTGCAGACCATCTAGTTATTGTAAATGTTAATAATCAGTATCAAGTAGTCTCAATCAATAATTATACATATTAATTATACTAAAAGGATAAGATAAGATTACAAATAAGTAGTCTGGAAAAATTGTGTGTACCTATTTAATCCAATTAAAGAAACTTTAGATCCTACCAATTATTCTTCACGGCTTTAAAAAAGTTTCTAAATAAAGTTAATTGTAGTATTTTATGCCCATAGATATCAACCCGCACACTAGTGTCTGCCTGCAATATCTAATTTTATGAAATGGTTGTGCACATACGCGGCGGCAGGATTTATCATAAGATCATTCAATAGGCATAAATAGTGTGACGTCACGTTAACGATTGATAAGGACGACGGTTCAAAATAAACTGATATCACGGTTTATGGGCGTAAAATTAAAGTTCTTTTTTCTTTTAGTGTTTGACATTTGACAGACATTCACATTTTATTTTAATACATTGTACGTTTGCAATAAATATTAGACATAATATTCTAAATAACGCAAACTTGACTATTCCTAGACTGTTGTAGTGTGTAATGTGTGATCGCATTAGTGAAAGCAGAGAACTATAAGTTACTATTTATCTACAACCATTCAATTAATAGTTTTACAATAAACAACAAATAGTACCTAATACATTTCTGAATCTATATGTGGTTATAAATAAAAACACATAATAAACAAATGTAATTAAAGAGCTGATATTGGGGACGGGTGTGACCACTATTGTAGATGGGTAGTTGGGAAAATAGGGTACATAGTTATTTAATTTATACCTTTAGCCAACAATAAACCATTGTTAATGAGAAACGACTTGGAAAGAAGTTACTAGTGGCATAATTTGGTAATGTTTGTGTGTGTGTGGGGATAGGTGAAATGTTTTCACGTAAATTTACTAAACATACTATAAGCAGTAAACCAAAATATTATACTGCGTTTTTTTCTAGAATATATCATTTACTGATTAATTGTCTAGTATTCGGTGATATATTGGTAGATACTACATATGTAGGGTCTAAATGATGTTTTAATAACATTTTAACATAAATAACTTGATGTAAAATGATATAATAACGATAGGTACCTATTCTACAATAATCTCATTTATGAAAAATAGTCGGTTACTGCGTTTTACTTGGCAGGGCAGTATGCACTTGCTTTTATTACAAAGTATTTATGTACAGCTAGCATACATGAATATATATGCTAGATAGATACATGGATTTTGGAAACAACAAGTTAATTTGAAATTTATAAAGTACAAAAGTACATTTACATAATATATTATACACTAATACATAAACATTATTTATTCCAAAATTGATAATTTCCAACTTTTGTCGGGTAGAATTTTCAAAGGGTTCAAAAGAATAGCATCTAGAAACAAATGTAAAGTAAATTATTATACATTATCATTAAACTTAAACAAAAAAATAAGCATTATTAGTATACCTTCTATTATTTGTTCAGTTTCATTCTGAAAAAAAAAATTATTATTATTTTACTACCAATTTGAATTCAATTATTATGAATGATAATAATATATGGTAATCAATAATCACTGGGTTCGGGATTTATAGTATTTGTTTATTTGTTTTATTTATTGTAAAATATAGCAGTGTGTGAAATAAATTCATTTATTCATTTTTCGCTGTCATGGTATCAAATCTGAAATTTGAGTTACATAGTTTTGCATAATTCATAAACTTTATAGTAATGCTTATTTTTTTGTTGATATTTTGAAAAAAATTAAATCAAACTATACAAATTACCTAATTGCAAAAAAAATATTTACATTAATTTAATTGTATGTTTTCGACAACTTGAAGCTAGTTATAATTTTAGTGTGGGTATAAAATGTATACTATAAATAATATTTTTAAAAAATACCTATTTAAAATTTTTTAGAAGATGGCTGCTATTATAGATGGTATTGCTGGATCTCTGATAATAATCCAACTGCTTTAGTGTTCCCCCTAGCTATAGATATATTAATAGTTTTATAAAATCATAACAATCCCCGTGAAACTAATAAACATGGCTTGCAGCCGATAATAATTATATATTAATTTTGTCAATTTGTCAAGTCAATTTTAATGTGAACCTACTTGAATAATAATTAAAAGCATTAAACTAATAATTAATACATATTTAATTAATTAATTAATAAATTAATAAAATTAATATTTTAGTGCTTATTATCATTTTTTAAAGTGTTATAAGTTCCGAACCCTGAATTAATCATTAATAAAAGCTTACAAAAACAGGCCAAATATTTGATTTATTTTTTAGTATACACGTCTGTAAAGATTCCAAAGATGTCTGAAGAGTAACACTAAGATCAAATTCCTCCAGTTTTATAAGTAAAATACACATACTCTTTACATCATCTGTTAAAAAAAATAAAATAAACATTAAATATATTATAATTTATACAGTATACACATTATAATAACACAATTTAAACAAATAACCTTTAAATTTATCAAATTTTTCAATAATTTGTTTCAAATTCAAAACTATTGTAGGTTGTTCCCGAAAATTGCCCTTTTTTAAATTCCACATTTTACGCTGTTGTTTTCGAGCACTTCTACAACTTGTTCTTGTACTATAAAATGCAATTATTTAAATAATGAATGATAATAAATACATATTTAATAAATATTAAAATATAATACCTTGATGTACGATAAGAAGATACGCTACTAATTTCAGAACTCGTATCATTCAAGTTATCTAAAAATAAAAATAATAATAATAAAATATACATCATATGCATTATAATTTTATATTTAACATACCATAAGACATTGATTCATTAGAAATGTCTACTTTAATTTCTAGCAGGCGTATAACAAAAGATTCAAATTTTTCACGTTGTATATTAATATCAGATATTAGATTTTGAGTTGTATTTATACAAGCTAATTTTATATTATTTTCTGAAAATAGAATGCATACAAGTAATTATATAATAATTATTATTTATAGCTTAACAATAAATTATTCATTTAACGTATGTACAATAACATTTTTTCCAATTTAAATTAGAAGACAATAGGTAAGTATATTCTTAAATATCTAGGTGGTTATTCAATTACGTATGGCTATAATTATAAGGCATACTTCATCTTACTAGTCATACATTCCAAATAATTTAAATTTTTTTTTAATAGTTTGTACCTAAATATGTATCTAGTATTGATCTAGATCGGGCTAAATATAATGCATGCATATAATCTTGAGCTTTGATGGAGTATTCCACAGCTAATTCAGTGTTTCTCATCTCAAATTCAGCAAAATCAGCAGCCTCCCTAAACTTTTGTGTAGATGATAACATAGATAAAATGTTTGCTTTAATTTCATTCATTTCCAATTCACTAAAAGGTAATCATATACTATAATGAATGAAATCTAAAAACGGTATATGAATGACAAAAAACCTATTTACCTAAAGTTTAATTCATAGGATAACTCTAAAGGTTCTTTCCAAAATCCAATTTTTAAGTAAGAGTTAATAGCTTTCTTTCGTTCAGTACTTTGATTGTACATTAATGCTGCTTGTAAATAATCCATTTTAGAATATAACACATCGCCAAAATGTTTTGCAATTATTTTATACCTGTAAAAAAATTAAACAAAATATGTTTATAGTTATTTTTAACAATGATTTACATATTTATAAGGAATATAATTAGGAAAATAACAAATGTTGACTAAAATTATTTTTTTATTAAGAAGTGTAAACATCATTAAAATAAAATAGTAATTAATAGTTTGCATTCTGTTCATAATCTGAAATAAGGTATGAATATTTTTGTTATTTTACTTACTCATTTTGGTCCTGATTAAATAGAGTTAATGTATAAGCATAAAGGTTATTATCTATAACATATTTTAACCATTTATCAAACTGCCCCTCACAAAGTACTAAATTCTTTACTGCTGATTCTTTGTTTCCTAATTTATCATCAATTGTAAAACGCATATAATGACATTCCATTTTTTCTAATTCTTTTAGAAATGGTACATACTCTTTTGGATCAAGTTGAGAATTATCTAAAGTGAAATAATATATTCAAATTTTACAAATGAATTGAAATATATAAATTATTATTAGTAATATAAAACAAATGCTAACTTATAATTTGCATAGCCATTTCTAAATTATACTCAGCAAGTGAGGTTTTGTATAATTTATCAACATCCACTAAGAATAATAAGTGTTTTAAAAATGCATTATTTGTTGATGCTAAATTTAATGCTAAATCAAAACGTTTTAGTTTTACATAACATCCAAGTAATGGAAAAGCATATTTATCTGTGTCAAGTTTGTTTAAAGTATTTATTAATTGAGAGCATATTATGAAGACTTTATTGGGTAATTCTTCCACCATATTTTGTTGAAACTGAGAAGCATATACAGTATTCAAATAATTTTTGTCATCTAATTCAGTAATGAATAAATTAATCCAAGACAAATCTTTTATTTGAATAACAAATTCATCTAAATCATCAATAAATTTTAAAGGATCTAAATCACATATTATGTTAAGGTTTATACGTTCCTTGCGTAAAAGATCAAATGTAGTGAAATATTTTCGTTCTTGAATGAGTTCAATAGCTGATAAAATTGTTAGAGGCCTTGGTCGTATTGTTTCTAAATTACCCCTTGGTAATTGTAATATAACTGAATTACCAGTTACTGTTATAATTTTTGAACCAGATTCAACCCGCCGACGATACTGATTATTGGAATCCTGAAATATGGGAATAATTGTATTTATTCTAAATTTATAAGTTTTAATTACCTATATTACTTTGGTGGGATTTATATTATGAACAATTAGCTCTTGGTTCAATGTGGCAGCTAATACAAAAGGATAACGGATACAGAATGATCCTATATTGTTTAGGATAACTTTATCATTTTCAAAAAGTCTTTTTGATACACCAAGAGCATAGATTTTGTTGTCCATTATATTTATACATGTGCATTCTTCAGGCAGATTAATATGAGGGTCAATTTGATTCAATTCTTCATTCCATAACAATACATTTCCAACAGACAATTGAATTAGAGCACCATTCTTATGATTTATAATACCAACAATTGGTTGATCAACTGGGTGTTTAGTTCTGAAAAATTAACTGATTTCAATACTTGAAACTATTTAAATTAAATATAATATAATATAGGTTTTTTTTTTTAAATTACATGTTTATGGAATCATTATCAACTTTAAGAATACATATGAAATGGAAGTTTCCAACCTCTGATAAACTAAATATAAGAGTATTTTCATTTAACCAAAACCAATGATTACACAATCCAGTAGCATTAAGTATACTGTTAATGGTCTCTAAAAATAAAAAAGTTTGTAACAATTTTTAATTAATAACAAAATAATAAAGTAAAAACAAATTACCGAATGAAATAAAAATTATTTTTAAATCTAATCACAGATTGTTAAAGTTTTAATACAATATTTTATATAAATGCGCAGTTTCTAAACATTTGATATAAGGAAAGTTTTTGAAAATTCATAGTTATGTATAAAATGATGGGATCTGCATTATTTTTTTTGCGTATTAAACATACATTTCTCTACAAGACAATTGGGCACATGAAACATTACAATTTATAATCAATTATTAGAAGTATTTAAAATTTATTTAGTATTTTACAAAACTTAATATTTCTTAAAAGCATATTTTTCATATAATGTCATACCAATAATAAATATATTTATTAAAAAAAAAAAAAAAAGTAATTAAATAAAAACCATTAATAATATAATTACTAAAAAAACTATAAAAAAATGCTTCAAAATGTGAGCATGTTCAAATGTAGTTGCGACAAAAAAACATGTACCGAAATGTTGCATGCACTTAATTGTCTCATGCCAAAATGATGTGACATGATGTAACGGTTTACTACCGCTAATAAATAAATGAAATAGAAAATATACTTATTAACATTGCATAAATATTAAGTTAATAAAAATTGTTTTTGTATATAAAGTGATAAGACTAAAAAGGATTATTTTTAGTAGTAATTAATTTTAAAATATCTAAAAGCTTACCTCTCATGTTAGGTAAAAATCAAATATAACATATAATATCATCAATCTATAAAATACTAGTAATAATAGTATTATAAAGTCTCACCAATACTTACTACTTTTCGTGTATAACACATCTTTATAATTGTAAAAATGAATAGACCTATCATCAGTGACAACACAAATATCATTTCCATTTTTACTGCAAATAAAAATAAGTACATTTTACAATTTTAATTTTAATCTACAAATGAAAACAAAGTTTACGTTATTCATTAATGATAATGTTTATATTATAAAACAATAGGAAATTATTTATTAAGGATATTAAAAATAGAAAATTTAAGTCTAAAATTTCATTTTCACAATAATTTATATTTAAAAAACTCAGAAGTTAATTATTATATCTAAAGCACTTTATTAAAATAAAATTAACATTAAATACAAAACTGAATTGTTGAATAATATTTAAATGTTTTATTTAAGTATACAATGCAAAAAATTAAGAAAAAACTGTTATATAAACTTTAATTAGTAACCATTAATCTAGGAGCAATATTCATAGACATAAGTTCTTGGAATAATAACTTAGCTGCATAAGGTAATTTAACTTGTGAAATTTGTGTTTTATTTTTACATCCTTTACATTCAAATGTATTATTTCTTAAATTTGCTATAGCAATTAAGCCACAAAAATTACATATATGTATACGATATGGATCAGATACTTCAAATAGACGTTCACGTAAAAATTGAGCTGCACCATGAGCTATTTGACAATCACGTTCCATCTCACCAAAACGCAATCCACCATCCCTATGAAAATGTTTATTCATTATACATTGAAAAAAATATTACTTTTTAAATAAATTTACCTTGCTCTTCCTTCCATAGGCTGTCGTACTAAAATTTGAACAGGTCCTCTAGCTCTTGAATGAATCTTATCATCTACCATGTGTTTAAGACGTTGATAATAAGTAGGCCCTAAAAATATTTGAGCGTTAATTTTCCTTCCAGTAAAGCCATTATACATAACTTCATTTCCTCTTAATTGATAACCATATTCTTGTAATAAAGTTGAAATCTTTTGTACATTGACAGCATCATTAAATGGTGTAGCATCACCAATTTCTCCTTTATTAGCAGATACTTTTCCCTGTAGACATTCAATTAAATGCCCAATTGTCATACGAGAAGGTATAGCATGTGGATTAATAATAATATCTGGTGTAATTCCTTCACAAGTGAAAGGCATATCTTCTTGTCTATATTGTATTCCACATGTTCCTTTTTGACCATGCCTTGAAGCAAATTTATCACCAATTTGAGGTATTCTTTCTGAACGGACCCGAATCTTACAAAATTTATAACCCTCTGAATTTAATGTTAATAAAACTTGATCAATGAGACCTGTTTCACTGTTTCTTAAAAATGTACTACAATCACGTTTTGAATACTTTTTAGTAGTTCCTTCAAGCTCATCTTCATTATCAGGGAGTGTCATTGTTTTACCAATAATTACATCATCACCTGATACTCTAAGACCAGGGGAAATTATACCATCATCATCTAATTTATCATAAATAGCATTTCTCATTCCTTGACATGACTGACGATTTGGTTTTTCAAATACTTCCTCTTGATCTCCAATTCTTTTAGATTCAGAATCTTTATAAGAACGGAAAAACACCGATCTAAAAAATCCTCTTTCTACTGCAGAAGCATTCAATATCACACTATCTTCTTGATTGTAACCAGTATAACATAAAATGGCTACAATAGAATTAATACCAGCTGGAAGTTCTCTAAAACGTAAATATTCCATAGATCTAGTTGTTACAAGAGGTTTATGTGGATAATAAAGAACATGAGCCAATGTATCCATCCGAACATGGAAGTTGGTTATGTAGACTCCCATAGCTTGTTTACCCATAGCACTTTGATATGTATTCCTAGGACTTTGATTATGATCAGGGAATGGAATAATAGATGCACATACTCCTAATATCATAGCTGGATGAATTTCACAATGGGTGTAAGTTGTACAATATGCATACTCTTTTTCCTGTCTTAGATCATCAGGAGACATAGCAATCATTGTGGTTTCTTCTTCTAATGTATCAATATATTCTACAACACCATTAGAGACAAGCACTTGCCATCCATAATTGTTGTAATCACGTTCTTTTAAACTGTCAATATGACGTTTTTTTAATAACAATTTACTATTTTCAACAATAAGTAGTGGTCGACAAATGCGACCAGCATCTGTATAAATTCTTATTTCACGATCACGAATATCACGAATAATACTAACTTCACTTACGATAATATCCATTTGACGCCTCAATTTTCTAAGAGTACCCATAAGTTGTTCAGGATCACGATGAATACCAACCCAACATCCATTAACAAATATTTTAGTTGCATCAACAATAGCTGAAGGAGCAATTTCTTCTAAGTTTTCCATGCTCCATTCTTCCAAAAACTCCAAAATTGGTGAAGGTTGAGAACCAACAGATATGTAAGCCATTAAAGCGAGATTTTTTACTAAACCAACAGCAGCTCCTTCGGGTGTTTCAGCAGGGCATAACATGCCCCATAGAGTATTGTGCAACTGTCTAGGTTTTGCTAATTTACCGTCTCGTCCAATAGGGGAATTAACACGTCTTAAATGTGATAATGTTGAAGCAAATGTAAGTCTGTTTAATACCTGAGAAACGCCTGCTCTTGCTTGATGGGCCTTCTTCTGATCACCCCAATTGCCTGTAGCTAATGAATATCTCAAGCCATCAGTTATAAGTTTTGTTTTAATAGCTAAGTCTAAATTAAAATCTTTTCCACGGTCAATGAATTTTTGTGCATACATACGTACTTCCTTCATTAAATTTTTGAACAAACCTCTGAATAAAAATGCTAATAATGGTCCAGCCAAATCTAAACGCTTATTACCATAATGATCTCTGTCATCTAATTCACGTCTACCAAGTGAAGCTAAGAGAAGACGATGAACCATATATCCCAAAAAATATGCTTTTTTAGTTTCACAAAAATCAGATACACCCACATGAGGTAACATTTCTTTTTGAAGAATTTCTCTAGCATATTTAATACGTTTTTCTTTAGTTACTCCTGGTCTTGCTCCACGAGAACCAATAAAATTTAATGCAACATTTTGTTCTTGTATAACAAAAGCTTCATCTAAAGACGGTTTTACCATTTCCATCATTTCAGGATCATCAAAATCATAAATTATATGTTCCAATATATCACGATCAGCTACAAATCCTAAAGCTCTGAATACAATCATAATAGGTATTTCCTGTTTAATGTAGGGTAAAATAGCTATTATCCTTTGGCCAATCGCAGATTTTTTAATACTTTGACCACCACGAGCCATCATATTAACCCAAAGAGTAGAAGTTGGACGAGATGAATGTTCTAAACAAGACCTTATTTCAGCCTTAAATGCATATTTTCCATCTTTCATACTAAATACGTATACTGTATTTGTTGCCATTTTTTCCTGTGCTATCAATACTTTTTCAGATCCGTTTATAATGAAATAACCACCAGGATCTAACGGACATTCATTTAATTCTGTCAAATCACGATCATTTAATCCAAATAAAAGACAATATGTTGATCTTAACATAATAGGAATTTTACCTATAAATGATTTAGAATGCTGGGTAATAATTGGATCTTCACCATCTTTAATAACAGTTTTTGTAATATCCACATATAATGGGGCAGAATATGTTAAATTTCGTAACCTAGCTTCATTGGGCATCATAGGAGATGGTGAACCATCTTTTTCCCAATGAGTAGGTTTTGATAAATAAATTTGTTCAAACTTAATTTGATATTTAGTTGGGGTATCAATTTCACCATGTGTATGCTGGGATTCAGCTTGTAATTCTATTTGAGGAGAGTCTTCAACTATACGTTGCACAGACATTTGAATGAATTCATCAAATGAATCTAATTGTTGTCTTACCAGACCCTTTTCATCAAAATAAGAATTAATTACAATCCAACAAGCTTCTTGCCAAAGTTCACTGGAAATTTCTTCAGTCTCCTCTTCTTCCTCATATTCATCATCTCCCAAATCATACATACTGATTAAATAATACCACTTTTTTTACTTAAAATTTAAACAAGTAAAACAGAAGTAAAAAATAATACGAACAGCAAAAGCACTGTTTCGTGTTTATAAACACAAACTATTTTCATATCCGTTTAGACATAAAATGATAAAATAATTTCCACTTCTACTTAAACATCACTTCCAAAGAGTATATACAATTTTATAGGTTAGGTTTAAACTTCTAACCTCAATATTAAACTAAAACGCGGACAAATTAATGCATTTGAAAAACGAATACAACCTTAGTACCTTACTACATTATAATATTACCATTACTAAAATGTATTATACAATATTGGATGAGAATATGAATATTTAAAAATTATGTTAAATAATTGATATAAGCTTTTATTTACAAATTTCAGTAGTACTTGTAGGTAATACGTATTATGTGACACGGAAAATGTTAATAAACAATAATATACAATGGAATAACAATTTATACAAAGTATTATAAATAAAAAAAAGACTGACATACTTTGTAAAATGGGTGGGTCACTGTTGTAGGTGAGAAGTCGGAAAGATAGGATATAGAGAGAAATTCAATTTGTTTTTTACCCAATGATAAACCATTGTTAAAGAAAAATAATTTGGAGCCAAGTTTCTTTTATATTTTATGTATGTAAATTTTCCCGTTTTTCTCAATTATTATGAAAACCGTTTGAAAAATTAAAAAATGTTCTTTTCAGAAAAGGTACTATACTTGAAAATCTGAGCAACATTTTAGATAGAAAAGTTGCTTATAGAAAACAAAAAAAATAAACATCAATGTAAAATCAATACCTACATTCAGAATCTAAAATAATAAAAATAATAATATTATCAGAATTAATAAAACAAAATTGAATACCTAATATCTAACAGTTTTCAAAATTATGAAATATTTATATTTGTGAATATATTACAAAATAGATGCTTACACATACTATCTATACAGACACACCAAGGTTATAACGATTTAGACGGGACACGACACACTACTAATTTTAGGAATGGGTCAGGATATTGTGTTATCTTGATATTCATCAAGTCCTTTGCCAAGATTATTAGTAAATAACAAGTATTCCTAAAAAAGTCCAATATTTTCAAAAATTGTTTTTAATAAAATCAGTATTTTTTTTCTTATATTTTTTTAATAGGTTATATTAGGTTTAAGTTTCTAAATATATATATTTTAGGTTTCTGTTGTTTCCAATAATTATCAGCCATCGGGTATTTTGTTTATATTTTTAAAACTTTTTCGAGCAGATAATTTTAATTATGTATCAAAAAAACAGTGGCATATACCCAGGATTCATCAATGAAGGGGTTTAAACCAATTAAATTAAATTTATATAACATAATAATTCAAGTATTATATATCTATATTTACTATAAAAACCAGTACTTACCTTCTTGTGTGCAAAGGTTATTGTCTTATTAGAAATAATGTTTCACTGCTGTAGGTATAGTTTATATTAAGTAATTATTTTTTCCTTAGCAGGGCATCACAAAATATCTAGAAATATTTTGTTAAAACAGTATTTTAGCCTAGAAATATACTGTCAAAAATGTATTTTACAAGATAGTATCTCATCTAACAAGTGTTAAAGATGAATAGATTTTTTCCGAAAATGTTTCACGGCTTATATTAAAACTACATTCTTAGTCTATGAACAAGATTATGGTCGATAATATTATGATACCGACCATAGTCAGGTGTGTATTATACCGACCATAGTCTGGCATATATTATGATACCATGGTCAAGCGTGTAGATACAGCAAAACAAATATATATAACTTACTTTTGATTGTGAGGTAAATATAATACACTGTCTACATGGCATTCAAAGATTAATTTGACATCAAACATGGGAGGAGGTATAATAACTTGTTTGAATGGTGTTAATAAAATAGAGCCTAAAAATTAAGCAGGTAAACAATTAATAGGAAAATATTTATAACTAATTTAAAATTATAAACTTACAATCATCAATGACAGCAACCCAATCCAGAGTTCCAGAACTTGATGAACACAAAGTTTCAACCCAATGCAATATGTAATAAGTACCATCAGCAGTAATTAGTTGTAAACTATTGTCTGGTAACCATTTTACAGTTATTACTTTGTCATGTACTGTCAACCATTTTTTAATTTGCCATGAATAATTTGTACATGATAAAAATAATAAATAATTATTATTTGATTTGACACACTGAATACACAATATTGAAGAATCATGGTTCCACAATAACTGTTTTACCTATTATTTAAAAAATAAATAAACGAACAGTGTTAAGTATACATATTTTGTATTTAGATGTTTTTACTAACATTGATTGTAGATGGAATAGAAAATTCTCCATGTTTAAGTCCATTTTTTTCCATAAAACTAATGCAATATTTCTCATTGATATGTTGAGAAAATGATATTAGTTCTTTAGTAGTTTTCCAACTTAATACAGCTTCTATTCCTAACAATAAATTAAATTTTAATTATACACAGTAACTTAAGTAATAATATGTAGGTACCTGAAAGAGGTTCACTTATTGACTGTAGAACTCCATCTCTGTTAAATATCTTAATTGATCTTAAATTGGTTATTTTATTAAAATATCCAATTGCAAACAATAAACTATCAGATCTCCAACAAACATTTACCGAATCATCAGCACAATCTCCATCTCCTATAACTTCATTCACATGTCTTTTATCTTTTCCTTCTGATCCATGAAATTGAGTTTCTTTTTTACCCCAACCAACATTTACCAATGTTTTTTCAGCAAGACTTGTCTCAGTAATATTAAAATTATTTAGGACTTCAAAGCACTCAGTCACTAAAGTAACATGACCATGTTCAGTTAATAAAATAATTCTTTCAAAATCTGGACTGCATAGTATGGTAGCCACTACATCTTCACATTTGAAAGCAACTTCTACAATATTTTCTTGTATTAAAAGAACATCACCATTTGAACAACCAACAACAAATGAATTCCACGGAGTATTGTATGCATAAGATACAATTTGAACATCTTGATCAATATACATTTTTGTTGTTGAAAGGTCTATCACCATAGAGAAGTTATCGTATACAGCTAGTTGATGCTGAAGATCACTATTTGAACGGTAAATAGCATTATTTGTTGCATAACAAAACTCACCATAATTAATTATCAAAGCTGATGTTGCATCTTTTGGTAGTTGAATGCGGCTTAGACTTGATTTGTAAATTTTTAAATTCTTCATTTTGCAGGTTTTGTATACTGTCAAAATCAAGGTTTCTAAATAAATTTAAATCTTAAATGTTTGAAATGTTTGAATGATCAGACAAATCTTATCAAACAATAACATGTGCAATTATCAATATCCAAAGACTTTTCAAATTTAGATAACAAAAATACCACTGATAAAAAAACATCCGTGGTTGATTCCTCTTCCATCGATTAAGTATATTGTATTGTTGTGTTGAACGTTGATCAATTTCGTTGAGTCGAAGAAGTGGTTTTTCTTTTTTTAAATTATAACAATTTTTGTATTACGAAATAGGAATTGTTATTTCTATAAGTGTTTCAAAGATATTTAAGTAGGATCACTGCTGAATTATGGAGAGTTATTCTATTGAAAACGGAACTAGAGGTTCTGAGCGACTGTTTTTTAAGATCAACAATAGACAAGTTGTATTTAAAACTGACAAGCGAACTGTTGTGAAACTAGATAATGGTATGTTCCAAAATGTGAAATGATTAATTGTCATTAAAATTAATTTTGAATACTGCGAACGTTATTGTTTGTTTTTATTAGAAGATCTGCATCTCTCTAGTCACATTTTGTCTACTATTATAAATAGCGATTTTGCTTTGTTAAACAATTTTTTTAAATTAGATTTAAAAAATATATTTATAAAAAAAATATATTTTATACCTATTCAATTATCACTAAATTGACCTATATCCATATGGTGTTATCTACCTATTTGTATTTAATTGTTAGTATTAACTATTCACTATTTACTTACTAAATTGAATTCCCTGACTATTATTTTGAATAGGTAATACTTTAATGATAAATAAAAACATAATAATTGTTGATTTATTTTTGTTTAATTCGAATCATGGCCAGAAACATGGTTAATATTGCCTTGGAGTATGCATTAAACTTATTTGTACTATGTAAGAAAAAAGATGTTCAAATTATTTATTCAATTGAAATAGTTCCACATTTATATTTAAAATATAAAATTTAAGAACAATAAATTGCTAATATACATTATACATAAAGATATTAATATTCAATTAAAAATAAAATGTTTGTATTCTTATGTCTTTATTTTAAAATATTACTGCTTAACAATTAAGTAGGTAATTAAGTAAAGATAATATTTGATAGATGTCAAAAAAGTAAAGTATAAAGGTGATATAAAATAGTTTAAATTAAAGATAACAATAGAGGGGCTAACAAATACACTAAAAATAATTTACAAAAAAGCCATCTAAGTCAAAATCAGTAAAATACAGAAATAAGATAAAAACTAAAACAAAATAAAAAAGGAAATTTAAGAACTATTTAAAGAAGAATAAAGTAGACAAAATAAGTAAATTTGAGTTTGAAAAAAGAATAGATTGAACAGTTTGTTAAAAAAAGATCTCGGTGAACTTAAAATGGAAGTCGATTATTAATTAAGAATGGGCAATCTAAAATGATGTGAGAAACATTTCATGCAGCAAGGTATATTTTGTTTGTGAGGTCAAAAAATGTGAAAATTATTGAGAACAAATTTAAAAAGACGAGCAGGAAATTAGATATCATTTAAAATATAATTTTTAATTTAATCTATCTAAATATAACATTAATTTAAGTCAATTAAAATGTGTTCTATAAATTTACCAGTATGAATAATAATTAGGTTAAATTTCTTATTAAGACAAACATTTAATAATTTGTTTGGTTGTTCTAAAAAATAATTAGGTTGGCACATTTTATTGGTATGCAACTGAATAATTTTAAGAATGGTTAAAATTAAATTTATTCTATCAAAAATGCTTTACAAATTTAATATTTCAATCAATATTATAGATACATAACATATTATTATTAATTCCTGATTTTTTTTTTTTTTAAGAAAGTAAAATTTCATTAATTATTTTAACTATTAAATATATTAGTTTCAGACAGGTGTGCCACACTCTCTCAATCCTACTTTTCTTTATAAACCTTATTTATTTATTATACATTTTTATAAGTTTTTTTTAAAAAAAAAAAGTTTTACTCCAATAAAATATTATTTATATGTATTTATTTACTTAAGTTCATTATAAATGTTCATTTGTGTAAATATTGAAACTATAAAATAGATAGTAATTTCCAAGTTTTTAATTTAATTATGCATTAACATTTGTATGTTTTTATTTACCATACAGAAGATGTATTGATGAATTATGTTAAAGCTATTGTCAATTCAAGAATGTTAATGTCAAATGGTCAAAATTTAATAAATTATCCAATACATATAACAAGAATAGATAATTTGGATATGTCTGCTTCTTTTATTGAGTTAGAAGTTTCTGCTATAGTACAGAATGATGGTGTTGAAGAACTTCATTGTGCTCTTTTATATGAGTATGTATTATTATTAAGTTTATAAATATATACTTAAAACAAGTAGTATAGAAAAATAAAATAATAAATGTATAAGAAAATATTAGTTCACTTATTCTATGCAAAGTACATTTTTTTTTTATGAGTACAACAATTAATATTTTAAAAAATACATATAAAACATTGAGTAAAAAATTTAAACATTTTTTAATACTCTAACATTCAATTTTATATTAAAACTTTTTTGCTAAACCACTAAAAATTTATTATTTTGAAATAGCTACCTATAAGTTCATAAACCAATTATTTTTAAATTTGTTATATTTGTTTGCTTGTTAATGAGCTTCTTTATATATCAATTAGCTCTAAAGAATACATTTTTAGTCATTATTTATTACTGTTATTGCAAACCTATAGTTTAAAATTGTCATTAAAATCAAAAGATTTTAGAGTATTTGATTTTACATTAACATAAGCAATACTTGGATAATACATGCAATAAAACCCTAGTAGATTACTGGATATCCTTTAAAAAAAACAAAAAATGAAAACCTTTGTAAAATATTTGGAGCTAACATATTAAATAAATAATTGAATATATATTAGTTATTAATGGAGTTGCACAAATGAGAAACAAATGATATGTAGTATTTGATTAATTGTTATTTTACTTATAGTGGAACTTCCAACGAAATAAGACCTTCTATTGACCTTAAATCTATTATTGTAAATCATAATCCTACTGAAAATAATTCATGGAGCGATTTAAATGATTCATTCATGACAGATAGTGGTAGTAAGTTAAATTATTTTCTATTTGTCCTTTTTTTATTGTATGATTTATTTTACTCAGAAATATAATTTAACTAAAAAGTTAAAAGCTCAGTTACCTAAAATTATAATAGTAATTAAAATTTTAGTGCCAGCTTTAAAATGGTCAACTGAGATGACATCTTTATTGATTGCTTTACGTGGCAGCCTTAATGAAGAATTTAATTCTGCAAAATATAAATTTAAATTGTGGGAGCTGATTGCACGGCGAATGAATAGTAGCATACAGTCTTTTAAAGTGACTGCTAAGGACTGTGATGATAAATGGAGAAATATAGCTGCCACGTACCGTAAAAATATTGAAAGAATTAAATATATGGAAGATTTTAATGTAAGGTGGGAACATTTTACTGCTATGGATGAAATACTTAGAGGTACTGACGAGTTAAAAAAACCAGAGTCATATATTGATAAAATTGAGGTTGATAAAATGATTGGCAATGTAAATAAAAATTCTGAAATAGAAAATATTGACATAAAAGAGTAAGTACTTATATTATTTGATATGATGGTAAAACCTTTAATTATAATTAGGCCAATGAAAAGTGAGCGCCACCAACTTTCCAAGATATCAATATTCATGAATGGTTATGAATTTATGAACATTATATACAGTATATTCTGCTTAATGTGAGCATCAGTGTAATTTGGGCATAATGGTTTGGTGTTGATTTTAATGTATAATAATACTCATTTAGGTTATTATAGTCAACCGCTTAATGTGGGCAAATGTAGCTGGTCTTAACATGCCCACATTAACTGGAATCCACTGTATATAATATATTAATTTTTATGAAGTAGTTTAATATTGAGAATTCATTAAACAATTAAACGCTCACTTTTTTTTTTTTAATCTCATTACATCAATTTGATTGGAGGTGCTATACAAATTATATTTATATTTTAAAGTTTATTTTGTGTTCTTTTTGTTGTTATAAATAGCTATACATATTTAAGTTTTCGAGACCTATAAGTATATTAATGTATTACTTGATTTACTGGAAGCTAATATTTTTATTGGCAAAAATTATTTTTAACAGATTATAAACATATAACACATTTTTTAATATTTTTTTCAAAATATATTTTGTTGCTTTAAATATAACAGTGAGTGGTAAACAACTAACTAACTGAATCAGTTTGCATTGATAATAATTTAAAAATTTAAATTGTTTTAAGTATAGAATGTATTTTAAAATTAATGCATATCATAAATATAAAAAAAATAAATTTTATGTTAAGTATAAAAACAATAATGTAAGTTATAGTAAATTAGTTAAAACTTTTTATGAATATTTACAATTTTTAACAAGCACATATTAATATAAATAAAACTATAATGATTTCTTCTACATTTTTTTTATAGAAACTGTTTTTATATATATATAGAAACTGTTTATATATATATATAAATATGTCATGTCCATCTGTATGTTTATTAATTAGTTACTATAGTTTTCAATACAAATAATGATATTTTAATTTTGAGTACAATGAACAAATAATTTATTTACAATTAAAAATATATGTATTTAACTTGCTCACAGTAATATTTTATTACCTTTATAACACTTTTTTTTTTAGTCTCCATCTATCTATGATGTAATCATAATCAAATAAAACAAATTTAATATTTTTAAATAATACAGCTCTAATCCACATTGGAAATTCACTGTTGAAAATGTCAAAACTTTGTTTACCATACACTGTGTTTAGTTGTATGTTACAATTGTGTACAAAAATATTTTCTTTTTTTTTTTAATGTTGATTGTATATAACAAAAAATTGAAGTTTGTAATTGTAATGCCACGTGTCAGTAAATAGCACCTCCAAGATTTCATCTATATATATTATGTCAATTTTGATCGAGGTCGTATTTACAACTTTACCACCTTAGGCAACACATTTTTTATATACTTTAAACCACAACAAAAAGATAACTGAACAAACTATAGCATTCAGTGTTTGCCCCCACAAAATAATTATAATTTACCAAGGGGTAAACTGCAATAATTAAAATATTTGTACACTAGACTTCTAATACTTCTAAGTAATTCCACATTAATTTTATATTTTTCTATGTACTTTTTATCATTCTCTCTACACTTCATCATAGTCTCATTATATGTATATATTCATTAGTATAAATTTTTGATCATTTAATATCTTTACATATATACAATTGTATTTAATATATTATTGGTATTTAATATTAATGTTTTCATTTTAATTGTATAAAAATATGAAAAACTAAAATTAAAAATAAATTTATTATTTCCTTGATCAAATATCATAAGTATTAATTATGATTTTGAATATTTTTACTCTTATTGATAAAAAGACAAATAACACGATAGATCATGAATGCTCACTTAAAAAATTTAATAATCAATTTTTTATTTTTTATCTAACAAACTTAATTATGTTTATAATAAAATTCTTACTGTTTAGTATATTTTGGTGTGAATATTTAATATTTATGTATAAATTGGTAACATTAAAATAAAAAGTAAATGTATTTTATTTAATTTAAAATTGGTACATTGACTGAAAATATAAGTATAGGAAATCATATAAATCCTTATATAAATGTATGTTAAATATTTATGCATTTTTATGGTGTCACATTTGTTAGATCTTTTAACTTAAATGAACTTTAATATCTTTAGTTATAGATCATTTAAATTTATCTCTAATTCTCTTTCAAAAAGTTAATTGTAAAATTATTTCCGTTAGTACAAATAATACACCTTATATTGCATTCGCTGTCATATATAACAGCATAGTATTTTTCAAATGTTGTATGAATCATTTTTATAAATTATTCTATGATAAATACTAAATTTCTGAGGAACAAACTTTATTTTTACTTTCCACCTGACTTTTCTTTTTATTGTTAATATTAATTTATGAACAGGTTGAATTAAAGATCTTATATCTTAAATCTTTTGCTTAAATTGCTTATAAAATGCTGTAATTTATCACTACCCACTCTCTGTGCTGTTATTTTTTTTATACTTAACAATAATTAAGCAACAAAAAGATAAGGATATACTTTGCACAGTAGGTGGGCCACTGTTGTAGATGAGCATATAGAGGGGAATTTAAAAAATATTTTTACACAACATAATTGTTGCTTATAAAAAACAATTCTGAGCATAATTCGGTTTTGAAAGGTAGAAGTAATATTTAGTAGTGTAACATTCACAATTAAATTTGATACTAAAATTCTTATAAAAAAAATTCTATATTTCATTAAATTTTTTTTCCTCCTGTTAAGTTTTCAAGCATTTCTGTTTGGTTTAACAAGTTTATACAAAAGTACTTACTGATTAAAAATGATGTAAAAAATGCACAAAATTAAAATGTCTATAAATGATTCAAAAATAGCCCACATGCTTTGACAATTTTATCATATTCAGAAAAGGCAAATATCAAATATCTACAAATTTTTTTAACTGAATTACAACAGCAAAAAAAAAAAAACTAATACAAATAATGTACTTCGTAAATTTTTCCGTTTCCAATATTTTTTCTCAATTATTATGGAAACCACTTGGAAAATCAAGAAATGGGCTTACTGTAGTACCACCAGGTAAAATTTCCTATCACAAAAAGTGCTAAAAATCAGAACTTGTTTTTTGGTAAAAAAGTTTAATAATAAAAAAAATATAATAAAAATAAACATCATTGAAAAACCAATGCATTTGTCGCTTCGCTCAGAATCTAAAACTAATCAAATTAAATGTGATAAATGTAAAATAAGTGTTTTAAAATTATTTATCTTTTAATGTTTAATATTCATTAAATATTAAGTATACATTATGATAAACATTGTGTAAAATTTTCGAGCATAAAAATAAACTGGAGGACAGTCTTTTAAACATTTTATCCTTATTATAAAACCAAATAAAAACTAAAACTACTTAAAAATTTATATGTACTTTCACCTTATTTGTACACCTAATTCTATTTGTAGTTTACCCCTCTGAGTTTAGTACCAAAAGAACTTGTGAATATAGTTCTGATACAGAAAAAAAACCTACCTAGTCAACTAGTGAGTTGCTCATTATATTATGTATTTGTTTTCAGTGAAAATGATGTAATAAATACAGATTCAAATGATGATAATATGGATTATTTCTTTTTGACTTCTACAACTAATGCAAACAATGGTATATTTAATCAATGAATTAATAAACAATTTTGAAATTATTTGAGTTTTTAGTTAATACATTTGTCATAAAAAATATTCTAGAAATTGTATTTTTATTTATTTAAAAAATAATAAATTTGTAATTATAAGTACAATATTTTTATACCATTGCTGATCTTACAGAAATACGATTATGGACTCAAGAAATGATACTCTTATTATTTTCATTACGGCGTTCTATGGCTGACCGTTTTGATCATGCAACCAAAGAACTTGAAAAGGATGTATTGTGGTTTGATTTAGTTACCAAGATGAACAAAAATCTGGGTACAAATGCTGATATTGAATCATATGAAGCAGAATCTTTGTGGAATCAATGTGTAGAACAGTATGAAGAAAATTTGGACAAACTAAAAGTAGAAGGACCTCAAGATGTTAAATGGCCATATTTTGCCATTATGGACCAAATGCTTGGTGGAACTATAGAAATACCAGATGTTTGTCATCCACGACCTGGTGAAGATTTGGTTCCTGTTTTTATGCAGGGTGTTTGGAAACAATCCGAAGTAAGAGAAATACTGAACAATTACAAAACTGATGCCAAGTGAGTTTAATTATATACAAATAAAGTAGCATTACTATGTACCTATCTTATTATTTGTATATTGGTTTTAGTGTGGATATGGATGAAGATTCAGATGCTAGTGACGAAAGTGTTGCAGAAACTAAAACGGGAGTGAAATGGCACCCTGAACTTATACGCAAGCTAATATATTTACGTTCTGATGCAGAAAACGAAGTGAAAAAATGGATTCGTAAACCAAATTCGATATGGACTGTTGTATTAAAAAAATTTCGCCGTCTTGGCATTGTTTTATTGACTGAACAGGATTTAGAAAATAAGTGGAACAGTTTAGTTAGAGCATATAACCGCAGAGTATCTGGTATTAGTAAGAGGTCAAAATCAGACTGGCCTTATTTCTGTGGTATGCAAAATGTGATGAATATTATTGGGACTGATAATGCTCCATCTCCAACACCAACAAATGATGGAAATAAGTCAGATCAACCACCAGAATGGTTCCTTACTTATATGAAACGAAAAGAAGCTAATGATGCGTATAAACATGAACAAATAAAAAATATGCTAGTTGAAATTCAACACAGTCAAATGGAAAATAGAAGATTGATACTCTCTGTTTTTAAGAAATTATAAATATCCTAGTCAAGTATTAAGTTATACCTATTATGTGTTTTTAGAATTATATACCTGTATATATATTATATATTTTTTGTTATAAAAGTCTGACAGCTAAACATAAAACAATTAATCATAATATTTTTTTAAACTGATTTTTGTTATTTGTATTTTTTTTTTTAAACAAATTTAAAAAAAAAATCAACTTATCTCATATATTATTATAATTTATATTAAAGTATACATTATATTTGTTATATTCTAGTTATATTTAGTTTGTAATAAAATTATCTTAGTTTTTAATATATTCACTCCTAATTTTGTTAAAATTAACATTTATATTTAACCAAATGATTTTATAAATAACATTTAACAGTAAAACATGCATGTAAAAAACATTTATTTTTCATATTGATAATATGTTTAGAAACTATTTGAACATATATAATTGCATAGTTTTATAACTATACTAAATATTATTAATATTAATTAAAATTAATATCTGACAAAGATGAATTGTTAGAAATGTAAATAATAAATAAATATAATTTAATAATATGTATTAAGTGCATGCAAATTATGTTAAAAGTTGCTATCAATATAGGTATATAACTAATATCAACAGTAGAGATTTTAAACAAAAATGTATAAAAACTAATAATTTTACATTATAACATTAAAATTTCTCTAAGCGGAACTAAATATTTGTCAGTTCAGATAAATTTTATGACTTAAATTTATAAACATCATGTATACATTTACCAAATGAAACATAGTATTAATATTTTCAAATTATTAGTCTTCAATGATGGTAGACATTTTGTATTTCTGACTAAATACAACTAAAATAACATTTCTTTATGATTTAATTTTCTTCAAAATATTTAGTTTTTATAATATGACTTTCTTGGATTATTTATAGTGTTCACCAATGTTATCAGTTACCCGCATCCAATTAGCATCTTTTAACTTCTGTGGTTGCAATCCTTTATCCCAGTTTGAATTGTAATTTTGTCCATACATTTCTTTTAACTCATAGATTTTGGATTCTCTTATTTTATATCGATCCCATGTATGTTCTTCTTTGCGGCTTTTCCATTCTTTAATTTTGTAACCCTCATCAATGTACTTTTTAGCCAATTTCCGACGCATCATACTATCCAAAATAATATGCACAATAACGGTATTAAAAAATATTTTTAATTAAGATAAGTAACTAGGCAAGTAGGTAACTATAACCTACAGTGTAAAAATATACAAACTTTTGTTGGTGAACAGGTGGGATACATAAGATAATTGCTAATTCAATTAATATCTGTATGTAATATAAATTGTTGCAAACGATAAAATTTCAGAGAAAACTTCAATTAAACGTATTTTTATAAATTTAAATTTAAATTTTATTATTTGTGTACTTGACTATAAAATATTTGTATTTTATAAGAAATTTTATTATTGATTACTTATCTATGCGAAACAAAGCAAATTCGAAATTTCAAAATTGAAAAATAAATTTCAATCCACGCAAACAATAAAAAATCGACAATTTAAAAATTACATTACTTCTAAAAAGTGAAAAGTGCTCAGTGAAATTTTTATTTTCTACGATTATTTTTAACTAATAATGATAATAAAATAACGAATTCTAAACAAATATCAGAAATCGCTATTTTTAAAATAAAAAGAAAATTCAAAAATAACATCCCAATGACAAAATATGTTATCAAAAACTTTGCATGTTAATGAGAAAGTTTATCAAAAATTTGTTCACGAACATAAAAAAAAGAACATGTTATATTAAGTATACCTAATATAGGTACCTACCAATAGTAAAATAAGTACATGTCTTGCTATATTTAAAATGCAGGTACGTACTGGGACGCATTAAACAGGGGATCGATTGGTCCCCCTTGACCTCTTTACTATGAGGCGTGCTTGTTTTATACAATTTTTTGTGTCTGCTAACAGCTATTCTGTCAGAAATTTTGCCTCAAACTAAAAACGACTTGTGACCTATAGTGTCTATAGTCTAGACAGAATATTGATTACCTATCCCTGTTATTATGCCACTAAGATGTACAAATTTAGTAAATTAGTTACAAAAAAAAATTAATTTAATTAATCCCCTTTTCCTCGAATGTATTTTAAACACACCACTGGGTATGTTAGTATATTCTAAAATGATGTTTATCACTACACCACTGTTAACGATTAAAATTTGTTTAGGTACCTACCGTAAGGATGGGCTTTTAAGGAGTGTCGGATCATTTAATCTATCTCTGACTTCTCTTTCTGCCAACTCCACTACTTGAGCCCAATCTTCATCCTCGTGTTTATACGGGTTGTTTTTCATATAACTGTTCAATTTTTCTTTTTCAGCTACAATGTCGGTCACCAACAGTTGGTGAATTTTTTCAAATGTATTTGTTAATTCATCCGAAACGGTGCTATTTTCTGTATCGATGTCGGCCTGCACCTAATTAATTTCATATTTTATAAAATTAATACAAAATATTAAATAACATAGGTCTTATAGTTTAGGTATTATTAACAATTTTTATTTACACATTCTTCGGCATGCTCAACAGTCAATAATTCGTTTAAAATATTTGCATAAGTTTCGTCGGCTCCGAGTCTTATTTTAGTAGTATCGTCTTTATAATTTTTGACTTCGGCTTCTTTAAAATATTTTTCCAATTGTTCTAGACTGACATTTTTTTTTTTCATCATGGACTCTATCATGTATCGTTTTTCTCGGTCCGTATACTTTTCTTTCATTTTACGAGTACGCAACACATTTTGATTGGAGTACCATCTGAAATTACCAAATATGGTAGTGCGAAAAAATAACCCCATATGAGTTTTTGCAAAGGGTAATGGGTACAGGGTACTATTGCAATAGGTAAAAATTAAAATTAATCAATAATGTTAAATTTGGATTCATTGATAAATTATTGTATACTATAAAAACAATTTAGAGCGGAGACGATCTGTCTGTCATATCGATCAGAATATCAAATATATAATAACTACAGACATATAATATTATGATGGATAAGAAAGGAACCGATAACATTATTTTTAATGTTATGATAATATTATAAAAGTGGTACCTACCTAATATTTGTAAAGTTTGTCAAGTTCTATGTGAGTTAATTTCTGTGTATTCGGTACTACAGTGTACATTATACATCATTTTTTTTTTTACATATTATTATTGACATTTAATATAATTATTAATACGAAATGTAATATTGTACGCATTAAACAGCGACGCGTACGAAATACGGATTACAGTTGGCGGTCGAGAACCGATTGCCGTTGAATTTTCCCCGAATTTCCATCATGGCGGCCGGAAAAACCCGCTAACACGGAGTTTACCTACGACGCCGACTGGTGTCTGGTTGATCAACGGTGACGCTGGTTACCTCGTCGTTTACTATAGGTAATCTGGGAAAAACGTCTTTGGAAGTATGGAAAAACGCCGGGCGCCGCTATAGATTAAATCCTACGGAGTCAGTACTGACTCATAATAAGTTTTCGTTGGTAAGCGGTCGCGTCGTCGCGACGTTCGCCATTCGCTGTCGATTTTTTCCGTGTGCGTTTAATATATAAATACATAATAACGAAATAATACTTAATACATTATGCAGTGTTTTTTTTGTCGTCAAAACAGATTTTATTTTTTCCGAATACGGTTTCACGCAATCACAGCAAATCGTGCCGTTGCAATTGCTCTCGAGTTCAACGACGACAACGTCATATGATGTCCAATGCAGCATCGGTGACTATACCCATTATTATTTTATATTTTTTCAAGCATACAAATATACAAGCCGGAAAGCCCCTTAAGAGAAAGTCGCTTGTACGGTACAATGATATTTCCCAAAGATAAATCAGTCTTTATTAATTTATTATTACTAACTGATATTTCAACGGACAATAACCCGTGAGCTCTTAAAATTGTGTTTAATACGTCGACCACATTGTATTAAATATCGTAGTGTTCTTAGGTGTAGGTAGGTACCTAAGTAATGATAAATATATGAGTATAGTGAAGAAGCTATTATAGTATGATGCGTTTTTCTGGGAAAATACTTTTTTGGGAAACAAATCTAGTTTACAACCCAAGCTATTTTTTGATTTATTTTTCCGATACGTGTGTTTTTTTAATGCTTAGGTCGCGCGCACATTGTATACGAATTGGTTTCGTACGAAAACATACGAATTGATTGCACACACTGGAAACGTTTTTTTCCGTAAAGTAGTCAGTGTTCCGGTGATATCGCAATCGTGACGTCCTTATTATTAGAACCTTATTGTTATAACCTTATTATTAGAACGCAATGAATAATCTGTACCTTCAAGATAATTCTCTTCTAATCCGGAGACGGCTGCGTCGTCGTCATTATCGTACGAACGTTAATGAAATCCGGACAAGTTCGGATTGTTTTCGTACGTCAAAGTTACACGTACGTATACGTACGAACAAATCGCACGCAGTCTGCGCGCTCACATAGTATTTGGTAGGCCGGGATCGTTGCGTGCGTGTACGTACAAGTTCGTACGAAAACGTATCCAATGTGCGCGCGGCCTTAATTTATTGGTACCTATAATCAAAACTGACTTATCAGTCTTAACAGACTTATCTAAGGTACTTACTTTTATAGTTATTGTACATAAACCTTGAAAAATGGAATTAATCCAAAATGTGGTCAAAATAGACATTTTGTTTTTTATTATTATTATTTATAGTTATTGATATTTTGATAACTATGATTTTTTTTATTGAAGTCAGAATAAGTCTGTTTGGCTTAGATTTAGAGTTATCTACAAACGTTCAAACATGCCGTGTTTCGTTGCCGCTCACTCGGATAATTTTAATCGAAAATAACTTTCGATTTGCTGTGTAAAATCACGTCGGATAGGTAACAGGGTAAAAAGAAAAAACATTATAGGTAGAACTGGAGACTTAATGGTGGTCATTCGCTTGTTGCGCTTATTCGGACAATTTTAATCGAAAATAATTGTTTCCCCTCATATTTCCTTTCAATAAATTTAAAAATGTTGCAAATCCATGGTCATAATTTTTTTAATTAGGGGTTTGAATTTAAAATTTTCCAAAAAAAAAATCTTAACCGGTTTGTATTGCTCAGGATTGTTATTTTTTTTAATACGATTTCTTAATTATTAAGGATTTTAAAGATAATATTATAACATACATAATAATTTGCGCTTAGGATTATAATAGGTAATAGATAAAATTGAATAACAGATTATCTTAAATTCCTCCAAAAAGGTAAAATGAAATATTTCCTAATTCATTGTACTTTATCATATTTTTATGTTTACCGTATATTATATTATCTTGTTTACCTATACCAGAAAAATTGTAGAAGTTGTGTACTTGTGTCTTTGGGGGAGGAAGTGGATAGTGGATCAGTGGAGGCTCATGAGGCTTGTAAGTGGCCAGGTGAAAGTTCTGAAAAATTACAATGGGAAGGGGTTTTGATAAATATATACGAGGAGACGATTAACATATCTGCTGATTTCAGTTATTAGTAGGTAATTATTATTTTTAATTTAAAATTATTTAGTAACATAGGTACATATTTTTCTGAAACCGATAAATATCGAGAAATTCGTTGAAAGTAACCGGTGTCTATTTCCCCTCAAAATTGGAATTAGTTGCAAAATGATGAAATTCGTTTGATTTCATCGGTTACAAAATTGTGTGACCATCTCGGATAGTCGGTGACAATCGGTGACTTTTCATCATCCCCTCCAGAATTATTATTTCTCCTCGTTAAACTATCAGCGCGGCGTCTAGGACATGTTATACATATTGTTATCATTATTATCGTAGATTCGTACTCATTTTATCGTACAAAATACAAAAATACAAAATGAGTCTTTTCGATAATTTAATTGAAGGTAAATATTATAGATGCCTATATAATTAAATACATATTTATCTATACCGACATGTTTGAATAAAAATGTACTTTCTTAACTTTAGAATATGATATTAAATCGGATGACCGTATTTCTGATAACCAAAGTGAGTAATACAATTAAATAGTATAAAATACTATTAATACTAAGTGAAGACTATTTTGAATTTTGATTTGTTTCGTTACAAATTTCATTATGATAACAAGTAGTTGATAAAAAATTAATATTTCGCAACAATAGGAGGGAGTAGGTATCAACTATAAAGGATGAAAGTTAAGCAAATATCTCCAACCTCACCGGTTACTATGAATTGTAACCGTACCAAAATGGTTTACTATCTATTAGTGACAGGTGACACTCAACGAATTCGTGGTATATTATATACTATATATTATGTTACATTTTCAACGAAATTCTCTTTAAGATATGAAAAATGTAATTTTTAATAAACTATAGTTTTTCAAGACCACTCACAAAAATATTTCTCAAGGGAGGGGGTAACAAAAAATATTCATATTTATCTAGATTCTGTTTTGTGTACTTATGAAATAAGAATTTTAAATTTCAAGTTAGGATTTGTGATATAATCAAAGATAATAAAGAAAATTAGTGTATTTAAAATTTAAATCGTAAATCCTTATCCCGTGATTTGAATATAGAGTGTTCATATAACGTATATTAACGTATATCATCTACAGCGGGGGAGGGGGCACCGCTCCATTGTCCCTCCGTAAGTGTAGAGGTAAAATAAAAAGTTGAAACGTTAATATTTTTAGAAGAATATATTCTAAAAAAAAGTTTAATTTAAATATAAATATTTTTAGTTCTTATCCCTGCGTATATTATTAAAAAAAAAAAAAAAAAAACAGAATTTGACTATCTTTATTATTTCATGGAAATTAGTATATCTTCATGGGATACTGTATATAACTTTTATAAAAATAATAATATTTAAAGTAAGTACTTGTAAGTGACGATTAACCATGGCTAATAAAACAAGATTCGGAGCGAAATTCGGTTTTTATGGTTTGAAAGGCCGTAATATTTACGATTTTCGTCAAAATTTGATTTTAAACATTACACTTAATATTTTTATATCCAAGAAGTACGACTAATAGTGAAAATTCTGTCAAACTTCCAAGCATTTATTTTTAGTTAATAATTTTATTCATAGAGTACCTACCGAATAAAAATTACGTAAAAATTGTCCTTATTTAAATGTCTAAAAATAGTTTAAAGATCGGTCAAATGTTTTGAAAATTGTACAAAGCAAATATAAGTTTTCTGTAAAAATTTCAAGTCTATGTAGATTTCTTGGGATTTTTTGATAGTTCTGGTAGAAAAATAGTTTGCAAAAATTAAAAACAATGAAATTGGTAAGGCTGTGGTGTACAGTTATCATTTACGGTTTTACCTATAATTCTCTTTCGGTTTTTCCCAATTATTTTTAAAACCCCTTAAAAAATCAAAAAATTACCTCTCTAATGCATCAACCAGAATACTTGATTCAACTTCTTTACAAAAAAGGTGATTTCTTTTTAAAAAGTTGACTAGGACGACTTTTCAACGCGTTATCGACTAGCGTTCATTTTAAATAGCACCCAGATTAATAGGTATACAGTAGAACACAGATCTCAGGTATTTCGTACACATATTAGATACTTTACTTTATAGTTATTAATGATACGAATTACGTATCAAGTTATTATCTGTTGGGTACTTGTACAATCATATTACAATCAAAGACCAATGTCTCCACCCACCCTGAAAATTAGTTTAGCTCAAGCCACCCTTGATATAATGTATGGGTGCTAGTGCATCGATCCATCATACGTTGTCGTTGTTGAACTTGAGAACTATTGCAACGACACGATTTATTTTAATTTAATATAATTCGCGTATTCATAAATACGTATAATCAGAAAAAAGAAAATCAATTTTGACGAAAAAAAAAACACGCCATAGTAGGTGGTGCCTCTCTGACGTTATTGGAACATTACTTTCGACTGTGTGTACGTTTTAATTATTTCGAGCATTTCTTATTGATCTATCGCTATTGTTGCCTATTGGAAATAAACACTGAATGATAACTAATAACAAATAATAATTTATATTATTATATTTCGTAAAGTTTTTCCCAAATAAAATCATTTAATACGTTAAAAATTATCAACGAAATATGTGTTATACCCTATCGGCGAGCCAAGAAGTATAATTTTTGAGTATTATTCATTGTACAATTTTAGGTGAGGCTGGTCCTCACTTGTCTCTTCTGACGAGCCCCCACTGTAGTGGATAATCTATCTTCTGAACTCCATTCCCCCTAAATTACACTACTGGTTTTGGTACTCTTTGAAGTGGCTACTGCGATCGTCGCATAAGAGTAGTTAGTAGGTATTAGCCTGAATAGATATTACTATTTCAAATAGGTATTAATGTATACACAATTGTATGCCTATACTATTTTTTTATTGATAGGTTCTATTACTACTTACTTGAAAATTTCGTCGTACATTTGTTTTTTTATTTGTTCAGGTGTCAGCGGTGGTTGGATATCTTCAATTTGAACAGAAGTTGGTATTTGTGATTCATGAGTCAATAAGTGATCGTTCATATTGATTCCTTTCGACCCAAAATTTTCTTTGTACTTTTCGTTCCATGCATCTAATTCTCTTCTCCGATCCACTTCTTTCTGGAATATACGTCCGACTTCTTCGCATTCATTTGGTTTTATTATCACTGTATCTTTGGTGATCATCATTATTATCCCAGAGGAGTCCGAGAAACTGATCAATTCATTTATATCCTGATCTATTACTTTATTAATACCCTCTGCAAATTTGAACCGTTCTGCACCGACAAATTGTATTGATGGTTGTGGGGCTGACAACGCTTAAAGTTCATTATTTGTATTAATATAAAACTGTCTCAAAAAGTACCTAATCTGATATAATATTCCTATTATATTTCAGAAAGTCCATATAAGGGAGAGGGGATGGGGGGGTTGTAATTGTAAATTGTGCCCTTGGTGGCAATCTTTACCAACGCTGTTGATGACATTTCATTTTATTATATTTATTCTATACTATGCTATATTAACTCAACATTTATTCATGCTTCATACTCTTCATAAACTCGGAATATATAAATTTATTTATATTCATTGTTTACAAATTCATTTTTTTGTTTACCGTAATTTTTTATAGTATACCTAATTATTAATATATTTTACTTAAATTTTGTAATTCAAAAAAAATATTTTTTAATTATTAATGGTGGAGGGAGTAAAAAAATGTCGTCCCACTTTATAAATTGAGAATATATCTAAAAAATGTGTTGTTTATATAATAAATTATAATAATATAAAAGTGTATTAGTATAATGTGTTCAATATAATAAATATTATTACTTGCTATAAGCCCATCGCCAAGTAAATAATTGAACGTGTAGTAAGGCTGATGAGCAAATTTCATAAAATTCCAAAATTGTAATTCACCACTAGTGTTGAATGACACTCGGAATTCTGCAGGGTGAGTAGTAGACCATAAAACACTATTTGTAAAATCACTGAAACGTTTCCACCAAACTGGACCACCCTAAATATATTATGTGATTGTAATAGGTAAAAATGTTTAAATTTTTAATATTTAACAATTAATTTGATAAATATTTATATTTTAATTATTACAATCTATACTTAGTATGGTTTAATTTTAAATCATTATATTCATCTGACACCAATTTTACGAGTAAATATAGACTAAAATGAAAATGTAAATTGGTATCAAGCTATGTCTATATCAGTCTATGTGTTATCACGTTTGTATTGTAAGCAGTATAGTGGTTTGTAAATATCCAATAAATTATGAGCAGAGACATAATAAAGTAAAGGTAAACATTTAAACATTTTAGGTAATAAGTAGTTATGTAAACAATAAAATATAATATATAAAAATGACACTCCCCGATAGTGGTGCAATTATTGATACTTTTCTACATTATTTACTTTGTAGTTTAAACTCCAAATAGACACGATGTGTCCACCGCAAACTAAATGAATGTCTGGATAAAATACATTTCTTTTTATGCAGTTAATCGGCCCATCGTGTACATATCCCCACCACATACTTTTGCATACTGCGAATTTATAATACGTATTTCTCTATATTTGTTTAATTAAACACAGTTATATGTTTATATTATTTAGTTAGGTATACCTTCTTTGTTTTGTCCCTGTTGGTATGTATCGTAACCATTCCAAGTTACAACTCCAACCTGGCCTTTAATGCCACCGACAACTATTATCCGGTTTAGAGTTTTATGTGTTCTCGGAACTGTAATAAATGTAATTTTACCATTTTCATTTATACATATAAGCAGAGACGGCGTGAACTTTTTTATTTCATGAGACAAACATAAATGTTAGAAGTTGATCACCATCATTTACGTATTATTAGCAGAGTCATGGGGACGAAGCTCTCACACACTGTCCCTTATTTTCTCTAATTTACCATTCCACAACTATATTTTATGGATATAAAAAATTAATAAAATTGGGCATTTCAAATTATATTTGAATAATACATTATGCATTTTTTTATTTCACTATCCGTCAATATAAGAGAACATTGGATTAATGAAAATATTTTCGAGCCACGTAAAAAATGCTACATTTAATCGACAGAGTTTAGGATTTTGTGAGATTTTCAATATCTAATATATATAAATTAAATAATCAATTTTATTTTATCTTCTTCATAAAAAATATGGTTTGTTGAAATATTTTCTGGTTACCTTGACACTGAATATTTAATAGGTACATGAAAGTTAGTGAATTAGTGAAATATAATACTTACATTAACCTAATTATATACTTACAAATAACAGAAATAGTAATAATATATAATAGAAATAAAAATATAATTAATTATTCAAACAATAAAGTATTAAGTATCAAGTATCAGTTGGCAATAATTCATATTTTTAGCCCGGGGGTACCACCACCTAATTGGTCATGAGGCCATCGCCTCCTGAAATACCCTATCACGCCATCACTGCATACAAGTACCTAGGTATAGTTGTCACATAAATGTTATGTGATACAGACATTAGACATATTATTAGTTTTAATTTCAACGGTTACCATATTCAAATTGTCGTTTTCCGATTACTATTGGTTCTTTAGCGTTGGACGTAAATTTATATTGCATCAAAGGTATTTCAAAAGATAACGCTGTTATAGGACTTGACATAACGTTTCCTGGTTCTGTGATTATAATCTAAAATATATATACATATTAGTATGTAGGTTTTGTTTGTATTATGCTATTTTTAAACCAAACCTGAAGCTGATAAACAATATGATTATTTTGTAAAATTGTACCTTCATTTTAATTATCTACTTCAGATTTAGTAGATAAGTATGGATATTTAATTTAAAATACTGTCCAACCGTATATGAAGGTTTCAGACGGTTATTGTAAATGTTCAAGGGTGACTTATAATTTTGCAAGTTTTTTGGACGCTCAGAGCAAGTTTTCGTTTTGCTCTTTCGCTTTGGTCTTGTTAGTGGTGTTGATTGTAAGTCCCAAAGTTTTATGGTTCCGTCCATGGAAGCAGACATAAATTGATTTGATAATTTTCCCTCTTGCATGGTTACAAGTTTACCTGATGGTGTTATCTATACAAAATAAGAAAATCTCTTGAATAATAATTTTATTTGTATGCATGCATTATATAACACATAAAATATTATAATACCTATACTTTAAATTAGTTAGATACGAGATTTGCATGTTTATCAAATGAGAACATTTACTTAATTTTGACGTCAATTAACATATCTTATATTTAAATAATATTATTGATCTGCAGAGATCAGTTATAATTATATGGGTACATTGTTATTATTTATTTGTTTTATTATACTTATTTAAATTAACTAACTTCGTTTATAGGATGAATCCATTGGATCGCGGTTACCATTGACTCATGTGATTCTAAAATTGCACTTAATGCTGCAGGTCTGATTCTAGTTTTGAAATTTATGTCTAATGACCATTGCATGTGCATCCACTATAAAATCCCGTTTATTTTGTTTAAATCTAGTATTCAGGTAATCAATTTATTATTTAGTTAAATAGATTTAAATATTTTACAAGAAGTCTGTGATGATTTTTTTCCTTGTTTGACATTTCCGTGTTGCTAGAATCAATCGTTTCCAATTTTCGATTTATGTCCCATATACAAATCTGCCCATTTGTTAATCCCCCTACAACTGTATTACCATTTATAGGGTTAAACTCAACACAACATACTTCTTCAGGACTTTCCAATTTTAACTAAAAATTAATCAGACAATTAATAAATGGATGCTATTTTTTCGTTACATATAGAATAATAGATATGTATATGTTACAAATATAATTAGTTTAAATACCTACTTTTGGAAAAATATTATCATTTACTGACCAAATTACAACACAATTATTTTGTGTTTCAAATAATGGTATATTTTGTTGTTTTATTATCGGTTCGTCATTATTTTGAAATATTTTGTGTTGCTTGTTAGGTGTTGATAAAGACTTTCTTTTTTTTTTAGATTTATATTCTTGTTTATGATTTAATTTTTTGTAAATATCTCCTGCTTCAAACATGTCTTTAGTTAATTTTATTCTTTCTTTTTCCATATCTTTAATTCTATTAAATTAAGTATGAATGTGTAAGGTACTTAATACAATTATTAAAACAATTTATTAAAACAAACATTTTAAAAGTTACATTACTTTTTTTTCTTTTCTGTATATTTAGCTTCAGACTTCAAAAGGCTAAATAATTTTTTTTCTCTTGCTTCTCTATCGTATTTTTTATTGAAATTTCTGTATAAATTAATTAATTTGTTTAATTATTGAAATTTAAACTAAGTAAATGAACTCAATTACCTATGTATATCCCGCACAACATTCCTCATTTCATTTCCATATAACCACTCTTCATCATCCCCCCAAATATTATAAAAACTTTCTGTATCAGAATCATGGTGATCTATAATGCATTTTTCTTCACTTTCATTTATATCTACGATGGCTGTAATGTTGGTAGAGTTTTTTGGTTTTTTAATACTTTTATCTTTCATCTCATATTCATTTTCCTCTATGGAGATTTCGTTTTCTAAATTAAACCCTTCACATTGATCTATATTTAAAAATTAAATAAATATATTAAATATATGTATAAATAAATGTAAAATAAAATTTTACTAATACCTGTTAATTCACTCTGTACTTTATCATTAATAATAATTTCACCATCTATAATAAAAAAATCAAATTATGTTTTAAAAATTAAAATTAGTTCTATTTTGAACTGTTTGTTTAATAATGATTTAATAGTAAACCTAAATTTTCTTTAAGATGATCCGTGTTGGTAGAAGGTTGTTCGTGGGAAATGTAAATTAAAATATTGCGCAATTGTTTGATCATGTCTTGGTTAGAATGTTCATTCGTTTTTTCGTCTTCGGTTATTTGAATTATTCTCATTCTCTTTGAATAATTATTAATTATAGTGGGTGGTATTCAAAAGAATAATTAACTATCAAAATTATGTTTATTTAGGTTATTATTAATAAATATACCTGTACAAATTCATTGTTTAGCAATGATATTATGTTTTCTTTATAATTTTCAACCACAAATTTAGATTCAGTTTGGTTGTTCCACAATTCCAGGTTATTTTCATCGTTACCATGGGAAATACCATACTTTTCGTCTTTAACCGTTGATTTAGTCATTTCTTCAGCAGGTGGTTCTAGACTAACGGATTTATATGAAGCGTTACTATTGGTCATGTAAGACACAGCAAAAACACCTACAAGCAATGCATAGGTACTAAACTTATTATTTATTTATACTTTCCAATTTCCATTCATAACTAATAAACCTGGTATTGTAGGATGCCATGTATGACAAGAAACATGTTTTTTCGGTGATACTAAATTTTGATATCCAGGCAGAAGGTTTATGTTCTTCGCATTTTCTTCATTTGATTTTTGATTTGTATTGTTTAATAGCTTGTAATCATCACGGTATAAATCGTACAATTCATTATAGTGTAACTGTTCAACTAAACTGAATGTATTATAATAAATTAAGTATCTAACAATTATTGAACATTTCCAATAGCAATATTAAATGTGTGGTTTTCAACTACAATAAATTATGGGTAGGTATAATAAGGTAAATGAATTAAGTTTTCTATACGTAGGACAGGACCGTTATTAGGGGAGGGGGTGGAGAAACCGGCTCTGGGATTTTTACTTGCATTTGGAATCTTGAGTTTAAAATATAATACAATATTGTTCTGGGCATAGCAAATCCTAAATACGGACTTAAAGTCAAGTTACTTATGGAATTTTTGATAATCAATTGAATAATAATAAAATGTAAAAATATATTAAACGATCATTTAATAGCATAAAAATTGTATTTATTTATAAATTTTACTTAGGAACGTGTCTTTCTAAAAAATCATCAAGCGCCTTGTTAGGTTTAGTAAGAGGTTGTAATTGAAACATTTCTTCTTCTATAGCTACAGATTGAATACATTTATTATCTTTAATTCTCGGAATTGTTTGCATTTCCCTATCGATCATTTTTCTGACCGCCTACAAAATTAATAAATATAAATTGAAATAAAAATAAAATATTATGTTTTGAGTCGTTTATGTAGATTACTTACTTGAACACTAGAATCCATTGATAATATATCACTACTTTCAAATATTTCTTTTGGTCGTGGTTCTAATTTGACATATTCATTTTTAATGGACTTTGAATTCGAGTCTTCAAAGTCTGCTTTAGTTTGAAGCTTACCGGCTTTCAGTTTTAATTTATATGTTATCTATAAATTAAAAATTAAAGAGTTTTATTAGCTATCTATTAATTAAATTATATTTTTATATTTTTTATATTAGTATATTAGGTATAAATATTTGATTGATTAAATTAGTGACCTTAATGGTTAATATTAATAATACTTGGTAGTTTGTACCTTTCCACGTGTTTGTACTGGTTTGATTTCTTCGATATCTTTTTCACTGCTTTTGGATTCCCATGGACCGGGAACACGAAACACCAACTGATCCATTTTTGGTTTGATCTCAAATTCCATTTGCGTTTGTGTTTCATCTATATATTGTTTAGCTTTATCCGTGGTACATATTAAAAATTCTTCGTCTGTACTACTAAAAGGTTTATAACCGACTAAAACTTCATCATTTTTTATATTCTGATAAAATTAATATTCAAAAAAGATAAATAAGTTATATTCTTAATCAGTGAGAAAAAATAATGACATTTATAGTCTTTACTTCAAGATTTTTTCGAAATTTCCAAAAACAAGAGTTAGAATTTTGACACTGTATATGGTCAATAATTTTTTTATGAGATATTTTTGTCCACGGTTTATCTACAAAAACGTGTTTTCCCACTACACATTCAAAATAATCGTGTAGATTTTTTGGTATGAATACAATTTTTAAATCATCCCCGTTATCTTCTGTTGGCTCTTCTATAAGTTTTAACAATTTCAAAATCAAGGTTAATTTAATTGAAAAGCTGATAATTGCTCATATAATAATTGTTGTTTTATAGTAAAATAAATACGTAAAGCTAACCACTATTTAAATCATTCGTTGTTACGTGGATAGGATGTTCCATTGAATCCTCATCATTGATCTTAATTAACGAATTTATTTTATTTTTCGATGCCATTAATAGTTTTTAAATATTGTATTGAACTGTAGCTTGTATTTTTATAAAATATTATTAATATAATAAAATAAGATTAATTATTATGTATTTATTCAGATAAAAATGCGTTCTCCTTTAGTGTAATAAAATTAAAATGATATAAACTATTATTATAACTTGATAAACTACACAATTTATGTAATATCTTTGTTCATAATTAAGTAAATATTGTTTGACTCCACATGTAATATCGTATAATAAAGAACTAGGCACTATAAACAAACAATAATACCTAATAGTAAATTATCGAATAAACAACCAAATGTTTGATCACAAGTATACCTAAGTTACCCTGGTTACAATTCTGTTGTGTATTCTTAAATATATGACGATAGAAACAACAAACTTGTATGCCTCAAATCTACATTATGTTTGACAAAATTAAGTTTTTTAATTGGAAAAATATTCTTTGGTTGAAATTACTATAACTTTTACCAAATAAATTTCAGCTACTTACAAGAAATCCCGAAGAAGGGATAGAAAATATTTTTTTTTAAATAATTTGGATTTTTTAAATAAATAATAAACTATACAAATTCCTTCTTTGTTGAATTATTTTCATGATATAATCTTTAAAATAGTTAATACTAATTTTGAGTTAAATCATTAAAGTTATGATGAACTGTATCTTTTTTTTTCTATCACTTTATGTATCCCTCTTTTCTAACTACTCATTTATAACAGTGGCCGCACCCATTCCCAGTATCAGTTTTTTTTTTTAATGACTACCAATAAAGGAGAAAGTTTCCGCCGGACATTTAACAGCTAATTTCATAATAGTAATCCGTCTAATCATTTAGTTATATCGATTTTAAAAGAAGCTCAAGCAGATTCGGAAACAATATTTTCGTCAATTAAAAAAAGTCTAAAAAAAAAAAAAAAAAAGTGGCGAAAAAAGATTTAGATAGAATTAAATTAACTATTTAAACTAATGATGATTATAAAGATTACAAAAATATGATATAATATTTCATTGCGGGAAAATAAATATAAATGTAAGATTGAAATTGCATATTGACTTTCCTTCACCGATGCAACAACTTAACAACGCTGCACTAAATTTTGTCAGTAATCGTGTCATTTTTTGGGTACAAAATAATATCTTTTGGCATACAATGACCGTCTTGAATGATGTTACAAAAAATACAAAACATCTGCAATCGTGTCGCACTCAGAAAAAAAATATATTAATATAACACGCTTATTAGTAAAACCAATACAATCATTGCTGTGCGTTTTGCAGAATTTAAAAAAAAAAAAAAAAAATTTGCTACTAGATATTTGAATTTTTATGAACTGATCTGATGCCAGTAAAAGTATTATTATTGTTTACTGTAAACAAATATACAATTTATTATTCAATCGATAAAAAAACTGATTTTTAATACTTCGATTCGAGATTTGAAAATAATAGATTATTAAACTTAATAATATTAGTAAGTAATAATAGAAACTTTTAACCGTAATAAAACACCTAAAAGTAAACTTAGAAAATTTTAAATTAAGTATTATTATTTATGAAATATGTTGTACCTAGAATCATTGTACAATATGTACATAAAAGTGAGTTTTTATAGAAACTATATGAACTTTTGGGAACAGTTTATTTTGAAGGTCTTTGGAGAGAAAATAAATGAGAAATCCAGTGTAATATAAATAATTCTTAGTATTCTTACTTTTGAATGGCTGAATATTCTTATTCCCTTAGTAAATTATCCCGGGGAGTAAATGTTAAGAATATTATTCAAAATAGGTTTGTTTTTACTGTTTTCTTATAAGCACTCTTTGGTAGGTAATTATCGAGAATGACAGTGGGAAATTTTAAAAGTGATCTATACTTAATGTTTAACATTTCAATCAATAAATATAAGACTATAAAACAATCTAAAACAATGGAAATGAAAATAAAATGAATATTTGTGTAGGTTACAGATTTTAAATAGACAAGAAAAATTATATAAAACAATGTAAGTAATAAGTAGGTAGGTAGTTAAAATGTATACATAGACATCATAATATATGTAATTATACTAATACACAATTATTAGAAAACCAATTGTTCCCATACAGAATCTTAAAATATAATAGCTTTTTTTGCCTGACTTATATGTACACTGCAAGTGGTTTACAATATTCACTCCACGAGTATTAAAATATGTACTGCAAAACAATCAAAGCCCTACTTAAGAATTTTGGGGCCCGGAGCTGATTTTTTGAAAAATTATATTATAAATTTAATTTTTTGCTATATTGCATTTTTATATTAAATTTTTTTTGTAAGATTATAAATAAATTTTTGAAATCGTGAAAAAGATATTTTTTTGATTATATAATTAAACGCTTCTATGAAAAAATAAAATAAAAACTGACTTATTATTATAATTTTAGATCCTGAGCAGATCGAGGAATGTATTAGTTTTATAATGATGGTTTTTTTTTTTATAAACAACTATTCTACCAGAAATCTTGCTCAGTTTTTAAGTGTAGTACTTTTTCTTAAAGTAAATGTGATTAGGGTGGTACATTAAGGAAGTATTTTTTTGATTTTCCCAGGGATTGTCCTTTATAAATGGGAAAAAATGGAAAAATGTACGTAATGTATTATTTTAAAATCATAAATATTATAGCCTTTTAAAACATGTACAATTGAACACCGCTCAGAATCGTTTTTTCGTTTGCAATGGTTAACCGTTGCTTGCAAATATACATTAAATTTCCACTCTCTTTTCCAAACTTTTCATCTAAAACAGTGGCAACCCACGTGCGATTTATGCCTGTTTTTTTTTAATAAACAATTTTATCAATTACTGATTAAATATTTTAGAATTCTGTCACAAGTGGTATTTTTAGTAAATATTTTGTACTTTGACAAATTAAAATAAAAATAATTTTAAAACCAAATTAATACACGGGGGCATAAATTATGTCGGGGCCCTGAGCTGCAGCCCCCCTAGCCCCCTTAATAGCTCTGAACATGCTTTTCGTATTATGGTAATATACTGTTCATTAAAATTATCACTTTAAAGTATAGTTCGTATATAAAATAATTATTAAATATAATCTACATTTTTACAATGACTGTATGATTTTTTTGACATTTATGTAGATTATAGTGCGCTACACAGCCATACAGGATATGCGTTATCTATCGCACTGGTGGTGATGGCAAGTGATAGTAAACAAAAAGTGTATACAAGTGCAGTCAGATGGAAAACGCTTTAAGAAATTTCATATTAATAGTGTTAAATATAGGTAGGTAGGATAGATACAATGTTACATTGGTAAAAAAAATAAATAAATAAAATACGCGATTTTTGACAGTGACAATTTAAAGTTTAAAATTATAGTTTTACAATAATTATCAAAACGATAAATATCAGGTTAATAAATTAAAAACTTGGTACCGAAAACAAGAATTTATGTATAATATCTACTAGCATACAGATCTATAATTACGTATTACATATTATGCCTCGTGTTTTATCACAAGTCTCCGGGGGGTTATTTAATCATAAAATGTTTTTGTGCTTGTTCGTAACTGCGCTATTATAGAAACGTTGTAAGAAATTAAAATAACAATATTATAAATAACAATAACGCCATAACTGTATAGGTGCAGTAATAAATAAATAATCAAACTGGTATTAATCGTACAAATACTTCATACATCCTACTGCAGCACTCTATGATATTGGTGCTCGTATATTAAGAATATTGATCATGAAAAAACCGTGGCATATTAATAACTATTGACTACTATTGACTTTCATTTTATTTTATCCTTTTTTTTTAAACGAAAAATAATATATTATACTATATTAATAATGGTTAACAACGGCATTGGAAGGGTCACTAAAAAAAAAAAAAAATATTAATTTTATTTGATCTCGCGGGGGGGGGGGGGGCAGAAACTAGCATTTCAACCTAACCACCACTGTAGGGAGGTTTTATACAATAAAAAAAAAATTCAGGTGTTTTGTTGCAATAATGAAAATAAATGAATAATAATAATTAAACAGTATAAAATATTGTATCAAAATGCAAGTCTAATCAACTGTCTATATTATAGACATTGGTACATTTTGATAAACAATCATTATAATTTTGAAATTTTCAAACATATTGTATTTGAAAAATAAGGCACTGGTACAGTTTTCGAAAAATTAAAATATTTAACTAAAGATAAGTACTTTAATTTTTTTTCTGTTAAAATATTACACTGCTATTATTAGTTTATTAATTAACTATGTTTGAAAAAAGATTATTGGTATTAGGTATATATTTTTTGTACATTACCTAATAACTGCATAGACCAAAAGGGTTAAACGTAATATGAACAACATATTTACTGATAACATTGATGTATGAAATAATAATATACAAATTAATATGAGCTAGGTTGTTTATTTACAATGATCATCGCTCAGAATTTTAACTACTTATTTTGTTATAACTTATAAGTATTTGTTTTGTTTACAATGCAGTACAATCATTACTACGAATTATTATTTATCTAGGTTCTTATGTTGATTTACAAAATTAATAAAGTTAATAAAATAAATAAATTTTGTTTATTAAAAATGTGATAGTATAATACATATACTTATATATTATTATATAAATAAATAATTATTTTATGCATGATTATAACTAGTGAAAGAAAATACTTTTAAAACTTTTCTATTTAATAATATTTATAAATAAATAAACTTTTGTTTATTTTGTATAATTTAAATTGTTTGCTATGCAAGTTTATATATATATATATATATATGTATATATAAAAAAAAACACGTTTTATAAATAAAAAACTGACGTGTATAGAATCCGGTTAGTATTTGTATTACGTGTCTTTCACAGCTCTTAGACATGTGTTCAGAATATTAAATATATTAACGAACACTTCAATAAGGTAATCATTTTTATTCTTTAATGTATTAGGGATATTTTTGAATTCAAAT